TCTAGCACGAGGGGATCTGCCCCGGGAGGCGTCAACGGTTTTTCGATAGTCTGCCCTGTTCGTGCGGGCCGGAGGAGCCGTGCCCATACCAAGCCGGGTGGAAACAAGCCAAGAGGGGCTCCTGCCTCGAAGCCGCTCTTGAGATGAATTATTTACTTATGAATTATGGGGCCGTAGCGGGGGCCGGGGGTCAGCGCTAAGTTTCTTGCCAAGCGAGCCAGCCAGCCAAGCGAGCCAGCCAGCCAAGCTCGCTGCTCCGGCCGTGGCTATTACTCTTATTGCCAGTGTCTATACGCTTGGTGCACGAGCTGCTCTTTCTGGGCAATGCCCATTGTTCATTGCATAAAATGGGGGATGGGAGACTCTCCGCGGACCGGATCATGCGTAGCCATTCTATCGTCCGAGGGGAATCCTCCGGTGGCGGTTATACGAGTGTAGACATGGGGGTGAACGTTATAGAGCATCTGGTCGCTAATCAATTCTGGTGCATTCCCTGGTAATTTCAATGTCATTTCATTATTCTGGCTCTGGCTCTACTAACTACTGCAATAGCAGTCTATATTCCGATGACACTATGTCTTCAGGAACTACATATAGTTTTTCAGCCCGACGCGTTCTCTTTTCTTTTAGCGTAGCGACTCTGCCCGAATGAACACGCAATACGGTGACCCCCTATATCCTGCATTCAGCCTCATCTCCTCTGTCTGATTTGTGAATGCTCAATGTTTGCTTCAAGTTATGTTTCGGGGGATTATTATTCAGTAATCCAGCTAATGCCCGACTCTCGAATACAACTTAATGCCACACTACCAGTAGGAACTAAAGAACGTCGAGGCCAAGTCTTGTATCGGCCCCACCATCCGCCTCCGATGGCCCACGAGCACTGGCTTCAACGATGGCGGGTGCTGCGTACGCTGGACCCGAGACGGAATCATGGTTAGCGCTCCCTGCGGTACGTCGACATTGATTGATTCTGCCTAGAGCCGAAATATCCACAGAAGGCAGATCTCGTAATCGAGGTTACCCTGATCACTGGTCGAGCCACGAAAAGAGAATAATTTCGCTTGCACCGGCCACTCCGATTTCAAGAAGTTAATTCTGGCGCAAAGGACGAGAGTGCTCCGGCAGGACGGAGCTTGCTTCAAGAGCCAAATCCTCGCTAAACCCTATGTACGCAGCGAGAAGTGGATTGCCATGCTAAACCCTAAACTCATATCTATGTCGCGACCGTGGCTGGGGAGGAAATGATTAGCGTAGAGAATGCCCAAGTCCTTCGTGTCCTGTACTGCGCGTGCTAGGTAAACCAGCTGTCTCCAGTTGCTATTCGCTAGCTACTATTCGTGCTTTTTGACCGCACTTCAAAATATTCGATGCATCGGCAGTCTTGTTCACCGATACTTCTAGACGCAAGCAACAGGCTCCAGTAGACTTTTTGGTTTCGGCCCATCAGAGCACTTGTGAGGCGTCCAGCGGCGCAACGGCATTAACCTGCAGCAGCGTGCGCAGTAGCGTGTCGCGTGGCCGGAGCTGGACTCTTGTTTCAGAATATCTCCAGACCAGGCGCTGCAGGTAAGAGAGGAGGGGGCTATCAAAGACTCGCTCGGCCCAAGATACCCGCTAGGTTAGAATGGCAATTCTTCCAGTCGATCGCTGCAGGTCGAGATCGATGGTGAATTAGCGGAGATGTGATCAAATAACGCACACCGTTCCTATGGTTAGCTCTATGAGCGGTTGAAAATGGAACAGCCACACATGGGGCATGTACACTCTTGCCCAAGGCATATCTCACTGTGGCTACTTCTCATGATCCTGGAGAACCAGACAGGTTCCAGTATCTCTTCAGACATAATTCATAGATACCTTGCTGTCCCTGTCCAGCGTACATTTTGTACAGTACATTCCGAGCAGCTCGTGAACACACTGGTAAGCTACAAGATCGAAAATTTGAAACCAGTATACGCAAGTACAGTCGCGAGGACACATGGTCGTACAGAAGTTGTACAGGAATCCGAACACGTACAGCGCAAACTTGATTGACTGCCCGAAAGTCAAAATAGATTAGATTTCAAGGCCATCGCTCCACCGCTCCAGTCGGCGCATTATTAATATCGAACGGAAGACGAAAGCCGTTGTCAATGACACCATCAAGGGCTGACGGGCTAAAAAGCAAAAGCGCTAATCAAACCGGCAGTCACAACTCGCCGACGTCAAGATAGCGGACGCAGGGGAGGGGAAAAAGAACTGCCCAGCGAACCACAAGCACGCAGATGCATCGTTGTTGTCGATCCTTCGACGATTTCGGGGCCGGAGCCACACTTTCACAAGAACTTGATTTGGATACGCACCTATGAGGTCGGCTGAGGAGATGGACAAACGCGATCTTTCAATCCTCATTGGTGCGCCGCCTTATACTACTGTACCAACAGATCGGGGCTGCCATCTCTGACAGGACATACTTCGTCCTACGTACTCCATGCTCCGCAAAGAGGGAGGGGCGATCTTTCCTGGTGCGGCAGATATGGCTCCACCTCCATAAAACGGAGCAAACCTCCGACAAGTGACGAGCATTTGCCGTTAATAAAGCGAGGCCGCAAACCGGAATTCAACTGCCCAATATCTATATCAAACAAGTCTCCGATGTCCCATTCAAGAGTTCATCTGACTATCTGCCTGTGTCTAAAAGGAACGGCTCCTCAAAATTAACACAAGCATTAATCTCACACTACAGTACTTGATTACACCCTGCTCTGTTACAATTTTGTTACGGTAGTTACAGCAAATAGGAGCGCGCATCAGGTCATTCCATTGGGTCCCTGGTGAGATAATAGCGGAGCCCCAGGTACGAAGCTTGCAACGTCTACTCGTGGACATGACTCGCGCGACTGCAACCCCGGGGCGGGCACAGTTGCAAATGGAGGAGACTGTAGACGATTAGGTTAGGTTGTCAAGTCGCGCAGATAATCACAAGCCAGAAGAATCCGTCAACCACAATCGAGGCCGATCATGCCGGGGTCAACTCAACGCGTCCATATTGATTTGCTCAGCTAACTAGCCAAGTCGCTAGTAGTCAGCCGGGAGAGTTCGTAGGAAAATTGAAAGACGATATGTAGTTAGGCTAATCTGTACCTGAGCTATCGTTACCTGCAGCAAGTACATGTGAAGTCAATACCCAATTTTTCCAGACTCAATGTTACTCTTCTTCTTAGAGAAACTATTAGTAGATAACAAGGGTTCAGCATGAGAAGTAAGGCCGCTATAAATCATCGCTTAGGGAGAATTAGACAGCATGTGAAGGGATTGGGAAGACAGCTGTTCTGAGTCTTTGTACGGCGTTAATGTTGACGCTATCTCCAAGTAGAATATCAAGTAAAGCGCCTATGCTACTTCCTTGTAATCGCGGGGGTTTGCCTTGCTGTTCTAGTATAGTAACCCAGGACCCAATGACTACAGGAATGTAGCTATGACCTCTGACTTGGTCGGTAACTACTACTTAGCACCACCCCATCCAACGAACAACTACCTGATAAAGCCATCATGTTTCAGCTTCAGGCAACCGCATCACCCCTACGAACTAGACAAGGATAATATACATCCCTACTTAACTCGACGATCACATTCAGATTCAGACCACTTCAGTCACTCCTCCATTACTGTACCTATGCAGCCCCTTATATTACCCAGTCAAGGAAAGCAATTTAACCAAGTCGATAGACCTGCACTAGGTAATCTGTAGCTAAATAGAATCCCCTCGACCACTAACCCATTAGCACCGGCATCAACCGACAAAATGTTTGCTCCCACACGTCTGTGGCGCTTGTGGACCATTCAGAACGTGCAGCCAGGCTTACCCCCTCGTGTGACGGTTCCGTATTCTCCTTCCTTCTTGACGCTTGTCAAGCCATCGCCTACCCTTTCGGTACAGGCTGGCCTGTGTTTAATTACTTTTTGCTCTTGCTTGCGGTGATCTTCCTTTTTGGATACACAACCGCTAGTGTATTCGTTTTATACATACAGTATAACATACGAGGCGCCATTTTCCTATGGCTGGCTAATCTTTATTTATGTATGGGTAGTTCTCGGAGCCCAGGGGGCTAAATAAGGATGTTGCAGGTGAGGGATGACTGTCCTGGGAGATTATAGAGGGATATTTCTAATGTTTATCTTGCACGGTCTTCTAGGCAAGTGAGTCATAGCTTATCTTGTCATGATGTTTCGACATTGAGGAAGGGACGATGAAAACGTGACCTGGATTTCTTAGTATAGTCCAGCCTTTGTGATGTATAATCACCATCTGATACTCTTCTACATACAATTATCATACCTGCAGACAAGTCTAAGGTGGGTCGGCATGGTATCAAGGTTGTCTTCGCAAATGCTGATGTCCATGCAGATGATGGTAGTACAAGAGCTAAACAGACACCCACTCGAGATTTGGACACTCCTGCCTAGGCATGAACTGTACCAATAATAAGAAAACGTACAAAGGCTGACTGGTCGTTTCAAAACCGTCTTTTTCTGAGAAACATAGATAGATCTAGAAGTAAAACACAAGAACGGCAATGTATTGGCTCGAGATACTTGTCTCTCCATCTCAAACGGAGAGACAGCGCCTCGAGCGTGCAAATGCAAATGCAAATGTAAATGTGCTGCGAGGGTACGTATTCTATCAACATAAAATTGACGTGGACGCAAGTAAGCGGCGTGGTGTAGCGTACAAGGGGGGACATGACATGACATGAAAAATGAAGGGAGTACAAGAGGGTGCAGACATGAACCAGCCAAACAAGCTGGGAAATCAGGAGGCCCTGCGGCGGGGGCGGCGATACCATGAGCATAATGGTTTGATATGAGGCTGGGAGATCTACCAAGCTAGCTCCGAACCAAGACCTTCTGTAGTTGAGGAAAAAAAGACCGCGGGGCAAGAGTGCAGGCATCGTGGCGCCGGCCCCAAGGCTCCTTGTCCGACGCAGGAGATCATGCAGTTTTACAGAATGAGGCCGCTACACCTGGACGGCGGATGGGCGCTCGGGTAGCGGCGGCGAGTTACTTGCAGGACGAGACCGCATGGGCAGAGACGTGTTCGCATCGGGGACGGGGGGTGCCTCGATCTTCAGCGGCTCGTCCGAGCTCTCGTCCTCGTCATCGCTGGAGGACTCTGCGCCCCGCCGGCCATGGCGCTGGTCTTCTTCTCTGCGCTGGCGCTTGTCGCGCACGTATTCCTCGCGGCGGGCATCTGAAGAAAAGTAAGTGTCTGTCTCATTGAAGCCTATCGCCGTTGTGTGGAATTGAAAGAGCTTACGTCTGACCTCCTGCGTCTTCAAAGCATATGCCTGAATCTCCTCCTTGGTGAGGACCCGCAGCACGATCACAAACTCCGGTCGCTCCTCGTATCGCTCGTTGCCTGCCTCCAATGCGGCGGGGTTGACTAGTCGCCGGTCGATCTTGGTCCATCGCGCCGTGGGTGGAATGCCATTTTTGTTGGCATCTTTCAATGGAGCCACACCTTCTCTTATCGGGTTTGGCTCCTCGGGGAAGGCCTTCTTGGGAGGCTTGAGGATACTCTTTGGCGCGGGCTGCTCTGGCTCTTTGGTGGCAGGGGGCTCAACAGTGATCGGCTTGCGGACCTCCTCCCGTTGGTCAAGGAATGGAGAGCTTCGCGAATCCGTGGAGCGCGCATCTTCGGTCGGTCGCCGTGAACGGGACCGATGTTGCGACCGGTCTCGCGGGGGACGTCTGCCCAGATGGTCATCAGCACTGCTGGTGTCGGTGCTGCTATGTCGACTTCGATGTGGTGCCGCAGCAGGCTCACGCCGGTACTTGTGAAGGTCCTCGTCGTCCGTGTAAACATCCGTGTCGCTGCCTGAGCGGCGGCTGCTTCGTCTCCGCGAATGCCTCCGTCGACGGAGGGCATCGCTGGGCTCTAGGTATAGCTGCTTGCTCCGCCCCGAATTGGAGGGGCCACTCTCGGCGAGATCCCTAGACGAGGGTTGAGCGGAATCGTACTCACGCTCGGCCTCGCGGCGTCGGTGGCGGCGTCTGCCGGGTCGGTGATGCTCCAAGTCTGAAGCATCCGAGAAGCCACCCAGTGCAGCTGTGCCGAGGCCGGCGATAGCCAAAGCCCTGTCACCAACACCGTTGTGTAGTCGCGGAGATCGGTCATCTACATGTCGCCGGACGTCGTCGCGGTGTGATCTGCGGTGGGTATCGCTGTGATAATCACCGTCAGACTCATGGGGCAATGCAACCAAGGCACGATCGTGTCCAACAATTGCGCTGGTTCTAGATGTATCCCGGTAGTCATCAAACCCGCGAGCAGAGCTTCGAGGCCGACCGTCACGGTCTATCCTGTCCAGACCCCAAGATGTAGGAGGAGGCCCGTGGTGGCGGTGGTCCTTGCTGCGCGCCAACCATTGAGGGTGTTCCTCGGCAAGATTCACACTCATAGGCCGGTCAATGGACGTCCGACCAGAGGGATGGCGCGGCCTAACAACGGGATAGTCTCCGGACAAGTCTCGTCTTGCTTCTTCCCCTGGACACGTGTACGAATAGGCATCGTAGTTGTCAATGTTATAGCCCTTTTTGGGTCCGTCATACGGTGGATGTCGCCGCTGACCAGCCGGTGGGTGAACCCGGTATGCGCCATGATGGACACCGGTTCGGTGTCTCGAAGGATCGCGCATTTCTAGCCGACCAGTGTCACTGGCATAGTCGGTGCTATACACTCGACGGTGACCAGAGCCATGACGGGAAGAGGAGGAGGGAACCGCGATGCGTGAAGAGTCTATGGGAAGAGGACTGGGGGAGCGATGGCCACGGCCTGAGCTGACGACCGGGCGAAGATGTGATGACGAGGATGACGGTACAGCCAATCGACCAGGAGCGTCGTAGATATCTGTCGCCGATGCGGTGTGGCTTCTGTGCCTGGTTTGCGGCTGGATGGCATACTCGGTTCGCTTCTTTGTTGAATGGCCAGGATCACGATATTTCTGTGTAGACAAGGGCTGGACATCGATTGAGGCCAGGTGTCGAGGGTGCTGGCGGTATGTGCTGGTATAACCCACGTCCGAGGGGTAATAGTAATCATCGTAATCGTGTCGACTTCGGGGTGCCTCATGCGGATCCAGAGAAGAGCCCAGCTGGACCATGGCAGTCGAGGCCCGTGGACCAGCGTGATGGTGACGACCGCCGCCAGGCGAGAGGCCACGGAAATGACTCGAGAACCCCATCGTATTTGCAGAGTGACACCAGACACAAACCCAAAAGCTCGAAGCGACCAGCGCCGAAGCTGAAATTGAATGTTTGCGAGGTCAGGCAGAGATCGTGTGTGAGTGCTGTACGGTCGGCGTTAGAAGGGGGGCAACATCTTCGATATGACAGCCGCCACGAGGCGAGACAGAGAGAGAAAACCTACCGAGCGCGTGGTAGGTGACAACTTTGATCCGTCCCTGATCTGGAAGTATATCCCTTGATACCAGAAAAAGAGAGGAGAAAAAAGCAAGCAGCGAGCCGATTCGGGGGTGATGATAAACAAATTCACCACGGGGAGCTCAGGAAATTGAAAGGGGCTGATGGATCAATTCGACACCGGGCCCGAAGACAGTGGGGATGTGGCGGAACCCAACTGGATGCCCAAAGATGAGGGCAAAAAGTGTGTGAAACGAAGAGAAAGTGAAGAGAAAAGAAGGTCGGGGCAGGTCAGCTTCGCGGAATGACGCAAAAGTGGGCTCTCACGGGAGGTCAGTGATGGTCAGTGACTCGCCGAGGGATCCAGTGACAAGCCCTACCTACGCCTACCACCAGGTTCCAGGGCTGTATGGATTACTGTACTTTCCCCCCACCTTCCACTCCTGCAGCCCCGTTGGCCTTGTTGACCAATTACTGTGGACTTGGCTAGGTTGTTTTCTGGGATTCTACAATTCCTCAGAGGCTGTCCCCTAAGTACTCTGTGGGCCGAACACTATCGCTCCGACTGACTGCTTGCAGATGTGGGTATATCTCTTCTTGGCCTCGCTGCCTCTGTTCCTCTCGCCGTCCAGCGTTATTCCGACACTCGGGGCTACTAGATCATAGTCGGACGGCCCAACGGCAGATAGCCCCGTCATGTCGTGCAGCATTGAAGCATTCAAAACATTCGAAAAAAAACCTCCTGGAAAAGCCTTTGCAAAGCGGGTTATCGGCGGGATGATCCGTGGACAAGGAATGTTTGGAACATCTGGAGCCGCATCTGAAACCATGGATCACAGTCCTTCTGCAGTGTGGAATCTGTGGATGGCTGGAGGACCGAGAAATTCAACGGCCCCTCCTCCCGATGCCCCCCTTCTTCAACCCAGCAATCCTCTTACCGACATCCCACTAGGGCGTTCCCCTCCTCCGCCCTGCAAAGCGCCCATCTCCCGGCGGTCAGTTGCGGCTCTGAGGGGCACTGCGAGGGGCTGAGGTGGGCTTAGGGGCTCCACATACCCTCCACTGTAATTGCGCCCGGGTTGCGGCGGGGCGATGTCCATTCAGAATCGCCCTACATGATCATCATCATGTCCTGAGATCGAGTCGAGCAATCGGATTGAAAGCATGGCCCCTCGGTTATGAAACAGATCACACGGCAAGATTGCAACCTACTAGAATGGGACGATCAGAGGCCATTCCCAGGTCTTTGCCGCGGTCTTCAAACAACCGGACGGACAAAATTGAACATGACGGGGATATGCAAGTGAAGGCAGAGCTCGGCCTTATCCCACAAATGCCTGATCATCTAAGCAGTACTTTTAAGCAAGCTCGTCGAGTACTGTATAATGCTAACCACAGTGCTACTTCTAGTTGCCTTAATCTTGCGCCTGCACAGCCACGCAAAGTAAGGCGATTGATCACCTTACCTCATCTTCCTGGGTTAAGGAGCCCACTCCCCCGAATCGCAAAACAATTCCATGACTCGCATTGCAACGATTCCCCCTCACTGGATCCTTTCCGCACTGCTCAAAACCACAACCTCCGCCCTGCCCTCATTGGCCCGAGCTTGGTATCATTATTCTTTAACCCTGGTCAATTTCATCCCAAACTTGCTTCATGATGGTCCAGTCCCGATGGAGCACATCACTCCTCTACACTTTAGCACACTGCCCCTCGAGAATTCTCCGAGAATTCTCGTAGCATACCAATCTCCACTCTCCCATCCACGCCCGTCCCGCCTCCCCTTCTGCCCGCCCTGTCACAAGAAACACCCTCAACCCACCTTGCGGACCACTGCCCTCCTTGAAACAGGGCAGCTGGCTGGGCCTCCGGAACCCAAACCGCGAGGCAACCGGCTTTTCAACCCGTCCCCATCGACATTGAGGAGAAGGTTAAGGAAGGATTAGCCTCGGGACGGGGGCTTAGCCTTCGATTCACCCGTTGTCAATCTTCAATAAACGCCCCTCCAACCCCGAGGCACTGCACCCCATGCGAGCCCAGCAACACCCACGAGAAAAGCTTCATGCCTCACTTCCAGTCGGACATGGTTTGACACTCGTTTCACAGGGTTCAAGACCCGCTAGCTGTCCTGCCCTGACGAGGCACTATAGCCCACGAGGGCGCCGGGTGCAGACTCGTTCGGGTGACAGACACAGCTCAACCCGGGACTACGCAGTGCTGGCTCGAGCGAGCTTACCATTGGATGATTCCGGAGCATCTCCCAAGCTTCACTCTACCCACGAGCAAACCCGTGACTCAGCATAGTTCGGAGCTCGCCGATATATCGCTGTCCCAGCGCCCAGGTAAACGGCAGACTCTGGATGCGTCGACGAAGCAACCGTTCTGTTCCTGGGTGCGGGCGTGGGTAGAAGGGAGCTGTACAGCCGTGGGACTCTGGCAATTCTGCCTGCAAAATCGGGGACCCCGGATGGATGGGCGATGACCAGCTTCACCAGCGCTGGGGGTTACTGGTTCTGATATGTCGAGAATGGGGAGGGTTTGGTCTTTATTTTTGCATCCGCCCTCGCCCTAGCCCTAAGTCGTGGGTTTGTACTGCCTCGTTGGGCAGTGGTTATGGCTGTGGACCTGTTGTGGCAGATGAACATTGGCCTGCAATGTGATATGCGGTGAGGAGGGTGAAGGTGAGGGTTCGGCGATGTTTGTGAAGGAAGTCCTCTTTAAAAGGGGATCTCTTTGAGGTGAGGAGTTCTCCTTATTCTCATCATCATCATCTCAGCATTTCAGTTTCGATACAAGATCCAGCATCAGCATTGTCACAGACAACAAGCAGATACTGTTCAATCGCAGATATCTTTTATCTTCACATTGAGCGATTTATATCTACAATTTACAATCACACTCTCGAATTGAGTTCCATCGTTCCCCTCTCAAAGCATCTCCAACTGAACCATCGATCACACGACACCACAATGTCCTCGTACAAACTGTCTCTGTTCACCTCATTCAAATCAGCCACGCCCCACCGGTTGGAAGAAACCCCAACCCCATTCTCCTACCGAGTCCAGGCCATCACCGCATACACCAACACCAATGGCGCTTCCCTCGCCCTCCCGCCAATCCAGCCCCTCTACGGCGCAACACCAACTAGCTATTCCGGCAGTGGCGTGCCCGTTGCGAATGCCACTTGGTGGAATTGCTGCCGCTGCAAGAACATGGTGAACCCCGACCTGGCACCAGAAGATCGATGCCCGATCTGTGAGCACACTAAGTGTGTGGACTGTCGTGCCGTTGTTGTTTGATCTTCTTGCTTGGGGTTTGGGCTCTCCCTGGTTTTTGGGAGTGGCTTGGCGCTTTGGCTTAGATTGGCATGGGCATGGGCATAGACACTCAAGTTTGTGTTTGGGTTAGACCGGTATGGGCATGGTTGGGGGCGTTGGCACTACAGCTGGGGTAGGAGTCTGGGTTATTCAAGGCTATGATTCTTTATATTCCAGCCGTTCAGTCATAAACGTTCATGATTTAGATGGTGTTCTGGTCAAGTGTCAATGTTAGGATCTTTGGACTTGGACTTGACACATTTCGGGTACATTCTTTCCTTGGGTCAATTTATTCACTCGGTCATACGCTCCTTTACATCTCCTTTGTGATTCTGTACTTTAGTTCTTGTTCTCATTATACATAAGAGGAACAATGAGGCTATTACACTCGTTGATATTTCATAAAGGAATTCAGCTACATTCCTCTCTTTGCTCAATCAAGACCAGAAATGTTTTTGTCCGTTAAAAGGATGTAGTCAATCCCTCACCCCTGTGGCTGATTCTAATAGCTGTCGGGTTATAACTTTATGAATGTAGCCTACTAATAACTACGAGTTGCCACTTGAGCCAAACTCAGCCCTACGCGTGGGGCCAAGTTGGCTTGCATGGGCGGCAAAGCTCTGGACTTGACTTGCTCCCTTCCAGTTTGGGAGTCGTGCATAAAGCCAGTGGGGCCGAGGGCTTCAAGTGGTCCATTACATGATTGTCTACCAACACGCAAACAAAGTCATAATGAATAATTAGTAGTCTATTTCTGAATCCAACGCAGATCACGTTCTATCTTTACCGCGGCGACCCCGCCTCGCAGGCGCAGATTGGGCCGCCCCATTCCCGGATTCTGGCGCGGGGGCTGGAATCAATCCGGCTTCCTGCTTTAGTCGAGTCACGACGGGCCCTAAGGCAAAAGCGCTCTCTGAGCTGCTGTGGTCGGCACACGGGCTGTGTTTGAGTGGGAGGAGCCAGTCGCTGATGCTATATCCCATGACCTGTTGCAGGTTCTTGAGGTTGCTGCCAAGGCTGAAGGGGTTTTCGCCTGGGAGGGTGTGGAGGATGGCGAAGACGTGGCGCTCGTCTGTTGATGGGTTGGTCGTTTGGGGTTGGTCGGGTGATGTGGGTGGTTGGAGTGGGTAGGACACCATGCGGAAGGTGGGTGCCCATGGGGAGTCGGTGGCCCATAGTCGGTCCAGAAGGTAGTCTGGGACTCTGATGGCGAGGGTCCAGACGACAGAATGGCGGTTCAGGTTTTCAATGGTGGTCAGATTCAGCATGGCCATTTGGATGGAGCTGAGGGTCATCCCCACGGAGAAGAAACCAAAGAGGCCGCTCCTAGGTATTTGGTCAGTTCGAGAACAGGAACAATTCCATGGCATTAGTTACTCACAGTCCAATGCAAACCGCCCAGTTAGGATTGGCGCCTCCAGTCTTGAAGGATGTCAGTTTCGACCCAGTTTTCAGGTTTGATAGATACTCACGTTGCGCCGGATCTCTGCCGTGTAATATGCAGAGACGATCAGGAGATATCCACAAAAGATGGCAGTGTACACGACGAATTGGATAAAGAATTTGAAGGATGTTTCAGACACCACGCCTCCCACCCTAGGGACTGTCAGCAACTCGGCACCTCATCTCCAGTTTGGAGGCAGAGCAACCTACCAAGGACAGAAATGATCCATCTTGCGCACACATCGATCTACCTCTCGACAGTGGTGCGCTCGATCAGTCTTGAACTGGCAGCAGGATGAACAATATGGTGGTCGACCATCTTCCTGACAGATAAAAACGTCTTTTGTATAGAAGCTCTCCAATCCTAGAGAATCGAGCTGGTATGCCTTGCCTCCCGCGTGATTGTTGATGCCACGTTCCAGATCCACGTCTGCATTTGCATCTGGTTGGTTATTCTTCTCCGCATCTCTCGCTCGCGAGCCGCTCTTGCGCCGCCGGCGCTTTCCATGCTTGTGGCCGGACTCTGTTAATTTGGCCTCGGCGCGCACTCGTTCGGCCCCGAGCGGGAGGTAGCCTGGATTGACCAAGACATTATAAAGGAGTCGAATGTATGTTGAGACGACGACGATTAAAAGGAGATAATAAAGGGCGAGGATCACGGCGCCAGCGCCGACTCGAGGCTTGTGATGGTAGGAATGTAGAGGATGGATGAGATAGTCAACTTTTAGAGTGGACGGGAAGAGTCAGCGCGAGATCTTCACAGCGCCATGGCACAGGCACCAGAAACTCAAAATCACTCACTGCATAAGGTCTTCGTAATGGCGTAAGAAGCGTAGATGAACAGGCCGAGCAGCACGGGCGGGATGATCCTGGAGACCACTAGGTTGACGCGCTTCTGCGCCGCGGTCGCCATGAGGGAAGAATTATTCTGCCTCGCGATCGTAGGAATACATGAAGGCAAAACAATAACGATGCGGAAGAAAGAGAGGGCGAGACCAGGCAGCGCGATAGCGATGCGACTGGATCTCGGGATGGGGGGAGAGTCAAGGCAGAGAGAGGAACGGGCGATGAGGTCAGGGCGTTTCACTCCTGCCACTGGCAAACTCGGGCCCAATCCGCGGTGGCCGAACCGCCCGACGTAATCACGGGAGCCTCGCCCCGAAGGGCCTGCGTGATTTTGGACCTGCTCTACTTGGCATCTTGAGACTTGGGATCACTAGTGAGTACAGTAGTACAGTGGTAGTTCCGATGGATCAAGTCCAATTCAATTTCAATATGCCGTGGATCCGGGGAACACTCGGCCGGGGCACTCGAACCTGGGGTCCTGCTGCCTGAGCAGAGGAGGAATTGACGAGTATCCAGACTTGATGATCATCCGAGTCATATTTTCCCTCATTATGCCGGGTTAAGATATGGACTTGCCGTTTTCCGAGTGGTTACTGGGAGTATACTTGGCGTTGTCTCGAGCGGGAAACACCTCTGCAGCGATCAAATGGGAATTGGAGATTGGAGGCGGCGTTGGATGCCGAGACTTTGGAAGCTTAAGAAGAACCATTACATTGTATACAGTGTATACAATATGATCAATGTATACAATGTACAGAGTACACAGTACGGAGAGTACAGTCTGGTCGTTGCATGGCAGTGCAGAGGAGAGAAAAAAGAAGGCATTATTGAATATTCAACTCGGGAAACCCCAAAAAGGTCAATCTCGACCCGAATAACCCTCGAATTTACCCTTCAAATGAAGGGTCAAGTAAGGGCGACCAACGAACAGCTTCATTCCATCCGCGATGACTGCACACCTCAGGCTTAGTTAGGCAACAGGGGCTTAGCGCGCCCAGGTGACCGACCGGTGACTCCTCGTTGGAGTCACCGCCCGCAGTTGCCTGTGAAAAGTGGAGATAACGTTCATCTTCTCTGTGTAATGTTCAAGGCGCCAGGCAAGGCATCACCAGGGGGGACAGCTGAAGGGGGGTTCTGGAACGGGGTTGAACGGGTTGTGGATGGGGTTGAAGCCTGGTTGAAGCCAAACCTGAAAATCGCAGACCGCGACTCGGAGTGCCCAAGAGGTGTACCGGCCCATACATTCCTCCTCCGTGTGGTGTCCTTGTTAGACGGTGTGTCCGGGCCAACCTAATGCAGGACATGGAAGGCCCTCAGGATCCATCACGACTTGCAGCGGCTGTCAGGGCACGGTGGAGAAGATGCAGTCTTCGGATTGAGTCAACGCCAAGTACCCAACGAGCTTGTCCCGCTTCAACGTGATGATTCAGGCGCCATACCCATCCGAGCGGAGAGAAAACAGACGCGACTAGCCTGGGGCGATCACTAGTCACCCTTTGGCTAAACCCACCTGGGCGTAGTCGGCCGGGGACTGCTCGAGTCCCTCAGCTAAGGCAGGATCCTCAGGCTGCATCGGCAGAGGAGGAGACTATACGGGGAAAGAAGTACACAGGTACAAAGATACAACCAGGGGGGGGGGGTCTATCACCCCCCGGGTTGATGATGTATACTCTCGAAATTAGACCGCAATTTCGTAAATTATGACGACTCAACAGTGCGGTGGAATTTATCCAAAGTGATTATTTTCTTTTTTGGTTTTGGATGTGGCCCCAAGTCCATACTAACGAGAGACCCGGGTCAAAAAAAAAAGCAGCCCTTACCCGATTGGGGGTCCTCTGGATGCCTGGTCTGCTCGCTGCGGTGGACGAGCCACAATGATGCCTGGAACTCTTCACGTCTGGTCCATCTCTCTGGCTGTCCTTCCTGCTCTTTAATTTGGCACTATTTAACTGTTGCTTTTCCCTGGTCTTGTGTTCATTCAATTCATTCTTCATCCAACATATCCAACAATCCAACATATAACCAACACATCCCACCAAACCTCCTCAATCCACTCATCCGCCTTCATAACTCTATCAATCCTGATCAGTCTTGGGCAACATCTTTAAATCCTTCCAACACAAGGCGCTTTTCTGATCTAATCTTCATCGGCATTCCAACTCCAACTAGACTGCCAACCATTCCATCTGCCTATCCCGCCAGTCAACCACTCTCCCACATCAGCATGGCAACTTTGTGGTACTGCTGCGGCTGCAACTTTGGGCCCTTTGACTCTGACCTCTACGATTCTTGCATCAACTGTGGTCAACGCGCCTGCTCTGAGTGCCCCCGCGAGAAGGTCAATATCAGCAACTACAACCACCCCCACTCCGCCCACGGCTGCCACGAATCCTCGCCATACCCATCGGTCGTTGCTTTCAACACCGCCCACACCGTTGCCCTAGACACCAAGACCATGTCTGCCACAGGGCTCGGAGACCTCCACACCATTCGGTCTCTATCACGGCGAATGCCTTTAAACATGGCCTCGCCGTTCCCTGGCGCAGTCAACTTCTATAGCCAGACTTATATGTATATCTGCTGCAAATGTGGCGATGGGCCCAAGGTCTACAATAACCAGCCAAGATGCGTGTCTTGCGACCATGAGGCCTGTTCGCGCTGCGAGGAGGTCAAGTAAACACCTGGCTGTGTTGGCTGTGTTGGCTGTCTTTGCTGGCGAAGACAGTACTTTGTGATGCCCTTTCATGTCTGCAATGGTAAGAATTGACTCTCTTTGTCTTTTCCGGCTTCGCCTCTGCATTGGAATTGAGTTACTAACTTTTCTATGTTTAGTGACTCCGACTACTGTGATTCCTATTTTTTTGATACTCTGATTTTGAGTTTGATTTTCATGTTTTCCATTTTTTGTGTTTTTGATTGTCAGCATCTTGAGTCTATTTGCGGATTGACTGATTGAGCTTGTTTCATTGGTTTGCTTTTTACATCTTATGCAAGCGGGATGGGAACGATTATGAGCATTGGGCCCGGTGCATTTCATTATTTTATTATTTCATTATTTTCCTCTTTTTTTTGCATCGCTTCATGTTCTGCTATTGTTGCATGTGACGTCTCCATCATTTGTTTGTTTTTCAGCATTTGATTTTTGATCCCCTGTTACGATCTATGTGTTTCAAAGCCAAGACTGTTATTGGTTATTGCAACGATTATTATTAGAGAATAGAGACGCAAGTTTTGACCTGGATATAGTTCTGTTGCTTAAATTAGTTTAGGGCCGCGTGAGTAAGCAGGGCGGGAACGGGAATGATCAGAATGGAAATGGACCCCCCATTTCCACTTGTCTGCCTTGCGCCCAGTCCAATCAAGGACCAGACAATCCGATTCTACTCGAACTCTTCATGATTCAAGACATTCCTCTAAGTTCTGACGTGATTATTCTACTTATTTCCACTCCTTCTTTTTCTCTCCGCTTACTCTATTTGGTCCCCGAAACAAGAACCCCGGGGCGTCTCGTGACTGCGCCATGCAGAGATGGGAGTCATCGAATGAGTCTTCAAATCTGCAAACCCTTAGGAACCCTGCAATTTTCCCTGTTTCCTCACCTGAGCCGCAACGCCCTGGCATGCATCGTTGATTCTTGGCTCCTTTGACAGGGATTATACCGCAGCGTGACTTTGAGCCTCCGAATAATTAGTCCAATGAGAGCCGGTATGCTGATAACCAGGATGTGCTTGGCCCAGTCACGCCCAGCGACCAGGCTAGACTCGGGCTAGGTTCATGCTACCGCTAGGCTGAGGCCTGGGTCTTGTTGCTAACTGGATACTTCCAAGTGCTGGGCGTCTGCCAGTGCCCAGGAAGTTCGGGACTCTGTACCGTCCCTTGACTCTCGTATGGAAGAATACTTCTTGCGAGGGAGACGACAGCCCCCCTAGCCCCACTAGTAGCCAAGCCAGATGCCTCCCCTCCCAAGAAAGCGAAGACCGCTCTTTGGCGTGGTTTTACGCTGCGACAGCCCTATGTGCCTGAGTAAAGAAGCGGTGCGACTAGGTTCATCCTGTTCCCCGCCGAATCCATGGAACGCGAACCATATTCCAGCCCAAAGTATACACAGAGTAGTCTATACATCCTTCATTCCTTCCACTAATGCATGCACACGACAGGTTTTATTCCTTTTTCGACCTATCTTGATACTCGATTCAGTCTAATCCTAATAACTCATCATCGTAAAAAAAAAACATTTCATCACCACCCGTCCACCCTTCATCCACTACCCTCCCCCTTCTCGCCCCCGACCCTCGCGAACCCGCTTGCGCGCGTCTCAGCCCCGCCAAGCGCATTCTCAAACAGAACCCATTCCAATCTCCAATCCACTTCGCGCGCAAATACCGACACCTCGTGCGAATGAACGTATCTCCCCGCCCAGACCAGCATCCACAACCCGATGAGGCTGTGCTGTGCCTGGTGGGGTTTTTATTCTCCGGGTTACGCCCCGGCCATTCGGTCTTGGCTTTAGCCCTGTCACGCAGTATCATGTTCTTAACTTGTTAGGGAACTAGCGAGTCGCGACAGTCGCATGCCCGCCTGGTTGGTCCCGCGGAGACTAAAGAATCACGCTGGAAGATCTAGCGCGCTCCACAGCATCGCCTCAGGCTCCGGTGACGTCGATTGTGTGTGCTAGGAACGGTCGGAGTACTATTATAGCATAGTGACAGACTGTAACTAGTCAAGCTGAACCCGCTAACTAGCCATGGCACTTCGTTTAGTCCGCAACGAGTGATTTAGTTCGTACAGAGCGACTATTCCGGCCAGGCCTCAAGTTCCGATCAAAGACCAGTCCATCCATTCGTCCATTCACCCAATTTTTTCCCGACTTTGCCCTCGGGCGCGACCACGAGACTTGCGCGATATATTAAGGATGGTTTACTAGTCCTCGCGAACATCCCCGAACTACCCCGTTCTCGAACCAGAAAAGTGAGGCATGGACTTCGCGGTTCCCCGGCCCAATGATTTGGTGATCCTGGCTCTGATCCTGATCGGCAGCGATTAAGATCACCCCTTGGCGGATGTCATGCGGTACCTTGCGTTCGGAATTGGCCTGTATGCCTTGAGGGATTTTTGACTCATAGGCTAAATGCTCTGAATGCAGCGTACATATCTCCAAAGTTGGAGATAGAAGGTATTGAGCGGGTTGATGGTCGGGATCTCGGCACCGGATTCTATGAGATTTCCTGTACTCCGCATAATTCGTTGACAGGGGTTTTCGCAAAAGAGGTTAGCGTGCCTGATTGGCATTAGCGTCTCTCTGAGTCTCTCTGTGCATTTTCGTTGCCGTACGTGTGTCTGTGATGTCTCCTTTGTCGTCGCTTCAACTTCTACCCGCTTCAGATTTTGCTCCAGAGTGCTGAATTGAATTTCAATACCTATAGAGAGAGGCTCAAATGGGGTAGAGTGACCAGACAATTCAAGTCCATATCCTTGCTAATTACAGTGACAGTTCAAAAGTCTGAAACCAGGGACCAAGAAAACAGGCCGTCAAAATATGCCTCGATTTTATGTTTTTAACAGATCTTTCTGAATGTCGTTTGAACCCTCTTTCTAGATATTCCCGGCATCTGTGTTTCAACTTGTCTTTCAAAGTATAGCTGATGAGATGGGTTTGAACTTTTTCGGGTGTTGCAAACTTATGGAACACCACTGTACTGCTGTTGTACTGCATTTTTAAGATTCTCACTTGTATAGTGAGATTCTTCGTCTTTATCAATCACGTTTCGACCCAGTCGATACTGGCTATGAGCCGATAGAGGATTTAACTGACTGCCGTATACAATCGCATAATTGCTTTGTCTTATAACAATATCCACTGGCATTGTGTCAGAAGAGACCGGTAAGGATGTTCCAGTAATACGACTCCTCCAGACGCAGCACTGATAAGAATACGTCTCGTGGCATTCTTTGCAGTACGTCCTACTGGTGGTGCGAAACAGCACATACTCGAAAAGGGCTTCGCCACGCAGTTAAAACTGGTCAAGGGACGGTGGCAGCTTCGGACTCCGATATAGTCTTTGGCTTATGTCCCAATTCACGAGTTACAGTGAAGGAATATTGGCGAGCATTTCCCTGGCCATCAAAAGAAGTTCTGGCGAACATACCAGAGACAACGGGAAAGGGAGATCCCGCCGACGCGAATACGACAGATCCTGAAGTCTCATAGCCAGGATTTGCAGGCGAACATGAAGCAGACTCAGGCCACCTCAGAATGCCCAAGAAGGGAACAGGTATTTCTTTATCGCAAGCCCATAATGGTACACACGAAAGGCAGTGGTTTTATGTGGGTTCCCAGGAGATGGGATTGCGCGTATCTCTTAACACGCTCTATCAGCACTATGTCTGGGACTGGGGCCTCAACGACTAAAATAAAGGGTACAGTAATCGAGGGCGTGACTGAGGATAGTAAAGACGATGCAAACGCAGGGACGGGGGGTTAACACACAAACTGACACAGAGCCAAGGATGGTCTTGGTCGGTTCAGACGTAGAGGTTATGTGATTCGGTTCAAGAATACGAGTGATACCACGAGGTTCAAATGAATGATGTTCGAGCCAGGCAAGGAAACATATCCTCCAGCAACGATACAAATTATGAATTTCTACAAAGTGAGCACCCAGCAGCAAAGTTGACCTCGGCCTGGAATCCGAAGCTGAAAGGATGTTCTCGGGGGCCAACAAAATATCAAATCTTGAGGCAATTACAAATTCCCGCAGGGCAAGCCCATGGTGGCAACTCGTCAGGAAACGTCCTGAAAGACCCACTTGAGTCTCAACTTTATTCTAAACAGACCCCACCGTACCCCGCCACAGACAACTGCCATTCTTGGACAATCCATCTGATCACATAAGCATTATATAACCGTCAAAAACATCGAGGATCCGCTGACCAATAGGTCGGACTGAGGGTTTACAATTTCCTCGGCCAAAGAAGGATTAGAGTATGACCATTGCGAGCCAGAGTGACCTGATCCTCAATAGCGTATTTCGGATTGAGATTCTTGAAATGGATTTGTGTCCGAGATACAAACGTTCTCGATCTCGCGTCGGGTAAGCGGCAATAACCTAAATGCACGTACTTCGTACTTACACCAATACTCTTTGGTGGAGTTCAATCCTCAGTTTGAAATCCTTGGTTTGAACAATCATAGCCACCATTAGTAGAACCCAACGCCGCACCCCGCCATTTCCGGGATGCAATATAATAAATGATTATCATCTAAAGTGTCGGGCTAAAGTGCCGGTCTGCCGTGTGCACCAGGATAGGTTGTCCAGATACACACACAGGACTCGATAATCACGGCGGTCGGCACTCGGAGGTCCGTACGATCGGCATGATATAAGGCGCTTGTTACCTAGAGAGTCAAACAGATTTCAGCGATTTCAACTTCGGACTATTCACAACGACCCGGTCACGGTATATACGCTATTAAAGATTTTGCAAATTATCTTGAGTTGGGAAGTATCTATCCCTGACAACAGGACAAGCCATGTCGCTTCAAAGTAAAGCCGAGACGTCAGATCACCCAAATAAGCTCTTACTTATTGAGTTAGCCCGTGAGCTCTTCGCTGATGTTGAGAATCTGTCAGTCAATCCTAATTCATGATAATATGGAATTACAATTCACTAAACCCGTTTATTGCAGGACACCTGGTCGGGAACTTGAAAATTACCTGAATACACGATACGGCCCCGGAAATCATTATTATGATCGCTTTGTCTCACTCATTCAACAAGGAATCAAGAATAATGAGGGATGAGTTGCAGTGGATGAGCTAGATGGGCTGCGATATCGACGCAGCAGACTTTGTGCCCCTTCGGCCGAGACTCGGTTCTTCAGCATTACGACAGTCTACATGAACAGCCAAGAGGAGTACTCTGGGACATACCATCAACACCCCTACGGCGAGATCAACTGTGTGATCCAGCTTGATCCGGGCGCTGAGATAAAAGGGATGTCAGGTTGGCAGGGGGCAGGGTGGACATCTCCTGGTCCTGGAACACATCACTATCCGGAGGTCAGAAACGGTGCATTGGTAGCGTTGGTCTTCCTGCCGGCAGGTAGAATTTCCTTCAGCGCTAGGCCGGACATGCCGCAGCCACATTGCGTTTGAACTTTTGAGCGAGAGATCAAACCGCCTGGTCAATAAATGCTGGAGCAGAAAGCTATTAAATTGTTATCATATTTGAAAGAATCGGGATTGTCGCGCCGAGAGCTGAGGGTACGAAGTAGACCTTTGACCAGATCAGAGTCCAATGGAGAATACTCTCGCATAAAAGTATGCAGTAATCACTGGCCATAGATCAGAGAGCTGATTCTGTAAACCTCCGACAAAGTGTATATGGTTTTTTCGCGCGAAGGGTGGGCATCCGGCCGTGAGAAGCTCAATGCCCAGGGACTGGACTCAAAATTCGACATGCGTTCCAATTTTGAAGTGATAGAATCTCAGGAGTCACCAAAATCACTTTTTGAAATGTAAGAATGCACTGTGATCGGTGAAGACTGAAGCCAGGATATACTTGGCCCCATAAAATTATCTAGTCAGGTATCGGAGCCTACCCCGGTTCCCATGGTTATGATGCGCCCGTCAATCTACAATTCCGCCACGTTTCTGGTACAGTAGTCGTAACTAAGTCAGATCCACTTGCAAGGCCAGTAACTCAAAGCGAGGTTAAGCCAAGTACAATACGTGCTACTTGAAAAGTTGCCAGAAGGTATCCAAGCAAAAATACATACTGGTGAAATGCAATTAATTATTTATCTCAACGAAACAAGACCAGAGCTCCAGCGCGTCAACCATCTACTCGTAAGGTGCCATTAAAGTGTTGCTGAGAACTTTGCTTGGGAAGTCCTCCTCGCCTAGAGTGCTCGTGTGCGACCACGGCTTCAGCCCATTCTCCCTTCGGATGGTGGAAGCAAAGCAGCCACTCCATTGCTTGCGTGGGAAGTGACGAGAGACGTCTTCAATGGTTTGAGGGTGCACATGCTCGCTGTAAGCACCAGTATTGTCTATTTTCCATTAGCACAGCACTGAGAAGCGTACCATGAGCACTACTTACCGAAAATGGTTGCCAACTGCAGCAATTGCCCGACCGCCGTGATTTTTCCCTTCTCACATAGATCTTGGTGCCGAATGATAGCTTCAACGACACTCTCGGCTTGGTCTCGAGGAGCAGCATCCCCAGATGAAGGAGAAGAAGCTGCTTGCAGAACCTCCAAGGCCAAGAAACCGCCGTAGAATTCAAAACTCAGTTTGGTTTTGGTTATATTCTCCTCGGTAGTACCGATGTCATGCAGGAGACAGGCTAGGAAATATGTCTCGTCCGTGAAACTCCAGGATGGGAAAAGGTGTCGCTTGATCGCCAGGCCAAAGTGATAAACGCGGAGCGAGTGATTGTAGGTAGGCTCTGGGAGATGCGACTGGGCATATGCGTTGATGCGGTGCGCGAGGGCTGTATCGGGGGTACGAGTATCTGCGACCGAGATGAAGGGTGCGGCAGAGGTGGGCTTAGCGGCTGCTAGTACTTCGGTTGCCGACGATGGCACCGCGGTAAACCCATATCGGATCTCAGATTCAGAAGCCATTGAAACTGTCAGAAAGTTGTTGAGATGATTTGGTGTCAGAACGTTGTTGGGATGATCTGAAGGTCTTTTGGTGAATGACTGAACTTGTGTGTCCTCTGCGAGGGTTCCTATCCTTTTATAGTCAATCCCAGGCTAGACCAGGCTGCTGACGAAAGCTCAGAATGACAACCCCAAGACTTATGACTTCACGTTTTCTCACAGGAATGCCTTCTAGACTGACTGCCCTTGGTGGTTTCTTCCCTTGCAGCCTCTGATGTTGAAGGCGTATTTTTGATGCTGACTGGCTTCGCATGAGATGAGACCCACCCCAAGGAACTTCCCGTTATGGCAACGAGATCGCCCTAACGAACCTTATTTTCTCCATCCACGGACTGATCTAGAAGACGATGTACAAACTGGGGTAATGATTTCAGATTCTGACTTGGGGAACGGGCTGCGAAGGATCTGGATTGCGACCGTGTAAGCGTCTAAATTACTAACACTGACGATCCTGAAAGCCTCCTCAATCTGCGGCGGTCATTTCCACAAGAGCGGGGCCGACATCCTTCTGCCATATGACGTGATAACCGACGCCTCCGGGCGCCCAGGGTATACTGTTGGTCGTAGTATTTGCCCGTGGGGAATCGGGATAAAGCTGAGTGGTGCACAACGTGAACGATACTGATTGGTCAGCGTTTAGCAGATTCCCGACACTCTCGTTGGTTCACTCTGACGTCATATTAAGCGACATGTTACCCCCGAAATATCAGGCATCTACATTGAGAGCAAACGACATAACGAAAGATTGTACTCCGTACATATGACTGCGTTACTATTACACCAGGTTACTGAAATTAACTACCCCTCTGATTTGGATTGACGGCTGTATATGGTTTTATGACTGCTTTACAACTATATGGGGGTGTGGATGCTCTGCCCCCTTGGATAACTGGTTGAATATATTTACCCAAACAATCCGCAGGTGGTCACCGCAACGCGGGCGCTAGCATCCTCGATGATACCCGACATCCATTTAGGTACCAATTTAGCATTTAGAACACCCTTCGTTCTATCTTCGCTTAACGACTCCTTATGTCCTGTATCGTAAATGTGTAAAGTTTGGCATTCCATCGAACTTCTGGCCCCTGCGTTGTCCTCTCCGACTAGTCTATACTTAGCAAAAACTCACAGGACTAGAAGCCCGTCCGTCAGCCGCCACAGGTACAACCAATTCCCGCACCCCTAGCATTTGCAGATACGATAGAACGGGGCATTCTGTAACGTATGCAAGTGCGGGTGTAATCATGCATGGAAATCGAGTCTCTCTACATTTCTTGCCTTTCCTGCTTAACCACTTACGCGATATAGTGAAGTAGGTTGCAACTTATTTGACTAGAGAGTAGGGGAGGCCCGTTGGCGTCGGATATCCCTCGAGTAGAGCTTACTTGTTCTGGATGGCGGTCAACTTGCCCGTGATACAGGTTGAGCATCGAATCAGATTCTCCAATTATCAAGCTGCTTGATAAATTTCAGCAGCAGCCTTTTTACCCAGCCCTGGAGGGATCACTATCGTTTGACCTCGGACCTCTCCGATCGATAACTCGTACGCAGCACTTGTTACTAAAGAGGATCTTTTGGGAATTAGAAAATCATGTTCACTGCTGCTATGAATATGTGCTTGAAGAGGATCCGTCGACCGACGAATCATAGTACTCATACACCCTCCACGTTCCAAAGAAAGAGTAGAAACTAGAAAACCATATCCGCGCGATGGGAAGCTCGGGCAAGATGCGCGGCTCCCCGAATCACTGAATTTGAACAGCAAAGCTACGACCAGCAGCTGGAAAAGACGCAAATATGCTCAACGCCAATTCACCGCGAGCTAATTATAGCTCAAAATGCGAGAAAACCGACGAAGATCAGAGGCTGATTCAGAGCGGGTCAAGATTACCCCAGTTGCATGAGGTCGGGATGCGATTCAAATGCAAGAAGACGCCGCGCTGGCTAATAATACGTGCACAAGAGCAAGATGGGGGGAGACGTGAGTCAAGGAAATGCTTCGGCTTCTAGCTGTGGGACGGGCGAAGAGGGTATCGCAAAGAAATGGTTGGTGTTGGATGGTAGAAGCTCGGCGGATACTCGCCAGCCGAGATGGCAGAAGGTAGTCACCAAAAGGTGAAGAAATGCCAGCTCACCTTTGAAGATGCCCGCTCATGACATGAGGGAACATTGTGCGTTGGAAAGGGTGTGAAACGTTACAGGGGCAAGACACGCGATGGGTCTTGGAGAAAGCGCCTACGGTATGCGGCTATCTCAGAAGCCACAGTGCTGAAATCTTTCACCTTGTCACGCCGCATCTCGTTGATGATCTCTTTCAACCCAGCAAGGTAGGTTTCTTTTTCTTCCTCGGTTTGTCCTTCCCGGATGGATCCCATTTGGATCAGAATCTTGTCATCTGTTAAGGTTAATAGCACTGTGGTCAGCGAGCGGACGGGGCAAGAAGGAAATAGCAAATGTAAAAATAGGGACATTGTGGCGAGTATGTTGGGTGTTGGAAAGGAAATGCAAAGGCCGGGAAATGGCCAGAACACCAAATCAGGGGCGAAAGGGTTATAGAGGCAAATAGAAAGAAAACCATATCGGAAGTTGCACGGCTGTTAATTTGTCGACGCACCGCTTAGATTCATGTCCCGGAAATGCTGGAATTCGCAGGACCGATCATTGCACACACCACCGGCCAGCTCGTACGGGCAAAGATATTTCATCGGATCAATGTCATGGCTGTAAGTCAGCGAACGGTAGCCGTCCGAAACCTCGTCCGTGTAGCGAGGGTGGTAGCGATAGGCCTTGAAGTATCGCAATGGACTGACGTAAGGAGAGAATTTGGGCACTGAGGTGTAGGAGGAGGGTTTAGCCTGTAGGGGATTAGTCCGTGATCATAATGAGCTTCTCCTCCAGGAAAGGTGTTTCTCATACACCGAGGATGTCCGCATCCGAACCCTGATATACTGGCCGCGCCTCTAGAAAGGACACCCGAGGGGCTTCTGTTAGTGGTTCTTCAATCGGGGGCACATCAAGCAAAGGCTCTCCATCCGCAGCATCTTCCAAGGGAGCAGGGGGAGGCGGGCTGTAGGCCGAGTGAGACGAGTCTGCATCAGTGTCCGGCTCAGGAGGTTCATAAGCTTCTGACTCCGGAGAAGATTCGGCATCAGAGAGATCACCCTCCTGGCCATTGTGATCAGTGGGTTCGTACTCTTCAGCCTCATCTTCAGCGCCTTCAACTGGAGGGTGGAGAGGGCGATCGGGTAGAGGATGGCCTAGAGTGTCAATTTGCATCTGGTCGTCGTCTGCCATCTGAGCCGACTGTGCTATGCTCTCTGCTTCAGAATCGTCAAGTTCTTCCTCGCTAGGGGAATCTTCGTCAGAACCAGATTCATCAGAGCTAGAGTCGCTAGAACCGGAGTCATCAGAGCTGGAGTCGCCAGAGCTGAAGTGATCCTCAGACTCATCCAAGACAGAAGTGGTGGCATCGGGCTGTGACGGTGCCGGGGCCTCATGTGAGCCGTTCACGGTATCAATGTTTGTGGGCTCATCAGCATAAAAGTCTGATTCAGAAGAATGAATTGCTGGAACATCTGCATCTGGAATCGCGACATCCTCTGCACCTGCGGCTGGCGGTGTGACTGCTGATACTGCAGGACAAGTATTAGTTATATGAGCTATCCACAGGTTCGAGGAGGGATAGAAGTAGCTTCTTGTCGGAAAAGTACCTTCTAGTGGGGCAAGATGTTGCACCTTCAACTGCGCCTGCCGACGGAGTTCATCCATATCCGCCATCGTCAAGCCACTGATCTCGCAGCTTAAATTCTTCAGCTCATCAATGAGTTGAAGTCGTCCATCCTTTTCGTCCGCGACAGCGGACAACAACTTGTCAGCCTCTTCTTTGCACGAAATAAGCTGGGAATCCAAGGAGACAGTTTCAGCATCCAAGTCGGGAAGGTCTTGCTCGATCTCCTTGATGCGCAAGATCTTGCGCCTGATCGTATCCAACTGTACACTGTCCATCAAAGCCAAGACTCTCACCGAAGACGGATTGAAAGAATCAATCTCATTAGGCCGGACAGCAAGAGGCGGCCTGGGTGTGATGCTTGCCTCATCTGCTTCTTTGACATCGGTGTGTGGGGGCGCAGGTGGTGTCTCAGCACGGTCGGTAGACGCAGCAGCAGAGGCCGGAGCTGATGAAGAAGCAGCAGAATCTTCCACAATGCGCGGGGATTGAGTTCGGCTCGCGGCAAGCTTTGCTTTCCGTCGCTCCTCCATCTCTGCAATTTTTCGATGTAGAGCTTGAATTTCGAGATTCTTCTGACGCATTTGCTCTTGATCGCCATGACGTATAGAACCTTGCGGAGTGGACGTAGAAGTCCTTGTGCCTGGAAAAGATCTCTGAAGTAGAGGCCGAGGAATTTCAAGAGGTGTGCTGATGGTCGCAGGTGCAGAATCCTGATCAGGACTAGAATCCACATCCATATCCTCGCCTTCATCATCTCCGTACAGAGATTCGTCGTCACTGATATGAATGATGAGTTTATCTGAATCAGGACTAGTATACGGGGCTGCTGCTTGGAAATATTTCTTTTGGGTGGCGCCTGCATCGTCGAAGTCGGATGCACGGGGTCGTTTCCGCTGATTGGCTCTAGCCAGTGGCGTCGAGTCAACTGCGATTCCCGCTGGCCCTCCACTAGGAGCTTGCAGTTCCACATCTGGGGTTGGCTCGGTGAGGGAAAGGCCTGGGAGGCCAGCGGTTTCAGAAGGTTGAGGAGCAGGTGGGCGGACAGGCAGTGGGTGATGAACGGCCGGTGCAGCATGATTCGAAGGTGTCAAAGGCCTGTCCTCCTGGGAAGACTGGCTGAGCTGTTGGGCCCTTTGCTGGCTCTTTAGTAATGCTTGCTTCTTGAGAGCCTCGATGCGCTGTCGCGCCAATTCAGTTTGAGCCTTGTTCTTCTCCCTCACAGGGGTTCCGTTCTCACTGGCCTTTTCATTAGAAGGAGTAATCGACGGACTAGGTGCAGCTGCCGCTGGTTGGCTCTGTTCTGAAACATCTTTTGGTGTAGTGGGCTGAGAAGCCTTGGCAGCTTTGGCAGCAAGCATTTTAGCAATGAGTTCTTTTCTCTCCATGGGTTTCCCGGCATCTGATGAAGCGGCTCTAGGAGCAGGATGTTGTGGAACATTGCTTTCATCCAATGGTGTTGCCTGCTTCTTTCCTTTGGGTTGGACAGAAGGTTTGAGTTTCGCGACTTTCTCGGCAGGGGCCACAGGTGCTGGTTTGGCAGGCTGAGGAGTTGAAACTCTAATACCGACCTCTTCGTAGAGTTGTTTCAAGATGGCAGGATTGATGCCCTCTGCCACCAACTCGTGATACCGGATGTTGTGAGGCGCTAGGCTAAGCAGAGCCCCCTGTGCTTGAACACGGAGCTGCGATGCAGTCCTGGAAGGTGGTGAGATATCTGGTACAGTCGTAGTTGCATCTTGTTTCTGAAGTTCAATTGCGCGATTGACCACATCTACGTCCGCAGACACCAACAGAGGGGGATTATAAGCTAGAAGAGTCAGTAAGAGCTGAAAAAAGAATAAGGGATCACGTACGTGAGCTACTCCTGGTAGAAGTTGACGATGGTGAAGACAGAGTTTCTCCCTCTTCTAAGCTCGATGGCTGAGCAGCAGATGTATGGCTCGCTTTGGCCTTTGTACTCGGACCCGCATTGACATGTTCCTCGACCTCGCCTTCACTAACCTCACCCTCTTCGCGATTTAAGTCTGACGGGCTCTGGGCATCTCTTACTCGACGCTGAGAGCCCGAAGGATTGTTTGCGCCGGCCCTGTCGGATTTCATGGATCCTGACAGAACGGTGGAGGGTCCTGGTGGCGCCGGCATGGGTGGAAACCCAAATGGTGGCATTGGCATTTGGGGAAAAGGCGGTACAAATTGCGATAGATCAATCTGACTCATGAATGGGAAGTGAGGAGGTAGAGACATGCCCGGATCGCCAGAGTTGCCCGTAACTGGGATATGCGAGTTGGCATTGGCACTAGCCAGATTGTATTCAAATGCCTGCGAAGGATGGGCCAGGGGTGGAGGCGCTGTTGCTGGCGATTCAGAGTTTGGGGCGAAATTTGGAGGAATCATCGCAGGAAATGGTGGCCACTGTTGTGCGAAGCTTGGGTGGCCACCAAAAGGAGGGGGTGGTTGATTTGACATGATGGATTCTGGAATCGGGGCACGGAGGGAGCGCAGAGGAAAGCCGGTATGAAATCAGTGTCCCATAGACAACGTTATCTAGGAAAGCATGAGTGAAGTCAAAGGTCCCATCCCATGGTCGTTGGCGTGTGATTAACTGCTAGTCGTTCCAAGCTTTTCGTAGTGACCGAATCCCAAAAGCGTATTCTACTTCCACTACCGTGAAGTAGACGCGCTGATGGATGATAGTTGAGAGTGAAGAGAGGAGTATGAAGCCGTATCGCCAAGTACCAAGGGCAAAATGGTTGAGAAGGACAGGGCGCTAAGCAACAAGGACGCGTGGGAGTATTCAAGGTTCTGGATCGTCAAAGGGTCAGATTAAGCGCCCGCGAAAAAAGAGACTCGATGCTCACGTGACATTGAGAGCACGGGCCAGCGATCGGCGGGAACCCGAGGAACACGCAGTGTAAACAAACAGCGTCAGCTCTCCGCTTTACATCACATCACACGTTGGTCCCCTCACGCCTGGTTCGAACATTGGGGTCATTTCTCCACGACCTCTTTCTGTTCTTTATCGCTTTCTTCCCCTTTCACACCCCACGTCACATTCCTTTCATTGCCTTTAGATTGCCTCTCTTGGCTATGGGAAACGATTGTTACCTCGAATAATGTGCTATTGAACAACCCGCCAACATGCTCCCCTCTCAACTCAACAGCTCGCCCAAGCGCGCCAATCCATTTGGGCGGTCCACTCCGTCGCCAGCACCACACTCACAAACACGGCCCAAATCTGCCATCTTAAGTCCGTCGAACGGATTGGAGTCAGCAAGAGGGCATCTTCGCAATGCATCAGTCTCACCGATCACTCCCAATCGATCTCCAGCAGCCATAACTCGCCAACGGTCCAATTCGGCACGTAAAGATGCGTCCTCAGGAACGTTTGCACCGAGCTTCATCAAGTCTGAAGAGCTACGACGGGGAGCAGATCAAGTCCGTGGTCTCGAGGGCGACAATGACTTCTCCGGAAACAAATACGTCTGGTTGCGTGATGCTGAAAAAGCATTCGTGCGCGGGCTGGTATTGGAAGAGCTGGAAGGAGGACGTCTTCTAGTGCAGACCGACGATGGCGAGGTAGGAGTGGTCTCTACACTGCGTGAGTCTTGGGCAGGACTGACATTATGTATAGCCGCGGGAAGTGGATGCCGACCAGGTTGACAAAGTCAATCCGGCCAAGTTCGACAAGGCAGACGACATGGCGGAGCTGACCCATTTGAACGAAGCCTCTGTGGTTCACAACCTGCATACCAGATACCAATCCGACTTGATCTATGTCAGTACCGAGAGATCCCGTTCGCCGCATAAACTAATCTCCATGGTCGATAGACTTATTCCGGGCTTTTCTTGGTGACAATCAATCCATACTGTCCCTTGCCAATCTACACCAACGAGTACGTGAAAATGTACAAGGGTCGTGGAAGAGAAGAAACCCGGCCACACATTTTCGCAATGGCAGATGAGGCTTTCCGCAACCTTGTGGAGGAAGGACAGAACCAAAGTATCCTCGTGACGTAAGTCTCCGCTTTGTAGCAAGGCTTTTAAGACCAGTCTGACCGGCGATAAATAGTGGTGAATCTGGTGCCGGTAAAACCGAGAACACCAAGAAGGTCATTCAATACCTGGCAGCTGTCGCAACTTCTGATACACCATATGGCCGGTCGGGAACAAAGCAACTATCAAATTTGTCCCAGCAGATCCTTCGCGCCAATCCCATTCTTGAAGCATTCGGAAACGCCCAAACTGTTCGCAATCATAATTCTTCTCGCTTTGGCAAATTTATTCGAATTGAATTCTCTCGATCCGGGCAGATCTGCGGCGCATGGATTGACTGGTACTTGCTTGAAAAGTCGCGAGTCGTCAAGCCCAACCCCAACGAGCGCAATTATCACATCTTCTATCAGTTACTGCAAGGTGCAGATCATACAACTCGTGAACAGCTGTTACTCCAAGATTTTCAGATTGAGCACTTTGCTTATACCAAGGATGGCAACGATTCGATTGTTGGGGTTTCCGACAGGGACGAGTGGAACTCCCTGATTGAGGCCTTCCATGTCATGAACTTCTCGGAAGCAGACCAGCTCTGCATCCTGCGCACCATCGCTGCTGTGCTCCACTTGGGTAATGTCACAGTGGCCAAGGAGAGCGTGCGCGCAGATCAAGCTGCCCTGGGCCCGGATGGATACGCCAGCGTGGAGAAGGCTTGTCAGCTTTTGGGTATTCCTGCTGAGCCTTTCGTCAAGGGATTGTTGCATCCCAGAGTAAAGGCTGGTCGTGAGTGGGTTGAGAAAGTACAGACACCTGATCAAGTGCGCCTCGCTTTGGATGCTTTGTCCAAGGGCATCTATGAACGTGGCTTTGGCGACCTGGTCACCCGTATCAACAGCCAGCTTGGTCGCTCTATGGCTGAGGATAATTACTTCATTGGTGTCCTCGATATTGCTGGCTTTGAAATTTTTGACAATAACAGTTTCGAGCAACTCTGCATTAACTACACCAATGAAAAACTCCAGCAGTTCTTCAACCACCACATGTTTGTTCTCGAGCAAGAGGAATATGCCCGGGAGCAGATTGAGTGGCAATTCATTGACTTTGGAAAGGACTTGCAGCCAACCATTGATCTGATTGAGTTGACAAACCCAATTGGTATCTTTTCTTGCCTCGACGAAGATTGTGTGATGCCAAAGGCCACGGACAAGTCGTTTACCGAGAAGCTTCACTCTCTCTGGGACCGCAAGACCCCTAAATACCGTGCCTCTCGTCTCAATCAGGGCTTCGTTCTCACGCACTATGCCGCAGAGGTCGAGTACACGACCCACGACTGGCTGGAGAAGAATAAAGACCCTATGAATGACAACATCACCCGTCTTCTGGCCGCATCCGATGACCAACACGTTGCGAACCTATTCGCAGATTGTGCGGACCCTGAGGAAGGGGGGATTATCCTCGAAGCCGGGTCAAGAAGGGCTTGTTCCGAACGGTGGCTCAAAGACACAAGGAGCAGCTCTCTAGCCTGATGATCCAGCTTCACTCGACTCATCCTCACTTTGTGCGTTGTATTCTACCAAATCACAAGAAACGCCCTAAGATGTTGCATGCTCCCTTGGTGTTGGATCAACTACGTTGCAACGGTGTTCTTGAGGGAATCAGAATTGCCCGAACCGGCTTCCCCAATCGGCTTCCATTCACAGAATTCCGTCAGCGATATGAGGTGCTTTGTCAGAACATGCCCAAGGGATATCTGGAAGGCCAGAGCGCCGCGCGAATCATGTTAGAGAAGCTTGGCATGGACAGGGCCTGGTACCGCGTTGGTCGCACCAAGGTCTTCTTCCGGGCTGGTGTTCTTGCCGACCTAGAAGAAAAGCGAGACCAACTCATCCGAACTATCATGACTCGCTTCCAGTCTATCGCTCGTGGTTTTGTCCAGCGGCGCATTTCCAACAAGCGTCTGTACCGTGCCGAAGCAACTCGCATCATTCAACAAAACCTCCATGCCTATCTCGAGCTTAAGAGTAGCCCGTGGTGGTGTCTCTTTTCCAGGATGAAGCCTCTGCTTGGCGATACGCGGACGGCTAAGGAAGTCAAGAAAAGAGATGATAAGATCAAGGAGCTTGAGATGAAGATGAAGCAGGAGCTTTCCGACAGGCAGAAACTAGATGAAGAAAGACGACGCACCGAGATCGAGATTCAGAAGATTCAGCAGACCTTGGAAAGCGAACGTGCTCTCGCCCTCGATAAAGAGGAGATCTTCAGGCGCCTTCAAGACCGCGAAGGCGAACTATCTGAAAAACTCGCTGAGGCTATTGCTGACCAAGAGAAGCTGGAAGAGCAACTTGATGACTTGGTTGATGCAAAGAAGAAGACCGATGAGGAATTGCAACTACGAATTACCCAGCTTGAACAAGCTGGTCTGATCATCCAGAAACTGGAGGCTGAGAAGAATGGTCTGCAAGCTCGCTTGGAAGAACTCGATGCTCATCTCGCGGGAATGGAGGGACAATTCTCTGGGAAAGATAGTCAGATTCGGGAGCTCGGCCAAGAGATCAAGATGCTCCAGAGTCACCTCAGCCTCAAGGACCGCAAACTTCATGAGTTAGAGGCCAAACTGTTGAAGACGGACCAAGATCTTGATGTCAAGCTGGCCAGCACTTCAAAAGAACTCGATAAGACGAAGAAGCAGCTGCGCGATACTCTGACCGAGAATCAATCGATCCGACAGCAGATCACCGATCTTTCCTCCACGACGACTAGTTATGAAGATCTGCTCCGTCGCAAAGAGAGTGAAATGGCTGTTCTTCGTAACGACTTGAAGAAGCACGACGAAGATAGACGAAATATGGAGGCCGAGAAGAAGTCTCTCTCTACTCGACACGACAACATGCAGGCACGTCTACGCGAGGTGCAGGCCGAGAGAGACGCTATGCGATCTGGGAAGACCCAGCTCGAGCGAGAAGCCGCAGATGTCAAGCGGTTGCTTGAAGAGAAGAGAACCGAAGACGTCGAAGCGGGAGAGAGCAGGAAGTTGTTGGAACAGCAAGTCAACGACCTCAAGGCCCAGCTCTTCCAGGCCGAAGCGGACCTTAGTCGGGAGCGTCAATCTAGAGATGATGTTCAGATGCTTGCTGAGCACAACCTTACTAAGTTGACCGACAAGTACAACTCGCTGAACGAATCTAAAATCGAGATTGAGAAGGAGATGTACATCCACCAGGACAGTCTCCGCCGTGCTACCGAGGCTCGTGTCGCGGCTGAGAAGTCGAGAAAAGATCTGCAATCTGAGTTGATCAAGCTTCGTGAACGATTCACAGCAGTCGAAAATGCTCGCTTGAATGCGGAGGCCGAGATTGAACGCAAGTTCAAGAGCCAATCTGACGAACGCATCGTGAGCATGCGTACAGATCTTGACGAGAAGATGCAACTCCTTGAAGACCTTGAGGCAGAGCGATATCAGCTTTCGATCCGGGTTCAAGAATTGGAGCATGCAATCTCCGAATCCGACAATTTCCGACTTCGTCATGACCAACATAAGGAACGCCTTGAAAGAGAACTCGTTACTTTGAAGGGACGACTCACAGCCTCCGAGAACGATAACAGATCCCTTCTCACCAAGATTCAACAAAAGAATCTCGACATTGCCCGCTCAAACTCCAAGGCGAGCGACAGCAACCGACTCCGGCTTGCAAACCTCCAGAAGGAGAAGAGCAAGATTGAGGAGGAGAATAAGAAGCTCCAGAAGCAGCTTGGAGACTCACAGCTTGCAATTACTTCTCTCGAGAAACAAAAAGAGAAACTGTCTTTGAGCCTGGAGGATCTCAATCATGAAGTCAACCGGGAGCACAAGAACAGTCGGAATGCCGAGAAAGCCGCGTCCACCGCGAACCTTCAACTCGCGGAGGCCAATAGGAACCTTGAAAACGAACGGCAGCTGCGAGGCCAGGCCCAGGCAAACACTCGACAGATGCAAGGATCTCTCGACAGGGCAAACAAAGAGATTGAGGACCTCCATCGCCAATTGATCCTGTTGCATCGTGTGTTTGAGCCCGAGGCTTCTGAGCCCACCAAGTCCTGGGAGGCTGTCCAGCCACATTTGTCGAAGCAAGTTGATCTGGCACAGGTGCTCAACAACGTACAACACAAGCTCCAAATCACAGAGGAGAAGTACGCACGTGCTGAAAGCCAGCTCTCAGACATGCGTCGTCGTCATGCCGACGAGATGAAGGAGCTAGATTCGAGGTACTCATCTTCGAGACGCGCTTTGCTCGAAGAGATTGATCAGAATGAAGTTGCCAACAACCGCGCACCTGCACACTTCCGGAAAAATTCTGAAAATGCTCTCAAGAGGATGTCCAATCCCACTACACCAAACAAACGATACAACAACATGTACGAAGGCGCGAATGACTCGGCCCGATCTGACAGAACAGTGGATACCGTGGGTTACCAGAGACGGATGGACACCGCGGCGGAAATTGAGGAGCTTCAGAACAAACTGCAGATGACCGAGATGCAGAACAAGCACCTTCAGAGCCAGCTTCAGCAGGTCACCCCGTCCCGGGATATCTGGCAGGACGACAGTCCATCGATCCGTCGCATGCAGCTTTTGGAGCGTGAGAACGGCCGTCTTCATGGCCAGCTTGACGATTCCGCTAAGAAAGTATCCGCCCTGGAACGCAGCATTCGTTCTGGGGAACTGTCTCTACGTGACGTACAGGCCAAGTCTCATGAGGAGTTGTTTGACCTGATCAATTCTCAGGAACAGTCTCGTCGTTCTCTGTTGAAGGTCCACAATGACGCATTGAGCGACTTCAGCGACGCGAAAGCACAGTACGAAAAGCTTAAGCACAGCAGGGCAGCCCTTGAAGTCGAGGTCCGAGACGCCCGATCCGAGGCCCAGGAGCTCCAAGCATCCAGAGAACAAGACCTTGCTAGTCGCAACCAGCTTCTTCAGGAATTTTCTGATCTGCACATTCGCCTGGATGCGGAGACATCTCGCAGTGCCGATCTTGAGTCAAGCCTGAGTCTGTTCAAGAGCCGTGCCGATGAGTACTTCAGCAAGCTCGAGCAAGCGGAGATCACTGTCTTGAAGGCCTCTCGCGCCGAGCAATTCGCCAAGTCTCGATGCCAGGAGGCTGAAGACACCTGTGCACAGATCATGTCTGAGCGGAAGGAGATGGACGCCCTTGTGGAGGACTTGCAGCGTCAAACGCAGTCTTTGGAAGCCCGTATGGAAGACCAGGCTGCAGAGCTACAGGGCGCCTTGCAAGCCAAGCAACGTCTTCAGAATGAGCTCGAGGACTATCGCAACCAGCGGGCTATTGACATTGAGGACAAGGAAACCTCGATGGAACAGACCCGGCAGAAGTACCAGCGTGAGTTCTCGACCATTAATGGTGAGCTCGAGATGGAGCGTGAGCGGTTACTTAATGTCCGTGGAGAGAACTCGCGGCTGCGTGAAGAGCTCGAGGATCTCCGAAGCAAATGGGACAATGAAGTCCTCAACAGCTCCACCTGGGCAAAGGAGAAAGCGCGCTTGGAGCTTGTCATGCAGGACATTACCAACTCTCGTGATGAAGCTGCCAGTGCACACAGTGAGGCTCAGGCTAAGGTCGTGTCTCTCCTCTCTCAGGTGCGAACTCTTCGTACCTCCGTTGATGATGTCACGGCCGAGCGCGACTTGCTTCTGAAGGACAAGAAGATGCTGGAAGGTCGCTTGGCCGAAGCTGGCGAACGTCTTGAGGACCTGGCAAAGGGTGAAAGCCCTTCTATGCGGAATGCCGCCAGCATGGACCGCGAACTACTCGAGCTCAAATCCAAACTTGCGCAACAGGAAGACGTCTCTTCCGCGGCTGTTGGTAAAATGCGTCGCGCCGATGCTCTCGCCACCGAAATGCAGAAGGAGCTCACTGCTGAGCGTGAAACCAATGCTCAGCTTTTCAAGGAGAAGGCTGGTCTTGAGAAGCAGCTGAAGGAGGTGCAGCTTCGCTGTGTGGACCTGGAGACTAAGGGCTATTCTTCCGGTAGCCAAGACGTTCGGTTCTTGCACAAGCGTATCAAGGAGGTAAGGCTTCGCCGCCTTTTCAATCGTGAAGTGACTGATTGCTAATTCATCATAGCTGGAAACCCATCTCGAAGAGCAAGAGAGCAAGCACACTGCTGAGCAGCGCTCCCTCCGCAATGTGGATCGTACCGTCAAGGACCTCCAGTCCCAGATCGATCGACGGGACAAGGTGAACACTCAGCTTAATGACGAGGTCAACAAGGCTCGAGATAGGATCGAAAGGCTTCTAAAGAATATTGAGGAGCTCCAGCAAGGCGATACCGAGACCCAACTGCAGGCTCGCCGCGCAGAGCGTGAGCTCCGAGAGGAGCGTGAGAAGGTACTGTACCTGGAGCGCGAGCTTGAGGGCTGGAAAGTGAGAAGTGCCACAATTGGTCGTGCCCCCATGGCGGCGCTCAGCGACGCAGGCAGTCGACGGGGCAGTGCTGTGTATGGCTACGACACGACGCCCCAGCGGAAGCCCAGCAACACTAAGGGCTTTCTGTGAATATGTTTGAAGGGACGATGTGGATTACGTTGGACGAGGAGTTGCTGTTATGTCTGTGATGTCTGTGCTTTCTTTTTTCTTTTTAACAGTCTTGCGGTTGGCGTAAATGTGCATCTCGGATAGTGACTCTTCGGTCTTTTCATGTTGGCCGTGGATCGTCCTGTTCATAATGAGTGAGGGACGGTCTGTGTTTCCACTTTGGGGTGTATGTATTGGATGGTGGTCTTGCTTTTGCATTTTCTCGTGCGGTTGTGGTCGTGATTTGGAGTAAATATGCTCGCTGGGTTTAGGACTTGATTATCTACGATACAAGAAGAAGTATGCAATTGAATCGTGATTTTATTAATCCCGCGAGCTCCCTGTTACTCAATAGTGAAGATGAATAACTAATTCAATCCCACTACTCTGTTGCTATGCCTTCTGATCTGGCGAGTAAGAAGAGCAGCAACGGATATCTCCAGAACCGTCTGATTCGTTCAGCAAAGCTTCAGCACAAAGGATCACGGATGAGAAGATACCCTAGGGATATTGCAGCTTTCTCACACTGTCTGAGATGTGTTACCCAAACTGAATTTGCTTCATACCAATGGCTGGAAGGGAAGGTAAGTGGGGCCAAATACTTTTGAGACCCTTTCGGGATTCCGCGAGACTGCCTGAGCCTCATCGGAAATTGAAAAGTCTTCCCTCGTCTTTCACTTTCCCTTCGCCAATCAAGCGGGATCTAATGGACCAATTGAATAGGCCCTTCCCGAGACCTCGTGGCTGCAGTTGACCATTCTCGAGACCCGCCAAGATGTGACGGCGTTCGTTGTTCATTTAGCAACCTCACTAGTGACTATGGAGCCCTTCCTAGCGTCTCCGTCGAGACCCTCAGGAGGCTCTGGTCCGATGATTCTGCTCACGCCTGTTAGCCTCATTTCCGGTCCCTTTTCCCTTCTCTTGCCTTCCGTCAATTCCGTCCAGATTCTCCTGGTTTGTGCCTATTGAGCAATTCCAGATCGAAAGTGGAATCCCTTTGGTGGGAAGCTTTCAACATGTTCTTCTGGCTACGCAGGTACGCATCTTCGACTCTTCCGATCTCGCTGTCAAGTTTTAACTCTCCTGACATTAATTATCAGTGTTTTGGTGGCTCTGAATGTGATATCATTCATTGCCCAATTCCGCCGGATTTATCAAACAAAAAGCTCAGAAAACATCTCGGTCATCTTTCTGTCCTTCAGCATCTTCAGCGCGACAGAGCAAGCGAATGTCTCTAAATTTCATGCCATGATGTATGGCCGAGACGGACAACCGGACTTCTTCGCCGAACTATCTACTGAATGGAGGCACCTATCCCAAGTATCGATGGTCTGGATGGTCCTATCTACCATTCTGTAAGCTACCAACCCTGATGAGAAAGACGCGCCGCTTACAATCTATGTGTGCAGTTGGTTCACAATCCTGTACTACGATGACGGATCGTCCAAAGACAAAATTATGAGTTCATTCCTATTCATATTGGTCCATATTCAAGGAAGCCCTTTCCTCAGGTCTTCCCCGAATCGTAGCGGAGGCGAGGATGTATCATCCTTTCCCCATCTACTCCTGTTCCTCAATCCGGCAATCACCGGGTTAGCTTACTGTGCGTTCAGGCAAGGGCGAGTGCTGCCTGTTAACCCGGACTCTTCATCGTCTTTGAGTCTCGCTGGCCTCGCAGGCCAGTCCATGATGCATTTCATCCTGGCTTTCAAATGGATCACGGAGGCTACGATTCCGTGGGAAAATGTGTTTTCTGGCTCCCTCCCTTTGCCTGGCATGTGGTTCTTTTACAACTTCTTCGTGTGGGGATTTGTGGACAACATGGTCCTTGCGGTGGTGAATTGGAGACTATATCGAACTGCGCAGAAGGAGAGAAAGATGAACGCTATATGCGACGATCGGGAGAAAGGTCGAGACGAGCCTTTACTTGGCCCAGTTTGATGATGACCCCACGGCCAATCAATTTCAGGAAGGTCATTTGATCATTTCGTTCATTGGCTGAAGATAGACATGAGTATTTGTGTAGAGAGGATAAACTAAAACATCGTCAAACATGCTTTTTCCAGATCGTATTTTGTTCGTAGGATGCTCTCGTGCCCGTTTGGGGTGGGCCACGTGATAAACGCGCGGTAGGCGGCAATTTGACGCCGAACCTCATTTGCAACTGTCAAGCTTCAGATTTCCTCTCCGGACTTCTCCCAACACCTCTGACAAACCTCCCTGGGTCGTCGACCTCGCCAGTCTGTCAAAATGGTAAGTCGAAACTTCCTCAGCTCAAGCTCTTCTGCATCTGCAAGCCCTCGAGACGTCGCGACCGAGATTGCTAACACCAACCCCCCGCCATGAACAGGCTCGCAACAGTGAAAAGGCCCAGTCCATGCTGTTCCGCTTTCGGGCGCAACAAGCAGCGGACATGGGAATCATTGATGTCGGCCGGACACGACGACCCAAAGCTATTACGAGCGTCGACTCGATCCCGACGTGCGAGCGCTGGCGCGGCCAAGTTCTGAAGGAAATTTCCCGCAAAGTGTCGCGCATTCAAGAGCCGAGTCTCAGCGACTACCAGATCCGCGATCTCAACGATGAAATCAATAAGCTGATGCGCGAGAAATGGGCATGGGAGATGCAAATCCGGAATCTGGGCGGACCGAACTACATGCGCGGATCAGGTCGGGTCTACGATGACGAGGGTCGAGAGATCCCTGGTGGAGGAAAGGGCTATCGATATTTTGGTCGCGCGAGGGAATTGCCCGGTGTCAAGGAGATGTTCGAAGCGGCGGCCCGCCGAGGGAGAGGGCCGCCAGAGGAAGAAGATGGGGCTGGGACTGGTCGTGGTGGAGACATCGCAACGAAGAAGGTCAATGCCAACTACTTTGGGTATGGCCTGGATGAAGAGGATGGCACACTATTGGCCTATGAGAAACAAAAGGAGAAGGAGGCCGTCGAGCACCTACGGTCTCAGGGTGACGACGACGCCGAGGATGGCTGGGAATCGCTACCTGGAGATGCCGGTGATGGGGTGGAATGGCGACTTCCGTCGCTAGAGGAAGTGCAAGAGGAATTGGTCAATCGGCGACGGCAACGACTTCTACAGAAGATTTCTTGACCTTCTCACGGTGCATGTGGTGTGGATGGGTTTCCCATGTTTTTCTTTCCCAGTGTTTCGGCGTTAGGGGCTGCTTCTACAAAATATTCACCTTCTCAGCATTCTTCAATCCAAGGCTCTTCAGTGAGACATTGCTTTCGTGGTTCAAAGATTATATACATAAGCAGTGTACCGAATATGGCCACTTTCATTATAATGTACATGGAATTAAGAGGAGTTGCTAGTGTTTACATCTGGCTTGTTCTTCCGAGCTGTCCTCTCGACTTTCAAAGCCTGTGACATACTCAGATGCGTGGTTTCCTCGGGATTGTCTCGCCGCCGTTGCTCTGCATCCAAGTCATCGAGTATGAATCGACCAAGCTCGCCCGCCCGCCACTTCTGAATAAAGTGCAGCGCCGCGCTGTCTATATTGGGGATCCCGCCCTTTCCCAGTAGTCCTGTCTGTCGTGCAAAGCTCTCCAGCAACGGCATGACTTCGTTGGTAGGCTCAGACCAACGTTTGTACGCCTGCGTATCATGCAAGTTGATCTGATATAGCAAATAGTCGACGAGGGTGACTGGTGAGATGACTGCGTCTTTCACACAGCCGCACAATGCTAGCTTAAGCATATTATCGGCGTCAGGAACATATGGCATGAAGACACCCGGTGTATCAAGCACGTAGACGTGGGACCCGCTCTCTCGCTCGATGATCTTCACGGGACTGGCGATCTTCCGTGTGATACCAGGCTGACCTCCAGTCTTCAAGGCCTTAGCCTTACCCACGCCGTAGTTTCGTAGGTGGTTGATCAGAGTCGATTTTCCAATATTGGGCATGCCCACTACCAAGACTCGGCATCCCACAAGCTTATCTGGTGCCTCGGCATCGTCTCGAAGGTGTTTAATGATTTTAGTAACATCGGTGCGGGAGGACGAGCTGGTGAAGAACACAGCACTGGTGGGATCAAAGCTTCGGACTTTTTTCTCTATCTAGAATTGAGGCCATTAGCAATGTATTTCTCATTTGACGTCTCCTTTCACACGACTCACGAGCTTCTGTGTAGGCGATTGGGGAATGCTGCCAAGGTCCCTTTTCGTGTAAACCACCAGTCGTCTTTTATTCCCTAGCGCTTCCTCAAACATTGGATTGATTGATGTCACAGGTGCCCGATAATCTCGGCATTCGACAACATAGTCGATTGAAGATAGCATGTTCTTCATCTTGCTGAGTCCAGCCCGGTGGTGTCCCAGGAAGTAGGACCTTGGTATCGCCCCATAATGGGGAAATACCTGGCGCGGAATAAAATGCGCCATCTTCCAAGTGCTTTCTGCTGCTCAAATTGGTGAATTCATGTTCATTTTCGAGTAGAAACGGCGAGTCGCAAAACAGTAAAGATGAGAAACCCCGATGCGAGACAGAGAAATTGCCATTGTAAGGAGGGCGGTCAGTAGGGCGGTACAAAGTATATACTTTTGCATATGACGCGTGGGCTTGGCCGTTGGAGTAGATCCGATCTTAGGCCCTAATTCAATGACTTTTAAAGCAGATTGCAATTCCTACCCTTTTTGCAGCTGAATATTTCCTCACTATCTGGGGCCAGTGCTACTGCATTGCTTCGTTTCTTGATTATGAACGGTATAATACTGTATCTCTCGCAATGTCTCTAATATCAGCTTTTCGTCCACCGTCCACGCGCACAACGTCCATCCGTCAGAGGTCACGACCACGTCGACGGAGAAAGACAAATACACGCGAACAGAGCGATTTCGACTCAGGAGATCACGCTCAAGAGCCAGATGCTCACTCAATTATTACACCCTCTAAACACACACCAAAGCCCTTTCGAAAGCTACGAGGGTCGGTGGCAGCTGGTGGCCCACTACGTCCCTTTCGCCTTGTGAAGCAAGACCTCGTTAACTTGCGTCGGAGATATGTTTCTGACTGGACTATTTTCAACCAGTTGGTCTTTGCCAGCGCTGTCTATGTCTTCTTCACTAACCTTCTGCCTGGTATCACGTTCGCAAGTGACCTGTACGTGCTCACTGGCAAAACCTGGGGCACGATCGAGGTCGTGTTCAGTACCGGACTTTGTGGCATCATATTTTCACTGTATGTGCTCTTCTTAATCCATTCCCTCGCGGTGCAGTGACTCATTCTTTCTGGACAGGTTCTCGATCCAACCCCTCACCATCCTCGGCGTGACGGGTCCATTCTCTGTCTTGGCAGAGAACATCTATTCGTTGTGCGAAGATGTATTTCGGGTATGTCTTCGGTCATTGTCGGGCTTGGCCATCCCCTTGTCTGCGGTACTCATGATTACTAGATACCATTCCTCCCGTTCATGGCTTGGTCCTTGATCCATTCTGCTTGGCTGCACTACCTCTTGGCAATAATCAATGCGCATGACTGGACTATGCGATACGTGACGACTTTTGCAACTGAAATCTTCTCGCTCTTGAACAGTATCATTTACTTCCACAAAGCTATTCAAGAACTCGAGAGAGCTCATGACAGTCTCTCCTTCGCAGCTTTCCTCTATGCCGTGATAGGCGCAGTAGGCACTATGCTACTTGCCATCTTTCTCTCCACGGCGGAGAGCTGGCGCCCTCTATTTCACCGTTATATTCGTCTCGGATTGACTGAATATGCGGCCGCAATCTCCATCATCATCTTCATTGCTTTGCCTCATGTGGGAGAATTGGCCAACTTGGACAAAATGACTCTTGCCGAGAGCACTTCGTTTCGGCCAACATCTCCAGAGCGGGAAATCTTCTTTGTGGAATTTTGGAAATTGCCTATCCAGTGGATCTTCGGTTCCATTGTTCCTGGTCTGATCATTACAATGCTGTTCTTCTTTGACCATGAAGTCAGCTCGATCATTTGCACTATTGACCGGTACGGTACTCGCAAGCCAGGCGGGTTTGCCTGGGATATTGTGCTGCTAGGAACGACGACAGCACTCTGTGGGATTCTGGGTATCCCACCCGCGAATGGTCTGCTCCCCCAGGCACCTTTGCACTCTGAATCCCTGATGCACACGGTCAAAGAAGAGAAGACTATAATTGTGGACGGCGAGGAGAAGATAGAGACTCGAGAGGTCCGGCAAGTATACGAGCAACGCTGGTCGGCTTTCCTCCATTCTGCTGCCATTCTACTGTTCATCAGTCCGCCATTCATGAAGGTTCTTGGCTTGACTCCGACTAGTGTTCTTGCTGGTCTGTTCCTCTTTATGGGTGAACAGAGTCTGTCCGTCAAGTAAGTCCCCTCATACTTGTGTCATTTTCAATATATGGTATGCCTCCTGACACTCTTTATAGTCCGATATTATACCGGTTTTTCTACCTCCTCACTCCACCATCAGAGCTACCACCTTTACCACAATCGCTACACAAGGACCCTGAAGCCCACAACGTAATGGAACCCTCATCACGCAACCCGTCCTATCTTCCAATCCACCTCTACACAATCCTACAGGTTGTAATCACGGTTGTGATCTTTATTGTCACCCTCACACGTGCAGCTCCTGCGTTCCCAGTCCTGATCATCGCCCTCGTACCCTTCCGACTTCTAGTCATGAAGAAATGGTGGCCACGGGAGGTCCTCCGTTTCGTCGATGCCTGGGCTTGCCGCGAAGGTACGCCCGAGGGTGATGAAGATGCCGCAAAATTGGACGGCCTTCCAACTCAGGAGACCTCGAGTGGTGATGGAAATGCTACACCTGGTCGCGTGTTCCGCCACAATACCAATGGTGATGACAATGGTAGTTCTTATCTTGGTGAAAGAAGCACCTCAAATGCTGATTCTAGGGCAGATCTTGGAGACCAGACGATAAGGCGTGCTGCTGATGATGTGAATCATGAATGGGTGGAGCTTGAGGAGCGAGAGGTCCCTGATGAGGAGCTAGGGCGTGATAGATGATGACCTATTTGGCTGTAGAATAATTTAATCGCTTTACGGGTCCCTTATGAATGTCGCCTTTGGTAAGAGTACAGGTTACAGTGGACTTATGTGGCGCTAGTCAATCCTAGTATCTAAGAGCAGATGGCCTAATGAAGCTTGGTAGAATGAAATTTCTTAAGACGCATTATCGGGTATCATAATCTGTACATTCATGTGTGCGCCGAATCTAGGGCAATGAACCTTCCGAACTCCAAACTCCCATGCGCCCAGTGTTCTAAGCCACCATTGAAGTAGAAAAGTCAAGGTCTATCTCCCCATTTTCTCTCATTCGCACGGCGATTTTCGCACCAACCATCTTATGCCCTCCAACCTTGCACGAACTCATGCAGGCGATCAATGACCACACCAAAGATAGCATTGACACTATCGCCGATCAGCTGTTCAAAGTGTCGAATCGCCTCTTCCTCGGTCATTTCCAGGTGAAAGCGTTCTTTCACTTTCCAAACAGCCTTGTCGGGCTCAATCCGGATGTCCGGGATATTGGCATCAACCATCAAACTGAAGAGATTCAGGATCAGGTTTGCAGATTTGCGTAGCGTTGTGTACGCCGTGTAGCAATATTGCTTGAATTGCAGGTAATGGGGCGAAGTCGTACCGCCCATTCCTTCGACCATTTCCTTGCAAAGCTTCATCATTGGAGCAAAAGGCTTAGGATCGCGGCCGAGAATGAAACCAAAGTCGGCATGGAAAAAGTGACCATCCGGCGCGAGAAGCAGGTTCTCCAGGTGTCGGTCACCAACGCCCAGAAGATATGTGATCACACAGTAGCCGGCGCAGGACTTGATGTAAGTATCCATGGTCTCCTTTCGAACACCAAGAGGCTCATTGTCATCAGGGTTGTTCTCCCTCAGATAGGCGAGAATTGATTTGTACTTGGCCGATGCCGCAGAAAGAGAAGTCGACGGGATGAATTGGACAGCTCCAGCCGTAGAGCTTGTCGCCAAAATGCGATATGGCGTCAGTTTCAAGTCCAGGTTTTCCTTCTGCAAAAGTCGATCCATCAGGATGATGATTTGGATGACTAGCTGATCTTGGCGAAGATCATCGCCAACCTTGAACAAAAGGGGGTATCGTTTACCCTCGGTAGTCTTGAACGTGATGTTAAGTGGAGACAATGTCGACTTGAAGACATTGGATTCCTCAGGGTAACAACCGATGATTGAGACGTCCGGATCCAGCGGTAGCGGTAGCGGCGGATCAATATGGATCAGTTCGTTCCTTGGATCGCGCAAAGCCTTCTTGAGCTTCTCAATCTTGACGGGGCGGGCGTCCCGCGAGAAACGGATGTCTTTGGCGATTTTTGAAAGAACGGTGATCATTTCACCTTGACGGAGGAGGATCCTTCGATGCTCAGCATGAGTCTTTTCCAATTCCGCCATGAAATAGTATTCGACGCGAGCAAAGAGTCTGCGCTGATTTAACAAGGTGCCCAGACCGGCATCATCGCATTCGACCACGAGGTACCAGTGCAAAGAGTTTCCAAGCTTGAAGTTGTTGGTCGCACGAGTAATGAGGAAGTTGGCCAGAGAGGAGTCATGAGCCGCCTCTTCAGACTCAAGGTCTGAGGGCTCCTCATATTTCAGAGCCTGCACCAGTTGCAGCAGATACAGATCAAGTTCTTCGTCATCAGCTTTGCGCAGTCTCGCCACAGCATATGAGCGGACGGCCGCATTATCGAATGTTGGTCCAAGAAGCTCCAAGGCATCGTCGACGTCGATTTCGGTCCATTTAGGCAAGATTTCCACAGCCTGTCGGGCTTCGCCTTCGTCACGCCAGTTGACCGATTTCACGAACTTGGTCAATGCCCTCTTCTCCCGAGTAAGATAGTACCTGAATCTCCAGACCAAGTCCTTCTCTTCGGCCGTAAGATCTTGTGTCGGCTCGTACGACATAATGACATTGAGTTCATCACGGTTCTTTGGATTTGGTTTGAGGTCTCGATCCATGAATCCGGTTCGATGGCTGCGGATTAATCGTCGATGTTTGTCTTCGCACGGATTTCCGGTTTGACCCACTTCAGGATCATAGATCCTGATAACACCTGCGCCCTCATAGTCTTCAGCACCTTCAATACCGGGACCAAAGCGAACCTCTGGGACAGGTTTCAATGTCGATGCCGGCTGGTTAGAGACGTTCTGGGGGTGAGATGAGATTGGCGGGGGCGGGTATGTATGATCAACCCAAACGATGGGATGGTCAAAGCGTGTAAACTCCACGTAAAGTACAAAATTCTCATCCTCCAGCTCTTCATCGTCGAGATTGTCATCCTCCCCTGCACTGCCACCACGAGGCTTTACTGCTTCGAGGAGAATAGCCCTGTTACGAGCGTCCTCTTCAGCTTGAATTTTGAGTTTCTCCAGCTGACGGAACACCATTTGGTCCATCCAATCGATGCGAGTAATCTCGCCCATCTCATGCTTCTTGATCAGGACCTCGATTCGCTCCAGTTCTGCTTCGGCCCGCGACGGCCCCAAAATATCTCGGGTAGTCTTGTTGTGACTCCGGCGTTTCGGTGGTGGCGAGGATGGGGTGGTTGTCGAAGAAAAGCCATCTGCGGCTTGATGGCGATGGACGATGCACTTCTGCCGTCCCATTCTCACCTTGCCGTCACTGTCGAACAATGAGATTGTCGTTCCGCCAAAGGGGACATGATGTGGCCCATCGCCTGCCAGCGGGGAAAGATCCCAGACCGTGAGCGCCAGCTGAGAATTGAGCGGGGCGTCCTTGATTGACATGGGCATCTGCAGCCATTCATTCCATGTTCGGCTGGTTTTGAAGGCCTTGTACGCAGTCTTCATAGGGACACCCAGAGGCTTCGAGTCCGACCATAGCTGAACAGTCACATAGAGATCTGAAACAGGACTCTGTGAGGATCCGAGGTACTGTAATTCCGGGTTCTGGACCAGTTGCGAGGCAGGAATCTCCTTCTGTTTACCCTCTAATGAGCCGCTTTGGGACTGTCAGTCACTGTGGGGCTTTGGAACCCTCGAAAGACACTTACATCTTGATCCAAATAGGCAAGTCCACCTGAGTGGACAGCGCAAAGGTGAATGCCTCCATCTTCGTAGGCACAACATCAAAGCTCGAATCGGGGGAATCGGGGGAGAGCTGCGGAGGTTCGGAGGAGAGCTCGGCGGAGCTCCCCTGCGGGGACTGATCGGTTATCATCACGTGCGTAGCTAATCGATATGAAGATCACGTGTGCAGTTAATCGATAGGTGAAAAGGGTCCCACTCCGGGACACGGTCACGTGCATTACGCGATGGCGACGCGACGGGAGAGCCATCAGATCTGGAATTCTATCTATTACTTTTCAAAATACGGCGTGTGCACTATCAATTCAGTTCCCTACTTATCAAGAGAACCTTCTCGCACAATCTCATCTTTGTTTGCACTCTTTGATTGACTTGTTCTCTTTGTTTGAACTCCGCTTTTGTCATTTGTACCTGGCGCTAAATAGTGCCCATTGAGAATGGCCCGCATCGCGCAATCTCAGCTGGACGAAGCAACTGCCTACGGCTCCAGCCCTCCTTCATCACCAGATTCCTCCTCTGATAAAGAAAACCGTCGACGAGGTGTCAACAAGCGATCGACTGTCCAAATGCCTTCCAGAAACGAACCGTCTAAGCGTCGCCGCTTGACTGAACGCACCTCAAATATCCAGTCGCAAGGATTGTCGCAACGAAAGGACAGGCGTTTCTACGATCCTGATCAGCCTGAAGAGGAGCGAAGACGTGTTCGAAAGACCTATAGAGATCTTACTACTGATTTCAATGGTAAGTTGTCCAAACGCAGTGAAGTATCGTGGAACGCCTGATGCTGATCATTGTCGCGTCAGACTGCCGTGCCGAGTATATGCAGCCTGGGAATGATGGCATTTTGAAAACCCTCGAAACGGCGAACGGACTCTTCGCAAAAGTCAAGCAGACCTCGGATGCCACTATCGACTCACGCCTCCTCGTTAATGCAGCCGATCTTACCCATAAGAAAACTGCGCAGCTCGCGCTCGGAGATTCCTCGGCGGGTATTGATGTGGATGAATTTGTTTCCAAATGTATCTCATATATGCGCCGTGGACCTGATTTGAGCGATGGGAGCACCCAGAGGCGACAACGCCCTCGGCAAACCCAAAGGGACCCGAATGACAGCGATGAGGGGGATTCCGGTGATGCAATGAATTGGGATTGGCTTGGTCGCACGGCTTGTCTTCGTCACAACTCTCGACCCGCCGTGTCGGGGTTCTTGCTTGGTCCACTCTCGATTCAAAAACGCTCCCGTCAATACACCCAGCGGGCACGGGAGAAGTTCGATGCGACACAAGCCATTCAGCCTCAGGAGCTCCAACAGGAGGATCTCGGGCAGCAAGAGAACTTAAACTTGACCTCCATGTGTTCCAATATCAACGAGTTGCTCAGCAGGACCATTCAGCAGACTGAAAACACCGTCAACAGAATACTGAGCGAGGAGAAGGAGGATCCTACGGAAGAAAGGGTGTTGGCAGTGATGAATGAGCACCATACTTCCCCCACTGGAGGCATTTGCCTTTTCCACTTCTGCATCAACCCCGAATCATTCGGCCAAAGTGTTGAGAACTTATTCTATGTTAGCTTCCTGGTCCGCGATGGCCATGCTGGCGTTTCCATGTCTCCTCGCGGAACTCCGACTCTTAGTGAGTAACATCATTGCTGCCCCGCGGTTTTTACCTTCCTGCTAACTTTTATCTAGACCATGCAGCGCCGTATCCGCCACATGAGGCCCAAGCCAAGCGCATACAGAAGCACCAGGCCATCTTCAGCCTGGACTTCGACACCTGGGAGGAAATTGTTGAGGAGTTCGGCATCAAAGAATGCATTATCCCCCATCGCGAGGAGACTCAGGAGAGGACTGGCCAGACTTGGTATGGCTAGTAGCGTCGACAAGGAGCAGGCGATGTCTTTGTTCCTGCTTAAACTTTTCTCATGATACCCCTGTGCCCGGTGCTATTGTTTTACGCTTGTAAATAGATCGATATTTCTAATATCCATTTTCAACTTCTTCCCCTATTTTGCAACATAGTATTGCCTAGCATTACTGTGTGCATGAATCTAGTCTTCCGCGTGGTGCCGCAAGACGTGGTCATGGCGCCTTTTAGGATAACTTCAAGCAAGCCAAGTACAATCAAGGTGGATGGTTGTCAACCCTTCTCTGAAGAAAATAGCTGGATTCCGATATTTCGGTATTCAACAGTATTCCAAATATCTGCTTGAAGAAAGGATCCATGGGTTTGTCAAGGCCTTCGTCGAATCTTCTTAATTCGGGCCATTCTCCAATACACTGCCACGGGTGGGCCCAGGCCGAGGCCGCGGTCCATTCAGTAAGCCGCGACACATCCTCACGTCATCGCTGGGAAGCTGCCAATCCATCAGGTCGATCGATTCCCCTTTCTCCCGCAGAGGCCTCTATTACGCATTTAAAAGCAATACCTTCGAGCCAGCAGTGGCTTGAGCTACTAATTCAGTCACTTACACACTTGCAGACTTCACAGCGATCCAGCTGCTGAAAACTAAGACACGCCCACGCCAGGAGCTCCCGCAGAACCACCCGATCGACGCGCAAGATCTCGCAAAATGCCGCAACTCTTCCCCTCTAACCCGTCGGCGACGATGGTGATCCGTGACGTCACACCTAATATCATTACTATGAGCTTGCCATTCGCGCGGTTCGGTATCTTCTGCTTCGGGGGCCGAGGGACACTAGGTGAGCAGCTCCGCCCTTGCAGCTGTGTACCAAGCTACACTCGCATCTGGGGTACTCAAGTTGGAATAGCATCGAAGCTAATCCCTCTCTTCCTTGCGTGACGCAGTCAAGCTCTCCACGGGCTCTCTCGCTGTCTTCTCCCCCGTTGGTCTCACGCCAGAGGTCCGCGCAAAGGTCGACTCTCTGGGCGGGAACGTGAAGTACATCGCCGCCCCCGATCTCGAACACCACCTAAACATCAGCGCGTGGAAGGAGGCATTCCCGCAGGCATCCATTCTCGCGCCACAGGGCCTCTACGAGAAGCGTCAAGCGAGCAAGCAGTACCACGATTCGCCATTCGAGCACGTCTTCAAGAAGAATGAGCCGCAGTCGATATCGGAGGAGTTTGACGCTGAGTTTGCCATCGAATACGTGTATGGACATGGATCGCGCGAACTAGTCTTCCTCCATCGCCCGTCGCGTACGGTCATCGAGGCCGATTTGCTGTTCAATTTGCCCGCCCATGAGCAGTACTCCCGGACCGAGGATCGTAATCCGCTCAGCTTCTGGACTAAGTTGGTGCTTCCCATGCTGTCCACAAGTGGTTCTGCGACGGGACAGCGACGATTTGCGTGGTATATTCTCTCTGCAAAGGACCGTCCGGCGTTTACTGAGTCGGTGAAGCGTATTGCTGCGTGGGACTTTGATCGGCTGATTCCGTGCCATGGCGATGTCATTGAGACGGAAGCCAAGGGGGTGTTCCAGAATGTGATGGCGTGGTTCCTGGACGATGGGAAGAAGAAGTCCTGAGATGGACCACATGTTTAATTGTAGAGTTTTCTGGAGGCTGTATTTTTCGTTTGTATATTTTTTTGGATTCATTTGGGAGATGGTTGTATGATATCCTGTGGTGTTGCGTGAAGGGTGGCCTTTCTTTCCTAGTATAATTCTATATCTTGATTGTCGTCCGAATATGATGACTGGTAATTGCCAAGCGCTTTCGCTTCTTATACTCCAGCTTCTACTGTCAAGGACCCTTGAGCCAAGGATAAGAATAGAAAACCAAAAATGGGGATCGAGTACCAGTCCTTCTGCTTGGAGGACAGCTCCAAAAGAGACGCAACCCTCGCGTCTCCGGGCTGCTTGGACCAGTCAGGCCCGATTTTCGATTCCCAATGCCGTTTGAGTTTGGGCGAAACTTTATATCGATTGGCACTGCTCGAACCCGTATACAAAGCGTGCAAGCCTTGAACGGTAGTCTAGCTGCTTTTGCAGCGAGTTGGTTGTAACCCTTGTCATTCCCTGAGGTTCTGAGGTTAGCGCCATAAATCCAAGCTGTGTCCAAGACAGGACATGTGCCGAAGTATCCGATCGCATACCCTGAAAGTCTACTGAGATTGACATGATGTCAAGGTGTCACGCCAGTTGCAAATTAGGGGGAAACTAGTTAAGGGCGCGCTTTCATCTTTGTGGGAGCCCCACGTCATAGGGCTGAGCGGCGGTACTGTACCTTGATCGTGTTTTTCCCATACTCCCCTCAATGCCCCTGTTCTCCATGCTCTGCTGCTTCCGATCGCGTATTTCGAGCATACATCCCCGCTATTTCCATCATGAACAGTACGTACAGAGGCAGTCAAAAGAGCGGGCCAACACCGCCATGTCCCTCCCGCAAAGGGCGCACTTCTGCGCCAACCTTCAGGCTGCAATGATCGCCCCGAGTGGAGCACGGCCACTAAACAAGGACCCTAGCCAGCGCCAATAGAAGTTGATCTGCAAACGTCCACGGGGTCAACAGCCAATATTCGCGTGGTTCGAAGCGAGATTATCCCCGACTCGAATTCTTGAATCGCCCACGGCCACCACCGGCCAACGCATCACTCCGGGCTCCGGCTGCAAAAAACAGGGATTTGTCCCTTTCGAAGCAAATTATGACCATCATGTTCTCTCGTGGACACCAGGATTCTGACAGGTGCTGCGCCATGACAGCTCCTTGCTCCGATCAGTTGGAGTTCAGCCACAAAAACAGGCTGCATCAGCGGCGGCCAGCTCCATGAAGGGCAGGAGTTGTGTTAGAGTGATCGTCGTGGACCCGAGCCAGACCCAACTGGTAAATAGTGTGGCATGGAGGGTGAACGAGGACGAGAGATTGGGCCACTACAGTCTACACCCTGCACTCTATACATCAAATAATTCTAATAAATGATGCATGGCGTCGAATGACGAACCCACCATGCCGAGAGCACGCTATACTATTCCGGGGACGATCTGACGACATCATCTGCTGGGATAGACTCTGCATTGGCCAGTGAGACTTACTTTTGAGTTGATTTCCGTGTGTTTTGCTACCTAGCAGCTTGCTCGTCGCGTTTTTGTGGCTCATGTCTGTCTTTTTTTGGTTGTTGGGCCCTTGCTTGCTATGCGGGTCTGCGCCTCTTGTCGCTCGGCATCTGCCTGCTCGTGCAACGTGCCCAGTTTACGCTTTATATACCTCGTATTGTCCCCGCTACACTTTGTTTTGTTTTTCTTTATAGCACGCCAGATTCTTTGAACAGCTTGGTTATTCACAGAGCAAGTCTAATCATCTTCCTCATTGATCACTCACCATGCCTGTTGTCTCGCGACTCGTTTCTATCCCGCTCCGCATTGCGGAGATCGCCTTTGCAGCCGTATGTCCCGTCGACTCTTGTTGTCTCACCGTAAGGTACTTCTAACACTGGCTTGATAGGTCGTCGCAGGTATTATCGGACACTACCTCGCCTCCCTCGACGGGATTGATGCCTGGCCCCAAGCTCGCTGGATCTACACCGAAGTGATCGCCGGTCTATCCATCCTCTTAGGCTTAATATGGCTAATCCCCTTCTCCTCGGGCTTCTTCTCATGGCCTAGTATGTGCTTTGCCTCGACATGTACAACTTCTGCAAGTATACTGACTTGATATCCAGTTGATATCCTCATTTCCTTTGCTTGGTTTGCTGCTTTCGGTATCTTGGTCGACGCTATTCACCACTTGCCATGCGGCAGCATCTGGTCCTGGCACTTTAGGGGTGATGCTGTTTGTGGGCGCTGGAAGGCTGCCGAGGCGTTCAGCTTCCTCTCCGCTATCATCTGGCTTGTTTCTGCTATTATTGTATGTACATGGTCAGATCAATTTGTTGTGGCGCGCTGCTAATCAAGTATCTCTTTTCCAGGGCCTCTGGTTTACTTTCCGTGTGCGCGACCGTGGTGTTGGAACGTAAGTCGTTCGCATTCATTGTGCTCTTTACTGCACTGAGTAGTCAGTGCTTTCGTTTTGCGATCAATATTGACGTATGTCTCACAGGACTCGCCGCCGCTGGGGCCGCCGTGGGGTTCCTGCTGTCTAAGTTGAACCCGCCATGCAGGGCCGTGAAAGCAGCACGACACGAATATCTCAATTAAGCTGCCCATGGGTGGACAGAGATATGACTTGCATCCGGTCTGCAAAATCTACTCCGACTCCGCACGACCACTAATAATCTGACTAAACCTGATCGTTCTGTGATGCTCTTTTCCTTCTTGTCGTATGTTTCTCATGATTATGAAGCGGACGAATTACGACTTACGTTGATACCCTTGGAGGATACATGATGTGCGTTTGGGGTTTATTGATAGTCGCTCTTTTGAATTAAACTTCTTTCCAGTAAAATTTGTGGGATTGTCGATCATATGATTATTGTAGGTGGTAAGGAATAGCCAGGCCCTCACTCTCGGAATGTCTATATGGTTATCTTGGAAAGGTCTAAAGCTTGAGGACAACCTTTCCAATCTGCTTCCCCCCCAGACATATTGAACCGCCTCCTCGGCTTGTTCAAAGGGAGAAACTTTATCAATAAGATCATCCAGCGGTGTCTGACAAGCCGACAGAGCAGCACAGAAGTCTTCCATGTCATACTTCGACCCTGCGTTGATACCCCTATATTCCATCTCAGTACGTTTCCCGATTTTTCCAAGGTCAATGAATCTTACCTCAGGATGATTCGACGATCAATAATGGTCGGCACTAGCTCGGCAAGGTCCATAGGGTTCTGCTTGGCAAGATACCCAACTTGACTGACGATACCACCACGCCGGGTACATTTCATGCTCTTGACCAAAGATCCGGTCCCTCCATTTTCGACAACAATGTCAACACCCACACCGCCGGTAAGCTCTAAAACCTGATTGTGCCAATCTGGGTTGGTCGCATAGTTGACTGTCAGAATGGGTGGGCTGGAGAACTTGTCTCTCATTTGCTGGAGTTTCCTATCACTCGACGAGCTGAGCACAACCCTCAGCCCGGCAGCTCGTGCAAGTTTCATGGCAAACATACTCACGCCACCGGTCCCTTCAATATGTCATCAATTTAGTTTATCATTTTGCTATGATTATCAAGAATGGGACGGAATCTACCTTGAATGAGCACTGCCTGTCCTATACTCATACCCTTCAAGGCCGACCACGCAGTGACTCCCGCACAAGGAATCGTCGCAGCACTTGTCCAGTCAAGATAGTCTGGGAGCTTGCAAAAGACAGCCTCGTCGAATATAATATGGTTTGCCATAACACCATCCTCGTCTGCAGCAAGCCAAGATCGTCCCACTTCCCGCCCCGAGATATTGTCAGTATCAGTGATGGGCCCGACCCTGTCCCCGATGGCCAAGGCCTTCACCTTCTCACCCACGGCTATGATCTCGCCAGCAGCATCGTTGCAGAGAATACCATTTGGCAGAACTGGCCATGGGTTTCCTCCGTTGGCGATATTGGCGTCTCTGTAATTGATAGCGACAGCGTATACTTTGACCAATACCGAAGTTGGTGCGAGAGGTAATGGTAGAGCCTCTTGCACGAGCTTCAACTTGGGTGTGCCGGGGGTGTAGTCATCGGTTCGACGAAAGGCTCGGCGGGTGGTGACTTGGATGTTTGACATGTTGACAGCTTTAAGATAAATCAATTGAAACAGATAGCGAGCTATCGGTGGTGATGTGTATATACTTCTACTTATAATGACGTGTAGGACGTAATTGGCATGGTTTGTAATCGTGAGGAGATGCTCGGATAATACCGATGGATCTTGATCTCGGGTCAATTGCCAAGTCCCAGTAATAGTTGTAGCGGGCAATATCCCGACCGTGAGTAGCTCTTCCTATAGAATCTGTACCTTTGCCGCGATTACCTCTCGGTCAAGCCGTGTGATGAATTATATCATCGGTCGTACTGTGCGCTTGTCTACGGCCTTTAGTCTTTGAGATGCCGATTACATTGATTGCTACGGCTCGCCCGATTCAAGCAGTTATACCCCGCGATATGCTAAGGTTCGGAGATCGTAATCAGCGTGATAAAACAGTCTATCATCCATGTTTATAAATTGAATAATAGATCTCTTTTCCCGAAGGTGAAAGGCGATTTCCCTAAATATCACAGTCTTCATATATCCTAACCTTTCTCCATTCTCGATTGCTCTTTTCAACCTCATCAGTAAACCATACCGGACCTTCACATCCAACGAATTGATGTATTCCAAGTGGACCTGCCTTCTCAGGCGGCGGCTATCACCTCTCTGGAGGACGAAAATACACCAGCTTCGACGCCACAATCGTTCGCATTACCACGCAGAACGGCATGGAGGGCTGGGGCGAAAGCACTCCGTTCGGCTCAACATTTGTTGCTTCCCACGCTCTCTGAGTCAGATCAGGTACTGCCGAGATCGCGCCGAAACTCATCGGATTGGACCCGCGATGAGTCGACCGTATCAACGAAGTGATGGATGCCGTGCGGGTGGGTCATGAACACGCCAAAGCAGCTCTCGATATTGCCTGTGGGGATGTATTTGGCAAGTCCGTTGGACTTCCAGTGTGCGAATTACTCGGCAGTCGTACGGAGCTGGCACTTCCTCTTATCTCTTCCATTCATGTCGGAGAGCCGGAAGAAATGCGTTCACGTGTGGCCAAGTAGCGAGACATGGGCTATATCGGCCACTCGGTCAAGATCTCTGGAGATCCCTCATCTGATGCCGCTCGCATTCAAGCGTCTCTTGCTGACAGACAATCCGGCGAATTCTTCATTGCGGATGCAAATTGTGGCCTCACAGTTGAAACTGCGCTCCGCATGCTACGACTCCTCCCAAAAGGGTTGGATTTCGTCTTAGAAGCGCCTTGTGCCACGTATCGGGAATATGTGTCTCTCCGACGCAGAGCCAATATTCCAATTCGTATTTACGAGCTGGCAATATCTGAGCCTTCGATTATACAACTTATCGCCGATGACGCCGCAGAGGGAATTGGAATCAAAATCACCAAGAATGGTGGGCTAACCAAATCTCGCCGTATACGAGATATATGTCTGGCAGCTGGGTACACCTTCAGTGTTCAGGATACCGTCGGTTCGGATATTGCTTTTGCTGCTATTGTTCATCTTGGTCAAACAGAGCCGGAGAAATTCTTGCGCTGTGTTCTCGAGACCCGCGATATGGTGACGCTGAAGACGGCGGATGGTCCATTCAACGTTGAAGGAGGCCGTATCACAGCGCCTAATGTGCCGAGTGGACCTACGATCAGTTAAATTCCACGGCATTTTTAAATGGTCAGCTTGATTGACCTTTTTGGAGAAAGCTCTCACCACGAGGGAATACGCAGAGCTTTGCCTATTGTGGTGATAAGCTGGGGCTCCCACGCGGTTGTCATCGAGGAGTGTCGCAGATGCCACGGAAAGCCGAGAGTATAGGAGGAGCAGGTTGATTTGATGTAGTCAAGCGATTTCTTGTTGTGGAATGGCGGTGCGGACTTTTCATCGTGATTCGTTTTCTGCTTTGCACCTCGTACCAATGCCTGTTTCTAGAAGTATGACCTCGTATCCTAGCACTGCCTCATATGTTTCTGAAATTTGGCTGGAGGTTTCGAACCGATGGAACCCACTGGACATCTCCTAATTATCAGCGTTATATTATGATCATTATTAGTTAATTATTCACTTTATCAGTCATAACACCCCTGCCGATCGATGATTCGAGCACTTAAACGGGCTCCAAGGGGGCTCCATACTTAGCAGCTTGGCAAAATGGGGACCATCCACGCTGACGCGATCACTTTCTGGAATGGCAACTCCTCAGTCCTCGTCCTCCCCATCATGCGAAAATGCATTCACAAAGGGATGTGAACGATGAAAGCAAGGCCAATGCTTCATTGTCTGGTGAGCCAGCGAGCCCAACCTTTTCCCTTGAGGACCTGAGTCTGCCGCACTACAAAGACGAAGAAGACTGGGAGAGAATCCGACGCGCCCAGAGCCGCGCCCGGGCCCGAGTCAGCGGCGAATACGGCGATCTAGAGCTGGGCAGTGTACCGCTCTTGCCAGCGGGGCATCCAGATGAACATCGCGATCTGGACGACTCGGATTCGGACTTTTTCGACTATGAGGAGCAGGGGCTGCATCGGCACGACCCGTCGTTGTCCTGCACTTTCGCTGGCTTCTGTGTCTGGTTGCGCGGGCCGGTCCCGCCGCATGTTTACCACATCAAGCCCTGGTTTCCACGATGGCAGGCTATGCCCGCGCGTTTAGTCGAGCGGTGGGCGCCGCGAAAGGGTCTGAAGATTGCGCTGCTCGCTGGCGGGTTGATCTTTTGGATTGCCGTGTTTTTTGCTTCGCTGCAGGCATCCGTGGCTGGCCAAGAGGTCTTGGGATACGGCCAGCCGGTGAAACTGTCGTGTCACCAGCGTCTGTGGTGCGTTTTGAACTAAAATTTGGACAGGTCGAGTCCATCTGGAATGGTGGACAAAGTGGCTAATTGTGGAATACCAGGACCAATGCTACGGATTGTGGTCTGAATGGGGACCTTTGTCTTCCATTCGATGAGCAGTCATTCGCTTTCAGCTGCCCAGCAGGCTGCTCTACCGCCATCATCCTGGAGCCGTACGATATCGGTAACCAGTCGTATAACTATAGGCACCTCGTCATCGGAGGGCAACCCTTCCGGATGGACGGTCGCGTCAGTGGGCTGTACCGCGGTGACTCCTCGATCTGCGCATCGGCCCTGCATGCCGGGGTAATCAGCGACAGCAAAGGTGGCTGTGGTATCCTACATCGTCGTGGAAAGCGAGATAACTTCCAGAACTACACCAAGAATGGCATCGAGAGTATTCCTTTTAAGCCGTCCTTCCCAATGTCGTTTGTCTTGACGCGACAGGCATCTTCCTCGGGGTCGAGCGAGGCCAAGTTAATAGAATGCTTCGATATTCGCTGGTCGCTATTTGCTTTCACCGTGTTCGTCACGGCGATATTTTCGATGACGGTCACTTCAGCGCCAGTCTTTTACAGCATCACCTTCTTCATAGTGTGGTTCCAAGTCGCCATGGCCTCTGACCCACCTGGCTCGAGGGGCTTCTACGGCTTGTTACAGATTGGCCTAGGCCGGTTCCTCCCCGGCGCCTTTGTCGGATTCGCCTTATATTACTTCTGCGTACGCAAGACTCTCGGCAATCTCCAAGCACACGTGGATAAGACAATCCTATGGCTGGGAGGCTGCTGGGTCGGTGCCTTGAACAGCGATACTTTTGACCGTATCCCCATCTCCCGCCTCACGCCACACGACCTTCAACAGCAGCCCGGTGCTATCACAGCCCTCATCATCATCATTGGCATCCTCATCGTAGCCATATTAATCCAGGCACACGCCTTCCGCCGCGAGGGCCGTCTACTATCGATTCTACGCCTCTACGGTATCATGCTTATCGGCATCATCGTGCTCATCCTCGTGCCGCACATGAACCTCCGCATCCACCACTACATCCTTGCACTCCTCCTCATCCCAGGCACAACACTCCAGACCCGTCCCAGCCTCCTGTTCCAGGGCGTAATGCTTGGTCTATTCATCAACGGCATTGCCCGCTGGGGCTTCGACTCGATCCTTCAAACACCAGCCTCCCTCCTCGAAGGCGGTCGTCTGGGCACGATTCCACCACCCATGAACCCACCGCACATCGAGGACCGGCACCATATCGTCTTCTCCTTCCCTGATATCCCCCCACATGTCGACGGGATCAGTGTGATCGTCAACGATGTGCTGCGGTATCAGGGGCTCAAGTCGAAAGATAGCAACTCCGTGCCGGACTTTGCTTGGTCAAGACTGCACAATGGTCAACCTGAGTACTTCCGGCTAGGGTATGTCCATCTCAATGCATTGGGTGGTGTTTGGTATGAGGATTTCTCGGTGGCCTCGACGTGGGTTATTGATGGCGACTTTTACTATCCGGGATAGATATTGGAAGTCGTGTGTGTTTTTATTTTAAGTATTCTGGAATCTTTTTTCTACCGTCTTATTAGATGAGGAACTTGGGACGTGTACAGCATTATCGGATATAGGCATTAGAATCATTACGGGACGTTGGATTTTGTTTCAAAATGATTTTTTGTTCGCAGAAGCAACCGAGTTCCAACGGCGAGTCGTGCAATGCAAATGTAAGAGCAGACTGAAAAATCGAAAAGTACCAACTCCGATAGAATGAAAATGACACAGCCACCATCGCGGCGGACCCAATGCCCCAGAAGGAGTGAATCCAGCTAATATACAGACCTCACGATCAAAATCAAAACGCCAAACCAAATGCAATGCGAGTCATTGACCAGAAATTGTGTACGGGTGATCAATCGTCCTTTCTAGCCTTGTTGGCCTTCTTATCCTGTTTCTCCTTCTTCTCCCTCTTCTCTTTACCATCCTTCTTCTCCTTGTTGTCCTTGGAGTAGTCTTCCTTACAGTTCACTTGCACGAGGCTTTGCTTGCCGCCATCCTCAATGACCAAAGCAGTCAATTTACCGCCCTTCACGCATCCCGAGTCAAGACCCTTGGTATATGTTCGGATCTTGAGACCTGTTTTGGCATCGTGACCGTAGATAACGGTCGTAGTTTGAGAGTGGGGATCTGCATGTGAAGTTTTGAGGCTCGAGTGGAGAATAGACTGGTGCTTGTCAAACATCTAACGAAACAGATCAGTCAAAAGTGACCCTTGAATGATAGTCCTTCGTATGCAAAAAGATAGCTTACCTTAGCCCACTTCATACCCTCGGCCGACGGGTTAGGAACATGCGTGTCAAGGTCAATGGTTCGCATCGTCATCACCGTCGAGGGATCCTGCTTCCCGAGCTCCACGCCCGGTACCAGACCTGCATGTACAACGACTACTTGGCCCATACCCGTGATAAAGCCAACTTCCAAGATGACCGGGCAGGCGTCAAGCCACCGTGCTTGCTCGTCGCTCAAAGAGCGGGCGAGCGTGCGTTCTTTGGCTTCCTTTTCTGAAGGCTCATGTAGCTTGACGTTCTTCTCGTCGCCGGTCAAGAGGGTGTTCATCGTCACCATCTCATGTCGGAGAAGCAGGATGCGGTCCTCGTGATTACCACGTACACATGACGCTCCAAGCTCGCGGGCAAGGTCTACGACGCCAGCGCTATCGGGTCCCTTGTTGATTATATCACCCGTGAAAATGAGATGGTCTCCATCTGCTGTGGAGAATTCGACCTTTTTGAGCAATTGAAGCACTAAAAGAAAAGAGCACGAGTCAGCAAATCCACACGTCTTCAAATATGACACAAGAATAAGACCTACACTCTTCCTTGCACCCATGTACATCCCCAACCACGATCAGACGCTTCTCACTCCTCGATCCCCTCGACTCGCCCTCGGTGGGGGCTACAGGCACCAGCGAAGGATTCAACGTCCGAATGTGAGTCAAGTCATCAAATCGAGGAAGCGAGTTGCTTCCGAACCATCCTCCGACCTCCTCTTTCAAGGCAGGATCTAGCGCGTGTAGCAGTGTGCCACGCTCCTCTAGACGAGGGTATAGAACCATCACCCACCCGATCCAGCCGAGCAGGAACAGAGCGAGGTAGACGAGTACGTAGCGGCGGAAGCGCGGGGCGGAGATGATAGATAGAGCGATCTGGACGCAGCCGGGGTCTTTATAATCAGACGATGAGGAGAGGGAGCGGTAGGCTGGAGTGGATTGCCAGCCGTTGCGGACAGAGTCGATTAGGGGTCTTGAGGGGCGGGAGATACGAGAGGAGGATGAGGAAGGGTGGTTGGTCGTGTGATTGTAAGGGTCGCCGAGTTCGTGGTCGGAGTCGTAGGAGGCCATGGTGGTGTGGCGTTATTTGGGATGGATACTCGGGACATGTAAGCAGAGGAGGAGATTCAGGTCGGGCGACCGAAACAACCACCGTCTTTCAGAGCGAGTGGTCGTCGAAGGCTGCGCTCTGCACGAGCAGTGGATAGCTTGGCAAGATTGCGGTTGTTGGGCTTGGCAGTCTCGGAGTTTGCGGAGTTGCCTGGAGGGCGGAGAGGGATGATAAACAAACCCAACAAGAGAACAACAAGAACTAACTGCCCAACTCACGACTTGAGCTTCCGCTAAAATTATTTCAACAGTTTAATCTTACTTCTCTCACTTTACATTCGTTGATACCGTTAGTTTTGATTCTCTCAAATAATACACAAGTTATTGCACTTGAAAGTACTCTTCAGTCTGCTTTTTCCACTCTTCGGTTTCCCTTTTCCGCAGGCTCACCCGCTGCAGAACTGTCTCATCATATAACTCCTCAACCTTCTTTCCCCCACGAAGCACTTCACGTTCGTGACGGGTCGCCTCGTCTTTCGTCATACAGACCAACTCCGCCGCATCAAGTCTAAACAGCTTCTGTCCGTCTTTCTCCCAGGTGAGATCCATCTCAAACCCTTGCGATGGGACCTGCCAAGGAATCAGCACTAGGCGGTTAGGTAGGCCAGTAACAACGCTTTTGCCTCGGTAAATCTCCTCCACGATGTACTGAATGTCATCCTTGCTGATGGGAAGACGGAGGCCTGTGGGATCTTGACCGGCGACTTGGCGCACTTGCTTCTCCATGAAGCCTGTCAGAGCGGCCAGAATAGTATCGTACAGCTTGTCGCGGCCCTTTCCAGCCGTGTTGTAGTCAATCGGGTAGCAAGACACGCTGCAGATGACATGATTGGCCAGGGTGTAGCCAAAGACAGCGGGCATCGTGCCCAAGACGGGGAGAATGCGGACTCGGAAGTCGGGAAGGACACTCAGCTCGCCCACCTTGCCCTTGTTGAACTCATCCTCGGCCAGTGGGAGCAGGCTAGCCTTGCCGGGTCCGGTTCTTTCGGTCGAGAAGACAGTCGGAATGCCGGTGGTGACTCCCAGCATCTTCAACCGACGCCGTGTGCTGCGACACAGTGGGTCATCAGTGCTGGTAGAAATATCTCCAACCACGACACGAGTTGGATCTGACTTGCACCCAGCACCCATCGACGAGATCACGGGCAAGCCATTCTTATGGCAGTAGTGCAGCAGATCCACCTTGGATGTAATGTTATCAATGCAATCCAGGACGTAGTCTGGCCGACGGCCCTCTCCTTCGTGTGTCAGGGTCCATGGACCGAGAAGATCATCTGCAGCATCCTTGCTGAAAAGCTCATTGCGGCAATCGAACATCACCCATGGCGCAATCTGCTCCAACCGCCTCCTAATACAGTGTACCTTTGGAGTTCCCACATCTGCTAGTGTAGCGAGAGCGTGGCGGTTCAGCGAAGACAATGTCACTTGATCAAAATCGATCAGACGAATCTTGGATACACCAGAACGAGCAAGAGTCGCAGCAGCATGGGATCCAACGCCACCACAGCCGACAACGATGATGTAGGATCCTCGGAGCTTCGCAAGACCTTCATCTGTGAGGAAGACACGGTTCCGGGCAAGTTGTTCGAGAATCAAGTCTAAATTGTATTGGAATCGGGTTAGCTTCTTACAAGACAGAAGTATAGAAGGGTCCGAACCATCATCGTAGTCACCCTGTTGCGCCCTGCGAGCCAGAGCTGCGCTGCGCTCGTCTTCCTTACTCAGAGGAATTCCAGTGTCAGCGGCACCATATTGTGTCAGCTATACTCCAATAAGTCAGTCGTCTGCCCAAATGCACACTCTGCGGCCCAAGCTCGACCGAGAAACCAGAGCTCAAAAATCCCGCTCGTCAGAGCTCACCTTCGCCGCAGGATGCTCATCATCAAGCACCGGAATAGAAGCCTTCAAATCATGAACGGCCTCCGTCCTCTTATAAGCCTGGTATCCAAAAATGGCACCTGCAACGGCAGCACCGGACAGCACCGCCGTAGTCGCAAGCTGCGAAGTTTGCGATCCGGCCTGCCGGTGAAACCAAGAGGACATATTTCCAAACACTCCTTTCTCACTAGTATCCTGTCCTCGGGCCTGCGCTTCCAATTGCTGTAATTCTTCGCGGGTGCGTGGGCGGTGGGGAATCCGAGCAGTTTCGGCGAATCTAGCATCCAGGTCGTCAGAATCGAATCCGTAGTCTAAATCGGCGTCGTCAGGGGCTTGCCACCATTTGGAGGCTGGAGGGGCCATGTTTGTAGGAGATATTAGGAGCGCTTACCGTCACAAACACCCGTTGGTACTGTCGGCCTCTTATAAGGAATATGTAGCTGCAAGCCATGCGCTCATCAGTGGAACCACGAAAGACGCTATCACGTGAGGGGCCGCGGTCCTCGAACGCCAAAACCGACGACACGTCGGCGCGTGGGGAACTTTTTACATCTCGCGCTGTTGGCGCTGCAGGTATGTTCACGAACAAGACCCGGTTTCGTCACGATAGATGCATTTGAGATGCTAATCTCTGTCGCCAGATCTGATAGCATCCTGTTATCTGTCAGTCTCAATGACGATATCCCTCACATAAGAGCTTCTCACGACACGTCCGGGTTTCACTGGATTGGGTTGTGTGGACTTCATCCCTCGGCGGCCTGGCTGCAGCTTGTGGAAGGAGACATGTTGCCTGTTGTGGGTGACTGAGAAAACGAACAGAGATCCGAGAGACTCTCGACGAACACTGTTCTTTCACACCTTGGCCCTGCTGTTTGTCGTGTATTGATGCCCAGACATGACGAACAAATCAGCCGGGCCTTCATGTACATACTAACATAACCCAGAATAGAATTTCCTCTCCCGATTCGTCTTTTTCCCCTTCTTCTTGTATCTAGGACCTCCATTTCCGTTTGAGAGCCCGCCCAATGACGAAGACATTCTGTCGCACACTCTGAGGATCTGTATATGATACGCTCCGTCTGTACACCTTTAAAGGCAACGGCGTCGAGCATACCGGTGACGAGTGACACAAAAAGGTAGTTTTCAATCCGAGGGTATGAGCTGTTCAACACGTCATCATGTTCATAATAAACAGGCAGATCCCAAAATAATGAATTACTCGCTTCGGTTAATCTCCCTTCCTTCATTCTTCTTCAACTTATTCAAGCCTTCGCTTTTGCCTTTTGCCCGTTGATGAATCCAAAGCCAATTCTGCAGGCAACCGACGCCGTGGATGTTTATCAAACATCTCATGATCTGGTTGCCGGTGACTACACAATTGGGAGCTTTTCTGAGGGCAAAGTCGGTTCTTTCATACATGCACCGATTCTAAAATACAGACTTCTCGAGGTTCGAAAGGGCGTGTGGGCGAAAATCGGCTCGCTGGGTCGGTGAATTCCAAGATTGCGAACTGGAGATTCAGTGTTGGTCCGGATTGTGGCATTCTAGCAGTTCCTTCTCTACATCTGGCCATTTACTGAGACCGTCAAGGACAACAATGTCTGATCGCCCCGAATACTGAATCTTCGGATCGTACTCTTGGAATTCGTCGACCCGGCAAGCCCTTGAGTCTTCTATATCGCGAGGTTTACCCATGCAGGGTCTCAGTAAAACCTGAAAGGCAGAAAGCTACATCGCGAGATGGGGTCCTAGCGCTGTTTACCTCCATAGCATGCCAGAAGTTCATGTCAAGACCTTGCCCTTGACGACTGTGCAGGGATTGGCTTGTGATTATATTTGACGCGCTGCCTATACAGACTGTTATTTGAGAGGGAAATATAGCTCAAAGAGATATGAACAAAAGACTCGTATTTCGTTCAAGATACAAAACGCCAGCTAATGCAATATTTTGACCGTCGCGCGCTGCGAAATAAATATACAAATGGCCAGTAAATAAACACAAAATCTCGCTCATCTTCAAATGACAAACCATGTCGGCCCCGCAGATTTTACTTCAAGAAGCGGCCCAATGCACCACCGATGTTCTTAAGATCCAACAGGAAGGTATCATGACCGAAAAGCGAGAGGTCCTCGCCCAATTCAATGTGCTCGACGGTCGTGTTGCCGCCTGCACGGAGGGTCTCGGCAATCTCGCGCTGCTGCCAGGCAGGGAAAAGGATGTCGCTGGCGACGCCCATGACGAGAACTCGGTGGTTCTTCAGAGGGGCGAGACCCATGACTAGGTCTTGTGGGGGGTCCTTCGGGTTCGGTGGGTGTTACGGACTGGTTGGCAGGAGGAACTGAGGCTGTGGCCTCGGGTTGTTCCTCGTATGGCTTGTCAGGCAGGGTTAGACTGCAAGCGGGATCGGATACCTCCGACGAGACGTCGCCGCGCGCAATGCGAGACTCGGCCTCTGCGCGGCGGCGACGGGTTTGAGTCTGGTGCTCATGGCCGAGATCGAAGAGGTCCATGGCCTTGGACACATATAGCAGACTGTTGGGGTCATACTCCAAGCAGAATTTCTCGCCGGCGTGGTCCAGGTATGTCTCGATAAGGAAGTCTGGGCACAATGCAGGCTGCTTGCTGGGGTCGGCCCGACGACGACCGAACCGCATTTCCCATTCAGGCCCGCTGCGGTAAGTGACTGTCGCAATCTCTCGCGCCAACTTCATCCCCGAGTGTGGCGGGATCGCATCATAGTAGAAACCTCGCGCCCACTTCGGGTCCATCATCAGCACCTGTCGCTGTGTGTGCCGCATCGCAATACTGTACGGGTGACTGCGAGCGCAGCCGCTGATGCTAACGATCTTACCCACGCGCTCGGGGAACAGGACACCCGCAGCCAAACTTTGCATACCGCCCATGCTTGACCCGACGGATGCTGCCAGCTTTTGAATGCCCAGGCCATCCAGAAGACGGAACTGAGCACGCACCATGTCATCCAGTGTTAAGATTGGGAAGCGCGTCGCATACCGCTGCCCATCCGAGGGATCTACCGAGGATGGCCCCGTGCTGCCGTAGCAGCCACCCAGCACATTCGTGCAAATCACATAGTACTTGTCCGTATCCAGAGGTAGACCGGGTCCAATAAACTTCTCCCACCAGCCGGGCTTCGGATTGGAGACTGTGCTGTGCGCATGACTAGACGCCGACAATCCCGTGTGCAAGAGGATCACATTGCTCTTGTCTGCATTCAACTGACCCCACGTCTCATATGCAATATCGAACTCCGGCAGGACACCGGCCCAGTCAAGTAGCAAGGGCTCCTCACAGTGAAACCGTTCATGCTGGCCCGTCGTGTAGGAGGGTTCGGGGCCCGACTGCAAGGACCGGGCAGATAGTAGTTCTGACTTGGCGTCCTGGGCATCGAGGCAGGGGAAGGACATTGCCGGGTTTGTCGAGTCTCTCGATGTCGCCGTTGCTGCGGAGGACTTGCGCGGACCCGCGGTATGGAGTGCTTTCGAATGTGCCGATAACGGCCGACTTGCGCCGGAGAGGAAAGATGCTGGCTCATGGGGTCGCCATTGTGTGGCCCGGAGCGTGCGCGACGCAGAGCGGACGACACCCTGGAGCGAACGCATTGTGACGAGCTGTAGAAAGGGAAAAAGACCCACTGGCAGTTGCAATTGTCAGCTGTCGAAGACGGTCATATTATATTTCCTGATTACAGAGGCGGAGATGGTTGATTGACTGCCTGAGGCCGCACTGATGCATGGCGTCATCAGGTCGTCCCCTGATTGGCGGGCGCACTATTGTTTCCCGCGGACCTTATTCGTGTGCTCCACTACTACAAGTACTGTATACCTATACGCTTATTACTGAACTTGATAGTGAGATGGTAGTCATATGATGTATGTGAACTTTATGAAAATGAGGCTCTCTATTCATACAATGCTAATAACGCCTCGCCATCCTAAAAAGAAGGTCTATAAACTATCACACGGGTATCAGTTGGTCCAACACAAAGTAAACAAATCAAAAGAAGGCTCCAAATGCTTCGATGCAATGCAAACGCCAACTAAGGAGGAAATGACGATTTCAGCCCACGCTCTGCATACCGCTGATCTAGGTTTGATCAGCCTATTGGGTGCTGTCGGCAATGGAAGTGGTGGTAGTAGTAGTGTTCGTAGAGTTTGAGGAAACAGTGCCGACGATTTCAAGGGTCGCCATAATGATAGTGTTATTGGAAGATCGAATGTCGACACCGCCGGCATACATGCACCGGTAGCCATCGCAGTTGGCGTGGAAGACAATCTTGGTGCCATCGTACGACAAAGTCGCACCACCAGGGGCCTTGAGCCCAAAGTCATTCGTCTGTAACAATGGACGGTCGGCACGGGTATAAGGACCCTTGACCGATTTTGCGTGGGCATACTTCACATTGTAACCCAGCGAGGTGAAGCAATGGGACGAGAAAAAGAGGTAGTAGGTTCCGTCGTCTTGGCGGATGATGTTGGGCGCTTCGATAAGCGGGCCATCGGTGTCGTTGATGTTGAGGATGATCTCGGGCTCACCAACCTTGGTGATGCCGTCGCTTTCTAGCTCTTGGAGGATGAGTGGGACGGGGCGCAGCGGCTTGATGCTGTTGCCGCACCATCCACCACTGCCGACGCTGTTTCCGTCACCCTTGTAGACCACGTAGAGCTTGCCGTCGGCATCTCTGAATGGCGAGGGATCAATGGCGCCGCCATACTGGTGAGGGCAGGCTAAAGATTCCTTGAGGGGAATATAAGGTCCCAGGGGATCTGTGCCGTTCGAGACTGCCGCTCCGATACAGTGATGATTTTTGAAATTGTTCGTCTGGCCTGCGTAGTAGAGAACGAATTTTCCATCGTCCTGTATAAATGTTAGATATCAGAGTCTTTGATCGTTTCTATGATGAAAGGAACTTACCCGCTGGATCACATCCGGCGCCCAGTGGTTGACGGCAACCTCCCAGTCTCCTAGAGTTGGCATCGCATCATAGCCCTCATGCAGAGTCCAGTTCACAAAGTCGGTCGAAGTCGCAACGGGGACATGAATCGACAGCGGGTCATGCTTATGGGGGTTGGTTCCATAGGCATACCAGGTGCCGTTGTGGTTGAGGAGTCCAGGGTCGGGGAAATTGTGAATCGCATAGACAGGCTTGTTTTCCAGGATACGATAACTGGGGTCCTCGTGCTTAGTTGGGTACAACTTGTACACATCTCCCGGGTCTTTGTGTTTATGAGCCCTCGTCAGGACAATCGGGAGAGTAATGACGAGAACCAAAATAGCCACGATCAAGAATCCGAGAGCGCTAAGGATGATAATTCGTCGCTTGGTGAAGGGGCGCGCAAAGAGTCGCGAGAAGAGTCCCTTCTTCTTTTCATCTTGGGCATTACCAAGTTGTTCATGTTCCGATTGAGGCCCACTGCTAGAGAGCTGACTTCCAGTGAGGGATTGAACAGATGCTGTGGCCTTGGGGGGCTTGTCCTTGGAACGAGCAGATGCGAAGAAGTCCAGCATCTTGAGAGAGGGCCGAGAAGTCTTCGAGGCGCATTCACAGTCCCAGTGTCGGTAGAAATTTATTTCTGGGCTGAGGTGAGCCCCAGCTCCTGTAGTCGAGTTGGTCGATAAATAAAGCAAAATCAGCAGGGACTATGCGTGCGGCTGTGAGATGGACAAGGCTTTGCACACCGAGTCAATAGGGGATAATACGTGAGGTGTGCAAAAGGCTGTCCATCACGCACCAACCGAGATGCTGCTTTATGGTAGATCCTGGGGGCCGAAATAAATGGAAAGGAGGCCATGGGGGTGGCTTTTGCCTTTAAGTTATACTGTGTGGAGTCTACGGGGGCCACAGTGGTGCGGCTAACGTACGCGGGTGAGAAAAAGAGAAAAATAGATATGAAACGGGGTCCAAAGAGCCGACACGCGACCGATTGGCTGGTCGTTAGGCAGCCAGGTAGTTCAATCAGCCGAGTAGAATGGAGAGCCCCAGCAAGAGGAGGCTTTCAGATCATTCGGGCCAATCCATGGCATCGGGCCGTGACAAGAGGGGGGACATTTCATAATCTGGTCAAGGTCAGACATCAATCACACAACCAGCGGTTACAATGAGACCATGGACCCTTGTGTTGTGAGGGATTTGTGGTCTAAAAAAGTGGACTTGCCACATCACGAAGACCCCAGCAATCCTGTAATGAGCGGGTTGCTGCATCGCAGCTTGGGGGCGATCCGTGGACCCTTTCCAATATGGTCCCCATCCTGTCTCTCCAGTCCGCGCAGGCAGTGGCCATCAGGAGCGTGAGAATCGAATCCCCCGCAGGCCAAGCTTTTGGGGAGCGACCAGCAAGGGGGTAGACAGGCCAATCAAGGACAAGGCGCTGTCAGCCTGACCCCATTCGCTTTCCGGTTTGGGTTTAGCGGTGGACCCCGTTGTCTCCTGTTGATCCCCTTGGACTGTTGGCTGTGCACTCGTCGCTTTTGCTTTGAGCGCCCAAAGGCGACAACAGAACTCGCTTGGGGTCATGCTGATACGAATGGTCTGCGGGGAAGCGAAGCGCCCCCAATTGTGTCTGCGTATCCGTCCGCTATACGAGTACGCCTTCGGAGGTTATTCTGAGGGTCTCACGGCAGGTAGCGTGGGGTGGTCTTGTCAAAGTTTCACAGTGGGGGCCCCTCGAGTCCAGACAGATGGGCAAGTCGTCTCCGCCAGGCAGCACGATTTGATCGCATCGGGTCTCGGTCACATTCCAATTGTGCTTCCATGGGTCGCCATTCGAGGGAGTATCTCTGACAGAGAATGTCGATTGACGACGTTTTTCGCAAAGAATTGGAGATTCGATCTCAGGTGCATTCAGGACTCACATTGTGATTGATGGACGAGAGTTGGACCGCCGAGTGCCAAGTTCCGCCAGCAAAACCCCCGCGGCCATCCACGCCGAAGCGTGCGCCCACGTGGGCAGCAAAACCCCCGCCTGAAATGCCACACGAATCATCTCATTTCCCATGTATCGATCACAAGTTACTGCACAATTCACAAAGCTCATCGTTCAGCGACATATAGTTCAAGTTCTTCACCACGTAGCATGTAAACACTAGATTTAGGCAACTTCGGCTGGTACCTTATGCTTCAAAGCAATCCGAGCTGAATGGTACTGTAAGACGGATTCCGAAATTGGGTATTCAGGTATTCAGGTATACATATACTGTACTCCGTTCCATGAGGTATGCATATCTACTACTTCGTCTCGTGTCTATTTGACTCAATTCGGGCTAGCGTTGTAGCGAAATGGGAAAACCATCTCCAGGCAAAGGATATGTCCCAGGTTTGCTTAACCAATGGATAAGAAACGGGCATAGATCATTGAGATAAACTTCCAACGGCGGCACGGGAGATCCCTTGGATATATATTTTATATAGTAGCATTACCTACCCACGATAGGCCTGGTTTTCATTTCAAATAGAACAACCAAGCACATCAGGAGCACGAATAGTAATATCAGCACATTATCCCATGCACTTTATTTATTTCGGTATCTGCCAGCCACATGGCTCGTTCGAGGAAGTATACTTGTGGCGATCTCACTAGCCAGAATTTGAGCTAGGAGAAATGCCCTTGGACGTGTCCAGACATCTGTCAGCGCATGGGAGTCGGTTGATCTCGAACTTATTGGGTGGAGCACTATTGGCCTTGCTCATGATTATTGACTCTGTACCTGAAAGAAGTAGAGCTTGAAAACTGTGCCGACAGGTTCGTAATTGTAGAGAGTGGCGCCACAAAAGTCTGTGACCCCCCTAGCTGACCACCCTTTTTCTGCCATAGATTCTGCCGCACTAAAACCTCTCAAAAATAATAATCAAATTGATCGAATAGCTAATATTTAGTATACCAGCCATTTGATGCAATAATCGCCTGGACCCTACGTGGCATACTCTCTGATAGGCTCTCTAATACACCAAGATCAATTTGTTGCCATGCCTCCTTCGCTGTATCGATTAAAATAGCTAGGGTGTTATCGTTATTAGGCATATACAATAGATCAGGCCGAATTTCATAGATCTTTTGCTTAAGTAATGTCTAAAGGTTCTCAATTAGATTAAGATCTAGCGAGCAAAGTAGCCAAATCATAATCTTACGGCCTAGATCTGCTATAAATTCGCGTACGATCTACGCAGTGTATATTAAAGTATTATCCTATTGAAAGATTGAAGCCGGGTCGATAAGCAAAGTTAGTAGGATTCGTTAATATAAATCAAGAATTACAAAGCGATTAACTCCTTGACGAGGAGATTCTAGGTCTCCGTATAGGGCTACTGTCAGCATATAAGTATGCGTGCGCATAAGATCTTACGTCAGCTAGGAAGGCGGTGCGCATAGCGGTCAACCAGAGGGGTCACACACTTTTGTGGCGCCACTGTATGCAGGTGGAGCTTAGTTGGCTTGGCGAAGAGTTTGGGAGAGCTTCTCTGGGAGCATCTGATATGGCTACGTAGCTACTGGAGATAGTATGAGATGTGTGTCGCTGTACTAGTTATGCGAGATCAATCTGCAACTGGCCACATCTTCACAATCCGCTAAAGCCTGAATACTTCTCTTAGATGTGTCGAGTATTTGCACGGTGCCCAACAGCGAAGAGGAATCGAACGGACTCTAAAATAATGTCTAGTTATCTTAAGCCATCATAAATTGTCCCAGGAAAGAAATCAACAGCGAAGCAGAAAACGATAAACGCATTCATGGCGGTTTTTATCTAATGGTACCTACAGAATAACTTAGATGGCGGGGAAATAATAGGTTTGCATCTCGTAGAGAGCTGATCACATCCTAGTTAAGAGGCGAGCTAATCAACACTGACAAAGCAGCTGTCCGAAAAGCAGATTGGATCTGCAGGAGGCGTCGTTTGGAAATTTCGCTTCAGGATCAAACATGGTGGATGTCACATTAGTAGTCATGATTGCAGCAAACCCCTGCCCAGGCAATCAAATCAAGTTCAAAGTGGTCTGCACAAAGTATTGTATTCGGATTCAATTGTTGAGGGGCCTTGGTGCACCCATTAGGCGAAAAAGTCGACCACGATAATCAAGATGATGGGCTATGCCAGGGAGGAATGTGATTCTTGACACCTGTCTATAATTACAGAGAAAATATCATGCATTGAATGGACAGAATCAGAATAACCTGGTTGACAGAGTCGAGGGGCCTTCTCAAGCCACGTGAGTGGCTCCACCCAAACGGGTGTACATGCGCCCCAGCTGTCGCAGCATACGCAATCCTTTTCTTCTTCCAACATAAAGCTGCAGGCAGGCCCGGATCAATCGCTGCCAGTCAGCGAGACTTGAATTCAATTTCTTCTCCGTTTACAATCTATCACCTTTCAGACTCTGGAATCGGCCCGAGGCTCTATCCTGTGCCTGCTCGGAAGCCTCCTACAATATTCTGTTTGCGGTACTCCTGTGTACCTCCGATCTCCGACCGGCATCGAGGTCGCATTGTGAAATTACGGATTAGGCAAATGCGACAGCCCTGCAACATTGCAATGCCACTTCCTCGATTGATCTGAGCTTAACTTTCTCCTCGACAAGCACGCGCGACTCTAGCCCGGATCAACCTTCAAAAACCTCCCGCATTTCCTGATCGCCCCCCGAGCTTGCGCTTGAGCCTGACACGCACCTGCAAGGCGTGGTACCCTTGTCTCAGTAGCGCGCGTGGCTGCGGCAACATTTTCCAAGGGCATTCCAAGCGAATTGCGCCGCCGTCGCTGCCCGCCGCCCGCCGCCCAACATGCCAACGTTCCGCAGGCCCTTACTCGCCGCTATCTGCTTCATCGCCTTCATCTTCCTCATTCGCTCGAGTCGACCAGCCGAGGTTCCTGGGGCACCTGGCTATCAACCCGCACAAGAGATATTCAGCGAGGAACAGGATAGGCTATTACATCTGAAGAAAAAGGCAAAAGCTCGACAGCAGCAAGCCCTCTCCTACGGTAATGCACCACTACGCGAACGCCTGCGATACCAATTCCCCTACGACCTGCGAAGCCGATTCCCCGCATATATTTGGCAAACGTGGAAATATACCCCATCGTCGATATGGTTTGGAGACAGCCTTCGTGCGTCCGAGGCAAGTTGGACAGATTTACATCCGGGATTCACGCATGAGGTAATTGCGGATGATACGCAAAGGCATCTGGTCCAGTACCTGTACGGATCTCTCCCAGATGTCTTTGAAGCCTACGATGCCTTGCCGCTCGCGGTCATGAAGGCCGATTTCTTCCGATACCTGGTTCTGCTCGCCCGGGGTGGAATTTACAGCGATATCGACACTTTTGCTCTCAAGCCAGCCCCGTCCTGGCTGCCCGACGAACTTGACCGATCCAAGGTGGGCTTTGTCGTTGGCATTGAGGCCGATCCAGACCGTCCCGACTGGCATGATTGGTACTCGCGCCGCATTCAATTTTGCCAATGGACTATCGTCTCGAAACCCGGTCATCCGATCCTACGCGACATGGTTGCATATATCACGGAAGAGGCACTCCGCATGAAGAGGGCTGGTATCCTCAAGGTGGGAAAAATGGATAAGACCGTGATGGAGTTTACGGGACCGGGTGCGTGGACAGATGCGATTTTCCGCTACTTCAACAACCCCGAGTACTTCCATATTCTGTCCGGGGAGAAGAACGTCACGTACGAGGACTTCAGTGGCCAGACTACCCACCGAAAGATGGGAGATGTGGTGGTCTTGCCAATCACGAGTTTCAGTCCGGGCGTTGGGCAAATGGGTGCCGAGGACACTGATCACCCCATGGCTTTCGTGAAGCATAACTTTGACGGTATGGCTACTCGTTAATTCTACAAGACTGTTTCCCTACTTGACGCTGACGTCGGAATATGTAGGCTCATGGAAGACAGACCCTTCCCTATGAAACAAAAAGTTGGATTTTACAATACCATTCAACTTCAAATCCGAATCTTCGCACTACTCGCGCCCTTGAGGTGCATTTTGCCTACGATGAAACACGGCACAAATCTTCTCTTATCTCGCGAATCCGCACAGGGCATTGAGATTCTCACTCATCACTTCCTTTGGCTTCACCCCTTCTCTCAGGCTTCAGCTATTCCCGCACCGCCTAGCCTATCCAACCCCACGCCAAACTTTCATCGTTGAGCCTCTTCAGCTTGTACCTTCCAATGGGTGGTATGCAATCCGTCGTCTGGCCAAAATGGCCCAAAACTAAGAACTTGCTGGTGGAACTTCCACGGGCAATGAATTCTCCTGCGGTGACGTTCCCTACTTGCGACCCATGTTCCACGAACCTCCGTAAATATGATTCCCATCACTGTCTTCTTGTGATATACCCTTTTGTACCTGCAATTTTTTTAGATGATAGCAGTGCTAGCTTATTAGAATGATAGACGGGGCTAATGTTGCTCTTATGGACCATCCGGTTCATGATTGAAATGTGAAATGTCGATTTACATTAACTTTCCTGACCTTATCTGAAGTGGTCGAGGTGACCAACACATACTAGGTATGGCTTTTGCTGAGTTGGCGCTTGTTCCAAGAGTGCCGAATAGATATTTAATTGAGACTTACATACTCATCTCCTCTACCAAGCTTTCGCTACTCGGAAGAATTACGTGACATCAGCAAAGATGAAAGCTATATTCATGATAGAAGTATGTACGAGGCTAGTTCGCGATATGACATATTCAAGCCACCAACCGCTATATATACTGACTGCTTCAAAGCATGACAAAGCCACCACTCTGAGTGAAAAATACAAAGTGGTGGTTGTAGATCACAAGAATTAGATACATGCATCCTCCACTAAATGCAGGGAAGACTCGAAAGAATTGGCAATGAGGATGGATGGGAGGTTATCGGATGGTTGTCGGAGCGAGGTGAGCGTTGACGTCAACCGAAAAACCCCCAATTCGGGCAAATTCATGACTCGAGGTAAGACGGAGTTGAAAGGTCTTTGAGATGAGACCAGCTCCATTGGTGCCATGTGAGCAGAAGGAAAGAAAGACGGGTCGGCAGGGCCGCTGGTCTCGCGATACATGCTGCAAGACTCTCATATCTCTGTCGTGATGGCTTTCGGATCAAAGAGATAAAGATGAAGATCAAGGACAAACGGAAAGGCTATGGGCCCCGCCCTAGCAGAGAGCCATGATCTGAAACCTAGAGAGAAACTGCGATTCTCGGCTTCGGGATCCGCATCATAGAGACGGGTGGTTGTTGAAACAGACCATACTGAAATACTTGATGATCTCTGAATGTACTGCCTCTCAGAAATCACTGAAAAGAGGCTCATATTTCTTTTTCAGGTCATCAGTATAGAGATTCTGGTTTCGGTTGTCGGAGTCCGGGTATTCCTCAAAGTTTCCGGTGTCCGCCGGATGTGATACTCGGGGAAGGATCGGGCCTTTGACGCGTCGATAAAAGAGATCATCCCAAGCCACATCTTGGAAGAACGGGTGAGACTTGACCCGAGTTGAGCCGCCGGAAATATGGCCCAAACGTTCCGAGGGGTTGGTTTTGCAGAGCAAGGAGACAATGTTCTGCGCTGCGGCGGGCATATTTGGCGGGAAGCGTATTCTTCCTTCAACGATTTGCTCATATATACGCATGGGATTTTGATCCCAGAATGGAGGCTGTCCAACAAGGAATTCATAGATCAGAATCCCAAGGGCCCACCAATCGACAGCGAGACCGTGACCGCTGTTATGAATAACTTCTGGAGCTAGGTATTCGGGAGTACCGCAGAGTGTGTAGGTCTCACGATTGTCAACCTGCTTTGCGAATCCAAAATCGACGAGTTTGATATGACCGTCGGCGTCGAGGAGGATGTTCTCCGGCTTGAGGTCGCGATAGGCCACTCCTTGGACATCGTGTAAATATTCAATGGTCATTGTAATTTCCGCCGCGTAAAACCTCGAGGTTTCCTCGTTGAAACGTCGTGCTCGTCGGAGATACGTGAAGATCTCACCCCCAGGGCAAAAGTCCAACTGCGATCAGTTAGCGTCCTGCAGGAACCCGAGACAGAAGTCCACGAGGGAGCCCAAGCCAAACCATACCAACATATAGAGATTCTGTTCGTCCGAGAAGGATGCGACTAGGGTTGTAATGAAGGGATGTCCGATAACGGCCGTGAGGGTCTTGCGTTCATTGCGTACATGTTCGACCTGCTTTAGCTTGATCACTGTTCAACGATAAGCGGGCGATAATTAGCCTTCGGCTGCATGCAGATTGGAGGATCTAAAGCCCACGCGTACCGTCGGCCTTGCGCAGGATCTTCAGCGCGTATACTTTGTTCTTGTCGGTCTCCTCCTTTAGTCGCGTGAGCCATACTCGGGCGAAAGTACCTGTAAATCACAAAGAGGACGTGTCAGACTCTAGCGCTTGCGCTGGTGTGCGCGCAGAAGTATCCTCACCGGTTCCGAGCGTCTTGATCAAGACAAAATCATTCACATGTAAGCTCCTCGAGGAGATATATAGCTGTTTATCGTCCCGGCGCTCGTTGATGAGGAAGGGGTTCGAGGATCGTTGCGGAGACCGACGGATGGACTGGATGAGGTGCTTCTCCTTCTCGTGGATATCGGTGGAGCGCATACTATGGCTTTTGGAAGTGGGAGAGCTGCCCTGTACCTCAGTTGGCGCCGAATGTTCAACAGTTCCGGTCGCCATTGGTAGGGCAAGAGATCATGTCTCTTCGCTGCGGCGTGAAGCAAGAAAAAAAAGGGTATAAAGCGCCCACCCGGTTAGCGCGCCACCAATCGCATCGGCACCCCAGCTCGATTCCAGGGGAGTTTTAGATCGAAACAAGAAACATTTGCAAGTAAAGTCCCCAACCGAAGAATGGAGGGGGGTTAGGATGGTTAGCGCGGGGCAGAGAGTTATGAAAGCGAAGGTCTGCCAGCTCTGACGTATCTTATGGGGGCGGGGCTGAACGGGCTGGACGGATCAGGGGGCGGATTACGGTGATAAATCGGAATCTTCTTTTTGGCCTACGCCTGATTTCATTCACCCGGAATCTATATGCGAACAGGGCCCTGTTATAATACACCCACAAAATATCAAAGAAAATAACGTCCATGCAATTCAGATGACAGCTGGCCCGGATCTTGATCGACTTTCTCGAGACACGGCTGGCGCTGGCGCTGGCGCTGGCGCCTTTGGAGCGCAACGCATCGGGACGATCAGATGGAAAGAGTCTGGGCTCAAAAATGAGGAGGAGTTATGCGCCGAAAAAAAAGCAAGTGCACTAAACAGAGGTAAAGAGGCGGGAATCGCCACGCTCTCAAGACTTGGAGTTCAAGATCAAGCCAACAATCAAGCTACTCGTCGTGTTAGCCTCGGGACTTGGAGAGTATCTGGATACCACGTCCCCGGACACTTACCCATACAGACCTAGCACTTCACCGAAAATCAAAATCAGAATCATACCGACGTAAACCCGTGACTGTTGCATGTACGCGCGAACACCCTAGGATGGTGATTAGAGCTGTATATTTCCCTTCAAGGCACATCGAACCCAGAATCCTTACCGCATCACCAACAATCCCAATAGTATAGCCCGCGGCGACACCGGAAAGGCCAACCGATAGACCCGCTGCGAGATGCATAAATCCCCTGTTTCCCGAAGAGTCAGCCGTTTCTGTCTGGCTGCACACGAGCACCTCCCCAGCTTCTCAAACGTACTTGTATAAGCTCTGTCTCTGAGCTGGGTTGACATCTCCAGCGATCAGGACTGAAATAACGAGACCGTAGACTGCAATGATACCGGACATGACGACGGGGATGAGCGACTGTGGAAGCAAGCTGGTTAGCCTCTCTGCATGCCATGCCCGTGATAGGGTCATCGTGCGCGCTGGTTGGACCAGTTGCGCTGCTCTTTCTCTCATCGTACCTTCATAATCAGGTCTGGTCTGAAAGTGCCCACACCCGCAATACCGATACCTGACTTTGCGGTGCCATACGCTGCTCCTCCAGCTGTGAAGTGGTCAGTTGTTAGCTATGCTGCCCGAGTACCCTAAATTATCTGTCCACGGTGTGGAGTGACGTACCCCCGAAGATCATCTTCGAGGAGAGAAGCTGTTAGTATCCTTGATGCATCTTGCCGAAAGTATTGATTGACTCACTGCAGCTGCAATGCCGGCCTATTCCAAGATACTCGTTAGCCTGGACTATCTCTGAGCGGGAGCTTCAGTCGGGCTACTCACGAAGGAGAAGAATGGGGCGAACTTGGGCGCCAGGTCACTGTCCGCCATGATGAAGGGTGTGCAAGAAGTGAGAATTAGGGTTGTACAGAAGAGACGAGAACTCGTCGAGGCGAGATTGAAGACAGCGCGAGCAGCTTAGCGGGAGGTGTACTGCCAAATCGGCTGTCTCTCTCCTTTGGAGGTGGTTTGCGTGGAGGATCATTTGGCCCGCCGTAGCGCAGTCCCGTGCTTGTCCGCTCGGGGGAAGATAACCGTACCGTACCACTCTTGTGGAAGCTTCCACTACGGGCCCTGGCGGTATCTTACCGGGTCTGGTCACCAGATTACCACAATATCGGGCAGCCTGTCACCTCGCCTCATTCTCGTTCCTCCTCCTCCCCCCCCTCAAGGCTATCACTCTGCATTTCAACATTCACTACTTCCCCACCAGTCAACCTCTTCCCTCCTCCCCCTCCTCCGTCTTCTCCCTCTCGCAAATCGTTCCCTCCTCTCAACGGCTTCCCACTGGAGGAATGCTGAGGGTATGAACTTCCAAGGAGCCCGAACTTTGTTGCGCTCACGGCTCCTGGCGCTCTTCGGTTACGACTTCTGAACCCGCCAACTCCCTCCCCCCCAGGTACCTACCAGAGGGAAAGCTATGCCAAATTGAGGACACTTCTTTGCACAGAAACCATTTTTCATTTCTGTCCCTCGGATACTTCGCCCCCCGCAGGGTTACCACTTTCGCTCTTCCCTTCCCTTTCGATTGCCCACGATCGGATCTTGAACAGAACAATTGCGACGCCCTGAACGCTCTCTACGATCGACGCGGATACCCCCCCCCCTTTTTTTTTCTTGCTTTCGTCCTTTTCCGATCTTCCGCACAGAGCAATTCTCTCTATCTGACAACCATCCGCTCTATCGTCGATTGCGGGACTTGTGAACATGGCAGACTTGGGGGGCCAGCGTAACCGGAATTACCGGCCCTATGGCAACGGGCCTGCCTCGTCCGTGCAACGAGATGCTGCGTACAACGACATCTTCGGGAGCGCACCTCCCCCGGGACGCTCCCATACAATGACATCGCAGACTCCACAGTTCTCACAGGGTCGCGCTCATACCATGTCGTCGCATGTGGCGCACCCCCAATTTCAACGAGGACCGCCTCCGCCCACACGACAGCCAGTTGCAAATGGTTATGGACCCCCACCGTCAGCGCCGCCAAATGGATACCCCCCGGCACCACCGTCTGGAAAATATCAAGCCTACAACCCGGGCGCGGCGACCATGTCCTCACAGCCGCCTCCGCCGCGACAGTACCCAGGGGGCCCAGGACGGTTCGCCTACCCCCGACCCCAACGCCTGGACTCTAAACCCGGTCCGCCATCCCAGTACCCGGACCCCCACGATCTCGGCCGGCCAATGCCTCCTCCCGCCTTGAATTCTGACCGGGAGAGGTCACGATCGATGGCTAAATTGAGTGGGCCATCCTACCAAGCCAGCCCAGCCCCGCCGACTCCCTTCAACCATACCTCGTCTCAGCACGCTCGTCAACCGCCGCACCACTATGGTGCATCCACGGTGACCCAGCTTGGACGGACAGTTCCTGATAGACACAGCGACACGAGAGCCATGTCCATGACCTCCTACGCGACGGATGGCAACCATCCCCACATTATGAACAGTGGAAGGCCAATTCCAACTCCAACCCGAAGGCCCCCGTCAGGCCATGAGCAATCGACCCCGCCGCAGAGATTTGACTCAATGCCAGCCAATGCGGCCGATTTTTATGTTAACAAACCCCGCCCTCCAAGCGATGCGTCGACCCGATCCCGCACAATGTCCATGGCTTCGACTATCATTCCAGATCGAACAATGAGCGTGCAGAGTCAGACCACACAGGGTTCTAACGATCAAAACACACTTGTCTCTAGGGATTCCCACCGTCGTGTTCCTGTGGTTTACCCTGCTCTGCTTTCGCGCGTTGCGGATGTGTTTCGAGAGAAGATCTCGATTGGTGAGCGACAGAAGAACGGCTTGTCATACCAGAATGCCTTCTCGGGTACGGATGCTGTGGACTTGATCGCCAATATCATCCGGACAAATGATCGCAATTTGGCTCTCCTTCTGGGCCGTGCGTTGGATGCCCAGAAGTTCTTCCATGATGTCACCTACGACCATCGCCTTCGAGACGCTCCTGGGGAGGTCTATCAATTTAAGGAGACTTTGACCGAAGATAGGACCGTCGGTACCGAAGTCAATGGCGTGTTCACCCTCCTGACTGAATGTTATGTGCCTACATGCAACCGGGACAGTCTTTGTTACTCCATTGCCTGTCCCCGCCGCTTGGAACAACAGGCGCGGTTGAATTTGAAGCCTCAGCCGATTCTGAGAACTTCGGGATCTCAAGGCAGCTTACATCTTGATGATGACGATGACAATGACAACCAAAAGCTGTGGATTAATATGGTTCCGAAGGAAGTCTCTGAGAATGTTGACGACCACGAGAAGAAACGGCAGGAAATCATCTTTGAGATCATGTACACCGAACGTGATTTCGTCAAGGATTTGGAATACCTGAGAGATTTCTGGATGCGACCATTGCGTGCGGCTGGCACCAATACCCATTCTCCTATCCCTGAACATCGGCGAGAAAAGTTTATTCGGACAGTGTTTGGAAATTGCTTGGAAGTGTTGAAGGTCAACAGTGCTCTTTGTGAAGCCCTGAATGCTCGTCAAAAAGAAAGTCACGTTGTCAAGACCGTCGGTGATATTTTCCTTCAGCATGTGCCTCGCTTCGATCCTTTTATCAAGTACGGTGCCAATCAGCTTTATGGTAAATTCGAATTTGAGAAGGAGAAGGGCTCGAATCCCGCCTTTGCCAAATTTGTGGAGGATACCGAGCGTCTCAAGGAGTCCCGCAAGCTTGAGCTGAATGGTTACCTTACCAAGCCTACCACTCGTCTTGCTCGATACCCACTGCTGCTGGAGTCAGTCCTCAAAAATACGGCGGATGATAATCCTGACAAGGAGGACATCCCCAAGGCTGTGAAGCTGATCAAGAGTTTCCTTTCGCGCGTCAATACCGAGAGTGGTAAAGCCGAGAATCACTTCAACTTGGTGCAGCTGAACAATCAATTGAAGTTCAACCCTGGCGACTATGTGGACCTGAAGCTCACGGAGGAGAACCGCCAGATGCTCACCAAAATGGCGTTCAAGAAGACCACTGGAGAAAGCTCCGAGGTAACTGCCTATCTTTTCGACCATGCAGTGCTCCTTGTTCGTATCAAGGTTGTGAACAAGCGAGAAGAATACCGTGTGTACAAGAAGCCTATCCCTCTTGAGCTTTTGGTTATTGCTCAAATGGACGAGGTCATTCCTCGCCTGGGAATTTCCAAACGACCGTCATCGAGCCTCTTATCCAACAAAGTGGCTCCCAATCCTCCCCCTACCAAAGACGGACAGCTACCGATCACGTTCCGCCATCTTGGTAAAGGCGGCTACGAGCAGACTCTCTACGCAACGTCTCCAACCCAGCGAAGGAAGTTCATTGAAATGGTTGAAGAGCAACAACGCAAATTGTGGGAACGCAACAGCAACTTCTATAATAAGACGATCCTGTCTGAGAACTTCTTCTCGGCCATCAACCGTGTCAATTGCTGTGTTCCAGTTGGTATGTTGACCCTATCTGCGCCATACCCTTATTTCTGTTTCTTTTCCATGTACTGACCAAGACAATTTAGACGGAGGACGCAAATTGGTCTACGGAACTGACAGCGGCATCTACCTGTCAGAACGCTGGCCCAAGGACAAGAACGCAAAACCCAGGAAGGTGCTGGAGGCCAGCCAGGTCACTCAAATCGATACTTTGGAAGAGTACCAATTGCTCCTGGTCTTGGCAAATAAGACTCTCCAGTCCTACCCTCTCGATGCGCTTGAGATAAGAGAGGGTCAAAATACCATGGCGAAGCGCCCGAAGAAAATCCAGGGCCATGCGAACTTTTTCAAGGCAGGCATCGGTCTTGGTCGTCACCTGGTGTGCTCGGTCAAAACGTCCGCATTGTCGAGTACTATCAAGGTTTACGAGCCAATGGACAATTTGGCCAACGGTAAGAAGAAGTCTGCTGTCAGCAAGATGTTCCAGAGTGGGCAGGATACCCTCAAGCCCTTCAAGGAATACTACATTCCTGCCGAATCTTCTTCCATCCATTTCCTGCGCTCTACACTGTGTGTCGGCTGTGCACGCGGCTTTGAGGTTGTCAGTCTTGAGACGACCGAGACGCAATCGCTCTTGGATCAGGCCGATACATCTCTCGATTTCGTCGCCCGTAAGGAAAATGTCAAGCCTATTCATATCGAGCGTATGAACGGAGAGTTCCTCCTGAACTACAGTGACTTCTCGTTCTTTGTCAACCGTAATGGTTGGCGCGCTCGTCCAGACTGGAGAATCTCTTGGGAGGGTAATCCGAATGCCTTCGCACTGTCCTACCCTTACATCTTGGCGTTCGAGCCCAACTTCGTCGAGATTCGCCATGTCGAGACAAGTGAGCTCATTCACATCATGACTGGCAAGAATATCCGCATGCTGCATTCTTCCACTCGTGAGATCATCTATGCTTATGAAGATGAGAATGGCGAGGATGTGGTCGCTAGCTTGGATTTCTGGAACAAGCCACAGCAGATTTAATCTTTGCTGGCTGTATAACCACTTTCATAGGAGCCACTGGTGGCTCATTGCTGCCGTCTCTAGTCGCCATGTCTCTGTTCTAGACATTCCGTTGTTCCAGTCCTTTACTCTGGAATTGCATTTGCGGTATTCTTTTCACGGCTGCTTGCAACGAGAGATGAAAGCAGCAATGGATACAAAGTCCTTTCTGTCCTGCAAGGCTTTCGGGCTCCTTTCGAGCCCACAAGGCTGGGTTGAGTCCTGCATCTTCACTTGTATACCAGCGTCCTGGGACGTTCTCAATATCCGCGCCCCTGACCCCATCCTTTCGCCATCTCCTCCATTTCCTCCCGTCTTCCTCCGTTCTCCTCGCCTAGAAGACCTCAGTCCAATGGCTCTTCTCCACATCGCCAATCTCGTTTCTCTGTCCGTCCGCGTGTACAATGGAGCGCAAAATACCACTTCTTGCGTGTCTGCTTGCCTTTTTTTCCCTGCACGCGCCGTTCCTCGTTGCATCTTTTCCGAGCTGCCTTACTTTCTCCTTAAAAATTTATTGGACTTTTTTTTCTTTCTTCCCCCCCCCCCCTCCTCCCCTCTCCTCTCTCTCTCTCTCTCTCTTTTCTCTTCTTGCTTGTGCCTCCGCATGGCCTGCGAAGTGATGACCATGTTCTTGGATCTTTTTAGCTTCTTTCTTCTTTCTTTCTTTCTCTAGTATTATTTACTTGTACTGTTTTTTGAGGTGTCTTCATAGTTTTTTTCTAAATGGATGCCGTTGATATGGAATGCTTCGAGCTTTCATCTGTAGTTTCACGAGGTGTTTAGTCGCGTAAGGTTGCGAAACTACTATATCTCATGATAGGAGATAGATGGGCATTCCATCAAGCGCCTGGTTTGAGACCAAAGTAGCAGTTAACTACCTGCAATGCTCGGTTGCCCATCTGAGTACGGTAGTCCATCCGGCCTGTGAATAGATGCTTCAGCCTAACTAGATCTCTAAGCTATACCAAGACGGAAAACACTACAGAAAAGACACCCCAGACTACTATAACTCGATACAAAAGAACACAAAGGCCAAGATACTTTTTCTTCCTCATTTACTATCGGGCTAGGAAGACAGCGGGAAAAAAAGGATAGACACAAGACATGACCAAACACAAAACACAAAAGAGAAGAGGGAATCTTGCTGCGCTGCGGACTTTGGACAAGGTGCCAGGAAGGAAACAAGAGAGATAAACCCGGGGGGAAGGATCACGATAGGAGGGAGTGGATGGGGGAATAAGAAAAACAGGATATGCAGGAAAATAGAAACCCCCGAACAAGTAGACGATTAAAACACAGGGAAAGGGGAATGAGAAGGAGGGATCGTTCTAGTAAACCCACCCCCCAAGATTGAGGGAAGGAATAAGAGCATCCGGTGGGCGGAGAGCAAATTGGGAAGAGTCGCAGGGTGGAACGTCGAGATGAGAGGAGCAATTCAGAGCAAATTGTCCCATCCCAAGCGTGCGCTCTTTTTCCTCCAACAGAAGCAAGAAAGGAGAAATTTGGTGCCCGTCGTCGAATGACCAGAAGGTTGCATTCTATGTTGGGAATCTTGTCCATCTCCGTAGAGACACCGGGTAAGACATAGCAAGCAGAGAAGAGAAAAAAAAGCTATTAACGTGAATAAACAGTCAATATTATCCCCATAAACAGAAACCAACTTCGTGCCACGAAGTCCATGAGTTGGCACAAACGGTATCACATTGCGAACCGGCGCCCCGCTGACTGAGCCGCATCGACGACAGAGTAAATCTAAGCCTCCCCGTTGGCGGCTTCGCTGATATTGCTCTGGCTGGCCTCGCGCGCCATGCGAGCCTCGATCTCTCTGAGCTGGCTCTCGCGGGCCAACAGCTCCTGTCGCTTCTCGGCGATCTCGCGCTGCACCTTGAGCTCGATCTCGCGCAGCTTCTCCTCCTCGCGGCGGAGCTGCTCCTCCTTCAGGCGGACAGACTGGGAGGCAAGATCCTCGGGGTTCATAGAAGAGTCGATGCCGCTGTTTAAATATATTAGTATCGATGATCATGAGGCAAGGGATTGGATTTGTAGGAAAGACGTACGAAATGGCACCGTCCACGCTCTTGCTGAGCTTCTCGGTACGGTAGTTCTCGTAGAGGAAGTCGTGAGTGATCTCCTTCAGATCAGCCAAATGGCTGTGGAGCAAGGCACTGCGAATGGCCAGGAAGTCGGAGTGCCGGGGGTTCTCGACCTCGACAACACCCCAGGGGTACTGTCGGGCGCGCACTTTCCGGTTATCAATCTCGACAAAGTCCTCGGAGCCAACAATAGCAAAGGGCATCAGTCCACGGAGCTCGGCGTTCTCCTCCACGGTATCCTCGTCATCCTCCTCAATATCGTAGGGGAAGTTGTAGACGGGGATGCGGTAGTGTTCGATGTCCTCCATAATCAATTTCTTGGACTCGGCCAATTCTGCGGGGGTGAGGGAGTCGGCCTTGCCGATGACGGGAATAACGTTGACACGGGGGGACAGGCGCTTCATCAATTCGATATCGAGTTCGCGGAGACCGTGGCCGGTAGGTGTGATGAAGTAGAGCAACACGTGCACACGGTTGTCCCTGAAACGGGGGTTACGCTTAATGCGCGACTCCTCTGCAAGAATGTCATCATATTGGCGCTCAAGGTAGCCGACAATCTCGCCGAAGCTGTTATGGGGTGTCAGCAGGGGAGAGGGACTCTTGTTGAGGATGTGGAAAGGATGCGGGTTGCGGGGTATAAACATGCCTCGCCTCGTTGTCAATCTGATCACCAAATCCGGGGGTATCAACGATGGTTAGGGAGATGCGAGTGCCCTCCTCATCCAGCTCGAGCTCTGTTTTTGATCCGAAAGGTCAGCATTGATCTACGCTGGCTGCGCGGCGGAGTTGCTCCCACTCACCGACAGTGACGGGCTTGATGCGAACGCCCTCCTCGATGTGAGCGTGCTCAGCATCATCGGCCTCCTTGCCCTCCAGCACCTTCTTTCCGCAGAGAGTGTTGACAAAGGTTGTGCGACCTGAATTGGGAGATGGTTAGTTGACAATTGGCCAGACCAACGGGGGGTGTCCATTGTCGGGCGTACCAGTTCCGCTGGCACCGCACACCATCAAACAGAACTGAATTCCCTTCTTGACATTCTTCTTGCGGCGAATCTTGATCTACCCACTCGGGGGTTCTAGAGTTAGCTCAGGTGATCTTTTTTGCCCCGGGCCAAGTATGGGGCAGAAGCTTGGGGGAAAGAGGAATAAAAGGGGAAAACATACCGCGTTGAGAGCGGACGACATGGTGGGCTAGGTAAGGAAAGGAAAGGAGACAAGAAGCAGAAAGAAAAAAGAATTGCCTTGCAGCAAGGAATCCACGAAAGAAGAGGGTGAGGATGGAGGCTCTCCTGAGGATTGATCTGGACGGAGAAAGGTAGTCGGAGTAGTCGTAGTCAGTAGTCGTAGGGGGGGATGTGAGGAAAGACAGTTCGTGTTTCCCCCTTTCCTTCCGCCGCGAGCCAATCACGGGACGCTGCTCTTCTCCAGCTTGGTTGGCAAGCAGCCCATGAAGAGAAACTCCACAACGGGGCCAATGGCTGATGGGATGGTGAATAGCTACAGACTGAATGATTTATGAGATGATTTTTGATCTTTCTATCGACTTGAAACTTATTTTGATCTTTTCTAGCAAGCCTATAGCTCATTGTATTTTGTCGTGTTCACTCAGGGGCTAGAGACTCGGTGGGTCAACTCCTGACCACCGCAGCGATTACATAATCCATGATTCAGGCACTCAGGCACCAAGGCACCCAAACGTGGATCCCAGCGAGGGAGCTTCGACTTGCGCCCGCATTTTCGCCTCTTTCTTATCGCCGATCCCGCCCTGGACGACATGGAGGCTGGTTGAATAATACTCTGCCCTTTTCACGCCATACTCGACTGCATTTCCTCTTCATGGCATTGATAGTTGCTGACTGAACGGAGCGTGACCCACTCACTTCGAAGCTATCAACTGCATCCTGCGACATTCCACATCACCCCCAGATCAACCCCGGTCCAAGCTTGGTGACCCACGTCATGGTCCGCAACCATGAACACCCGCCAAGTTATTGACGAGACTATTGGACCGTATTCGCTGTCAGCGGCCTTTAATAATGACAGCAGCTGTTTCTCAGTCGGCTTGAACTCTGGCTTTTGTGGTAAGTCTCGCGCGCGCAGCTTGATGGGGCATGTCGAGGGAGCTGCAAACAACGAAAGCTGAGGCTAAGAAGGGTGATTGTGCAGTGTTCAATTCCAATCCTTGTGAGCTCAAGGTTTCTCGAGGTAAGCTTCCGGCTTCTTACATCCTACGACAGACTATCTCAAACTCACCGCCCACCTCGAATCACTTAGATTTCAATGCTGGAATCGGCCTGGTCGAAATGCTCGGCCAATCGAACTATCTTGCGATTGTCGGTGGAGGACGAAACCCCAAGTTCCCCCAAAACAAAGTACGCACAAGCCTCTCCTTGGATCCAAATGCAGAACAAGCACTCATAAGATACCCATCAGCTGGTTATCTGGGATGACGCCAAGCAAAAAGCCGCCATCACCCTCGAATTCCGCACCTCCGTCCTCGGCGTCCGCCTATCCAAGTCCAGAATCGTGGTCGCGCTCTTGAACAGCATTCATGTATTCGCATTCTCGACACCCCCACAGAAGTTGTCGGTATTCGAGACGTCGGATAACCCGCTCGGACTAGCGTGCCTTGGTCAGAAACAGCTCGCCTTCCCAGGCCGGTCCCCGGGACAAGTGCAGGTAATCGAGCTGGAGACGGGCAATATCAGCATTATACCGGCGCATAGCTCTCCCCTACGCGCCATGACACTGAGTCCGGACGGGGAGGTGCTTGCGACAGCAAGCGAAGCTGTAAGAATCCCGCTGGCTAGAGCCGGCTTCTTACAGTTGCTAACATATTCTAGGGAACACTTATTCGTGTCTTCTCTACAGCGAATTGCACGAAACTGGCAGAATTGCGCCGAGGCGTAGACCATGCAGTCATATTCTCTCTTGCATTTTCTCCCTCTAATACCCTTCTAGCAGTCACTTCCGACAAGTCCACACTCCACATCTTTGATATACCCCACCCGCATCTCGCGCACCGAGGCCAGTCTCCCACTTCAGCGACCGAGGAGGGAACGAATCAGAAATGGGGCATTTTAGGCAGACTACCTCTGCTACCGCGTGTGTTCTCCGACGTGTACTCCTTTACCAGTGCTCATTTTGAGATTGGCGAGGAGGCTACGCCGGGGTCACCGTACGCAACGCCCATCGGTACATCAATGGGGCGGCCTCCCAAAGGCGTCATTGGATGGATGGATAATCGGACTCTTTTGGTAATTGGATCCGGCCAGGACGGGCGTTGGGAGAAATTCGTTCTGCGGGATGGCGATGACGGCAAGCGATATTGCATGCGCGACGGTTGGAAACGGTATCTGGGCGGCTGATCGCATTCTAATACCCAATTATATAACGATAGCGACCGATTTGACCTCTTCGGGGAGATGTCGAGGCCAGGATCCGAGGCCTCGAAATGTTGGGAACTCTGCTGAGTACTGGTTGACTCTGGCTGAGCTAGATACATTGGACGGCGATGATTGGACCAGTTCCTGTAATAATACAGAGCCTTGTGTATATGGAGTTTCGTTCGTGGCAGGTAGATGGGCGAGCATAGAAATGGTGTATGCGGGCTGTTCAGCGGCGGCGATCATGTCTCTCTCGGTCACTGCGATGTCTTCGAGAGCCCGGTGAGCGAGATCGCTCCGTCGACCTGTCTCTCCTAGATCGTTCTCCTCTTTCCGTTGACCGGTCCCCACGAGGACGTTCCTTTCGTTCTGTAGAGCGATCTCTTCTCGATCTCTCCTCGCGATCTGCAGACCGGCGCCGTGATTTCGTTTCCCTGCCTGGGGACCGATCGTCTCGGCGTCTGTGGTCCGTGGAACGAGAGCGATGGCGGCGATGGTGTCGACTGGAGCGTTCTCTGCTGTCATCCCGCCTCCTAGACGATCTTTTGCTGCTTTGATACTTCGCAATCGCAAGTGCAACCTCTTCTTTCTTCTCTTCGATCAAGAATTCCTTCATCGGGTCCTCCTCATCGTGGTTCTGAATGAGTTCTTGGAGTTCCTTCTCCTCCTTGAGCATAGGTCGGCGCTCCTCTCTGTCGGCATCGCTGCGCCTTCTCCTGCGGTCATGTCGGCCATCGTCGCCATCCTTTTTGCTCTCGGTAATAGTCGCATCGCCCATCAGCCTGGCGACATTATCTCCCTCCTCCTCGTCATCCCGGCGCTTGTAGCGTGTGTGGTCCACACGCAACAGACGCCCTAGAACCGTTGCGCCACCCAGATTATCGACTGCAAGGTCTGTGCTGCGCTGGTCCTCATATTTGAGGAACGCAAAACCACGACTCTTGCCCGTTTCCTTGTCGCGGAGCAGGTTGATATGCACTGGTTCTCCATACTGCGAGAAAATCGTGACAATATCACCCTCCGAGAGATCGAGTGGAAGCCCGCCGATGTAAATGTACGCGGTGTCGCGGTAGTCTGCATGCCATGACGCTTCGGGTGGTCTAGACGAAGCGCGATACGAGTTAGTTCCGGAGTTATAGGTGACAGAGTGAAGTATCATGATAAGCTGTAACTTACACCGCGTTTTCAAGCTCGCGCTTGTTGAGCGCCTGAGTCTGGCGAATGGCGTTCATGGTGGGCCGTTGGGAAAGAGGTGTAAGTTCCGGGTTGAAGAAAGAAAGCTGGTAAGAAAAGGGTTCTCCACCCGGAGCATCTGCGGAACCGTAAAATCGCCAATTGTTTACTCACCCCCAAGCAGCCCCCCTGGTCCATCCTCCGTGACGTCGTCGGATGCAAGCTCGTTCACCCACACGACATTATTTCATTTAACAGCCGAAGAAGCTCCTGGCTGTTGCGGTCCAGGTCGAGCTGTAATCTTATCCCACTTCCGCCCGCTTTCTCCAGATTCCCCTGACCGCGCGCGAACTCTTTTGTCCTTCACCTCCCCTCCACCACCACTTCCGATCCGGCATTTCTAACGAGCCACAGCCCTCAGTACTCCTACGCTTTGCTCAGGTGCTTGGAATGGTGCATGCCTTTTGAGGCATAGCGGCACTAGACCAGACGATGTCATCCAGTCCGAATCGTGGAACCAAAGCGTCCGGTACCAACAGTCGGCCTACGAGCAAGGATGGTTCAAAGAAGAATATCTGGTCGTCATTGCTAGATGGTGTCGCTAATGGAAAGCGCCTACCGGAGAAAAACTTGTTGATCCTAGGTTAGTGAGAGTCCCTTTGTTCTAGTGAACATTCCTGCCCGGCCCACGCCCGGCTTTTCTTTCGCGACTGATGATGCTAATTTGTTGACCTTAGGGGGTACCCCGGAAAGCCAGAGAGACTTCTTGGAGACCTTCTCTGCAGACACCTCGGCGGATCCTGGCTTGGTGAACGATAAGCGGAAAGGAAAGACGCCTCCAATCGCTAATCAGTTTGCCTTGGGATACACATACCGAGATGTACTTGATGCCGACCAAGAAGGTGCGGAGACTCTGCGCGATATCATTTCATATCCTGCCAAGCCTAACATTGATACTATATAGATACGCTGGCGCGTGTGTCGGCTTACCTTCTGTCGGAACCCTCTCCATCATTCGCTCCTCTCCTCAAACCGCTCCTGACCCCTCAATCTGTACCCGAAACGCTTGTCATCATTCTCCTGGACTGGTCGGACCCATGGACCTGGATTCGGCGGCTAAGAGAATGGGTGCGCCTTCTCCGCTCTGTGCTGGTGTCACTCGACGACGATACCAAGATCGTGATGGAGGAGACTATGACCGACTGGCGGGACCGCAAGCGAGGCATGGATGCTAACTCTGCAGCAGCGGGAGGGATGTCAAACTCCGGAGGGCCCGTCACAATACCCTTGGGCCCCGGTGAGTGGGACGAGGGTTTGGGTATTCCGATGTGTGTCGTTTGTCAAGGAGTATGTGTCCCCTATATCGATGTTGATGGTACGGAGAACACTATAGCTAATCAATATTCACAGGCGGACAAGATCGAAAAGCTGGAGAAAGACCACGGCTGGCACGAAGAGCAATTCGATTTTATTCTCCAGTTCCTGCGCACAATTCTGCTAAAACGTGAGTTTTGACTATTCGCCTTGGCCTTGATGTTTATGTCTTTCTAACAATACGCACAGACGGCGCTTCCCTCATTTATACTACACCCTTCCTCGCGAACTCTCTGCAGAGCTTGATCCACTCCTCTCTTGGTATACACTCTCTTTTGAAACGACAATCATTAAAACATAATGTTATCGACCGGGATAAGATCCTAGTGCCCGCTAATTGGGACTCTTGGGGCAAGATTCGGATTATTCGTGAAGGATTCGACATGGAAGGTGTATCAACAGCATGGTCAATTGAGATCCAAGATGCGCCCGAGCCAGTCGAGTCGGCTCAAGGTGCTGGCCAGCAGAGCGAGAATGCCGAAGACGGCACCAGCGCCGTGGTGGTGTTTGAGCAGACCATCCAAGACCCCAAGCGCGACACGAGTATTGCCCATCAGGCTACTTCAAATGGAAACAAGATTGAAGTCGAGACCTCGGACATGCAGGGCTTCCTCGCTAAGCAAGTTGAGCTTCTGGAGCAGCTTCGGGCCGAGGACGATAAGGAACGATCCAACCAGCCAACCCCACAGCTGGAAATGTCTCCCATGGAGGATGAGGGCAGAGTCAACGAGCACATCGGTCCTGTGCAGTTCAATATGGGTGGCATCCAAGTTGATGCGGAAGATATGTTGAAGAAGCTAAAGGTAAGCTCAAGTCTCTACACAGCACCCGGCTCAACCCTCGCTGTTACTAACACATCCATCTGTAGGACCGAGAAGCCAGCCGAGCCCAAAAGAAAGAAGGTACCCCTACCAATCCCGGCGACGAGAAAGCTCACAATCAAGCATTGGCAAACTTCTTCGCCGGCCTTGTCAAGAAGCCTGCCGCCAGTCCTCGCGGAAGCCCGTCCGCTTGAGCTGCCTTTCACCCTTCCCTCCTTGGGGCTGTATTTTAGTGCTATGGGCGTACATATGGCGGAAGTCCGAGACTATAGCATCGGCTTGGTCTCTGATCTGCCGACGGCTTGTGCATAACTTTCATTTTTCCCTACTGTGACTTTCTTATGGCTTTTCGCGGGGTGTTAGATAATGATACCAATATGAATTGTCTTTCTGATGTTGTTGGTGTATTGTTTGAAGCTCTCTCTTGTATTTGCTACTTAAAGATTCAATGCAATGGATGATCTCGCGTTGTGTAAACCTGGACAGTGGCTTGAACCTTTCTGTAGGTACACATCCATGCCCGATCGAACCTTCATAGGTCTTGATGTCCCAGCGTGAAGCGCCCATCTCTTTTCTGTAAATTTATACTCGATTAAGTTTCTTTCGCCGCACTTTTGCTGATGGTTTGCGGCTGATTCAAACCGAGGGCAGGATGCTCTTCAAGACATAGATTGCTGGAGCCGTGACCATTGTATATCAAGTTTGTGGTTTGCCCGGTAGCGTTTGTCTGTGTCAAGTTTGGGGGTGTGTTCCGAATCCTTTCCAGCAATTTGTAATGGACACGATGAAGTTACCCCAGGTTGCCACCGATGTATAAGCCTGCATAGCTGTGCCCGAGTCTCCTTGCTATCTTCTTAATCCTATAGTTCCTATTAAGAATATTGTTCAACAACAATGTCCAGCGATGTTAGAATGACAGGGACACACCTGGGGACTAGAAGCGAAACAGATAGAACAAGTGGATGAAGCGAGAATGATTGTCTGAATCTAACCGGGCAAGAAGAAAGGAGGCTCTGGGTCTATCCCGGTTGACTCTCCCAAGAGGCTAGAAGGGGTTGGCACTGCTCACAGTAGTCAGGAGTGAAAAAGGTGGTTGAAGGAGACAAACTAGAATTCATGAGAGACGTCATACACTCTAGGGTGCAGGTAGATGTAAATTCACGTCCTCTGGGGTGCTCATCGGTTTCAGCTTTGGCTTAAGCGGTCTTTACCCCGAGGACCCAGTTCCAATGTCGGTGTCAAATTCTGAGCAACATCAAATCAGCGGTGACCACTGTCAGTGACGCGTATAAAGTCAAATAAAGTTGAAGTGAGATATAATATCACTGAATATGTCAAGTATCAGAGTCTCAGAAGAAGCAGCAGGCCCTGGCAGCTAGCTCCGGATCTGAGGAGTTGGAACTCCCGCAAAGATATCTGGCTTTTGATTTTTCCTTCTTTACAGGTATAGATATGCCTGTTTGCCAAACAGCAGGAGATTTCCGGTTGTTATTTGTGGCAGATCTGGAAACGAAGTGGTGTCTTCGATATAAGGTCGCAATTGAATTAACATGTCTTCCTTTGATAGATTGACAATCTTGACGAGATAAGTAGATAAAAATAATACAATTCTTTTTTTCTCAAGTTCGGCATCGAGTCCTCTACCAGTTCTCCCACACGGCAGCAGGGATAACCTTCCTCATAATCTCCCAGTGCTCCAGGGCTCCTCGGTCCTGGAACTTGTGCAGGCGTCCGACTTGCTTCTCAATAAGCACAGGTCTTCCTTTATTGGGAATAGTTGCAAAGACGGCTGGATCAATCTCGTACTTGGGAACTAGGTAGTTCTCACGAGACTTGCTGCGAAGGTAGTCTGAAGGGACAGGGTCCCGGAACTGGACAGGGGTGTTCGAGCTCTTCTTGCAGAAGAAGACCATGTTGGTGAAGTCTTGGGTTTCATCATCCTTGTTGGCCGGTTGTTCACGGAAGATACGGCACGACGGGAAGACAGCTTGGATGGTACGAGCAATGAGACCGGTGGGATAGAGCTTGAGATCTCCAGCATAGTTCTGCATACGGTTAGCAAATCTAAAATTTTTCATGGGCGTATTGAACATGTCTTACAATAGCAATGACACCATCGTCCCTGAGCAGGGAGCTAAGGTCCTTCAGGAACTCATAAGTGAAGAGTTCCGCGGGCTCAGCGCCACCAGTGAAGACATCGTGGATAATATAGTCGTACTGGGGAGATGGGCTTTTCAGCGCACGCTTGACGAACTTGGTTGCGTCTTCGATGGCAGCGACGTGGTTTGAGGGGAGATTGAAGTACTGGGTTGCAAACTTGTGCACCACGGGGTCAATTTCAACGACGGTCGTGTCGATTCCATGCTTCATAAATGCAGCTGGTGTGGTACCAATACCAAGGCCACTATAATTTGTTAGTCACTCGTTCACCGAATGGTATTACCTGCGGCAAGGAACCATCGAGTCTTACATTACCAACGCCTTACTCCCAGCATCAACACGAGAACCACCATGTTCGGGCTCAACCAGTCGGACAGCCTCGAGCATAGCAAAGACCGCGTAGATGGGGTCTTCGACCTCGGGCCGATAGCCCGGTGAAGCCTTAGTCCACTGTCCACCAAGCAAACTGTGATCACATCGCATCACCCGGAAGCCATCTTGCTGGTTCTCAAGAACCGAGAGATATCCAGTATAGGACTCCTGGCGCGCCAGAAGAGAGTATCCCTCCTTCTGAAGGACCGAGTTCACGCCACCGATGCCTCCCAAGTGGACATCAGAGGTCACCGTGAATAGCAGAGAGGGGATGGCCAGGAGGAGCATCTTGGACGGGATTACAGCCGCGTACATCAGGGCAATGAGGAATTGCAAGCCAGCACGAGAGAAGACAATGGTGAAGCCAATCCCATGAGCCAAAATTGCTCGGGCAACGTGCTCGCCAAAGGAGTAAAGAGCGTAAGAGCCGAGAAGGGGAACATGCTCGACAACGAGGTCACCCTGCGACTCAAGGTGCAAGGAGTATTGAATCTGCTTACCGGCGACAGCAACGGTAAGCATGACAAGCGGATAGTAACCGAATAGCTCAGTGATGACTGGACCAGCCGGGTTTCCGAGCTTGGAACTCTGCTGCATGACGAAGTACTGGATGGTAGGGGTCCAGAAAGCCAGAACTGGAAGAAGGATGGCGGCAAGACGACCGATGCGTCTTTGGATCTGATCTTTCAAGAACCAGCCGGCGCCGGCGAAGATGGTGACACCATAGTTGTGGAAGAGATGGGATGGCAGGGAACCGTAGACTGGTGAGAGCACCAGTACCATCACAGGAGAGTAGAGTGCCAGAATAAACAGCAAAGCAATTCCGGAGACGAGCCGCTTGGCATCGACTCGCCTAACGAATTCTTCGACTGACATGATTCCCAAGTGTTCAAGACTCCTTGGGGTTCCGGTCCGAACAATTAGATATCAGCCCAGGAGGCAAGTTCGTCTGCAAGGGTTATTAGCAAATTTCTGCATTCAATCCCCGGAATGAATATTAATGAGAGCGCCCAAAGGCAGTCTGCATTTGAATTTGAAGCGAATGATGGACGTACAAGCTCAGTTCGACAGCATATCAAGTCGAGGGAGAAAAAAAAGAGCTGCGGAGTGGCAGAAACTCCAGGCTTTTGCCGCCCACTTCCGCGTTCCTAACTTCATCTCATCCCCACATCTCTGAAACGACCCCAAGATGCCACATTTCCCCATGAATACGGGGGTCCAGTCGAGCCAAGATGCATCTCACGATGCGCAGCATGTCTCAATCAAAGTCAAGAACCGTCGGAAGCGGTATCTGGATCTGCATCCCGAATACTTCACGGCAGATCTCGAGCTAGCCGGTCCGCTTGCTCTTTCCTTGTTGCAAGCTCAAAATCTGGTCTCTGTAGTTCCTAGACACGGATTCCAGCATGCGGAGCTGACGGCAGAGAACTGATTCAAAAAGCTAACCGATGTGGAAATTCAAAACTCTAGATCCCTTACTGTACGATCGCCTCATCCGTCGATTCCAAACCCCGCAAGAAAGGGAAGCACAAGGCCGCGCTAAGGGCTTCTCGGGAGTTCTGCAGACGGATCTGATGCGTTCCGAAGCCAAAATGGAGGCTCTCGCACACCCAGATCCTAACGCGATGCTGAGCTACACGCGTGGTCCCAACGGGGAGATCCTAGCCGAGGATCGCGATGATATCCCGGCCAGTAAGGAGGAGGGGGAGAAGGCTTGGCAGTGGGAGATGGGACTACGATTCATGCGAGGCGATGACCCAGACTTTGATTACAAGACTGTCGATGAAAATGATGAATACGATGACTGGACGGAACAACAGGATAAATACTTTGAGGATGAGGAGCCTCAATGGGTGGTTGGAGATGCCCGTGGCGAGGATGCCCAGGCCAAGCTGCAGGGTGAGACTGGCATTCAGGACTTCTGAAAGGACGAAGCTGGTCAAAGACTTTCTGATCTACTTGGACCTGATGGGATATGTATCCGGGTTGCCTTGGTACGCTGATATGCCCAATCGGCTTCGTCTTAAACGACAGAGCGGGATATGGTATAGCGATCGACCACATTCTGAGACCTCCCGGGCACCCATCACTGCGTCTTGGAGCCCATTTTTGGACTCAGTACCGCGTCCGGTGAATCTCTTCGCCCATGTGGGGCTTGAGGTTTTCCTTGCTTGTCACATCGAAATCCTAGCGAGGGACGGGCAGCATGCCGATAGACCATCTCTCCAGAGCTGGCCATGGTAGGGAAGCGTGTCTAGCGTTTACGATTTTGATGATATTCCATTCGATGTTTGAGGAGCGATTACCCCCATGTTCCCTTTTCCAACGATTAGCGACCATGACCGTCGACCTCGAATGCGCGGAGCTCAACGTTTGTATCTTTGAAAAGGCTTCAGCGTCATCATGACGTGTGGCGAAGATATCGCAGATTTGATAACGCGTTTAAACTGGAATGGCTATGCTGTATCGATCTCAACACATACACTAGTTGTTCGCACCAGCCCTTAATTCATATGCTATATTTCCAGGTCGAGGGTTAATACTCTATTTATCTGTGATGGCTCCTTTGCCCCTTGCGACTAGTTTGATAGCCTGTTCCTTGAGTTTGAACTTCTGGATCTTCCCGCTTGCGGTCTTGGGAAACGAATCGGCAGGTCCAAGAAAGAAGACATACTTAGGCACTATATTGCAAATTAGCGGCCATCTTGCGTACTTCAAGGAACTATCACTTACCTAGGTGGTTACTCAGCTTTTCGCGAACCCAGCTCTGGATCTGTTCAGTGGTAATCGAATTGGAGGCTTGCTCTCGGGCAACCACAAAAGCAGCAACAACCTCGCCATATCGCTCATCTGGCACTCCGACTACAGAAACATCGGCCACACCAGGGTTTGCAAGCAGGCAATTCTCAATTTCCAATGGGTGGATGTTCTCCCCGCCGCGAATGATCAAGTCCTTAATACGACCAGTAATAGTCACATAGCCGTCTGCCGACATAGATGCTTCGTCTCCAGTCTGAGAGTATGTTAGACGGTTTTCTGGTGGAGGATCTTCATGCCAAACTTACATGCATCCAAACTTTCCCAGCTTCATCGGCAATCATCACCTCGGCCGTTCTCTCGGGATCTCCCCAATACTCCTTCATGAGTAGATACCCACCGACAGCTAACTCGCCCCTCGTATCAACCGGGAGAATTCGAGTTTTGTCTACTGGGTCCACGACTTTAGCCTCCACGTGTGGCATAAGTCTTCCGACGGTATTGATTCTCTTGTTAATAGGATCATCGGTAGTCGTCATTGCCGAGACAGGGCTAGTCTCAGTCATGCCATAGCAAATGGTGAGCTCTGTGAGATTCAGAACCCTATGAAGCTTCTTCATCAGCTCCGCAGGGATACTGCTGCCAGCAGCGATACCAGTCCGTAAGTACTGGAAGCCCTCGCCCAAGATCTCTCCAGTCTCGATGAGGCTCAGCTCTTCCAGGAACATTGTTGGAACGCCGTAAAGTGCGGTACATTTCTCTTCTTGCACTGCTTTGAGTGCTGCGCGGGCATTGAAGGATTCGGATGGGAAGACAATTGAAGAACCATGGGTTGCCGTTGCCATATATCCCAAGATACAGCCAAAGCAATGGAACAATGGCGGGGGCAGCAAACAACATCTTTCGGCGTCAGAAGCATGCGGTCACCGATCTGTGATCCATTGTTCAGGATAGACCGATGGCTCAGACAAGCTGCCTTTGGCATGGCAGTGGTACCAGAAGTAAATTGGATGTTGACAATATCGTGTGGAGAGAGATTTTGTGAAGGTAATGAATGACCATCAGCTGCCAACTGGGACATTATCGACGAGAACGGGGTCAAGCTCTTATATGAAGATGCATCAAATCGACCAGCAGAGTTGTCAACGAGAATAATCTTTTTCAGTGAGGGGACCGATTCTGATTCCAATCTCGAAGACGATAGATCATTGACCAAATGCTCCAGGAGTGGGAAATTGCTACGAGGGTTTTTGCGAGGAAGGTTAGACTCGGCGCTGATGATCAGGTGGCTGGACTCGAGGTGGCTTAGTGCAGATACCACCTGTGAAGAATTAAATGAAGGATTCAGTGGGGCCTATTTAGCTGTCAGTTGTGGATTCTGATGTGTGGGCGTGCGACTCACCAAAATAGCCCCCAGTTTGAACAAAGCATAGGTTGCCTAGTATCAATCAACATCTCTTCCCCGTCGTGAGAAGAATCTCCACATACCACCGCATATTCCATCGAGTTTCCCAGCATCACTCCGACACGATCGCCTTTCCTGACGCCGACAGCCTCTAAACCGCGAGCAAGGGCGTTGCTCCTAGTATCGAGCGAGGCATAGGATACGCGATCATTCTGGTGTTTTGAGACGACACTAATGATGTATTAGCGTTATGTTTGCAAAGAGATATGCCTAGAACTTACGCAGTTCTATCACCATGTTCCCCCACGATCTTCGCAAAATGTTCACCGACGGTCGACTCGAGCAAGGGCGGCTAAATAGAGATATAATCGGTCAGCTTCCGACTTTTCAGTTGATTTGCAAGGCACTTACAGTGGATGGTCCACGAGCATAGCTATCTGTTAGCAAGCTTCTCCGATTAACCGGCTGAAGAGGGTTTCTTCCCAAGCCTGGGCCGCCGGGGGGCAGCGCGAGAGCCTCGGGCACGAAGGGCCACGTAGACCCCTCCGCAAGGGCGCATGATGGTATCTGAATGCTATTTCGCGATCACCGAAGCTTCATGACTCTTGACAAGGCTTAAACCGAGACTGAAGCAATAGGGACGCTCGAATGATGTGATGTCCAAGGCTCGGTGGTGTTCTGGGACCAATGTTACCTTAACGCAAGGGCAGCTGGGAGCTTCCCCGCACTAACCGCGATGCGGGGGCGGGCGGAGCCGAGGGTCCTGCAGACTCTCTTCAAGGAACATGTTGAATACCTGAACAACTCCAAGCGGAATTTTATAGAGAATAAATTTTGATAGTGAGACAAATACATGAATGGGTTCCTTTCTTGGAGTATGCTGTAGTTGCCATGTTCTCATGATGCGAAGCTAGCCGACTATGTACTAAAGCACATGGTACTTGATGTGGAGCCGTACGACATATCAGAACGATTCAATATTGGCATGAATCAGTCACCGAATATTATCTAACTAGAACGTCATATTATTGGACAGTTCTCCTGATTATCCTTTCCAATTGCGTCTCTGGTTTCGTACCGCAGGCTCATTATTGCTTAGAAAACCGAACAATAGCGCTTTGTTTAATGCAATAGAATTGGATATTAGAGGTTAATGAAGAATATCGTCCACCTAGAAACGTGAGCCTATTTAAAACAATACAGTGTGCTTCTTTATCATGCCCCCAATTAGCTTGCAGGGTTTGAATGTCATAATGTATGCATGACGAAAGGTCTCGACACCCCTTTCTTGCACTACTCTTGCATCTAATGAAAGGGTCTACGTAATTGAGAGTCTTATGAGCGAAATCAATGAGAAACATATGTTAAGATAAAAAGAGCAGACTTGATTAATTGTGAGTACATGAAACCAAATCAATACCATCGCCGGTGATGATGTTCATGGAAAGAATCATAACTAGAATTTTAAGGCAAACCACTCTTATTTGAGAGTCATGTCACCTCGCCTTGGGGGCAGGACTATAACAGTTCTTGCTTCCACAATAGCAAAACCTCTGCCTCCAATATTGTGGCCCGTAGTTTACTGTAATTTCGTCGAAAATCGAAATGTCTTGAGTCGCCTCAACAACGGTCGTGACCCTGTCACCAACCATAACTGGCACAAAGACGCAATTTGCTTCACAGTGGTGGTTGATGAATCGGGTCCAATTCCCGACATAGGCAGATGTTGTAGTGGCAAGGGGTTTGGGGTTAGGTATTCCGGTGCTGGACATTGCTTGAAAGCCCACCTGCGACAGGGCATAAATATCGTCAGTGCATTTCCTGCCGTTAGGAACAACTTCACCTAGATACTCACCTAGGACAGCGCCTGCCTTGAAGCTGGCCAGGGCCCGAATGCCGGCTCCCTTGATGGGGTACTGTATCAGTTCAACCAAATCGCCGGCATTGGTCTCGATACGGCACTGACAGATTTCCACCGAGCCACAGGTAAAGCAAGGCACCCATTCTGGGCTGCTACACTTGCAAACATTTGGACAATTGCATTTAGGGCAGTCGGGCGACCCTCCCAATTCGTGACATGCGCAATTCTTGCTGCACACACATGCCATACAGGGCCCCATTGTCTGCGGGCGCAACAGCGGGTTCTTCTGCGCTCTTTTAGAAGGATTGAATACCATCGAGTTGATGTTTGTTTGTGCCTTGCCTTGGTGAACAGGGCGTTTGAGATAACCGTCCGGCAACTGAACTGTGTGGTGAACATGCTCCTTACCTATATTCGCCTCGACGCCAACTGCTTCAAACATCCCCGGTATCTCCCATCGGAGGTAGGGGAGAAGCACTCCTCGCCAGTCAATATTTCGGGATCGGACAAAAACTTCAATGCTACGCCGATTTAAAGCAATCTGCTTCATCAGCTCGTCCCAAACCAAAGTCTCTTCGTGGTGATAGGCTTCTCGGAATGCTTCAGAATGCGCGCACATGGCGAAAAATGCCCAACCATGCTCGAAGAGGAAGAAGCGACACCGATCAGAATTTGGGTATGTCTCTGTTGGTTGGAAAACAGCAGCGTGTTTGCAACATACCGCATGGTCTATGAAAGCTCGAACCGCTTCGCACAGCTTGTGGTAGATCTCTTTCTCCTCGAGAGACGGCTTTTCAAAAATGATTTGTTGCAGTTGCCAAGCTGCATTGAGATCCCAGTACATGGCCTCGAGGATCTGTTGGCACGTAGTGACTGCTTCTTGTATAAAATTTTGTTTCTGCATTTCTTGGGTTGCACCTTCACCTGTTTGGGTCTCTGAGTGCCTCTCCATTTTGCCAACTGAAAAAAAAGAGGGACGGTGAAGATGCTGATGAAAGACGAGAATAGTGGCTATGGTAAAGAGGAAAGTGAGTAGAAAGTTGAGGGCAAGTCTTTTGGGACATCTTGCCTCTTTTATACCTGCTTTTCGAGAATATCCAGAGCGAGGCCGTCTTTGTTTCTCCTGCTCAAGAATGAATCTCGATCGTCCTTTGTACGCTCCTATATCAAAAGGGGCATTGATATGGAAGAAGTACTGATGACTTTGACAAAGAATATTGAAGAAACAACAAAGAAAACACAAAGCCGTACGAACCAAAACAAAGCTGCATTGATTGGAGTCTAAGGATCTCACGAGACAATTACATTCTCTCCATTGACACATAGGCAGGTTTTCAACCTATCCCTGGATGGACATGGGCCACTCAGGAGAATGTCTTTTTTGTTTAACCCGTCGAATCCTAGATGTTTATCTTCGAAATTCCATAAGGTGCAAACCTTAGTTGAGTGTAGCATTTCATGAGACCCTGGTTACTGCAACATACTAACAAAATGTTGTCAATTGACCAGCTGTGGATATATTTTCGCTCCAATGGTGCGATCAATAACCAAAAGTATCAGACTTCAACGGAGAAACGTATCAAAAATTGATCCTAATTGTTTGCCCATGTGAAATCAGTAGAGATTACCATTCTAAAGGAAAAGGTAATCGATAATCATAGGTACAGTAGAAACCCCGATTGCGGAGGCCTGGACTGGGAAGCGGGAAGGGGAAAGCGGAACGGCGCTTGGCGTCATGTGGTGGGGAACAGCTACTCTCATGCGACAAGCACCCATCCACTACCTGCGGACCACAGGTTTCTTGCTATGCTCGCTTAGTGACACTATTTTCCTCTGTCGCTCTGGCCTGGGAACTGTCACTCAGCAATCATGACCACTGAACCGCCCGAGGATGCGATCGCGAACTTCGTTAGTTTCACCAGCACAACGCGCGAGCAAGCTATCAGCTTCCTCAAGGTTAGCACTCCTGTCACTTCTTGCTCACTTGTTGCCTTCACTCTTAGCTCACCTCGCCATTCAATAGGCAAACAATCTTGACTCACAAAAGGCGATTAATGCCTATTTCGAAGACCCAACCGGATCCCAATTAAAGGTGAATCGAAGAGCAACGCAACGTTCGGGTTAGAGTAACGGGACAAGAAACTGACTAGAGCTTTATGCACTAGACAAGTGGCCTTTACAGCGAGAGCAACGTCTCGTGTACGGAATTTGATTCCACTTCATGTGAATCCGTGGCTGATACACTCTTTCCCAGCGTTCGCATATGGCCAGCAAGACAATCCGCCCCGAGTCCCCGCGACAGCTCCGCCCTCCCGCCCTCCGTCTCGAGTGAACATGGATGAGCAGACCGAAGCTGCCGGTTTCGAGAATACTTCCATACCAGCTGCCCAAGGTACTACAGGTGAGGGATACACCGGTGCTGATAAGCATGGTTGGAGGATGCTGATTTGTGTTGGCACAAAGGAAATGCGCCTTCTGGACAGGGCCTGACTCTGGCTGAGCGTGAAGAGCAAGAGCTGCAACAGGCAGTCGCGATGTCTCTGAACCAAGGAGTCGGACAGCAGGAGTCTGGAGTTACAACGACCAGCAACCAGCAACCTCACTTTGGGAAAGCTACGCGCGAACACTATGATGAAGCGGATTGGGGGATGACTCTGTTCAACGAAACGTCCCAGGAAGTTGTGCTTAGTCCCGACCCAGAAGATCGCAAAAGAGTTGATGGGGAGCTTGCGTTCATTCGTCCAACCAATGATAACCTCTACCTGGGAGGGTTTCTCACGATTCTCCACGAGATTCCTCTTGCGCGCGAGGCTCTCTTGCTACGGAATAAGATGCTATTCGACTATGGACAGGAGCCACAATGGTGGAGCGGACAGTCGATCAACCTTCCGAAGATTGTAACGGTTCATGATCAACAGGACGGGGACAATGACTGGGACGACGTCATTTACGAAGCCCAGCGACTCATGGCGTTTTTGGACTCAACACAGCGTGCATTTGGCAGTGGAGATGCCCTTGCCAACCTGCGGGATATCACTTCGTTCTCGTCCGACTCGGAAGAAGTCGTCACACGATTCTTGGAAACATGGCATGCAGCAGCAATCCGGGCTTCGCCCGACAACCCCCTGACAACAGCTTTCATGTCCCATGCCTACAAACGATCTCCTTTTGACGAGGGCGATGAGACTATCTCGAAAGAACTCTTTGTCTTTGAGCCCGTCGTCGAGCAGGGACACGGCCAAACCCTGTATGATCTCTTGGACACCGCGATCTGGAGTGATAGACCCGGTGAAGAACTTGATGATGTCTGGCTTGAGCACGTTGGCGAGGTGATTACTATGAAGCTCGACTCTTACAACAATGGAAAGTCCGTGAACGTCAAGGCGCCCGCCGTCTTCTATCCGGACCGATACATGAGCAGCTGTCGAGAGCTTGCACGTGAGCTCCGCACGAAAAGACTGCGTGTTGAAGAAGAGATTCAAGCATTGGAGACACTGATGGCCCGTTATACTACCCCTCAAAATGTGAAAGGCAACCTGACGATCAGAGAGCTTCTTGAGAAAGCTGCGGCTGCAACCCAAGTGGCCTTGTTGAAGAATCCAGCGAACGAAACAGAATCGATGGAAACCGAAAACGTGACAGAGAAAGCTGATCGGATCTCAAAGGAGCTCTTGGCCATTTCTGGTAGGATCGACTCTAAACTTAAAGGTATTGTGCGCATCGTTCAGGAGGTCGGAAGTTCATTTGCTAATTGTTGAGCGATAGACCTGGATGCCAGAAAACAAAGCGCCATGGAAACATTGCGCGGCTACTCCAAAACGCTCACGGAGGCACCAGAAGCCCCCGGAGAGCCTCCTCTCCGCAGATACACCCTGCGGGGTGTGTGCACGGAGCCTCATGTCACCTATGTCTTGAAACGGGCCGGTGCTAATGGATCTCAACAATTAATGGACATTGACGGCGAGCAGGGCAATACCAGTGATCAGTGGTGGAGAATCAGCTATTCTACCGAAGATGGCAAGACTCGTCAGGCTGCAAAGCGAGAAGCACAAGGCAACTCTGCAGCCACCCAGAATGGCGATGTCATTGGGTACACGACCCGCAAAGTGCGCGAGATTGAAGTTCTCCGTGCTGCTCGCGAAGAGTGGAGGTCAGTGTTGCTTGTCTATGCAAGTGACGCTGCGGTCAATGCTCAAGTAGACCCAGCGCCTCCTCAACTTCAGGTAAGAAGAACCCTCTCTCCCATCTCAGCAATTGCCAGAGGGTAGGTGAGCATGGGTTAACCATTGACTTAGGACTTCGTGAACAAGGATAACGAGGCTTTTGCGACCGAGTGTGAACAAAGCGCAGCCAACCCATCAGAAAGCATTGGCGAGCATCCAACTCAATCGAACGATGCCGACAAGCAGCAGCAGCAGGATCCACCGCGACCCGCCCAGCAGGTAAACGTCTTTGACTATCAGGTTTCGAATTTTGGTAATGACAGTGATTGCGAACAGGAAATGCAGGAGAGGAAAGGGTCAATTCTCCTAGGCACGAGTAATGGCATTAACGGTGCGGGCATCTCTCATGCCCTAGATGATGATACAGAATGGCACGTGGACGGCGATACGGAAATGGCTGACCACGTTGAGAATGCGAATGGCGCTTGAGCCGGGCTTCTATGAGTGATGAATGAATGACATGTAGAGATCAGCAGCGTTTGATGTGTACATATAGGACTGTGGAGATTGAAAAAAGCAATGAGATACCTCAATTCGGCCCCATGTAAGCCTGATTATCTATGAAAGTGATATAGTAGTAGCTCTAATCCTTTGGTAGTGCTGTCATCATTGTCATGCCTTCGAGTTGATAAGGAACTGTCCCCACATTTGCCATGTTTGCACTTGCGGAGAGCTGTCGGTCAAGCTAACAAGTCTACGCTACCATCACAACTGACTGCGCCAGCAACCTGACTTCTCTTGCCATCATTGTCGCATAAAATGTCCCTCGAAAGCGAAGCAGTCGCCAGTGCGACTATCGAGCTCCTCGAGGCGCGTCTGCGCCGTCTCTCCTACCTCCTGACCGGCGGCACCGACTGGACGGGCGTCCCATCAACACCAGAGAAACCCGCCTCCCTCGACGAAACGGTATCACGCCGACTCGCCCGGTTAGAAAGAGAATTGGAGAAATTGAGCCGGGCCGTACCCGCCGTACGAGATGTGATCCAACTCCGTAAGTACAATTGCGTAACTCCAGCTCATTCATGCCTACTCCGCTACTTCCTCCTATCCCCAAACACGCTCACAAAGCCACACCAATGGCCCTACTAATCATTCTTACTTTCTCCAGACGACCGCTTACCCGACCTCTTCAACCCCCCAACACCACACGACATCCCCCAGGATCTCACCCCGCGCGCCCTCTCCTCAATCGTCCTCTCCTACGCAACCGCCTTCCCCGAAACTGCCTCCCGCCTCACGTCCCTCAACGACCTCCCCGTGCCCGACGCAACATCCTCCGCCTCCCTAATCGCGCTGCAACCACAGCTCGACCGGCTAGCGCAGATCCAGGCCGAACAGGCGGCTGCGGTGTCGGAACTGCGCGTGCGCACGGCGCGCGTATTGCAGCGCTGGTATGAGGTTGGCGTTGTGGGGAGTGGGGAGTGTTGGGCTGAGTGGGAGGGGAGATTGGAGGGGGTGGAGAGGGAGGTTAGGAGGAGGGAGGTTATTCGGATGAAGAGGGAGAATGAGATTTAGAGTTGCATTTGTGTTTGTTTGTTTGTTTGGGTAGATTGGATAGGAGGCAGATGAGGTCCTTCAGCTACTGTGTGGGTGATTGATGAGCTGATGTGTTTTGTTCTCTTTATGATATCCTGGGTTAGGGGTTTAGGCGCTTGGGTACTGTATCAATACAATTTGTTGGGACAAAGTATTAGATGGTTATGGGCATTGGATGTCGAGTCCTTGTTTTCAATCTCTAGATTTAGCATCGAGTCAGCTCGACACGAGAGAGCCGGAACCCTCCTGTCTCAGTGATTTTCTCATTCTTCCTACCTCTGCAATGAAGTCACTCGGAATGTGATGATGAGATAGGGGCATCTACCCCGGATTCCACATCGTGAAACCTGGCTCTGGGGGCCGACAGGGGGGTTGCATTCCTGGTGTACATATGACGAAACCTGCAAAAGCGAGGTCGAGACCAGATGGAAGAACAGTAGTAGTGCTACAAGGTTAGCACCGCGTCCGGCACAATTAGTTGGTTTCCCGCATTTCCTCTTGTTATGATTGTGTCCAGGAGAAGGAAGAGGGATCGATTATCCAAGATCGCCTCGTTACGGCTGTGCCGATCGCTGCAGGAGCCTCGTCTTGGACGGGCTGGACGTTCGTGTTTCGTGTTCGCTTCCTGCGAGCTGATGCGCCTGCAGTGGAATACGAGAGCGTAGAGAAAATGAATGGAGTAGTTACGGCGAAACAACCAGCAGATTATTCGAGATGCTTGAATGATAGACGATCGGATCGAGGGGAACGGTGGGGTGTGGAGAGAAAATGAATTTTTTTTTTTATTTCCCTTTCTTTTTGGTGTTCTTTCAATGTCGTTCGCTACAATACAAATCAATTAGTATTTATTTGTAGGCGCCCTAGTATCGTTACCGTAGGCTGATAGATATCGAAACCTACACATATTTAATCCTGTGGCTATGTACTCCGGACGGAGTACTCCATGGATCTATGGTTCAGCAAATACGCCATTCCCGAGGATCCCCATGCTTCGCTTGTGATCATGACATATATGGCTTAACAAATTAGGACATGGTCTATGACAAGGTTCTCCGAAGGTAAAACTATGTATCTCTGAGACCTTCCGTACTGTTGGCCTTGCAGAATAGCATATGTGGAATAGTATGTTGGCAGTTGAACAGCCCGCGTCAGCAGCAACGAAAAAAAGCGGAGCCTCGGGCATCGGTTACGAAGAGATTTAGCCTCGATATTTATAGATCAGTCAGGGGCAAGTTACTGTACAGTAACGAGCTCGTGTATGCTGGAGGACACGCAGATGCATCGGCTGGATGATTTTGTAGGAAACGTGGTGATCAACGAGATGGATAGAAAGTTCGAGTCGTTAATTCATACATCTTCAATGACATACAGTCCACTGATCTATTGTTAGTGCGGCGACACTAATATATGATGTGTACTCCGTAGTGGAACTGGGGATGGTTTCATCAAGCCCACGGCTTGTATTCGAACGGTATTACCAGGCCGAAGATGAGCTAACTAAGTCCATTGAGGGAACTAACTAACTAACTTAGTACGTAGTTACTTAACTAAGTTATTCCTTGTTGTGTTGAGACACCAGCCCGGACGGTCTCGGATACTACCATAAAATTCATAACACAGAACACACAACTAGACACCCTCGTTCGTTCTTCATTGCTCCTATGTTTAGCGAAATGAAGCCACCCACAAATCTCCAACAGCCCTAGACCATTACACAGTGATCAGACTGGTGGAGCAGGTCAATTTCCCAGATTCCAGAGTCCACCGATTCCGTGGTCTCGACGCCAGGGGCCTGTGTGTTTTGGGGCCAACTCCACTTTTTTTTTCGACCCTGCAAGTCCAACTGTCCAACAGACTTACGACTGGCTCCTCGTCTCCAGGTAGTGCGGTGGTTGTCTAACGTGCCTGGCCTGGCCACTCCTTTTCCCGCCTCAGACCCTTCCCGTTCCTTCTCCCCCTTCGCTCTCTCCCTCTCTTTCTCTCTCTGCTTATTCTCTTCCCCCCCCCCCCCCCCCCATCCACTCTCATTCACTCGTTCGGTCCTACTCTTCTACCTTCCTTTCTTCAGCCTGGTGCTGTCTGTCTTCCAATCCCTCTCTATCACGCTCTCTTTACAGGGAGTTTTTTTTTCTCCTTTCACCTTCTCGAACCTTGACTTCCCCGCGGTCGCCGGTCCAAAACCCACGTCTTGGTCTCAAACAGGTACGAAACCATAGCCCGTATTTTAGCGCCCACGAGGCCTTCTCGAATTCATCGATCCTCCACTCCATCGCGTCTATCTCGACTGCGTGTCCCCCTTTTTCAAAGTCGCCGCCTGTCGCCTGTCGTCGGTCGCCAAATTGGACCCCACGCGGCCCGCGCGACCGTCTTGACAACCCTGGACTTGGACGAGACTGACAGCGCGTCCTCTAGTCTTCTCGACCAACCTTGTCGGACTTGTTCTGTTTCACAGTCGAATTGGACATCATCTCAGTGCTTGACGATAACTAAGCACCCTATATCGCGTTATACGTCGACGTCATCCGATTTCTCGTCTTGCCTACCGTGGAATAACACTGTCCGGTCCCATCGAGTCCTTCATCGATTCCGTACCCCTTCATTGCCTACCGATTCTTGCGACAGGCTCTTCTTCTTCCCAGATCCCGAAACTCCTCAAATCCATCCTTCACAATGGCCAATTTCCGCCCAAGCAACATCCTTGGCGACCCCTTCGCGCTCGCGACCCTGTCCATCTCCATCCTCGCCTGGCTGATTGCTTTTATCTCCTCGATCATCGCTGATCTCCAGACGGACTACCCCAATTACTCCTGGTGGGCCAACTGTTACATGTTCTGCCTGATTGTGGGCATTATCGTGGCTTTTGGTACCGACACTTGCAATGTCTATAGCGTCGCGGTATGCTTTCGATCCCGTACGTGCAGGAAAGAATTGGGAATACGATACTGATAGATTCGTTAGATTGTGGGTTATCTTGCCTGTGGCCTGGTCTTGACTTCGCTCAGTGCCAACAACACCGTCTACGGTAACCAGGGCGCCTTGCAGGCTGCGGGTGCTGGTTTCATTCTGCTCTCGATGGTGATTGTGAGTGAACCTGCTTCTTAGATTGTCAATGCTGTATATGCGCTAATATCTGCCCTAGATTATTTGGATCTTCTATTTCGGCTCCACTCCCCAGGCATCGCACCGTGGATTCATCGACTCCTTCGCCCTGAACAAGGAGCAACCCGGCTCCTACCGTGGCAGTGGCCCCATGTCCAGCGCTTTCGGTGCCCGCCCCGAGACTATGGCCACCAGCAACACCCCTCAGATGTACACATCCGCCCAATTGAGCGGCTTCGAGACCTCTTCCCCCGTGTCCGGCTACCCCGGTGGTGCGCCTGGCGCTGAGCGCAACTCATCCCAGCCTCCTCGCTTCGGAGGTTCTAGCCCGGCTCCTGGCGCTGCTAACACGGCCGGTGGTGCTGCCCAGGATGGCGCCGAGGTGCCTCAGCCGACCGAGTACCCCTACCGCGCGAAGGCCATCTACTCGTATGACGCCAATCCCGAAGATGCCAACGAAATCAGCTTTAGCAAGCACGAGATCCTTGAGGTATCTGATGTCAGCGGCCGATGGTGGCAGGCTCGGAAATCAACCGGAGAGACCGGTATCGCACCCTCAAATTACCTGATCCTTTTGTGATCGCCGTATCGTGTGATGTCCCGTGTCTTTCCGTTTGTTTTGTATTTCCAGCCTTCTTCTTGCCCTTTGCTTTCCATTGTGTCGCAAAATTGGTCCCCCTACCCCCACTTTGATACCCTTCGGATCCTCTCTCGACGTTTGTGTATTTTTTGGTTCCCTCCTAACGTGATGTCTTGATGGCCTCCATTTTTTTTTTTTTTTCCTTCCTATCTCCTTACTCTGTATTCAAGTCTGACCTGCTCTTCCATCTCTGTCCTTCACTTTTTTTTCTGGCACGCATATTCTATCGTCTGGTTTGGTTATTTCTACTGGGGTGGTTTCCCCGCCATTGTTTCTCTATGTGTTTCTGTGCGTTGAGGCTCAGGTGCTTGACTTTCTTCGTCTCATCTCAGTCATGTTTGGGGAGAAGAGCCTGCGATCGGAGCTTGTTCGGTGCTCTGATGTCAAGATATGGTTGATTTGACATGGAAAAGTCGTGGGATGATCGGGGTTGCATAGTTCCTTATGAACCAACTAGGTCGAGGGCAGTTCAGATGATGATGTAAAGAACACGTCAATGCTGGCTTAAATGCAATCTGATACTTCCATTCATGAGCTTGCACAAATTGTAGAATGAATGGGATTTGTTCCATGTTCGACCATGATGTTGGGGCTATGTCCTCGGACGAGACAGGTTGACGACGCAACTTGAATATGGTTGCGGTATCAATGGCAGTAAACTAGCATATGTAGCTCTCAACCCTTGAATGTCATATTCTTTAAATCCACATACTTGTATGCGCCTTGAACACGCACTCCCCACTCCCAAACTGTCCAACTCTCGACGTCTCGAACGGGCCGCGCCCTCGCCACGTGGCCAACGGCATATGGCAGCTTCCGAGAAATCATTCGTAGAAAAACGCGCGGTATACAGAGAGTCACCTAAACTATAGCCATGGAAATAGAGGTATACCATGCACAAACAGTCAAGTATTTGAATATTAATGCTATCATCTGGGGAGTTCCAGATGGATCTTTAAACAAACGAGTGTCTCCACGCCCTCCAACTGATAATCTCGCTGCTAAGTCTTCTTCGGTCATGGCAAAGCCCAAAACCCCACTCGGACACAAGCCCCGACCCACAAAAGCAAAGAAGCACAATCCATTGGTGCATAATGCCCCGCGGGAGATTGGATGCACACAGTCGAATTAGAATGGCCAGAAATAAAAATGCCCGAAACGGTCATGTCTTCCAGGGATGGGTGTGGTTATGTACCGGCTACTGAGGTCATCGTCTGGTCCATTATTATGCCGTAGTAGTACTCTGGAGTGTAGTAGAGTATATGCTAGACTTCCAAGGGTCTTTCTTCCTCAAGAGCTGATAACAACCACCCCACTACTCCGTACTACTAAGCTCTTGACTCGCCCTTCTCCAGATATTGACCTATCTGGTGCTAGTCCGGTAGCCCGGGGGGACCGGGAATGGGAAAACCGGGTTAGACGTGAGATCTTGATCGTCGCGGCGTGATTTCATCGGTGCGTGCTGCGTTAGTGAAGTGGCCTGGCGCCTGGGGGTTGGCTCTGCTTGGTCAGTTTGAGGAAATGTTGGGTCTGAGGCTTGCTCTTTCTGGGATTTGAAGGGGAGGGGTTCTCCTGTACAGTGGTCCGGCGTGCTTGTTGCTGAGGTGCGAGCTACGGGTAGTTTGGTGGACGGGAACTCGGGGTTGGTTGGTGGCGCTAGAATTTGGGGGTCTCGATTTGTTCATCACCGCTAGATTATCCCTGGTCGTTGATTTAGATTTCGCGTTCTCTCGCTGCTTCTGTCCTTTTCTTCTTGCTCTGCCTTTTGTCGCTGTTTGAAGCTCTGTGGTCGGTGGCAACGAGTTGTGTGTGGTTTGGCTTGTTGCTCTCTACACTGCAACCTTGCTCGCATTGTCTATTCTATCGCGTTTTCCGGAAGCGCAGGGCTTGTAGATAAGTCGTCCTTTACCTTTCATCTCGGTGAAGGGTATAGAACCCGCTGCCCTGGATTATCTCTACTGGAGCTCGCACTCACCAGCTTGGGACGACATTCCCCCAGGCGGCCGATCTACTCGACACAGTTAATGGCAACAGCCTGCTTCCTTCGCAAATGATAATACCACTCTCGCCATGTCGGATGGAAACGTGACGGTAGCCTCCAATGTGCTTGGCACCATTGGTACGGTGCTGTGGTGCATCCAACTGATTCCTCAGATCTGGTATAACTACCGCCGCAAAAAGACCGATGGATTCCCAGCGGCGATGATGCTGTTATGGGCGAGTTGTACGTTGCAGCATTGCAATTGCTTTTTCCTCGAGATGGACGTGCTCGCTGATGTTAGATAGGCTCCGTTCCGATGGGAGCGTATCTGATCTTGCAGGTTAGTTACGTCCGTTTACCCGTGGAAACGAACTGGGACAGATAGGAGAGAAGGTAGTTGGGGAAGTGAGGGGGTATTTTTGCTGACTACAGGACAGCAAGTCAATATTCCGCTGCAAATACAACCGCAAATCTTTGGATTCTTTTCCCTGGTTGGCTGGGGCCAGATTCTATACTACAACCAGTAAGTGATTCTAGTCGAATCACCCTTGCGAACTCTCTATTGACTGTGACTTTCAACAGTAACTATAGCCGCGTAAAGGCAATCTCGATCTGCTCTGCCATCGTCCTGTTATTTGGTGGTCTTGAAGCCCTTCTCATCCTGACCTTGCGGGTAACTTCCTTCCTATAAGCTGTCGTCGCCTGACCGCTGGCTGATAGGTTCAACAGATTCCCTATAACAAGGGCGTGACCTGGCCGGATCTAGTAGTAGGAGTAGTTGCGGCAACTCTCATCAGTGCGGGTTTGATCCCTCCCTATTTTGAGCTGTGGAAGAGAGATGGTCGCGTTATCGGATTCAGTAAGTTGGGTTTCTACATATTCCTTATACCCTTATAGCATAGTGTGACCCAGACTGACATGCCCTAGATTGGGTCTTTCTCGCCATTGATACGCTCGGTGGACTCTTTTCGCTATTTGCACTGGGTAAGCACTCACTTCATTTGGCGCTAATTGAGAACGGTAGAGAAAGCTAACGAATATCCAGCCGCACAGGGATCATTCGATATTCTTGGTGGTATAATGTATATTTTGGTGTAAGTCCGGACTTGAACTATTCAAGGTGCTTGAATTGAGAATCTAACCCGTTGAGTAATAGCGTTGTCCTCGAGTCAGGCATCTATATTAGCCATATTATATGGCGCATTCGGTATCGCAAACTCCGCAAAGAGGCCAAAGAAACCGGAAGGAGCATAGACGATCTCCTTGGCTTGCCGAGCAACGATACACCGGAAACAACCGTTGTCCAGACTGGCGTTGCTGATCAGAGTAGAGATGTTGAGAAACAAGAAGCGGGAAGAGAGGTAGAACCCTAGCTGTTGTTCCGAGTTCTATTTGAAAAGCTATGCCCAATTCAAGCCGTGGGCTATGATCAAAACCGAAGAAGCATTTTCTTCTCCTCCCCTCATCTAGATTATTTCATGAGATTCTTAAGACCGTATTGAATAATCTTTTGCATATAGATTGGCTGTGCTATGGGGCCAGTCATTTGGTGATCCATGCCGCCAAGGACATAGGTCGAAGACCATGAGAGGAAAATGGAATCTTAGAATAGTACGTAGATACTTGTTTTACACCTTCAACATGCCACTATACTGTGCATTAATGGTCTACGGCGGATGATATCTTCGGTGTGAGCAACCGGCTGTTCTCGAAGAAATGGTGGCTTGATAGACCCATGCTTCACGGCGGAGAACTCGGATATTCGAGTCTCAAAACCATAGCTATTGGCTATTTTCCTTCATAATAATACATGTATGAGTGAATTGACATCTGACGTTAAACAGGGACGAGGCTCGATAAATCTACCGAGACGGTGAGCGTGAATCAATACGAGGGAGCTAGAATTCCACGCAGTTGTTTGTTGACCCGGTATCCCAAGCATATTATGTTGGAAGTCGATTAAATTGCCATTGGAGAGACGGAAGACTTTTCTCGGGATAGAGAAAACAAAGCCAACGATGAGGAGAATGATCATCCAGACCCTGATCCATCGGGTACATCGGATCCATGCATAGGGGCTGTTTCGGCCTTAGCGTGAGATCCTCCAAAGCTCTCTCTCGGCCCAACTTCCGGGAGATCAGCACCGTGCTGGAAACCCTGTCGTTGGGTGACACCCCCTCTTTCTCATTATATTTTCTACCTTTGCTTCTCCTTCCAATCTCAATCTGGCCAAGAGACAGGACCAGCGCTGCATGGGGGGTTTGGTGGCTTCAGCAGCCACTCTGTTTATAGCAGCTTAAAGGAGCTGTTCTTATGGGAGCTAGACCGAAACTCTCAAGCCCCATCCTGGACGACGTGTGCGGCGGTAACCCCCTGTCCCTCTCACATCAACACCACTCATCTTCCCCCTTCAAGGACCATGCCTCGAGCTCTGTGAGGCCCTTGGCAGCAGTCACAATGCCAGAGAGACGTTTGTCGCGTCTGTTCAAGGCCAAGCTGCTGCGACGATCATCGACACCCGCCGTTCCAAAACCGGGCAAGGCGGACCCGCGTGCCCACCCAAACTCAACCTCTCGTACCTCTTGCGCTCCGCAACTCTTCGACTCTGCCAGCGACAAGTCCCCCTACAGCCTGGTTTCTTCGGCTGCTGATCACTCCTCCGACGACATCGGCCCTAGCCCTGGCTCTGACCACTACTGCCAGGAGGGACACAGGCACAAGCACAAGCACAAGCACAGACCCCAGACTGATCCCCAGCCATCCACTCGTTCATCGCAACCAAAGGATCACGTCCAGCATCGCCACGCTTCAGAAGAGACGTCTTCTACCCCGCCACCACCTGGGCCCAGCTTCTCTCCTTTGCATACACCCTTCTCCGAAGATTCTCCTTCCCCCTTCGAAACCCCCTTGCCGACTCCGCAGCAATCCGACGATACCTCCTACTCCGCGCCGGCCAAGACCCGTGGACCAACTCCGGCGGAGTATCAATTGGCGCCTGCGCTAGATACTGTCATCGAAAAGACTGCAGACGAACGCCGGCCTTCGACAACCGCGTTCCCTCTTTCGTCGAGCAAGCGCCCTAGCATCGCCATCCGCCGACAGTCTCTTCTTCCCGCCTCACAACAGCATTTGATCAAAGGATTGTTGGAACAAAGTCTTTTCTCATCCCCGGGCGACCAGGGCAGCAGTCGCGTCCCCGTAGCTGCTGCCGAGATGGTCCATCGTCGAATTTGGGTCAAGCGGCCCGGTGGCTCGGCCACTCTGGTGCCGTGCCTGGAAGATGCCGTGGTGGATGAATTGCGGGACCAGGTGATCATGAAGTACGCCAATTCGCTGGGACGAACATTTGATTCTCCAGACATTGTTATCCGAATTCCGGCTCGAGAAGGCTCAAATCGGCAACATACACCAGAGCGACTGCTGAGCCCGGAGGAAGTTCTATCATCCGTTCTAGACTCATACTATCCAGGAGGACAAACGGTGGAGGAGGCCTTGTTGATTGAAGCGCCCACGCGCCGAACTCCCAAACCGTCACCACGTCTTCCAGTCTACCTCCACCATCACTCGGAACCTGGGGAGCATGGCGACTACTTCCCGCTCATGCCCGTCAATCCGAATGGCCATACACCCCCGGCTCATCCAGCCAGTTCAGGTGCTGCGAATGCTCCTTCCATCTCAATCCTTACAACTGGTGTCCCCCCAGCGCTGCCCTCGCCTGGAAGCCGCGCAGCAAGGCATCATCGTCGGCCACCTCTCACGCGGCACACGACGAATTCACCGACAATGCTCGGCCAAACTCCCTCGTTGTCAGGTATGTCCATTCCTATGGTAGCTGTGTAAGAGGAAACATGTGCTAATTCTGTCTAGAACCCGGGATTTCTCCCCATTCCCAACCGCCTCCGACCGTACCAACACAGCCAACACCACCTGCCCCGGTCGCCGAGTCTCCCCAAGCCAAATCGCACACTCCCCCCGCGCCTGTAGCTTCTCCACGCACTCTTCGAAAGTCCAAGGGTGCTGCATCACCTGGCGCAGTTTTCGGCGGTCTAATCGAGGGCACCGTACCTCCGATCAACGTTCTCATTGTCGAAGATAATATTATCAACCAAAAGCTTTTGGAGGCGTTTATGAAGCGATTGAGCGTACGATGGAAGTGTGCGGCCAATGGCGAGGAAGCAGTGCGGAAGTGGAGACAAGGCGGGTTCCATTTGGTTCTGATGGATATCCAATTGCCAGTGATGAACGGTCTAGATGCGACTAAGGAAATCCGCCGCCTTGAGCGACTCAACGGAATTGGCGTTTTCCCAAAGACAGCGTCGGGCCGTTCCAGTGCTTCGAGTGCCACGTCGCCGGAGAAACGACCGGGCCTGCAACGGTCCGTGAGCGAGGACGACACACTCTCAGATTTGTCGTTGTTCCGAAGCCCAGTGATTATCGTTGCCTTGACAGCGAGCAGCTTGCAAAGTGATCGTCACGAGGCACTGGCTGCGGGATGTAATGATTTCCTGACCAAGGTAAGCAAGCTCTTTCCCCTGCTCGTCGTGTTGGTCCACTGTTTACTCACATGTTCTGCCCTGAAAATAGCCTGTAGGATTCCCGTGGTTGTCTCAGAAGGTGACAGAATGGGGTTGCATGCAAGCCCTGATTGACTTTGATGGCTGGCGCAAATGGCGTGGATTCCAGGACTCTCCTCGATCTGCATCTCCCAACTTTGACAGTGGGACCAGTCCGATGCAGACAGGCCATCATAACGAGACTACGTCAAAACCGGCCCCTGGATCACCATCACTGTTTCGGACTGCTGCGAAGCCCAAGGCTCGCCCGAGGCGGCCTCATTTGCCTGATGCTGATGAAATTATGCGTGAAGATTCCTGGGGTAGTGGTAGTGGCGACACTGGTGATTCACCCACGAGCCCTGAGACTACCCCAGGGGTAGATGCGGATATACAGCCACCTGGTGATTCAGTGGACTTTACATCAAATACGCAATGATCTATATCGTGCACGCACTATTTGGATGATCTAAGTTCCTATGCTTGTGCAGGCACATGTTGATTTCACTCTCACTTTCCTACCAACATTTCTTTTTCCATATGTCTCGACTACCTGTCTTTTCCATTGGATACCCCCATATAGCCATGATTGTTTCTTATGTTCTCCTGATCTTGTTGCCTGTCCCTTTTTGACTGGAATATATTCCACTTTTTTGGTAGGACTCGTTTATCTTATGTCCTTTTGCATTAAGCACGCTGGAGTGCTTCTTCGTTGCACACTCTTACTTTTCTATTTCTAACTTGTTCTTCTTTCCAACTCTTCTAATGATGCATGCATAAACGGATTGAGCATACTCACGTATACGAATGAGCGATTTCATGTCCTTGGGCACAACCATTTCCTACTCTATTTACTATCGAAGTTTCTCTTTAAAGGGCAGCGTCATTGCTCCCATGTACACGTTTTACTATGTCCCTCAGAATCTTTCTTAATAAACGGGTTTGAAGATCATCATCCATTATTGGCCCAAAGGTCTTTCAAACAACCAACTAGCAGATCATATCAAATTCAAATGGTCCTCTAGTCCACAGGGCGTCCATCTCAAATCTCAATGACAAGCTTTGTACAGCTGACCCCCGCTTTCAATTCATCCAATGCCTTGTTGGCAGACTCCAGACCCCCTTCAATAACCTTGATCTTCGGACTTGCCACCAGTCGCTTAGCCGCAAGACTTTCTTGCAGCCAGCTTCCAAAGATCCAGGATAACCTCTCCACTCGTCCCTCAGGGTCATGCGGAGCTTGGACAAATGCAGACTCGACATTCTCTGGAACCTTCAGGCTCTGATCCACAATCGGCGCAATTGCGAGTTTACCTTGACTCCCTTCGGCCAGCTTGCTGATAACATCGGCAGAGACCTGCTGCGCCCCGGTAGCATGATATGCTACCCGGATAGTGATATCATCTTCCTTCACAGCGCTCAGAATCTCAGAAGAGACATTCTCCGCCTTGTAATCAAAGACCCGTGCTGCACCCAGAGTCTTGATATACTCATGATGCTGCTGACTTGCCGTTGCGTAAACAGTGTAGCCCATATTTTTTGCACTCTGCACCGCCAGTGCTCCCATACTACTCGAGGCACCCCACACGATAACCCCTCTTTTCTCAGACGGGAAAATAGGCTCTCGAGCAATCCCCGCCCAAAGCCACCCATTCCACGACGTAAGAGCTGCCATAGGGAAAACGCAACCCTCCACAAACGAAAATGAGCCCGGCAGTACGGCAACGGTATCCTCGCTGACGAGGACGTATTTCTGCAGCGCGCCATAGTCCGGACTACCCTTGTGGTAGAACGAGCTCGCGAGGGCTGTGACTCGCGTGCCGGGTACCGGGCTACTTGGACTAATGTCGCTGCCCGTTTGGACGACAATGCCTGCGATATCTGAGCCGATGACGGCGGGGTATTCTTCGATGAAGATGCCCATGTCTCGTTGGTAGCAGTCCACGGGGTTGAATGCGATGGCGTGGACTTCGATTAGGAGTTCCTTTGGGCCGCAGGTTGGGGTGGTGCGTTCGACGATGGATAGTGGGCCGCCCTTCTGAGGGACGATGGCGGCTAGATGCTTGCCTGATGGGGTGGACATTGTAAGGATTGGTATGAGATTTTAAGAAAGTGGTTGTTGTTGGGTTTCCGAGTCCAATTGGGCCAGCCATCGTTGTCCTTCTTATACTTTCGCGTATTACAAGGCTGCCTGGGACCTTGCATACTACCGGACTTAAAAGCATAGTATTCATTTAGCATACTGTCGGGGTTTGCATATCTCCGCCGGCTTTGGATAGCCCTGAGTTTGAAGTTGTGTCACTAGACGGCATTCTCTCTATGAAGAAGTACACTGAAAGACAGCATTCGGGGGATTGCGCTAGACTCTACGATGTACAGTATTCTCTGGATATAAGCACCCGCTCGCTTAAAATTCAGCAAATTATAGTTTTGCGTAGAGGTGGAGATCTGCCTCGACTTGTAGTGAGATTTGTATAGTTGTAGTAATAGGTAGGGTTAAGGTGATACTGCAATACGAGAATGGGTTAGCGGGAATCGGTTCCACGGTGATGGTGGATTCCGATTCCCGATTGTCAGAACCTTGGGTAGTGGGACCTAGACGTGATGACAATCAAGAATCATCCGGCCTTTTGTATTTCTGCCCTTTCTTTGAGCCTCTTATTGAGAACTAAATTTGAATATACACCTATGAAGTGTGCTATCGTGGCTTCAAGCATCTCCCATTGCGAGGTTGAGCCTCTATCGCCCGATATATTCTATTAACACGTCCGTGCAGGCGCTCTCTTCTGCTCCCTTCATGAATCATGAAATGATGGATCATCTCAGTGATCTAAATGATTATGAGATGGCTAATAAGTTCAGATCCCTATTCACAGTTGTATGAGTTCAATAATAAAACACTATCAACTCTACTCTGTCAAATCTTGATTTACGGGACTGGTGGCGCTTGGCCTTGGGGGCCTTTCGAGCTGAATTGCCCAAGGGGCCAGGGCTTTTGGGGGTCTAATGCTCATAAGTTGCAGCCAGTGCCTTGTCCCTCGTCATTGGCGTGCAGATCATCGCAGCGTCGCCCCCAAATCGACCTTAGTATGCGTCCACTCACCGTGGACACGGTTCAGCCCCCACAAAAAAGAACCCCCAATTACCTGCCATAAGCCGTCGATTCGATACCACGGCCCTATTCGAAACAGCCTGTCTCTCATGGACTGGCCCCAATCATGTCTGTGCAGTTTGCTAATGCGTCAATTTCCTTGGCGGTTTCTCAGTGGCGGTGCTCGTCCGTCGCGCTGCCAAGTTGTGTGACAACATCCCCCCTGATAATAATAATACATGAGCTGCGAGCATCCCACTGGCGAGTGATCTTCAATTGATCTTGTCACGATGTTATGATCTCTCTTCTTGTTTGCATCCCCGTGTCGCTCCCTTGGTGACTTTGACTTCCAGCATGACGGATACTCGAACGTGCTACTACCCCGATGGCTCGGAGGCAAAGGACAGTGTCCCCTGCACGGCCAAGGACACAACCGCTTGTTGCGGAGTGAACAACGTCTGCCTCTCAAATGGATACTGTCTCGACGTCAATCAACCCTTTACATTGGCACGTGGGGGTTGTACAGCCCAAAAATGGGGAAACGGATGCCCGGGTCGTTGCCGTAAGTCAAACCCTCTCGGCGGTCGTCACTAAGTCTTTTCTACCGGGACCGTTAAACTTACTCTTAAATCAGGGACTGTAAACAGCAGTGGAGGCTGCGCAATAGTTAACCTGAGCACCGTCAATGGCACAACTAGGTATTGCTGCGGCACACCTGTCGTCAGTGGAGGTGACACGGTCTGCCGGGACGACACGGACAGCTTCCAGCTGGCCGATGCCCAAATTCTCGCCGGGCGCGCTGCCCTCGCAAATCTTGTACCGCCAGAATCGATATCCAATTCATCGAACTCGTCCATCACTGCACCAACGTCCAACAATACACATGACATTACAATTGGGGTGGGGGTGGGCGTTCCGTTAGGAGTCATTGCTATCGGGTCACTGTTATGGGCGCTATGGGAGAGAAGGAGAGCAAGGAATTTGAGTCGAGCAATGATGGCATCATCTGTTCCAGTTCAGGAAGGCCTCGTTCGCTCGCCACAGTCGCGTGTTATGTCCGAAAGCTCTGTCCCAACGGAGCTTGATAGCCACAGACAAATACCGGAGTTGATGCCTCGAGAACAGATGTAGGTAGTACAAAGATACCCTGTATATACAATCTCATTCATATTAATTATTCTTATTTTTTGGTGCACCTTGTTCTAATCAGAATGGTTTCGTTAGGCAAGATGTCTCTTCAAAATAGATCCCATGATCGAAGTGATGGGATCAAGTGCCATCATCCCACAATAGTCAGTGACATTCTTCAATGCCTTTCTTGTTCTTGACAATGTCACAACAAGCTTTGCCGTTTTTGATCAGAAGTATTGATTAATACCGGCTTCAGCTGACATTCGAATAGCTCGACCGTCCCCTCTTTGCGCGTTTTTTCGAACACCTCTCAAGAATTACAGAGAAACAATTTCCACCATAGGTTGGCCATCAGAATCTAGTTCCTTGCAGATGGCCTAGAATCACCAGGCTTGACCCTTGTGGCGAATGGGACGTCCCCGGATTCGCGGGTTTCACTGAGAATTTTATGCACGGCATTTTAAAGAATGGAATGCCCGAGTGGTAACGACAGGAAGCCGAGTTCCGGACTGCTGAAGATTTGGAGCCGGAGAACTTTTACACTACAGGGATCTATATATCACTGGTAATCCTAACTTTGACATTGGCGTTTTACTTCTTGTCCAGGGGTTTAGGTTTCAATTAGGGTAGATCACGTTGATCAATCGCTCTTCAACTCGTGGAGGTGCCGATCCCCATTCCAAAGTCCCAGGTGTGCCCATGACACGCTTTCTTGGCCTTCGTGGCACTCGCCTCAATGTTGTGACCATCATCGGGGTATTGATGCCCGGGATTCTGTCCGTGGGGTACAATGCGGCATCACTCGGTGGCGTCTTGAGCTTGGAAAGCTTTGAGAGGCAATTTCACGAAATTGATGTCACAGACGCTCCCAACAAGGACCTGGCGTCCACCATTCAGGGCACTGTTGTGGCAGTTTATGCGATTGGAGGGTTCATTGGCACATTTGCATGTATTTGGCTGGGAGATATGCTGGGGCGCCGGCGAGTGATCATGTCAGGAGCAGTTGTTCAGGTCATTGGCGCAACCCTCAATGCGAGTGCTTATTCCCTGGCCCAACTTGTTGTCTGCCGTCTAGTCATTGGCATTGGAACTGGTGCCCTGCTGGCCACAATTCCTCTTTGGCAATCTGAGATCTCGCCTGCCAGCAAGCGAGGCGCGCACGTTGCCACGAAGGGCGTCTTCAGTGGTCTTGGATGTGCCATGGCTCTGTTCCTGGACTTTGGACTATCTTTCACGGACGGAAGTATGGCCTGGCGATTGCCAGCCGCATTTCCCGTTATATTATCCATTACTGTCTTCGTTTTCATCATTTTTCTTCCCGAGTCGCCTCGCTGGCTCATTCGTCAAGGGAGGACTTCCGAGGCTCAGGAAACTTTGGCGACATTGGAAAACAGGGCTCTCGATGATAGAGAGATCGAAACACGCATTGAGGAAATGCAGGCATCCTTCAACCTAGCGGGGAACCAAAAGATTATGGCACAGCTATTGTCTATGGGTCCTCAACGAACATCTCACCGGGCATTCCTCGCCATGGCCGGTATGACATTCCTTCAGCTGACAGGAGCCACGGTGACTACATTTTATAGTATGTTTGATTCTTCAATAGGACATTAATCCCACTTTCAGACTACTAATCTTAATATCTTTTAGCCACCGCAATCTTTGAGAACAATCTTCAACTCAACGAATCCACGTCCAGACTCCTGGCAGCAGTTTATCAACTTATCGGCCCCATCGGCGGTATCGTCTGCGTGCTCACCATCGAAGGTCTGGGTCGTCGAACGCTATTAATGGGCAGTGCGACCGGAAACGCTATATGTCTAGCCCTTATCGCAAGCCTGGGCTCCCAGACTGACAATATCATGGCAGTACATGGTGCTGTCTTCTTCATCTTCCTCTTCCATTTCAGCTACATCATCGGGTTTGGTGGAATCCCATATCTCTACGCCTCGGAAATTGCACCCATGAATCTACGATCGACGATCTGCAGCATCAGCATCAGTATATCATGGGCAATCAGCATTCTAGTTGCAAATGTCACGCCAATCGCATTCAACAACATGGGTCAGCGATACTTTCTTTTCTTTGCGGGGTTCAATGCTGCGATGGTACCTGCAATCTTTTATCTGTTCCCGGAAACGTCCGGGCGCAGTCTTGAAGAGATTGATGAGATTTTTACTCTTTCTAAGAGTCTCTTGGATGCTGTCCCTGCCGCCAAGAAGCTCCCGCCACGTCAAGCCCATGATCTCCCGCCGCCGGAGAAGGTATTGATTGTGGATATCAAGACCCTCGATAGTCCTCTCGAAAGTCCAGTCTGATTGAAGGAATATTCGACTATGAACTTCGAAATTTCCCGAAAGCAAAAATTCAAAAACATACAACAGCCAGGATTCGCATGTGGTCACCCACCATACTACTAACTGGCCGGCGTGTGGCTTAAGTACGGCTGAGCGGACGGGAAGCCCTGTTCTCCACACCCTATGGTCGTATGTGATTGAGATTGCTGAGAATAGAAATATAACGAAGTTGACATTATAAACATGTACAGGAGACCTTCTTTGCTTGAGTAGAATGCATGATTCATATACTTCTAGGGATGTTCAGGAGTATCAAAGTAAAACCTAGGCGAGTCAGGCTGTCAATGAAACTATTTCAGATCGACGGAAATGCAATCCAGTGTCAATGAACATAGTGCTATTGTAAGTAATATCGATGTTCCCAGAGCCTAGACTGTGCCTTTTAGGCATTGGTCAATCTGCTTGGTCATTTGCAAGCATTCTTCATCACGCAGGGTGGTTGTGAATACTTGAATGGAACATGGCGCGCCTTCGAGTTGCTCAAAATTATCTGTCAAATTTCGGATATTAGCAAAAGTCACCTCAACATGTATCGGCGTGGAACACTCACATGGAGGCGCAGTCTGATCCTCCTTAAGCTCGAAAGTTGCTTGGGCATCCGGCTCGCCTACTTTTCCAAATGGAATGACACACGATGGATACTGCGCTAGGGTTAGCATTCGAATGCACGGTGGAAATGGGATCGATTGTAACATACATCCAGACAATTCAAAAGAGTGGTATATGGCGCAATGGCAAACATGTCATGTGCCACTGCCGTGTTCTGAGCTGGAGGTGCAATACAGATATCCAGATCATGTCGTACCCACATTTTCCGGTATGTCTCGCGCAGCTCCGCTCGGCACGTATTGAGATAAGCCAGCTTTCCCATTCGGTCCAGTTCACTCAAGTCGGGCAAAGTCGACTTGACCGAGCCCTTTAATTTTTCAATAACCTTGCCAACGTGAACTAGAGACGGAATCGGGGGCTCTCCAGCCGACTTGATGTGCCCCAAGGCAGCTTGATCGAGACTGAAGATATTCCAGGAAATCTCATTCACCCGCACAATTTGGCATTCCTCAATGTCAAGGGGAATTAGCTTGTGACCGTGAGCCTCAAGTACGCGGGCCGCCTCGGCTAAAATTCTCCTGACAGGTGGGTGCAGAGGGAATGTCGGGCTCTCGGGAACGATGCCGATTCTCAAAATTGGCTTTGCGGATACCTGCCGCCACGGAATGTCGAGAACGGTGGAGTCGTAAAGGGCTGGCTGGGCGTTGAAAATGGACTTGAAGAATGTCTCAATACCATCCAGATCCAAGGAAAGTGGGCCTGCACAAGATAAAAGAAACTTCATCCCACTCGTTGTGCACACCCGCATTCCTCCATTTGGTATTCTTGCGGCACTGGGCCGGAACCCATATGTGCCGCAGCATAAGGCTGGAATTCGGACCGAGCCTTGAATCCAGGTGATTAGCTTAATGTTGAAAGTTAGATTGCAGATGTTCGGCTTATCATACCGCCAATATCAGTCCCCACGCCAAGTGGTGATCCTCGGAGAGCGATTAGAGCACCCTCGCCTCCACTGGAACCGCCTGGCCCTAGTGAGGTATTCCAGGGGTTCAGAGTCCTTCCAAAGACATTGTTATCAGAGTCAGCCGTCTACAATGAGAATGGATTAGTAAGGGGCCGTAGGAGAGGGGGTGGTGTCAGATTACCATCATTGTCTGGGGAACATTGGTTTTGACATAGATGACGGCTCCCAGTTTAAGGAGGATATCAACCAAAGGTGAGTTTTCTGTCGAAACCTCACCTAGGAAGGATACCATCCCGATCGTCGCCTCGGTCCCCTTCCTGTGGAAATTATCCTTGATGCTGACTGGAAGGCCATGGAGTGGCCCGGCCAATTGGCCTTGCGCCCGAAGATTGTCTAGATATTGCGCTCGCTCCTTGGCTTCTTCAAACATGGTCTCCGTGAGACAATTTACCTACATCAAGATGAGCACGACGTAGTTCTAAAAGAAGAGACAGAGAATAGGCTTGAATATACTAACCAGCTGTTGAGCGACAGCCGCGCGCTTGGAATAAGCAAGCGTTACTTCAACTGATGTCAAAGTACCGTCTGCCAAGGCAGAGAGAAGCTCAGAGATAGTGTAATCTTCTGTAATCCGCAGTTCTTGTTCAGTCAATATTCCTGACTTTCGAACGGCTTGGGATTTGATAAGATTGTTGTTCTTCTCCGACAATGGGAGCTGGAAGTTATCCAGGTAGTTATCCGGAAGTTTCCATGCTGCTGGGATCTTATCTGCGCAGACCTGTCGCTTCGTAGCTACTCTCTCCTCCCACGGGAGGTCTTGATTCACGGAACCCATTGTTGAAGTGCAGAAGCTGATTTGCAGTACTAGGAGAAGCGAAGCGCAAGGCTGACAAGCGAAGTACAGAGACAGGCATCTGACAGGCTCCTCGATAATTTATATGACATGTAGTCTGCTTAGTTTCGGGATCGGGACGACCAATGAGAGGTAGTTTGTATTGGTCATTGTTCTTGAATGTGGCGTGTCTCGAATCCAGTTACATCTCGAAATAGGCGACCCGAAGCCAAGAGGGTAGTATGCCTCGGCTAAACAGTGAGGAGAGATGCGGGGGGTCAGAAATAGTCGGCTATCAATGAAGCGATGAACCAGAAAAGATAAGACAGTGATCGGTATCAAACTTAGATTATGAGAAGCTAGCAAATTCGCCGTCTCATTCTGACTTTCTATTCGTTGGCCCTTTCCCCGCGGCTTTGTTGAGTTCGTGTCTCGTTCCGCCCTCCGCGTTTCGCCAACCGCCAAGCAGTTGAGCGTCGAAAGTAGCAGTCTATGCTTTTATCAACGGTGAGAAAGGGCTAAATTGCTACCAAAGTACTTTAGGTCTGAAAGCTAGCATGGACGCAATCTAGCCCCGGGGGCCAACCGTTGACTCACGTCCACCCTTCACGCCATTCTAGGGCGCTCCACCTTCTTCTTCTCCCTTAACCCACTCAGTGGATGCACTCGCTCACGATACTTCTCAGAAATGCCGCCTGCACTGGCCTGCGACCGGTGTCATTCTGTGAAAGCGCGTTGTTTAGCGGGAACTGTACGATGCTGCTATCGCTGTTATCGCCTGGGCCATTCATGCACATATTCTCGTCCCCGCGGGAAACGAGGTCGCAAACCCAGAGTCGCCACCCCCTGTTCTTTAGCCTTTGATGCTGCCAAGAAAGAGAATTACCAGCCCGAATCGGTACTTCAGTCGTCCACCATTCTACCCGGGGCAGATCCAGCTCATGACGAGGATGACCCCCAAATGCAAAAGCTGCCCCTTGTATCGACACTATATCGCGAGGGTGTGATCTCACAGATAACGGAGTATACGTCAATCCAGATATGTAACTTCTTTTCATTTGGGCCTCTTTTGAGTCTAGAGATGTGCCATATGATCCGTTCCCGATTGCAGGAAGCTCCCGCTCTTCTCCTGAGTCCGTACGCTGCGGTGGCCCGAGTGTTTCTTCGCAGCATTGCCAATACGACGGCCTGCCACGATGCAGATCTCTCTCACTGTGCATCGGCCTTGCAGGATCTTCGGAGGGCTGTGATTACCAAATCGGATTACGCCTGCTCATTTCTCTCTTTGGGGACTAGTCTGTTGACTTTCCATCGCCTAATATCTGGGGTATCAGCTAGTACCATTTGCCGGCATACCTTGTCACTGATTCGGCCATTCTATTACGCGGGGAAACTACAAGGATTGGACACTAGGGAGCTAGTGTGTCTCATCTTCTTAGACACAACTCAATCACTATTCCGGGCCCGCATCCCTGTGATTCAGCTCCAAGAGCAAGATCCTTCTGTGGTGAATCAGCATGCAGGCCTCTGTGGATCACTTCTTCCACTTCTCTATCGAGTGTGCGTTCTGGCTTCTGAAGTGAGAACGGGTGATGAAAAAGACATATCTCACTCTGCCACTTACGACACACTGTCAAAGGAGCTACAGGAATGGTCTCCTATTACCCCACAGTCTGTGTTGGAGCGGTTTTCACCTAACGAAATGTTCCTTCTTATCGCTCAAACAAATCTCCACCAAAATGCTGCTCTCCTAATACTCCATCGGCTGAGATACCCATTTGGAGAACAAGACACTGAGGCGGAAGCATTATCATCTTCAATCGTGGATTGTATGACCCATTGCCTTGATGTGGCCGGAAAATATCCGCCTAACATCACGTTGGTGCTATTGGTTGCCGGATCAGAAGTGCACGAAGAAGACAAGAGACAAGAGATACGATCCCTGGTCCTCAAAATTCACGGAGCTCATTTTTACCCCTTTATCGACAACTTGCTCATGTCCCTATGTCGCGTTTGGAAAGCCAGGGATCAAGGCACGGCACGCTATCTATTTTCTCTCTTTGAAAATAATCCAGACTTGAGTATTCCACTCTAGAGCCGAGATAAACGACAACTTTGAGTTACACTTTTTCTACCATGGTCCAGAATCAGATAAGAGTGGCGCCCAGGACTCTACCCAGGAGGTAATTATACTTGTATTAAAGTGTATTATGAGCCCCACTATGGGGCAAAATTACCAATTCTCCGTGCAATTGCAAGTGATCATTGGCTACATCGGCAATTTTGATTACCAAGGAGGTTGTATCAATTCCCTTCGCTATTATTGTTACCCCGCAAAAGTATATCGACAAGATATCGCATGGGAACTGCTTCGGATATCCCATGATAGCCTCCTTGTGGAAGATCATAAAAGGGCCTCGATTCCAGTCTTTCAGTGATCAGTATGTGAATATCACGAGCTTCAATCTACTCAATTGACTAGCACATGATGCCAGTCCACACACCTGAAGATGGATTCCCTCCCGGAACAATCTTGCTAGAAGACCGTGAGTCATCATTCACTTATTCATGACACTTCAACACTAACCATTACGAAGGAAACGCTCCTCAATCTGAATTGATTCTCAGTCCGACTCCCACAGATGACCCAGATGATCCTTTGGTGAGGCTTTTCTACTGACATATTGTTCCACCTTGAATCCGCCATTCTGACGCCTTAAATAGAACTGGTCTAAACTTCGGAAAGCAGTCAACTTTGCACTCACCTGTACATACGTGCTTTTCACGTTTGTCCTTATTGATATCAACAGTCTCGCATATCGGGGATACATCAAGGAGCTGGGTCTGACCTACGCAACGTTCAACATATCGAGCGGCTGTAACTTCGCAGGCCTTGCGATTGGGTGCCTACTATTGATCCCCTGTGTGCACAAATTCGGGCGACGTCCGCTATATCTTGTCAGCGCTACTCTACAACTCGTTTGTGCCGTCTGGTGGGCCAACTTCCATCATGCCGGGGAGTTGATCACCCTCAGTTTTCTGGTGGGGATCGCCGGCTCAGTCAGCGAGGCAATTGTGATGATCACCGTCGTCGATTTGTTCTTCGTTCATCAGCACGCTCGTATGAACGGAATATTCATCTTCATGCAAAGCCTTGGCGCCACCGGTGGCCCTGTCGTTGCAGGGTACATTGTCGTCTCTTTGGGCTGGAGATGGATGTGGAAGATTGTCGCAATTCTAGTCGGAGTCAACCTTCTTTTTGTACTTTGCTTCTTCGAAGAGTCCAAGTATGCCCCTACGATTGTCGGGCACTCGGCCTCTTCAAAGTCAACTGAATTTCTCGAGGACAAGGAAAAGTTCGACACAACTACAGAGACACAGCCAGTACAATCTGTTCAGGTCCAGCGCAGCCGCAAATCTATTCGTCAACGTCTGGCTTTTGTTACAAAAACCGATGTACCCATTTTACAGCACTTTCATCAGCCTCTGATCGTTCTTTTCTCATTCCCTGCAGTGGCATTTGCTGCCCTCACCTACGGATCTATTCTTTCCTGGTTCTCTGCCACTGTGTCGGCTGGGTCTTACTTTTTGATCGCTAAACCGTACAATTTCAATGCGGCTCAAATTGGCCTGTTCCACCTGGGAGGCTTCGCAGGCACTGTTCTAGCCACACTCACAGCACCACCACTGAATGATTGGCTTATTATCCGGCTGGCCAAACGAAATGAAGGTATCTTCGAGCCAGAAATGCGGCTGTGGATGATGTTCCCAGCGGCTGTTATAAATTCCGCCGGGTTGATGATGGCTGGCATTGGTCTTGCGAAGGTACGTTCATCCATATGGCCCTTAAAGTTGATACAATCTCCTAGAATTTGTTAATTGATCTTGTGTAGGGTTTACATTGGGCTGTCCTGGCTGTTGGAAACGGCATATTCGGCTTTGGTTTCATCGTCACTGCTGACGTTGCTCTCACCTATCTCACTGATAGTTATCCTGATGTACGAAACATCTCGACTATATATGCAATTTTACTAGAAAATAATTCGCCTTTTTTTTACAGATCCTTGGTGATGCACTCATAGCCGTCGTGTTCGTTCGTAACGGCTTAGCCATGGTCATTCGATTTTCGTTCACGGACTGGATCTATGGCATGGGCATTCAGAACACCTTCATCCTTATTGGAGTGATTGCTTTGGTCACTGCCATATTACCGGCCGTATTGGTGATCTATGGTAAACGGGCTCGAGCGAAGACCGCTGAGAAATATCGGGTCTATGCATCACGCCAACAAGTTGCAAGGGCTATATAGGGCGATTGCTACTTATGTGATTGGTTCTACGGAAGCGGGACACGAGGCTCCCAGCGGATCCATTCGCTGGTGGATGATGACGAGCGGGGCGCGCTTGAAAATGCTTTGGGGCAAGGATCGGACTTTGGAACAGCAGATAATTTGTTCTGACTCATTGGACATATATGAAGGCAAATACAATAGTTGTTCTAAGCGTACTTCACCGAGCCTTGGCCTGACTAAACTGTGGGGTTCACCCTGAAATCCGATCGGCCTACCGACCGAGAACATATCCACTTTCCAATTTGACATCTTTAGCCTATTTCGGAGATTCTGAAACTCGATTCCGCCGACAGTCAAGAGGACGAGGTGCCGCTATACCTTCAAGGGAATACGGGGTTCGGGCTTATTTTTGGCAACACCGACGAGTACTTGAACCCAGCATTTCTGCTCCTCGGCGCTAGAGATCTACAACCTAGTCTGATTCTTGGCACAGTTCGTTGACCATGTCTCAACCATCTTTCACTACAACCGAAAAGACTTTCAGCTCATATAATCAAGAGCAAGGAAAGGCTTATGCTGCCGGTCGCCCAGACTACCACCCTGCTCTTTACAAGTTCATTATTGACCAGCATGGCGCCACAAAAGGCCAGTTTGACACCCTCCTAGATGTTGGTACTGGTCCAGGCAACGTGGCCCGCTCGCTCGGCGTGCATTTCGCTCATGTTGTCGGATTGGATCCATCCGAGGGGATGGTCAGCACTGCTCGGTCCTTGGGAGGTACCACCTCCACGGCCGAACCCATCCGCTTTGACTTGTCCACAGCCGAAGACCTTGGAACAAACCTATCTCCACCAATCCAAGATGCTAGCGTTGACCTGATCACTGCCGGCAATGCGGCGCATTGGTTCGACATGCCTCATTTCTGGTCAACCGCCGCCCGTGTACTTAAACCCGGCGGCAGCGTGATTTTGTGGACCAGTGGCCGGACGGGCATACACCCCTCAGTCCCCAATGCAGCTGCCATCCAAGCAGAGATAGATCGTATCCAGGAAGAATATCTTGAGCCATATTTCGTCCCGGGAAATTGGCTCACTCGCAACCGATATAGTGATCTACCCCTTCCTTGGACTCTGGCGACTCCTATTAAGGAATTTGACGAAGCCTTATCCAGTCGGAACGACTGGGGTATGGAGAACGACTTCTACGCCATCAACCCCGAGGTGAACATGGACATGTTTGAGAAGATCACGGCCACTGGTAGCCCCGTGACTCGATGGCACCAGGCCCATCCCGAGACAGTTGGTACCGAACGTGATGTTCTCAAGATCTATCGGCGGGCAATTGAGCGCCTGCTACATGAGGCCGGTGTGGAAAAGGGCAAGGAAATGATAAAAGGTGCAACCCATGGAGTTGTTCTCGTTGTGAAGAAGAAACTTTGATTGGCTCTAGATACATGCTGGTTCGATCTCAATTTATTTCTCAGTCCCGAACGGCCAGTAGTAACCTGTAAGCGACAAAGTCTTTCCGTAATCTTGGCAACTTACTACTGTTGGATCCGCAAAACCCCTCCTTGAAACCCGCCTCAGTCGAGCCTGCTCCAGCGATCAGTCATTGACTGACATCTCCATTCAACAGAATGCTTTATACATGCTAGCTTATCATTAGCCCCACGGACTTTGTTTTGCTCTTTACTGTCTTGGCAACCAATTATGGGGCAGTTGATTGGCTCGCTCGGGTTCTTGACGTCGCCTATACATTTTTTAGATTCTGTGAATTTGAACTTGTGAAGAGAAAGGAAAGGGGATATTTCCTAGCACATTAGTTAAAAGGAAATTTGAAGATTACAATGATGGGTCATCTGGGAGCGCGAAGGATTTGGCCATTTTCTCCTAAGATCAACGCGAATTTCCTACGTTGAAGAACATTTGGGCCATCGGAAAAACGAAGGCTATTTGACTTTTGGAATCTTGCACCAATATTTACAAGAAGGTGACCAGCGGCCAAAGTAGGGCTGACCGAGAATTTTGAACGTTGAAACTTGATCAGCATTGTTGACAGAATTCTAGTATCCGACAAGAATTCCTTCTCAAGAGGGCCTCTATTCAGTCTACGTTCTCTGCATTATCCTTGGCTGCGTTGTTGCCGTTTTTATCGGATATTCCCTCGACTACATTGCGACGAATGGGTTTCGAGATTACCAAACAGCACAAGAAATGTCCATTGAGCAAAAGAGATACATGAGAGAGATGCGAGATCGGAGCACGATGAGACTGTTGGAGCAAGTACATTGGAGTGCGCGATAATGGGGAAATTAGCAACAACCAGTGCCAATCCAAACACTACTACAGATGGTCTGATTTCCTTTGTTTCTAGTAATACATTGATGTACTCATAATTGTTTTCTCAGACTGGAGATTATAGCAGCGATATGGTGGATACTATGGTCTCACCCAGGCTTCATCGAACATCTTACCGAGCACAAGCACATATTTGCCATCTTAAGGTAGTCCATCAAGTATACTTGCGCATGAACTATTTGCTACATTGGAACCAAATTTTTAGCTTGAATCCAATTTTCATCAGAGTACTCGTGCACTGGCAAGCATTTCACTTGCTGTCCCTGAGCCGCCGCGCATGGCTTCCTCACATTCCCATAATAATCAACCACCCATCATCCATGACTATCCCTCGAGAGTGATATAAATCTTAACTTGGAGTTGAATAGTAAACAACTGCTTTTTCCATAGAGGTAGGACCATTGCAGCTTCTCTTGCGTTCTAACAACTAAAGAGAAGATAGATAATTATGCATCGAATCATTCTCGGCTCCACATCCCGGCATTAACTTCACCCGGATGGCGGAAGTCGCGACAGTGCACTGAACCCCGCTCTTATGCCCTGGCTATCGATTTCCTTATTTCCTCTTCCTTCATCACAATAAACGAACAGCGTATTATCACCAAGGATGGACATGCAAGCTACTCCGCCTCGAGGCCAAACATTAGTCTATTCCACAGTTGATGGCCACAATATCAAGTTCGACTACTTCTTGCCGAGGACCGTTAGCGGAAGACTGCCCGCCGTAATCTACTACCATGGAGGAGGAATGACTGCCGGTTGGCGTGGCGGTTTCAATTTCCCAACTTGGCTGCACGGTATGTTTGCTGTAATCGACATTCCGGTCTTGCGATCGATCAGATAAAATTGACCTAAAGTCCCTGCAGATAACTGCCAAGAGAAAGGCTACATCTTTATCAGTGCAGATTACCGTTTGTGTCATCCAACTACTGCTTTGCATCAGATCGAGGATGCGAAGGCTCTGTTCAAATTCCTCGCTTCGGAGGACTTCAAGTATGCTTTACCGGAATCTGTTACACTCGACACAGATCGGATAGCAGTTACAGGTTTCTCAGCCGGCGCTTTCTCTGCCCGTGCAGCATGCATATATGCCGACCCCAAACCAGCAGTCCTCATGACAGCTTATGGCTCTGCTGGAGATTGGCTTCTTGATCACTGGACGGTCGGCCGACCACCTACCACCATCGCCAAGCTGGTAGATCTCGACGATGTCCCAAGGCTACTCGCCGACAAGACTGTTGTGAGTGAGGATAAGCCAACACAAGGCATGATGTCCAATCGTTTTGCACTCACAGTTCGCTGGGAGCTCGATGGAACTTTCCTTGATAACTGCCTAGGAAGACCTGGATTGGGTGCGAAGCTCAATAAAATTCCCTATGAGGAGCGAGCTGCTGCGATTCCCGAGAATCTAAAGCCGGCGTTCGTCCAGCTCTTCGTGTCTGAAAGTCATCCGCCAACCATCCTGGTGCACGGCACGGCAGATGAAGTTGTACCAGACCAAGAGAGTGTTCATCACCATGAACAACTGAAGAAACTTGGAGTCAAGACAGAATTGATTCTTGTGGAAGGTGCTGGACATGGACTTGTGGATTTGAAGAGTGGATTCCCGCCAAAGCCAGCAAAAGGAAAAGATGAGGCGTATAGAAGGGCTGCCGGGTTTATTGATGAGATTTTTGCGACTGTGAAAGCGTGAGGTGAATGGCTAGAGTCATCTGTTTGTTTACATCACAAGAATAGCGTGATGTCGCTTGATCTCTAAGATTACGACTAGGACTCCAACCGACAATTTTGTTCAATTCGGTATCACTTGCTCAGTAGTTGTTAGACTAATTCTGGTATGCCCGGACAACCCTCCTTGTGGTATATAATGCACCTCTGACACCAACGATAAGCGGGACAGATGACAGATGTCGTTGGTTGGATAATAATGACGAGCTATGGCTGGCCCCCGGAATATTACCTGCCAATGTTTTAGAACGTAGGGGTTCTGAGTATTTCAGCATCGAGGACATTATTGAAACCTCAACCGTACATCTTTGCTAAGTCCCTCCAGGGATAGGTACAAGGCATCGTGCAAAATCGAGACTAGATTCATGCATCCTGTGTTTTGTGGAAATTAGCTTCCAAATCTTGATTCTACAGTTCCGAGGTATCCGTGCGTTCCGCCGCCCCCGACCACGTACGAGTACGAGCCTTAGTGTTCCTTCACCAGCTTCACATGGCTGCATGGAGTACGCGAATCTTGCGCTTTAAAACCAATTCACCTCACGGAGTTGTAGTATTTTGGAAGATTAGACATCGTCTAATGAGGGTCTAACTGGGATCTATCACTAAAAAGTCCGCTTAATGCAAATTCGTTCGCTAGAGTCTGTATGATTGTAGAATCCTACAGTTTCATAGGGCCGATTGGTGGAATCTCGCGACTATGTACTCTACTGGCTCTGAAATCAAACAACTCGAATTTCGCCCAGCGAGCAGACGGCCTCTTTCTATCACAGCTCCCGAGGCCATGGGGTCCGTTTGTTTCCGGATGAGGATCGCCGTGCGTGTTTAATTTGGAATGAACCACAGAAACTGGAAATTATATTCTATATATTCTATATATTCATAAAGTATTCAACATTTGGTTCAAGAAATGATTTAGGTCACCCATAGTGCCAACTAACAGACGATTTAGGCCGTGGACTTCTCAATCAGGGCGATATGTACTAGTATACCCACGGAGATATCCGTTCCTTCCAGTTCCTCACCTTGTAAGTCCCCAGATCGTTTCTCTCTGTGGGTCTACCACTCAAGCTATTACCAAGGACTGCGATATTTTAGTAGTTCAAGGATGTGTGCCGCACGCACAGAGAGGAGCGATGTGGGTCTACGGCACGGATAAGGGAGAGCAACCCTGCAGATTACCACGCGCTAAGCTTTGCTAAGCATCTTAAATATCCTAGCTGATGTAACCCAATGCGAGCCTCCCTACTAATGGTATGCTGATTGGTTAATGGGGAGAGCGATACCGCCAGCTAAGCTTCGCTAAGCATCTTGAATGTCTTCCACGGAGTACTCCGTAACCAGACTCGAGATTCTCTATTAGGGGTATGCTGGTTAGTTAACGGGGAGGCCGAGACCGGACGCTAACCCTTGCTAAGCAACTTTATTGTCCTCAGTACCCGGTGTACTCCATAAACTAACCCGAGATATTTCCTACTGGGAAAGGGACAGTACTACCGCGAAATTACTCCCGGTAATGAACTCCCGGCCCCTCTTGCGGGCATTAGCCGGAGTGTTGGACTCAAACCCAAAACTGAGGTAATGGACTTCATATTATGGTAAGTGGTGGTAAGTGGTGGTAAGTGCAGAGATCAAATTCTACTCACTGGCAAACTTCAATCAAGATTTCCATACCAAGTTTCACTCGGTCTCAATTGTGGTAGGGCCAGGTTAAAGGAGCATGTCTTTCTTAGATTCCTCGAAAATTGTCACTTAACGTGTACTATTTCAGCTCTGGGGGTCTTGAAATGAATGTTAGGTAAATGGGGCCGCCCCGGGGGCGAGCTCGTACCGAACGTACTAAACGTACTAGTGCAGGGGCAATGTAGAAAATTCATGGGTTCCGAATATGGATTCTACGGACTTCTACAATGTCATTCTCCCCACAAGTCTACTTGTCTGATCATTAGGACTTAGGTATAATTATGGTTGTAGTGTCCATAGAAAAGTCCAAGGGAGAGAATCAAGTAATCGATCCTTCTGGCCTCCGGGGCTGCTCACCTGGTTTTCTACCCAACCTGTCACTCTTTTCTTCTATTCCATTGCATAAGATATCACCATTCCATCATTTCTCAAATTGATAAACCATTCTTTACAACAATGCGGTTCCTGTGGGTGGCCACACTGGTCACTGCTCTGCCATTTGTGCAGGGAGCAAGCAGCATTGTCGAAACAAAAAGGCTCGGAAGACCCAGCATCTGTCCTGATCCATGCTCTGACTACAATTCGGGTCAGTGGTTCTTGTACACTTCCCCATCCAAGGTTGCGGAATGCAACCAAACGATGCTCTTGGATTTCACAATCCATAAGCCATTGAACAGCAGCCTGTCGCATCCTACCGTGCGCGCATGCTTGACCTCTGGCCTTCAATCCATATCTCACTCCGATGTCGAAACTGGAACCTCGTGCAGAGGTGTTGCCAAACAGGCATTTACCCAGGAGGTAGGGATCACTGGAACTAGCTCCTCGTCTGAAGAGTCAAACCAAGGAGTTGATGCTCTTGGGGACATCCAAACCTATATGACTGGGAACTGTCTTAAAGGCTCCATTTTTGCCGTTGCACGAAACACAGCTGCAGGAGTTTATGTGGGCGGCAGTGTTTCCGATCCTCGAAACATCCAGGTTGCAATTCAAACAACAATCAGTTATCTTGAGTCCAGCAATCAGGCAAATGCTGTGTTTCAATTGTGTGGCTCAGACGCCAACAGCACCATCGGTGTTGCTGTGAGTTTGACTGGTGACCTTTCTGCCGTTCAAGGTCACGTCCAGACATGGAGCAACGGCCGTTGCATCTCGGACCTTGCTGAGAGTATACAATCTCAAGCTTCAGTGTGGTCTACCCACAATGTTTCTTCACATGTTTATCCATCTTCAAACGGCACCATTTCGTCTAGGTCTCCAAAACTGAAGCAGCCATCCTATCTTGACCGCCGGGCCACTTGCTCTACCATACAGGTAAACCAGGGGGATGGCTGCCCAGAACTAGCAACAAGGTGTGGTATTAATGCTGCCGACTTTACCACATACAATCCAGGTTCCGACCTATGTTCAACTTTGAAAGCCGGTCAACACGTCTGCTGCTCATCTGGTACTTTGCCCGACTACACTCCCTCTGAATATGCCAACGGAACTTGCTACACACATTGGGTTCAGTCCGGCGACCTCTGCAGCTACCTTGCTGCAGCGTATGATTTGACTGAGGATCTTATTGAAGAATACAATACCGATACATGGGGTTGGTACGGCTGCGGTGACTTGCAACTCAACCAAGGAATTTGTCTTTCTGAAGGCACTTCTCCACTGCCTGCTGCAGTCGCAAATGCTGTCTGTGGACCGCAGGTGCCTGGAACCGATTTCAGTGGCACTAGCGACGCAAATGATTGGGCCTTGCTGAATCCTTGTCCTCTTAACGCTTGTTGTGACGCCTGGGGCCAATGCGGAATAACTCCCGATTATTGCAATGGCACATTGGCTTCGACAGGTGCCCCAGGAACCTCTCCTCCTAATTCCAACGGATGCGTTTCCAACTGTGGAACGGACATCGTCAACAATGATTCTGGCCCCGAATCCTATATGAGCGTCGGGTACTTTGAGGCTACGAATGGTAACCGGCCCTGTCTCAACATGAACGCATTCAGCATCAATCCCGATTCATTTACCCACGTTCACTTTGGATTCGCCAACATCAGCTCCGAATTTGAAATCGATATTTCGGGCGCCGAAGAGCAGTTTACGTATTTCCAAGAGCTATCTAACGTCAAGCGAATTGTGTCTTTTGGTGGTTGGGACTTCTCAACTGATCCAGATACATATGCAATTTTCAGAGACGGTGTCACTGAAGCTAACCGTGGCACCCTCATTGATAAAATTGTCTCTTTCGTTATTGAAAATGATCTTGATGGTGTCGATTTTGACTGGGAGTACCCCGGAGAGCCCGATATCAAAGGCATTCCTGCTGGTAGCGCGGATGATGGCACGAATTATCTGGCGTTCCTTTCAGACCTGCGAGAGCAGCTGCCGGGCTCATCGATCTCGATCGCTGCTCCAGCATCATTCTATTATCTTCAAGGATTCCCCATTGCCAACATCTCGGAAATTGTTGACTACATCGTCTACATGGCATACGACTTGCACGGAACATGGGACCTTGGAAATGCCTGGGCCCAGCCTGGTTGTTCAGCGGGCGACTGCCTATTCTCCCACGTTAACTTGACAGAAACCATGTGGTCCCTTGCCATGATCACCAAGGCGGGTGTTCAGGCTAAGAAAGTCACAGTGGGCGTTTCTAGCTACGGCCGATCATTTGAAATGACAACGGAGGGCTGCACTGGCCCATCATGCACGTGGGATGCTGCCGGCCTAGCTGGTGAATGTACTGGCACGGCAGGATATCTTGCTAACGCTGAAATCAACGAAATCCTGAGCGATAACCCCAGTGCGACCAAACTTTTCGATTCAGGAAGTGATTCTGACATCCTGGTGTACAACGAGACTCAGTGGGTGGGATACATGACCAGCACGACCAAAAGCACCCGTGCGTCGTACTACAAATCGCTGAATTTTGCCGGTACCACTGAATGGGCCATAGATCTAGAGACCTTCACGCCCTACGATGCGGCTCAGCTAAATCAAGAATGGAGCACCATCTCGAAGAGTTCCGGTCTCTCGAGTCTTGGCCAGTGTATGACGCCAAATCCACTGAACACGACTCAGGTTGCAATGATGTCTGAATACCTCAATCTTGGTCTAACATATATTGACTATGTATTGAGCGGCTATGATGGTATGTAAAAAATCCTTGGTTCTGGTGGACGACGCTAACCTTTCTTTACCTCCAGCGGACGTGGAAAACTGGCTTGACTCGGTGACAGGAACGAAATACAATACTGAGGGTTGCATGGACTTTCCCACAGGGGTTTGCGAAATGCCCAATCCTTCTGACTGCAGTGACGGAACAACTCCTCCTGAAGTCTGGTGGGCGCAGATCATCGCGGCTACTTTCTACGCCAACCTCCAGCAATATTATGCTGCGTTCCAACCCGCGTCAGCCATTGCAACACTTGAAATTCCCAGCATCGCATCGAACTTTACTCCCAAGGCGTCAAGTGCATTCAACGTGGGCACTTTCTTTTCGGATGTGGGATCTGCTCTTGACATCGGAGGCAATTTCCTGGGCTCCGTGTCAGGATATGACGAGCTGAACGAGGCTGTTGGTATGGCAAACACTTTCTGGGGTCTCTTAGATACCAATGGCCAGACTTTGCCCGATGAGTCCACAATTGAAGCAATCCTGGAGAAGGTCATGGAGAATGTTTACAGCGCTGCTGTGACTACATTCACCCAGGTTGCCACACACGCCTTCATCTACCCTGGCAACTTGACCACGTACCCTTCATATCTGATCAGCGGTCCCTACAACACCACTGTCGCCAATTTCCTTTACAACATGAAGCCCATCTATGTCGTCGACTCCGTCAACTGGGCATCCATGGCAACCAAGGTCAACTCAACGATCCAACAAGCTCTTGCTGGTGCAGCGCTCGGAGCAGCAGACCACTACGTGATCAAGTTCAGTGCTGAGCCCGATGATTGTACAAACACAGGTGACTACCTCATTGATAACATCTGCTACTCGATCGGCTGGCCTGGTGGTGATACATGCGAGTATGGATGGGGTGATGGCATAGCAATTTCTCAGTCAACCCTCGACTCACTGGATGACTACGACATTGACATCGAAAAAATGATTCTCTCCTCGGAAGCTTGTCAAAACAAGACAGGATCTTATTTCGGGGCCATTGTTGGAGGGTCACCGCCAAACGTCACCGATGGCTATCCGGATTGCTTTTTCAATTTGCCTATCCTGCAAATGGATCCAGCGGATCTCACACTTACGGGCTATGATCAAAGCCCTTGTAACTATCGTGCATTAAACGGATCTGCCAGTACACCAATCGTTGGGCAAACCTATCTGCCAGATAATTTGGTCGACTTTTTCGATACGGACGCTTGTACCTGTGCAGGTGTATACCCGGGAGGAGGTTCAGTGTGCAAGAGAGACCTGTATGGCAGGACCGTGTGTTGATGAGATCGAATGCTTTGAGAAGTCGCATGGGATCATCTAGTAGGTGGATCATGCTCAGACCTCCAGGGATAAACAAGGTGACGAAGGGTTCGGGATCTTTGAGGGCATCCGCGATAGATAGATTGGTGGATAAAGTCTTGTGATGGAGACTCCTCTTTTCATTCATTGCCTTTGTTCGTTTCTGCGGGACCTTCCTGTTTCTTCCTGATGCTTCTCTGCAGGATGCAGGTTACCGCCTTTATTCGATGGCCTATAGAGGCCGTGGTTGCCTTCCCGACATCCTGCCTTCTTTGAGCCAGATCTCATATATTGCAAGAGATTGACCTACCGTCCTTTCTAAATCTACCTGTTTCCTGTTTGTAGACGTAAAGTGACGTCTTTTAAGTCTCCATTCTATATACACACTCCAAGGAAAACAGAATGAGCTATGTAAGTCGAGTTGGCCGAGGTAGTACATGTCGTGTATCTTGACGGCTGTCACAATAAAGACTGATAAAACTCAAGGTCCAAGTCACTAGTGGTCGCTAGTGATCTAAGTGTTATCGTCCGTCATAAACCCCATCCAATCTTGAGGATCCGATGACTCTAATTATTCTTAGTTAATGAATACCAGGTCAACTTTTCACTCAAGATACTTCACTCTGTAGCGTGTCATGACGGGCATAGATGTTGTGAAACTTATTCGCTTAGTTCACGATTTAAGAGTTCACTCAATTCATAAACGGATCAATGATTTTTTTGCCCCTAACTCTAAGGGTTGGTTGTACAGAGCATTTTACATCTTGTGATCGAATCACTCCGAGCGCGAACTGTTATTCGAAACTCACCGAGCCGCAAAAATTATCAAACAATTTCTCCTTCTACATAAGCAGCAGCTACGCAAATAGGCATTGATATGATGAAACCATATTATAAGGATTCAACGATAGGTTTAAGCGGGTATACAGTCATTTCTGTGTTGATTATCATGTGAGTTACTCTTTCATGCCTACTCTGAGAGCGCGGTGAGGACGGCGATGGCTAAAACTCTAGCCGACGGTTGAGCTTTCAGCGGCGCCCACGCTCCTGTGACGCTACTGCGACTCTTTGAATTGTTCGAGCTATCCTATGCATCAAAAACATGAAAATACTGCTCACAAGCCAGTAGAAAATCTGTGAGGATGACTTGATTGTTCACTGTCAAGGGTATATTTGGAGTATCCAGGTATAGCTGATCTGTGCAGATCGCCGAATGGGAAAAGATCCTCGCCAAAAGCAGTTATTGTCTGGATATCTGGAAGCCATTCAATCCTTCACGAGCAAGAAAAGATGGACTTTTTTTGCAACAATCAATACCGAGTGTGATAGACGGGCGAGCGCATGAACAGAAATATGTTGGCTCTTGTCCAGCCACAGTGCGAATTCTCAACGCTTCAACCTCAGCATCCTATCTGGGTTGCTATTTGTGTGGCTCACCATTCGATTCTCCTCGGAATAATTAGATCTCTCAAGTGCATAAAACGTGAGACAGTACTAGAGTACATACTGAATATGCTCCACCCTACGACTGCCGGCTCGGCAATAAATTGAGCCTGAGATTAACAACAGGGGTCTCCATCAACACCTTGACTCGCCAAGCGAGGCTCCATTTATCAAAAATTTCTAAATTAATTGAGGAGGTTCATATCGAGTCTAACGTTAAAGGCGTAGAGGCCCGCCACCTATGCCTCGATTGTCAAAGCCTTGCCATATTTACTGAAGCTACAGATCTGCAGGTGGTGATAAGGCTAATTTTGGGAATCAGATAAGCGTGAAAAAAAGGGGGAAAAATCAGAAATTCTAGCGCGAGAGCTATGACCAGAGAAAATTTGAATCTGTGAAGCCCCCTCGATGATCTTTCCTATTGTGGCAGAAGCACAGATGCTGCGACACCGCTCCTTCGTTCCACCTTGACAAGCTGAACCCAAAAATAGATAAATTAGCGTCGATGTCACGATATCAAGACTTCCAGAGAAAGAACATGTTCATCATGTCTTTGTACATAGCATAGGCGCAGCAAGATTCGAATACAAGAATGCAAGGCTGGGGAATTATCCTGGGTTTGGAAGCATTCCTCTGTAAGTAATGGCAATATGGCTGAATAACACGCCTGAAGCCGCGGGTCAGTGTCTAGAGATATGATTAAAGTATACTGTGATAAAGAGGATGCTTTTTTGGGCATGATATTTCGATTCATAATATTTATTCAGTACAGACTATACATGTTCCCTCGCCATGCGATGAGAACCCTCTGCATCATAGCCATCAGTAGTTTGTGTGACTTCGAATGTCCGATGGATGCCGATATCCATTTTTCTTGAGGTCGGGAGTTGTTGCTCCATAGTGAGTCTTTCCTCACTGCTGCTGGGGCTAGTCGAGCCGCCCCATGTCAACTCCGTATCCCTCTGACTTTCAATATTCGTCACCATGACTGCCAATTTATCCGGCCTCAAGCTCTTTTGCCCAGTTCCATCCACCGAACCAAGTGGCACCGGTCGGGAGTTGCTGTTTGCGCCTAGACGGCCAGAGTTGGGAAACCCAGAAGGATATCTTGAGTCGTTTCGGGAACCAAGCCATTGCCGGAGCAAGGGTCGGAGCGTGGCGAGACTACCAGCGGTGATACCTAGCCCAGCCTCGATGTTAGACCAGACAGCAATTTGGTAAGTCGCATCTGAAGGATGTTAGTAAACCAAGCAGCAACCCGAGAATGCCGAAGGACAGCAGGTTACGTACAGAGGAAGTCCTCATCGGCAAATGTTTTCACAAATGGGAAACGAATGATCACGGCGGAAGAGGCACTAAAGATGGTCAGCTTCATATCTCGATAACCTGGACCGAGTATACTCACACGCAAGCCATGCTCAGAATGCCAATAACAGCTAATTTCGCCTCTCGCTTCATATGAAGTTTGGAGACCAGGAAAATAGGCAGAATGCCAACTGTGAAATCACAAAGCGCAGCAAACGCACTGTAGATGTATGTCATGACGATGATGATGTTGATACTGATGCAGTAGCCTTCAATCGATGGATCCAAGGCGGTTCTGGTCCAGAAGTATGAGAGCGGCTTGCATTGCAGTAGCATAAGGAAGAAGAAGACGAGTCCAGCGAGGACTGTGAGGACCATGACTGTATAGAGGGTCCAGATGTGGGTTCGTTTGACGGTAATTCGCATAAGGAAAACGCAGATAGAGATTTTGCATCCGATGGAAGCAAAGCAATAAGCAACTTCGCAGAGCCACCAATACTATTATCATGTTGTTAGGTAAGTCTCGGGTTTGCAAGGAATCCAGGCTCGTCTCTGTCATCACTCTTGCTCACCTTCATTGCTGTCACTCGTTGGTGTGCTGTAAGGTGCTCGAATTTCCGGCCAGTGCCATAGAGTGTGCCACCAATCATGCAAGCAGAAAACATGACGTAAAATAACTGTCCAATATGAATTTTTCATGTTCTCAATGAGAGGAACAAAGATGGACTTACAGCGGCGAACACCATTGCACCATCATCCCAACCAAATGCTTTCACGACCCATCCACGTACATAGCAGCGCAGCATGACCGCTATGGTTGCTATCGGCATGAAGACAGCCGCAACCGTCTTGACCGCCAGGACTCTCTGATCCTCGTCCGACATCCTGTCAGATTGTCCTCCGTGTGTGACAGGATGAAGGAAAGTTTGCGTTTGCGGAACTGGGTTTGTGGGGAAGAGAACGATTTAATAAATTGAGCTGCAGGCCATTGATTAGCGCGGCCTGGAAAGTGCCAACTGCTGACTGAGATTTTCTAGTCTTCAGGGGCGGCATCTAGCCAAGATGCGAGTGGCCTGGTCCACGCAGTGGCGAATCATCAGAAGTGATCGACAGAAACATCGTTGTGTGGAAACTTGCCAAAACGAGCCTCAAACGAGGTCAATCATAATCTTAAAGGGCTGTTTTACACCGGTGGAGAGCTTTTTTGACGTGCCGAACGGGCATATGGCATCGCGTACGCCGTAAAGCCCGAAAAGCCAGGTGCCGTACAGTTTGTGCACAAGGAAATGGGTCTTCTGAGTGCCGAGGCGGTCATTTCTCGTGGGAGACTGGAAGGAGCATTTACCTAGTGGGCGCCGTCGAACTTGGCGCGGCTTGACGACCAATGTTGATCCACTAGACACGGCCAAGGCCTCCCGAATGGGCACAGCCCCCGCTTGCAAAAACCTAGGGCGTCAAAATCAGTTCCGGTGGCTTGTTTATTGGCGTTTTTCTCGCAGAAGAATAGGACCCGAATGCCTGGAATCATCAGGGACTTGCAGGGTGGAGAAGAAGAAATGAGACATACTGTGGATGATTGATAATGCATTGTCCGAATCTTGGAAAGTCGATCATATTGGGACCCATGGAAAAGAATTGTAGCTGTCATCTTCCATCTATAGGTACGTCAAGGTGCCATCTATACCTGCCACTATCAAATCGCGCGGTGATCTACGTCGACCTAAACACTACTCAATTCTTCCACGAGCTTACTGTGCTGTTGTTACTCTGAAACACGAAAAGTGTCGCTCCCGAGCTTCCTCTGAGGGAATAGTGTTTTCCAACCCGAAAATGAGTGGCCCTAACCCTGATCAAGTCTAGCGTCGGGGTAGGGAAACATCAACCCAGCGAGTTGGCGTCGGGCGGTCGAAATCCAGACTTTGGGCCGTTGGGCTACCCAGGGGAAAGGCTGGGAGGACAAACTTTATCGAGCATGGCGTTTTCCGAATTTACATATTAGAGACCCGTCTGATCATGTGGAAATGGGGGCTAGCATTTAACCTTCCAACCTTCTTCGAGTCAATACATACTTCGCTAGGTCACTATTTAACTCTGCGTCTCCTTTAAGAGAAAACTTAATTGCTCCGCAAATTTTCTTGACAGGCCCCAGTGACCAATCCGGTGGAGGAGGTCAACAAGTCCACAGAGCGTGCTAGACTCCGAGGTCTTTGGTCTCGATGTTCGATAGCCATTCGCTTCGAAAAGGAGAGCCTGACTGTTAATCTTTAACCGGGAAAATTCGGGAAACTCGACGTTGGCAGTGGGCGGTGTTGCCAGGTCGCTAGGATCGACATCCAGCCCGTACTCGGAGTACGCATACCACACGGTAGCTGCCCGATACAACGCCCTAGGGACATGGATCGCCGGCTCCATTCCTAACGGGGTAGTTTGAAGCTTTCGGAGAATCATTGCCCCGTGTAAAGCACAACGGCGCGCATTAGGGGAAGCAGCCCATTGGTGAGCATATTGACGATAAAGTGCTGATTCCTCGAATCCTTCTCTGCCAATCGCAAGTTCGAGTCGATCAAAGTCAACCAAAAGAGAGATAAAGGCTGAGTGCCAAAGTACCTCGAGGCAGAATGGATCGTTGGTAGGGGAGTCTTCCTTCTCATGAAGGTACTGGTCGAAGAATTGAATCAATTGATATTCGAATCGTGTGGACATGTTTTGATCTCTGGCAATGTGGGAGGTTCTTGTCTCTGCAATACGGGCATTGATCCCTTCCAGCGTAATGTACCGTTGAAATCCATCTGGCAGTCCAGTATCGAGCGGCAAAGTGCCAGATTCCGCGACAACGGCATTAGAGTTATCTTGATTCAAGCTTGAGCGGTCCTGTTGACGGCCCAGAGCTATCTTCCATTGGGCGGCATTCGCAGCGACCCACAGCTCATGACTTCCGGTCAGAGGCAGCAAGGACTCTTCATGCTGGAGGAGAGGATGCGTCAAGACCAATTCCGAGATCTCTGTGTCAAGAATGTGAAGACCTGCTGCCAGACTGCGGGTAGGGCCTCGTGTCAGCAAATCACTTCATGCCGATCAAGAGCCACTTACCGAACTTGCTCTTCCGACTGGGCCCAGGTCCTCCATGATTCTTCTGGGCTACGGGTCTGAAGATGTGCCTCCAGATAATCCGTCGCCCGCCGAACCTTAAACATCTTGTATATTCGAGCCCACTATACAACGGCATCATTAGGCTCATCAATACGTAAAAAGCCCATGGTGGTCCAGACTTACAGTAGCGACAGTACCATGGAATGTCTGCACGATCAACAGGTTTCTGGGCTTCTGTCTGGTAGGTAAGTTGTTGATCAAGCCCAATAATCAGGCTTCCACGGAAACCTACCCCTGAAAGCATGGCGAATGTTTGTCCAATCAGGGCAGCTTGTGTCATTGCAAGTGCCTCGCCCTTTCCGCTCAGGAGATATTTCTCCCACTAGGAACGGTTAGTGGATCTAATCCACAATAAGAGTAAACTAGACATTTGGACATACCGAGGCTAGGATGGCTTTGTTGAGTCTCTCGAAAATGATAGATCCCTGAGTCACAGCATAGTTGGAGCCTACGAAAAGACTCCCTATTGAGCATATAGACAGCAGTAGAAGAGAACTTTTTGCCGAAGGTCGAAATGTAGGTGCATGTACAATTGGAAAGATTGGATTGAATCGTGTGAAAAATAGCTGAATGCACAGATTCTACGATCCTGTTAATTCTATCCAAGCAAAGGTAGGGATTAAGGGCGTGTAATTGTGTACTCACCAAGAAGTCCGTAGATGGTAATGGCTCGGTTGGCACACGTTGTTGAAGCCTCTGCGACAGCGTTTGTCGGTATTGCTCGTCCAGTTCGACTTGCTCTTGAGTAGCCTCGGGTGTGATGTAGCCAGACTTATGTGTCCCAACATATGTGAACCATAGTTGCCGGACTTGATCTTCCTTGCGCTCTGAATGAGGTTCTCCCAGTATTTGTATTGTGATATCGGTGCTGTCCTCATTTGCTGTGTAGTCGGGTGAGAAAAATCCAAGCGTGCTTGCCATCACCGAAGAATTCAAAGCATTTAGGTCGAAATGCTCGTCTGCAAGCCATGTGGGAACTTGAGAATACGGGTTGAAATGCAGAGAATCTTCTATACTGGAATCGAAGATGTTATCCAGTGGTGTAAATAAAGGAGCTTGAGCGTTGATTTGGCTTTGGGCATTCTTTGGAGGTTGCACGATTGTTTCAAGCCATACGGGCAGACGAGCTTGGGTGTGAGAGGCAGCAGCATGCTGACTGGGTGACAGGGAGCTTGCTGGTGTTTGATGGGTTGGGAATGATGGAACCTGATCCATATCATTCTCAACAGAGGGCGATTGAGAACCCCCAAGGATTTGATCCGAGTTCCCATAAGCTTCTAGAGATGAGGTCCTAATGTCAAAAGTTTGGCCATCCTTGCCTTCCGTAGAATGTACTCTGCCATGCCGCAGAAGGGAGTCACTAAAGCTGCATCAGATACACATTTTCATTCAAAGCATTGTGTAGAATTACTGACTGGCGACTGAAAGTCTTGCCACATGTCACACAACCAAACGGCTTTTCCTTGGTATGCGACCGAATATGGCGAGATAGGTGTTCTTCCTTCGAGAATGACAATGAGCACCATGGGCATATTCGCTGTCGCTTGACCCGACCCCGTGTCTTTGGCATAATGGTCTGACTGATTTAGGCTGCTTTAGTGCGAGTGGATGGTGCAGAGGGAAAGCTTTGAGGGACCGGCAGTTTGCGGGACCTCTTTGTAGCCCCGCATTATGTACCCCAGGTCCCGCATTCCAAACTCAAAAGCTTCTCAAATCATCGTGGCATAAAACTGAGAAAGGCTATTGTTCATAAGCGAAGAAATTAAACGCTCAGTGCTTTGGAGATTGCCTTTTAAAGTCTTTTCCTCCTGGAAGTTGATGTAGAGAATGAGATAGATGCATGATGCATGTACCAATGAGCATGCAGCTTGTTGCTTGCTGCAACGGCTCGCACATTCTGGATTAGCATTACCTGTTTTTTATTTCTAGCATGATGACAATCCTGACAGGCGGATAAATCTATGCATATAAATGGATGGTGCTTTCTTCATGTTTCCCTTGCCTTGTTCGGGGCACCTATTGCCTGCTTAGCAGGATGTTTGTACCTTCCTTTGTCGCGTTTGCTCTGCTTTAGTATCATGCAACTGCCATTGCAAATGGAAAGCCAACTCACCGCTTTTTAATATGAAGATAGTCCAGTTTCTCCCTATTGTTTCCCTCCTTTCTATTCCTACACCATCTATCCTCAGCTGCTTTCTCAAACATGGAGGACCCTAAACTCCACTCCAAGGACCCCGTGGAGATATCCCGCCTCGACTTGGAATCTTCTACCTCCCAAGAGGCAATCATTACTGATGTAAAGCACTTGGCTTCTTACAACTGGATTGAGGCACCCACTCCCACCATTGCTATTCCGGGTAGCCCCGCTCAGTGGTCCGCCCCAAATGGTCCCCGACAGGTGAAGAAAGATAGAGGTCTTGTTTACATCGCCCAAAATGCTGCCCGTCATCCAGACAGCCCTCTGGAACCGCTATTCCGCTCGCTTTGCATCGAGCAACCTTCATTCGATTTGAACTCGGTTGATGTTGTCACCGACAGGAACAACATTCGAAAGCTTCTATCATTTGTCAACCCTTCCTTGGCTAAGGGACCTCTCGAACCATTCACTATCCGGATCGAGATGGCTGCTCATACTGCAATCTTTTGCCGCGATGAAACCAAGACCCACGAAGTCATTGGACCGGAAGACTTCCGTGGCTTTGGCCATGAGTTTGAGAAAGCATACACCATCTCTCAAATAAAAGATAGCACCGGCCACCATCGCATCATCTCCTACCAACTGGGTGACTTGCGTTTACTTGTGCGCCATGAAACAGATGGCTTCGTTGGTGATGTGCCTACAACTGGAGACAGTCTCGTAAGCGGGCTCAGCTCCTTGACCTTCTCGCCAGAAACAACAGCTGGGGGCAAGGCATCCACTCTTTCCAAGTTGACCATCAAGAGAGAGGGACAGGCTGTGCCACGTGAAACAACTTTGGAGATCAAGACTCGAGTGATCCATAAACCCCTGGAGCTGGAAGAGGTTGCTGCCCAGCTTTGGGTCTCTCAAACTCCGAATCTCGTTCGTGCGTATCATCAACGGGGAAGATTCTTTACACCGGAAGTGGAAGATATCGCTATCCAAGTAAAAGAATGGGAACAAGCTCACAAGAATGATATCATCCAACTGATCGCACTACTCCATCGAATCGTCGAAGAGACTGAGAGCTGCGGCGGTTGTACAACCGTTCGGTACAATCCACCAAAGGACAAGTTGGTGATCGAGAAGGCCCAGAGAAGGAAAATGCTCCCCGATGATCTGTATGCACTATGGGCCAAAGATGACGGCTTGGAGCAGGTGGCGTCTCAGAAATATTCGGGTGTCTCTGAGAAGGGTACTATTGACAGTAAGTTATCTTATGAAGGATCCGAAGACGACGCCAAGACAAAGCCGACCAATCTTCCACATGAGGCAAATCATGTCGCTCTCGTGTCTGACAGCAAGTCAGAGTCATAGAGTCATGATTGATGTTGTTGGCCTGTTCGCGGTCATATTCAGCCACCACACTGTTTCTCGGAAATACGGAAGTATGTCTTAATACCGGAATATTGACACTTCACATCATTCTTTTCGGATCTTGAGTTATCACAGCATTCACTCAGGTTCGAGTAAATCCATGTCCTCCTTCAGCGCCGATAGATGAAAACAGTTACTACATAGTCAGACACGATGCACGAACAACTACCTAGCGTACGGCAATTTGCTCCTGGGCAGTAGAGCAACAGTATTAGCTTTAACTAGATTCTCGCGGTAGAAGAAGCTCAAATTATCGGTTCGGTATCCCCAACCTACCCCCGGCCTACGGGAGCTAGCGGCGGGACCCTTGCGGGACGCTTTTCTTCCCCGCATTTTCCTGTTGAGCGGGACGTCGTAGCATTTGACAAGCTCGTTGGTTTGTTTTACTATATACAGCGGACCTCTCATGTCTCGATTAATCTCTGACAATTTCAATTCCATATCCCTGTTCTCATGCCTTCTTTCGACTTCGGCATGAGCTAAGCCTTTTTTTGACAGTCTATAAATTTCCATTCCCACAGGTCTCTGCGTAAGTGGCCAAAAATGGCGTCTATGCAACAGCACGAAGTCCCTGGGATCAGAGACCCCAACGGCATGTCGCCAGACGACATGATACCCGGCACGGAAATAATGAGAGAATGGGAGGAGTACGATGCGACACAACTCTCCAGAGATGGTTTCGTGTAAGGCAGTCACTTCCTGTCCTTCCATCCTCACCCTCTCCTCGGGGGGTTCTTTTTCCTCTGTCGCCGTGGAATAGACAATCTCACAGAGAACAGGCTTATTCCTCATCCCTCAAACGATCCGAGCGATCCTCTTAACTGGTCCAAGCCTTGGAAGTGTAAGAAGCCTATTCCTTCCTTTACCTGGAAAACAATGGGAGATTCAAATTGCTCATATAAGCTCACGAGTAGATCTGGTGATGACAACTCAATTCCTTTTCCTATTCGTGTCAGTGGAGTCCGCTCTCTCCATGGGACCGATGTTCCCCTTCTTTGCGGCCGAATTTCACCTCAATGATACACAGCTCAGTCTATTGACTGGAGCTTGCGTGTTGGCTCTCGGGTACTCGAATTTCATCATTGTTCCTTGTTCGAATATTTTCGGTCGCCGCTTGACCAGTTTGGTGTTTTGTCTCTTAGGAGTTGCTACCTGCATCTGGCAAGCTCTTGCGAAGAGCCACTCAAGCCTTCTAGCAGCTCGAGCAGTCAATGGAATTGCTACCGCCACAAGTGAGACTCTATTGGTTCAGGTTGTCGCTGATATGCTTTTCCTCCATGAGAGAGGATTTTGGACGGGTGTCTATTTGTAAGAGCTCTACATACTCCTTCTCGCCTGGTTCTGTACTGATCAACCAATTTCTCAGCACCGGCTACTTCCTTGGATTATTTCTTGGGCCTGTAATTGCCGGGAATATCGCCCAGAGGTACGTTTAGCGATTTCAGTCCTCCGTCGATTACCCTCTTCCTTCTACCTTTTAAGTTTTGTACAACACTAACTCCACACAGATTTGGTTGGCGAAGCTTTTTCTGGCTCTCACTTGCTATGACCTGCTTCAATCTTCTCAATCTTCTCTTCTGCTTCCCAGAAACCAGATTCAATCGCCGAGGGTCAACTGACACAGTCAATCACGAAGAGAATCACTCACAGACCCCCGAAGAGCGGGAGAGTCACAGCAGCGGTATTCCCAAAGAGGGGCTGGAGCATCTGGAAAGTGTTGAGGGCCATGCCACGGCTGTGGGCCATGGCCGGCCTTCAAAGTCGCAATACAAATTGTGGCAAACACCTGCAGAAGATTGGAAAGAGTTTTTGATTCGCGATATCATTTCCCCTTTGAGAGTCTTTTCCTTCCCAATCATCTTTTGGGCCGGTCTGAATGTAGCTGGTCCTGCGAATCTCCTACTGTTCTGGAATCTGACGGAATCTACCGTGCTGGGTGCTGCTCCGTACAACTTCAACCCAGCGGCAGTTGGGTATGCCAACTTTGCATTTGCGGTCGGAGGTATCGTTGGACTGGTTACAGCAGGACCATTTTCAGATTGGGTCGCCATGAAAGCTACCTCACGAAATGGCGGAATTCGGGAGGCTGAGATGCGGTTGCCTGCCCTTATTCCATACTGCATTACAACAGTCGTTGGAATCGTCATTGGTGGTCTTGGCTACGAGAGGCTTTGGGATTGGCCAATAATTCTTGTCATTGGATATGGTTTTAGTGGTCTGTGTGTGACGACAGTCCCGACAATTGCAGTCGCTTATGCTGTTGATTGCTACAAGCCTATATCGGGGGAGATCATGGTCGTCGCGACTGTGATCAAGAACACTTGCGGGTTCGCGATGAGTTACTGGGTATCTCCACTGGCGGAACGCAAAGGGTGGCTTACGCCTGCGATGGTCCAGTTCTCTCTGACTGTAGGGCCTCTCCTGCTGGGAATCCCTATCTACATCTTCGGCAAGAAACTTCGAAGGCTGACTCGGAACTCCGTGGTGCATTCTTACTCTGGATGAAGGTCGATATGTGTCATTAAATAGCAAAGAATTCAAATTCAGTTGACAATTCTTTGCTCCTGAATATCACATTCCTAGCGTTTGATTTTTGGCCCACTTCCCCCGCAAGTTTCACTAGTCCCTTGGCTTGGTGGCACTCTTAGGCCACTCGCACAAGGCTCAGCAAGTGGTCTAGCAAGCAATCGCCCTGTATTTGTAATACAAGTCATAATTGATGTGACTACAATATGACTTCATTATCAACACTTCTTTAGATCAAAGCTACTTATGCCCACAACCGATGATAAGGAAAAGCGGTACCAAAGGCAAGACACCCGAAGTCCCCGACTCCTGTAGAATCCTTTTGCATATAAAACCTTCGAGGAAACGGCATTGATATATTTACACACCATGACTCGGCTCCTCATTCAGTACTAGCGAAATAACTAACTTCGTCACGCATTAAACGTCTGTCGACTCGGTTTACAGCACAGCCGATCTCCTGGTGCATAAAGACGGCCCGCTAGGTGTATGGGTCCCCATGGACTGAGGCTTCAGCACCTCGGAGATAAAATAGTGTATATTCAAATTCTCGGAGATCTGCAGCTTTCAAGTAGAAACACACAGCCTGAAAGCTCGGCGTGCGTAGGCATGCGTACCTGCAGTTGTCAACTCGGCCCGAGACTCTGCATTGGGAAGCCTGAGCCGAACAACAGGCAAAACGGTCCTATTCATCAGTTGAGACCCCAGGCTTAACACCTACGCGGCCCTACCCGTAGCTCGGAACTTAAGTACTAATCAGTTAAGATCATCGCTGAACTTCCCGGTCATGGTGAGTCTTCGGTAATTGAGGTTCTCCAGGATCGTCCGATGCTCCTACTTGTTGAATCGCCTTCATCTCCCAGATGACACAAAGAAAGCAACTGTTCTCAGCGGATGTAGGTACAATTAACAGCTGACTTTGAGACATTTAAAATGGGTCTCTCAGAATACGCAGTTGGTCCTGATTGATTCGATAACTATCTCAGAAATATGAGTTAATGCATTGATCTAGCATATGGGCCGCCGTCGTCATCCATACACGCCCTCGAGTCTCCACATCCACTGACCTGCAGGCTTGTGGCTTCGGGAAATGGGGATTAACCCACTTCCAACCTTTAAACATGATACTCAGCCAACCTTGTTTGACCAAGGTTACTTGGTGGAGCCAGGGGCACTACTTATATCGGTGAGGGTCACCATGCGCATTGCGCGGACTGTATCAAAAGCCTGAAGTATATAAAGACACTCGAAAACCGTCAGTCCACTTGATAGATACTACTATTTCATTATCAGAGCTTGGTCTGTCTATTCTAATTCCTTCTTTTGATCAACGTATGGCTTCTTTCATCACCAAGGGCCTCGCGTCCCTGGCTATAGCCGCTACTGTTGCACAAGCACAGCTATGGGACGAGGTCATTGAGACATCCTACGGTCCTGTCCAGGGATATCAGTACTTCAATCAATCGACTCTGGAAAAGTTCTTTGGAATCTCCGAGGCCAACGTGACAGCATTCTTGGGTATCCCCTTCGCTGCTGATACCGGTTACCAAAACCGCTGGAAGCCACCACAACCTCGTGAGCGATGGAACCAGACTCTGAAGGCCACGGGGTTCGGCCCCGCCTGCCCAAGCAACGATGCATCTAACATCAGTGAGGACTGCTTGAGCCTCAATATCTGGACTAATGCTGGCACTGCGGATGCTAAGCTCCCAGTCATGGTGTGGAACCAGGGCTCGGATGAAACTAGCGATAGCAACTGGTGGTACGGTGGCGGGATGGCCTTGAAGGATGTCATTCTCATTACATTCAATCGTCGTGACGATGCATTTGGTTACCTCGCTCACCCAGAGCTCAACGAGGAAGGATACAAGGCTACTGGGCACAAGACCTCTGGTAACTATGGTATCCTCGACCAGCTGGAAGTGCTCAAGTGGGTGCAGAAGAACATTGCCAAGTTTGGTGGTGATCCCACCCGAGTCACCGTCGCTGGTCAGTCCTTCGGATCTTCTCAAGTCTACCACGCCGTCAACAGCCCCCTGTTCACGGGGTACTTCCACGGTGGAATCTCCGAGTCCGGTATTAGATACCCGTACGACACCCTTCTGGCTGGCCTGGCTACCTCCTACGTGAACATGTCGACTGCAATCGAGCATGGAGTCAACTATACCACTTTCCACAATGCATCCACCATCGCTGAGCTGCGCACTCTCTCCATGGAGGACCTGCTAGTCGGTTCGCAGGATCGCGTCGGCAACGAGTCCATCTGGTGGGTGACCGCACTGTCGGCGGGCTACCCACTCATCTTCAAGCCCGTGCTAGACGGTTATGTCCTTCCGGAGAAGTACATCGAGACTCTGATCAACGGGCCAGCCAACGACGTCCCCGTCATCACCGGCAACACCAAAGACGAATCCGGTGCCTCGCCCCAGACCGACTATACCATCGCCGAGTACGAGTACTACTGCACTCTCAAGTATGGCAACCTGTCCAGCCGATACTTCCAGCTCTACCCGGACCACAAGAACCAGACCATCGCAGATCAAGCGTGGAACGCCGCCGCTCGAGACACTTCTCTCATCGGCTCGTGGGCTTATGCAACGGACTGGTACAAGGCAGCTTCGTCGTCGTTCTACACTTACTACTGGACCCACGCGCCGCCCGGTCAGAACATGGGAGCGTTCCACCAGTCGGAGATCATGTACGCGCTGAACGCTCTCTATGCCAATGCCGATACCTACCCTTTTACCGAGACAGACTATGAGACTCAGGAGAAGATGTCTTCATACTGGGCCAACTTTGCGAAGACGTTGGATCCGAATCAGGGTGGTTCGTATAGTGGGAATGGTGTGCTGCCCCAGTGGAGTCCCAACAGTGCAAATGGCACCCAGGTGGTCATGGAGCTGGGAAATTACTTTGGTAATGTTCCTATTGCGAAGCCACAGCAGGTCAAGTTGATCATGGATTACTTCCATCAGCAGGTCCCCTATTAGAGGGGATTGGTGATTACACTTACATGAGAACCCCGCCCAGTGAAGGGTCTAGATTCTTTCTATGTTTCATAGTTCTCTGGACTAGAACCTGCCTTGACTAAGCCTTGCCGGTCTTGACCTACCATGGCGATGTACTTTAGATTGTGAAAATGGAATACAAGCTAGGTATGAGACATAAACATCATTGTCATCTGTAGCCACTTGAACAACAAACAACTTTAGTCATTTCATCCTTTCAGAATTGAATTGCAACCTATTCACTCAATATTATTACATTCACCAATCTTCCATTGGCTATTGCCAAATTCCATTTCCATTCCTCCCTGCTCAACCACGTCACATGCACCTCCCTCTCTGCATCTCCCAAGCTGCAGTCCATCTGCGCCAACCAACCACTCACTGCCCACGCCACAAAGAAAACAACTCACTCGCCCGCCAACCCCCCACCAAAAGCAAGATCCGTTCCAATAGACCCGTATATCCCAAGCACCCTATTTGTCCAATCAGCCTTATACATAGCTAGCTACAGCTATTAGCAGTAATCACCTCGCACTCTGCACAATATCGCACGCCGCATGTAACCACTACCAAACTACTGCCCAGATGCACCCAGCAGCCAAGCCCTCGTCCAGCATGTTCAGCACGTTCAGCCCCATCTAGCATAATTACATCGATGATGTCGAGGCCCGGGAGTCAGTCGTACAAACCCAGATGGCGGGGTATCCCATGTGAACGAGTCATGGGTACGCATCCGGAACTGTAACAAAGAACCAGCATTCCAGGCGGCTCGGCTGACTTGAAGAGCAGGGATTGTCCAACGTATTGTTCTTGACTACTCCTTAAGGTTTTGCTTTTCGCTCGGTGGATGCGAGATTTGCTTTCTCTTCCATGGTTGGGCTTACTTACGTCTTTAGAGGATCCAGAGCGAAGTCTTATATACGTTCAGGCTCGTGTCTTCCAAAGGTTGGGGTATTTAAGCCACGATCTCCAGCCCTACCGTTTCATCTCCTCGATGATCGACGACCTTTCCAGATCTACATCGTGCTAAATCTACTCCATCCTGACTCTACAAATACTTGTCGACCTACTGGTTTATCTTCGTGCCAGGACCTGATACAACAAGAACCACTTCTACAACTACTCCCCGCATTTATTCATGTCCTCTCCATCCACAGCCGATTCTACCAAATTACCAGCCACACCCTCAACGATGCAACCGACCTCCGAATCTTCCTCTAACAAAACAACTTGGGCTCACAGCCTTTTGACCTCAATTTGGGATTTCTTCATCGGCGACCCTGCTTCGCGGGAAAGTGATGCTGATGCCGTGGAGGGATGGGTGGGTGTGCGCGCCGGCCGAGGGAGGTGTCGGTCTATTGGGGACGTTCATTGATATCGCACTTTGATGGCAGGGTTGATGTCAGCTTTTACGCTTCGGGGGGCTACTTTCTGGATTGGTACTTGAAGAGTCTTCGTTTCCGTTGGTCTTGTTGGCGGATGGTTTGGTTTGACGTCTCGGTTTCTTGGCAGAATGAATACTCGATCGCGTTACTAAATTGAGGGGAATATGGCAAAACACAGTGAAACCCACGAGTTCAGGTCCATACAAATATCAAGCATACGTATGAAGACAATCCATGGTATGTTATGGTATAGATACAGGGTCGAATAGAAACGCCGCCACACAGACGTATAAGTACAAGTACAAAGGCTCGCCTTCCTCATTCGGAGGGAAGACAGCACCCAATCTTAAAGCTCAACATACAGTCAAATCATCCCCTGCATGAAGCTCAAGCCTCCACGCGAGTAGGAATCTTGACCATACCGCGCTTGCGATCGTCGGCCGGCACACCGTATCGGCGGCCAGGAGCCCAAGGAGCACGACCGTCAGCACCGACAGTCTCCCTGGTGAACTTGGCATCCTGGATGCGGTAGTCGAACCGGCTACCCTCAGGCTCGACGTGTTGAATGCTCTTCTCACGGCGAGCCTGGGCACGCTCGCGACGCTGCTGCTCGGCCGCCTCCTGCTTCTCGAGGCGCTCGGCGTGACGCTGCGTAACAGCACGACGTTCGTTGGGGAACGCCTTGCGGTCAATCTCCAGCTTGATCAACTGCGGGTGCGGGATACGCACGTCCGCGGGTTGAAGGACCTGTCGGGCCTTCTCGCCCTTGCCAACCCACTCAATCGAGTTGGGGTTTTCAATGATCTCGTCGACCAGATCAGAGGGGTGGGAGATCTTGTCGGCAACGGCCTTTTCCAGTGTTGGCGCACCGGAGAAGACGCGACCGGCATCAACTCGAGTGAAGGATCGTGATTCGGGCACGGGGTAGAAGATCTGGGCGCCGGTGGAAGGGTGGGCGGGAAGATCATTAATAGGTTCGTGGTAGGGTTGACGTTCGCCTTCCTGGGCGAGGGCCGTGGTCGGGATCATTTCGTGAACCGCACGAGCATATGGCAGTGAGAGGGGTTTGCCCTGAATTGACAGCTTTTGTCAGTCACGTTGCCAAGAAACATAGTAACAAATCTCCAAAGAAGAAAGTTGACAGCAAGGGGATCAGGAAAAAGCAAATTTTTAACCAGTCAAGCTAGAGCCTGTGTCTTCAAGACTAATCGATTTTTTGTTGTCTCATCATATGCGTCGGGGTGGGAGGAGAGGCCTCGGAGGATCCGAAAACCAGAAAGAAAGAGGGTGCAAAAATCCTTACCTGGGCGCGTTGTCTCCTCTCCATCTCCACTAAGCGCACTACAGCCGCAATACGCTTCATATCGATACCAAGCTCGACACTGACAGCACGCAAGCTCTTCTTCTTCTCGACAACCCGGACGTAAACCTCATTCCGCAGGTCCTCGCTAAGAACGCTCTCGCTAACAAAGTTCCGGTTACCGGGGAAGGGTCGTGACGACTCATTGGAGTTTCCATCGCGGTCTGGCCGGCTAGGCAGATAGTTGGTCTCGCCAGGGATGTGGTGCTTCAACGCAGCTCCCTCGGTAGAGAGCCATTGGAACATATGCCGGCGCAGCCTGGTCTGTGAAGCCGCGGTCGAGGAGAACTGGCGGGAGAACAGTTTTGATGAAGGGCATGTGGATGAGATGGAAGATGTAGAGGAGGATTGAGAGGATGTGAGATAGGGGAGGAGGGCATTGGACAAACGCCGGCTCTGTATCCGAGGAGCCATCTTGACGTGTGAGGAGACCCGGCAATCCCGGACCCAGGGATTGGGGCAATTGAAGAATTAAAATGGATAGATAAATGACAAGGGCAGTAGACGGACAAAGGCAGCGGCTAATTAAGGGCTGGCGCTGCAATTGTTGGGTTTGGGGTCGTGAGTGTGGAGAGGTTGTTTGTGGCAGGGGAAGAAACTTTTCCGCGAGGGAAAGTTGTCGGTGCTGTCACGTGAGATGTTGCTCTGAGGAGACCCTCAACAAATACACGCTTAAGCGGGCTATTCCAGTATATCTCTAGTCCATTTGTAAGAATAAGAATATGGTATACAGCAAACTTATCATTCTCCTGTATTGTCTATTGTATTCAAAATTGATACCATAAATATTTTGGTTTGAAATCATTAATCTCCTGAAGTTCCTCGGCCAGCAAACCAGAATATATCGTGTTACAGCCCCGGTCTACAAATTGGACGGTTGAACACCAGATTCAAGCAGAAACAAAAACCATTCCGGAACACCTAAAAAGCGACAAGAAGAGTGCCACAGACCTACATAGGACCTCGTTCTCCACCAGTCTAACCTAGCTCACTACACAATTGGAAGTCGGGTTCAATTGCAACCAGTCCATTGTATGGTATGAAGTACAGAGAAGCAAAACCCATGTATCAGTCTCAACCTTAGCACCACTAAGCAACACGAGAGTGAAGAATGTAAAACCAGCCTCCGGGCCTGGGCCTGCACCCATAAAGAAACCAGCAGATCAAAGAACACCCAGGTGCCTGATAATGGATGTAATACCCATCATGAAGAGAAAAGGAAAGCGAGAAGGCCAATTTCATCCATCCATCCAAACCCAAGTTCATCCGTAAGCTAGCAGACTCAGACCCAGACCCAGATCCAGACCCCAGAACCTAGCCATGCCTATGAATATCGTATATCACCCCAGAGTAGAACAGCCTAGCCGGGAAACCGCAAAAAACGAAGATCAAACCTCATCCACGATGGCAATGCAAGCCAGCTAAACCTATTCCATTCAATCCCAAGCAAGTGAAAACAGACCATGCGCTATAAACCGAACCAATAGACCGAGTGCGAACCGGACGCCGTCCTTTGTCTCCGTCGCTAGAGAGAAGACACACGTGTATGATGGGATAATAATCGGGATATGGACGAGTAGTGAACACCGAAGAACCGGATAACAATAAAGCCCTCAATTTAACGCCAGCGAAGATGCGCAGAATCGACTACCGCCGAGGCCACGACATTCCGAAGCTCATGCTCGAGTGGGAGGGATATTATGAGGCGAAGGGCTGAAAAGAACGAAGTAGAGAAATGTTGTTTTAGAAAGAAGAGAATGGGAGTTGAGAAGAGAAGGGATGATAGATAAAAAGCCAGATAAGACACCATCTTGGGTAGCTGCATGAGAAGGGACAAATAATTGCAAGTGTAAAGAATAGAAGAGCAAAAAAAAGCTAAAAATTTCAATTTCCAGTTCACACATGAAGATGCATTCGATAAAGCAGTTGGATGTAAAGGGGAATCACGGTCGAAAAAAGGGTTAAAGACAAGCCCAAGCCAACAAGCCCCGAAGGACTTAACTCGAACCTTTTTGAGAGGCGGGTCGAGTGTTTGATAAAGTCCAGGCATGGATAGAGGAAGAGGAATAGATGAACACACACGCAGAACAAGCAAAACAGGAATAGCACAAGGGTATGAAGGTGTTGATGATGAACGCAGATGGTGAGACAGAATTTCAAACGCGCTGCGCTCGCGCCGCCGTGTGCCCCGACCTCAATAAGAATACAAGCTTGCAATGACCTGAAATGCAATCCTCCCGAGGCAAATAAAAAAAGGAATGTGAAAGAAAAGAGCGCCCGAGTCCCCATGCAATAGAGAAAAAAGACGACGACAGAACAAGACAGCAAACACATTAACCAGGACAAAAGCCACATCACACAGGCCATTAAAAAAAGGGATCAGTGATAAAGAGGGGAAAGAGAACCGTAACACGACAAAAAAACAACAACAAAAAGCAGAGTCCCGAATTTCAATACTCCCGAGAGTTATGCAGCCGCCGAATGCTGATTCTAGCTCGCGAAACGGAAAAGGAACCCCCAAGTGCGCCAGATACCCCAGGTTCGTTCATCAAACATGCCGGACATTATCTCGAATATAATGCTTTGGGGGATCATTCCCTTAGCGACCCATCATGTAGTCTGGGTAGAAGGAATTGTAGCCGTTCATGTTCGGCCCCGCGTTGTTGCCAGCGGCAGCACCAGGAGGTGGCGGCGACATCATCATGGCATTGCCTCCGTTGGTGCGAATCCCTAGGCCCGAGTTGTGGTTGAAAGTGCCATTACCCACTACGGCGTGTGGGTTCCCATTGCCGTGCGCGACATGCAAGCTGCTGCCATTGCGCATGGGCATGGGCATCGCAAGTCCCGGAGGAGCAGCCAGACCTGGTGGCGGTCCACTGACCGAGGAAAACATGTGGCTATGCATGCCGCTAAGGTTGCTCCCTCCAGGGACACCGCCCGGTCCCTGAAGCGGGTTGGATGCACTCATGCTGCCAGGTTGACCAGAGCGTACACCCAGAGGGTTCTTGGAGAAACTGAGGCGGATACCAGTCTTGACACTGTTGGACAGCTTGTAGCCATACAACTCGTTCAGTGCCTTGCTTGCCATCGCCACTTCGTCAAACTCCACGAAACACATGGGCCCGTTCTGTTTGTTGCGGAAGCACAGCCGCTTGTAGCCACGCTGCTTGGAGAAAAGTGCCTTGAGCTCCTCCTCGGATGTGTCTGGGGGTAGATTACCCACGTAGAGAGTGTTGCACGGAGGGTTCAGGTCGTTCGGATTCGCAGCGGGGAGGCTGTGGCGGGGAGTGTGCTGGCTACCACCGTAGGGGAAGCCGTGGCCGTGACCAGCGGGATATGCTGAGGACGGTCCACTGACGCTGCCCATACGCTGTCCGGGACCGTTAGAGGCGTAATTTGGCAGAGGCGGAGACGACATGGTGGTAGACAAAGACAGATTGGCGAAGCGACCGGTCGGGAGCTGAGGGTTGGTAGAGCGACGCGGGACGGACACGGAAGCCGAGTGGCCATTCTCTGCGTAGCCCACGGGGTCCTTCAGCAGCTCGCCCGTCTCCTCATCGGGATCCTCATCGATCATGGACTTGCCCGTCACGCGCGGGAGATCGCCGACTCCATTGCCGATGGGTGATTGCGGGGAGAAGAGACTGTGGAGGCGCGAGCCGGATTCTGATGCCGAAGGCAGGCCCTCGCCGATAAGTTGTGTAGACGGGTTGGCCGCAGAGAGTCGCTCGAGGCTCTGGAAAGTACCGTTGAAACGGGAGGACTGACGCGACAGGGGACCATTTGAGGGAACACCACCCAGCAGTCCGCGGGTGTTGGTGTGATCGATCGTGTTGCGACGCGTATTCGACAAGGTAGATCCTACGGGACCTGGGTACATTTCCACCACCATGTTGGCGTCGTTCTTCGAGTTGGGTTTGCCATCCAAGAGGGCGCGGGCCTCTTCTGCGGCCGGCAGAGTGTTGAATCGAGCGATCGCGCTGAGGAACCCGTCATCTTCCGGGTAATCAGAGGTCACGAAATCGGCATCGACAAAGTCCTTTGCGAAAAGGAGCATGCTGCGCAAGGCTTCGCGACTGGTATTGCGAGGCAACTTGCGCATGAGAATCGCGCCACCGCCGTTGGCGCGCCCCAGGCCATTCAGGCCCTGGAGGTTGCGGTCTGACTCGCCGAGGCGCATTCCGCTATCAAAGGAGGAGGATGGGCCGAGAGGCGAGAATGGATAAGTGAAAGTCGGAGCTAGAGATGTGGGCGCTTGCGAGACAGATGGGTTATACACGTCGGTCGACATGGCATGCTGAGTCGTTGCGGGCGCCTGGGAGGAAGACGACGAGAGCGGGTGCTGTGGTGGCGAGGAACCAGAAGACACAGACTCTGTACGCTGTGTTGTGCCAAAGGAGCCTGGACTCGTTCGAGTGGACTGGTTCGAGCTGCCGCTCATCGGTGGAATGAAATCGATCGGGGTGCGCGACACGAAAGAGCGGATGGGAAGAAGAGGCGAAAGGACCGGCGCGAGGGAATGGAGGTGTCTCGGAGAGAGAGGGAGAGACGGAGTGGAACGCGCGATTAAATGCGACCGAGGGAGTTGGGATGGATGAAGCGCGATGGACGAAGACGCGAAGGCGAGATTAGCGATTCAATCGGATGACGAGTTCGCAGGGATGTTCGCTCCTCATCGGATCTGCGACAAGTGGCGCGCGGTTTTTTTGTGGATTTGGGCTATCACGACTGCTCTCCTTTATCTGAGGAAGGTGCGATCGGGGAAGCCGATGAGCGCGGGTGAATCGCGGGTTGGGTGGTGAGGTGTGTGTGTGTTGGGGGGGGGGGGGGGGGGGAGATGGCGAAGATGAGTGGGACAGAGAGAGGGGGGAGATGAAGAAAGCAAAAAGATGAAAAGGGAGTTGGGAAGGCGGAAAGAAGGAAGGAGGGTTTCGAGGCTGAAAGGGCAGGAGGGGGAAGTTAGCAGGAAGGGGGAAGGGGGGGGGAAGAAGACCGACAGAGAGGGCGCGAGAGAAAAGAGTCCGGAACGGTCGAGTGCCAGAGTCCACAAGTGCCAGATCCATGGATCTGCTTTCACGACGCGACTGTGCAGGACGGGGGTGATACAGGGGAAGCCACTGGGGCAGTACAGCAAGGAGACCGGATAAGATAAGGACAATAGAAGTACCCCGGGAGTAAATTACCATACGTCGTCACCAGATTACTCCGACCTGGCCACCCTCAACCGCCGCTTGCAGAACGTGGAGTGCGTGCCCCGAAACCCTGGGAATGCCCCCGGTTTCTGGATCAGGAGTTTGGACGGACCGCGAGCTCTTTGGGAGGCGGCCGTTATTATTCCTCTTGCATGAGTCGGTCTATCAGTTCTAATGTCCCCTCCTCCTTATGGAGGTTCTAGAAACCCGTTCTGGCAGCTGCGGCTTCCCGTTCAATCTCCGACTGCACAGGCCCGATGGCAGTGTCATCATCATGGCTCTAGCCTCTCGTGGGAATAGGTAGGCTACCTCGTCCCTCGTCGATAGCCCCCTACCGCTTGCATACCCTGGAGGATACGCGGAATGATGGGCAACACAGTCGTAGTATGACCAAAGTCCTACGAGATTAGATTAGGGAGGCTACAGTATTAGGAGTATCTTGTACTGCGATAGACCTACTGCACACTTCTCCTAGCGCATAGCTTCGACACGAACCTACAGAATCTACAGAACCTATGCAGGACCTGCTCGATCGAGCCACGCGCATAAAGCTGCAGCTCCAGGTCCAGGTCCGGGCCTTTAGCTATGACTCTAAAAACCTATATACGAGAGTGTGTCCTACCTACCAACCCATCTTCTGGAGGTTACTACAAGCTATATGTGCCATCATACGTTGCCAGTGCATTCTTTCCTGACCTCGGAGACTGATGCCTATGCGCCATCCTGGTCCTCCCCCCCCCCCGGTCATCCTAGTCATCCTGGGTGCCCGGCAGCCCAACTTCCCACTAGAGCAGTCGGTACTTGAAAAAAAAAACAATGAGACCCACGCAACGGACGTGCAGGGCCCCTAGTCACGAATCAAATCGTCTTATACTTCTTAGGTCAGACTACCGAGACTTGCAGGCTTGCAGCTGAGTATACATTCTACTGTACATAGCTCAACATAGCTATAAACATACAGGTAGATCAACGCGCAAACACGCCCTGTGAGGAAGAATCAAAAGAAGCAATAGGCTTTCCACCACTAGCGTGGTTTACCCCATGGTTTCGTAGAATTCAAGTCCGTCATCCATCCCCTGATATGCACAAGGCACCAGGGAAGAAAAAGAAAGAAACGCAGAGCCTACACTCTCGAGAAAAACACCGTGCGCATTCCTCGATGATCTGTTGAAGTGACTCAGGCACACCAGTTGACCGCCCCTGGTTGCAGTCGAGTCCATGCAAAGTATTATTATTAATATTATTACTCCCCGCCAGTTCCCTCTTTACCGTTCGTTTATCGCTGACCTCTTCTCGTCCTTTTACATTCCCATCATGGGTCAAAAAGTACCAAACCCTCCCATTGTTATGTCCATCCAACGCCTCCCTCCCCCAGGCCCTTGTCCCAGACCACCCAATCCATGGAATCCAGAAACTCAAAGCGGGCGATCCTCCAGGGCCGCTGACCAATTGCCACGGGCTCGACACCCGTCGCGCAGCGGATTGGCCGGGGCCCGGAAATGGCTTGGGCTTATCGAGGGTCGCTGGGAGGGCGGTGCGGGTCTCTGGTTGGGCCGTGGCCACAAGCGCAACGCGATGGACCAGGCTTGGGGGAACTGCCAAAGTCCCAATGAAGCCTAGCCCCAGTTTGGGCTTTTCGTCGAGTCGTGCCTGGAGAGAGCAGCGGTCATAGGCGCGTCACGCTGGGAGGAGACTAGTCTGATTTGGGCTATCGGAACTAGACAGGGGAAAAGCATCCGGGACCTGGCCTCGAGCCCTGCGAGGTGCAGCGGCGGGAATGCGTGCTGGTTGTTGTTGCCTGTTGCTGACTGGCTGGTGAACATAGACTTGTCGCGACTATGACTGCCGTTGCAGCCTGATCGCGCGTCAAAAGCTTACCTGGTCTTTAGCCACGCCCGAGTCCACGCGCGCTCGAATCAGCGATGCGGACCCTCCTGTCATGTGAAGATCTACAGGCTCCACTGGGAGATGGTTCGTGCAGACACGCGAGATGCGAAGGGAGTTGGTGGGTTGTTGTGGGTGTAGTTGTAGTCATGATAGGTTGGTAATATTTCAAGCTGCGCGAACTCGGGATGAAAGATCCGAGCTGTCGCCGCAAGGCTGTTCACATAATGTACATGGGGGTAGAAGGTCAAGGCCCGAAGATCCCCCAAGCATGGGGAAAGGGGGCCTCTCAAAAATGGTCCAAACTCGCAATAAACGCCGCAAATGCCAGAAAATCAGTCGGGAAAGTACAGGAGCTGGTGGTCTCCTGGGACTGTCGCTGGAGAGGGATTGCCACTCCATTCTCAGCCAAACCGCACCGTGGTCATGGGGGTGGTCGATACAAGCAGACTCGACTCATGGTCTCGGAGGAAGACCCGTATTTTACCTCTGATCAAAAGGTCAAGCCGGAATCGAAAGGCTGGACAGTCCCGACGGAGGAACAGTCGGCACACCATTATGCCTTGTGAAAAGTAGTGGGCTTCTGCTCAACGAGGCCAGCCTGTATAAAACCCATGTCAGCCAATCTGTCTCACAAACCAAAGAACCAACGCAACTCTTTTAACAGAGAAAAGCGTGAAGCGTTGTGTGGACCACTTAGGAATCACACTCGCCCACACATCTTCCCAGCGAAGCACCAACGCAGGAGGCAATTCCAACTAACCATGCTCATCAGCTTCCACACTGGGTCACTAGGCTGTGCACCAACACCAAGCCAGTACTTTGCCCGGGCTCGGTCGAGCGCAATCTCCTTGTATGGGCGCACATGCGTACTGTCATCGTACAGGTTCGTCGGCTTCTTGGGGATGGGGTTGTAAGTGCCGATAACCTCGACGGGCTTCGCGCCGCGGGCAGACCTGTCAAGCGTCATAATTAGCTTCTCTTCTCAATATTCAAGCGAAGATAGCCCAGTCTGTTCTATCGTTCTGGCAGGTGCCAATGCCAATGCCAATGCGAATGCAAATGGGAAGAGCAGGGCCTCGAAGACGGAGAGATCGGGCACAGCAAAAACAGCGTACGTACCGAGCCTGCGCGACAACAATGTTGTAAAAAGGCGTGTGCTTGTTGCCAAAGCGCGCCAGCCGAATCCGAAGAACCATTTTGTTGAAATTGTGTGGGCTCTGCTTGGGAATGGGCCGGGTTTATCGTCGACTTGCGAGGTTCAAACTGCGCTCCGCAAAAGTTCAAGGAGGAGCGGAAAATTGGTTGTTCCTAAGCTGCCTAATTCGGATTAGCGCTAGCGGGGGCATGATGCAATGCGGTTGTATAGTTGTTGCTTCAATGCTGCCACTTAGACCATCTCCCCGTCTTATATCTTCTTTGCAGATAAATCTCCTTCTCATTCTCCGGAGAGTAGCTTGTCAATTGACACACGCATATTTATTTGACGGTAAAACCTAGTTTGGCCGTGGTGCTTTGCATGTTCCGCCCCGTCTGTTCTCGACGCCTCCCGCTTTCCGTTCTTCGTCGATACACCAAAGCTGCAACAATGTCGCTGAAGGTAGGTTCGAATGTAGAATATACTATACAAATTTACTCACTCGACATCCAGGCAATCTCCGCCACGGATGCTGCGTCCCTTGACAAGGACCTCATGGACGTGAACATTGGCGGCTGGTCACTAGACCAGCTTATGGAGCTGGCGGGCTTGTCGGTTTCTCAAGCCGGTGAGCTTTTCCAAGCTTTAACTTCAAATGAAGGACATCAATTATACTTATGCTTCATCGTATAGTCTGGAAGATGCATCCGCTCAGTCAAGGAAAGAATGTCCTCATTGCATGCGGACCTGGAAACAACGGTACGCGCTCATGATATTCCAGCAACAAAACATCCCAGCAGACCATCTAACGTATTATTCCTTCCAAGGTGGTGATGGTCTCGTCGCAGCACGACACCTCGCACATTACGGCTACAAGCCCACCGTGTACTATCCCAAAGAAGGCAAAAACGAACTCTACCAAGTACGTCCGCTTCAAATCCACAAATCTTCCCACAAAGCTCACCAGTATACAGCGCCTCAAAACCCAACTCGAAAACCTCTCGGTCCCCTTCACAAATGACTTCAACGCCGCCCTCTCCAACTCCCACCTCCTAATCGACGCCATCTTCGGCTTCTCATTTGGTGGGCCCCTTCGCGAGCCCTTCCCATCTATCATCTCGCAAGTCGAGACTGCATCTATCCCGGTGCTGAGTGTGGATGCCCCCAGTTCTTGGGACATTACCTCGGGACCGCCATCGTCTGGGCCTGGGGCTAAGTTTATGCCACAGGGACTGATTAGTCTGACGGCACCAAAGCCTTGTGTGAAGTTCTATGAGGGCCGGCACTTTGTTGGCGGCCGGTTCTTGACGCAGAGTATTGCGGAGAAGTATGGACTAGTTTGTCCGGCGTATGAAGGTATTGATCAGGTGGTGGAGGTGTTTAAGGATGGGGATGGTGACTTCCGGTATGCTCCAAAGGGGGAGTCAAAGTGCTAAGAGATCTACTGTGGGGTTCGTGAAGAGTATAGTTTTAAGGGAGGGGACATAGATAGAGAGAATGAATGGCATGGCAATTATTAGGAATTGCGTCGTCACCGTTAAATGTAGAAGGAATCTATTTGTGCTCTAGCGTCCAGACGGGATATCAAAGTTCAACTAGAGAGTGGATCTGATCTCACCGATCACACCCTTAATCCGCGGTTCCTTACCCGGTCCAGATGTCGAGACGCGAGAGAGCACCTTGTCAACTTCGTAGATCTCCTTCGCAGCACTCTTGACCTCGGCCCCCAGGGCCTGGACAAGTGTGCCCAGCGCAACAAGCCCACGGTAGACTGCTTCGGAATCTTTCTCGCCGGAGACGATCTGGGTGAGCTCCTCGAGGAGCATCAGGCCCCGCTCCGCCGCTTCGGGAGTCTGGGCGCGGCCTTCGGAGGTAAGGTAAACTGCAAAGTTGATGTAGAGTGTCGTTATGGCAATGGTGAGGTTACGGTTGGGCGCGTCTCCGCTGTTGGCCAATGCGGCTTTCACACCGGCGAGCACCTGGTCAAAGGTCTGAATAGCCAGACTGCGGCCCGTATCCGTCTCGAAGAGGTTGGCAAAGACTCGGACTGAAAGCATAGCGTTGTTGACATTGAGAGGTGGATCGAAAACGCCACTAGACAGGACCCCAGAAATGAGGTCCACCCCATCATACTCGGTAGTCGCGGTAGTGGGCGTCGCAGCAGCCAGCAAACGAAGCAGATCCAACCCGGGAAGCCGGTTGGCTGTTGGCCACGTGGTTGCAATATTGAAGACCAAAGGAATTCCCGCCTGGACCGCTGGAGAGTCTGGCAACTTCTGAGAGGTTTCTAATTGCCCGCAAAGCGCCACGACAGTCTCCAACTCCGAAGAATTCAGGGCTATGTTTTTGTCTCCCTCGGATAGGATCTTATCGTTCAATTCCTTGATCTTTTTGGCGATGACCTTGGTATTCGCGGAGCGGATGGAGAGATATGTCTTTTGGGGAAGAACTTGAGGACGCGACTCGGGAACAGGCGGGGGTGCAGGTTGATTGGCTGTGGCATCATCACCAGGCCTGTAACGTCGCTCCGAGCCCCAAGCGTCCGCACCACTCTCTTGAGATTGACCAAGCGTGGCACCCTGGGTATTCTGCGTGATAAAGTTCGCGACCTGATCAAGATAGGACATGGGTAGCTCATTATCCCCGATGAACTTGGTCGCCGCTTCATATGGGTTCTGAGAGACATTATATGGAAGTTTCAGCGGAGGTTTGCCGTCCTCGATGTCGACGTCGAAGACATAATCATAGTCTTGTCCGAGATACTCCGTTTTCCGGCCGCTGCTTGCTGCCGAGTCTACCACTGTACCAACAGCAATCCATTCCTGGGTTGCTGATGACCAAGTATGGGCAGTGACACTCCCGTCCGACTCGCGGATCATCTGAACCTGACCTTCTTTCGTTCCGGATCGCTCCTTCAGGAATTCTGGACCAGGCAATTGCTCTTTATTGATCTTTCCAACCTGCTCAGCAGGGATAGCCGACTCCTTGACAGATTGCTCGAATTGTTGAATGACCTCAGGTGCAGCCTGGCGATCTGGGCTCCGACTGAATACCCGAGTGGTGCGGTCACTGGCGCCGCTGACAATGTCACCGGTTTCATTACACACAGCAACGCTCCAAACGGAGATGGCAGGATGGGTGATGGTTTGAATGCACTGCGTTCCCTGCCATATCCTGACGGTACGGTCTTCTCCGGAGCTCACAAGCTCGCCCGAGGGTAGCGCAGCGAGGGAGTAAACAAAGCTTTCATGGCCATGAAGAGAGGCGACCAGATTACCTTGTAAGGTGTACAATCGAATAATCCCATCATTGCTGGCCGAGGCAAACTGGGCACCGGTGGAATTTGAGGCAGGAACCTTGCAGAGAGCTCGTACGACGTCGTTGGAATTCTTGATGCTTCCAAGGAGGGCACCGGAGGTGTTGAATATGCGAATCATTTGGTCGGCACAGCCTGGAATATTGTTAGTATCATGCAGACTTGTCGCAGAATACCCGGGATGCAGCCAGCATACCTGTAATAATGGTATTCTTGTCATAGGCTAGGACGGCCCAGACGCTCCCTCCATGGCCTTCCAGTACAACCTCAGTCTCCCATTTTCTAACCCTCCAAAGGCGAGCTGTCGAATCCCAGCTGCCGCTGACGATCCAACCACCGTCTGGAGAAACATCCAGAGCACAGATGTTGTGGCCATGGCCTAATAACATAGCATCCGCATTGTCCGTGGCAGACTTGCTGGGCTGTCGCGCTTCAATGATTGTATCTTGTCCACCAGAGAGCACTAGGCCCTCAGGGAACTCGGCTGTCGGCGGTAGGTAAGCTAAGCTGTTGATAAAGGCCTGACCGTGCGCGGCAATCGTATAATCGTAAGTTGGAGGCGGGGAGGAGACGAGCTTCCAGAGTCGGACGGTGGCATCACGAGAGGCCGAGAGGATGACATTGGGATTTGGGAAGGCCACGGCGCGAACCTGAAGCCGGAATGAGAGGTCAGTGAATGGATTCGCAAGCGCCATCAAGGTATCCGGCCAAGGAGCGGGGACGGGGAGACACTTACATCATCGCCGTGACCTTCGAGAGAGGCGGAGAGCTTGAAGTCAGGCATACATACAACCTGGGGAGATGAGATGAGTGAATAAGAAAGAGAAAAGCAGCAGGATATCAAAGATCGACCAAAGCTCCTTCCCCCGTTGTAGTTGTTGCTGGTGGTTGTTGTCCTTTAGTCGTTCTGGGGTCCCCGCCTGCGCATCATATCACGTGGGCGGTGGAGCTATGACGAACATGCTAGAAGTTGATTTGCAATGCGAGCCAAGTACGGAGTGTTCCAGAGTCAATTAGCCTTTGGAAGATGCCATTAGTAGTGTTTTAGAATTGTCTCACTGTTGTCAGTGCTTGAGAGCCTCAAGTGGAGCTATACAGAGCGCATGATGGAGGGACTTTGACTATCTCATCCTCTCTGGAGCTGGATAGCTTGATAGATGGAGCATGCTTCAATTTGATGGCCAGAGATCACACTCTTTAGCCACATGAATCCAGGCAGTACGCCAATGCAATCGTGTACTCCTACCAGGCCTAGCCATCCACTAGCTAGGTAGATCGCTACCCAAGTCGACTCAGCGGCTGATATTAGCGGTGAAAGCATAGAGGGACCCCTCGTTGCAATGTAAGATAGAACAATCGATATCAAAGAAGAGCACTTTTTCAATACCAAAGATCCAACTTAGACTCGGATCTCCATCAATGGTTTCCCTCATATACTCCGAGGACGACCAGTTGATGTATCAACACTTTAAAAACGACAAAAGTCCAACCAGAGGCACGTGTTCTAGCCTGATCGGGGCTAGCGGGATGAGCTGAGGTAAGCAGCGGGCTGCAGGTGACCCGCTCGAGGGATTTCAATATCGAAAGAGCCTGAACTGCTGATTGTGGACTTGTGAACACCTCGCCAGGAAGCTTGTCGTTCGCGGGGTCCTTGATCTGTCCCCGATTCCGGTCCTTCTTTACAAACAAGGCTTGATGACTTGACGACCCTGACGAATCTCTTTTGTACTTTCCTTAAACAAAAAGACTGAACGACTTGGACTCGCCCTTCTATCCCGACCTCACGCCACATCTGTCTCTGCTCTATTCTCAGCTGGACATCTCACGCCTGCTACGACTGTTCATGGCAGGTTTCGGACATTTTTAATATTGGATCTTGGTCATTTCAAACATTTAGTGCTTCCTAATTTAGCTGTGGACACCATGGCTTCTGGTATGTGTGATGTTGTCCTTTCCAGATATTCACCACGAGTTGTCGCTGATGAATCTTAGATATCCCCAAGGTCGTCCCTCTCACCTGTCACGGGCACTCTCGTCCCGTGACTCACTTGAGCTTCTCCTCCACTGTAGAGGAGGACCAGTACTACCTGATCTCAGCCTGCAAAGGTAAACATGCCACGCCAAAAGCAAAGCAAAACGTAGCAGAAGCCAAAAACAAGAGAACTAATCAACTACCTACTCCCAGATAACAACCCCATGCTCCGGGATGGTATCACAGGTGACTGGTATGTATACCACCCCCCACTCCCCATAATACCCAAACTAACAAACCAACCCAGGATTGGCACATTCCTTGGCCACAAAGGCGCCGTCTGGCAAGCCCGGCTCTCCGCCGATGCCGCCATCGCCGCGACAGCAGCCGCAGATTTTTCCGCCAAGGTATGGGACACCTACACCGGCGAGTGTCTGCACACCCTGCAGCACGCACACATCGTGCGCGCCATCGCGTTCCCCATCCAAGCAAACCCGCAAGTCCTCGCCACCGGCGGCGCAGAGAAGAAGCTCCGCATCTTCGATCTGACCCGCGGCGGCGGCACTGGCACTAGTAGCAACGGCTCCTCGCCCCCGTTGCCAACACCCAGCAGCAATGGGAGTCCCGTCCAGAGCGGGGCGGATGTGACGAGCTACGAGATCGGGCCTGGTGTGCATGGCGGCACGATCAAGTCCATCATCTGGAACCAGGATTACAATATCGTGACGACGGCTGCAGAGGACCGCAAGATTCGATGGTGGGATTTGCGGTCGCGGCATCCCGTTAAGGAGTTTGCTGTTGATGGGACGATCGGGTCGTGCGAGTTGAATAGTCTCGCCGTGCGGCCTAATGATGCTGGGATTCTGACTGTGGCTGCGGGTAAGAGTGTGTATCTGTTTGATGGCGTGCAGCCGGGTCGGCTCTTGAAGAAGGCCGATTTCGGGTACGAGGTTGCCAGTGCGGCGGTTAATAGTGACTCGGGCCGTTTGGTGACTGGTAGTGCGGATGATACGTGGGCGCGGGTGTATGACCTGCACACGGATGAGGAGTTGGGTATGTATCCCTAATCGCAATCGAGTGCCCGCCTGACTTGGAGTTTATTGCTAACGTGTCATCACAGACGTGCAAAAGGGTCACCACGGACCTATCTGGTCGGTGAGCTTCTCGCCCGATGGCAAGTTGTACGGCACTGGAAGCGAGGACGGCACCGTCAAATTGTGGAAGGCATGCCGGGAACCTTATGGATTGTGGCGATGAACCAAAACCAATCAAGAATGAAAACCTTGGTGTACAGCGAGAAGAATCTCCAACATTATCGGATTCCTTGCTCCTGCCAGGCCATACTCATAATTGGCGGTGGCTTTTAGTGTGGATTATGATAATCTGATACGCTCGCCTCAAAGATGATGATATCTCACAATTACTTACTAGTCGTAGGATAGCTGTGAATTGTAGAATCTAAGTGATCTCCAATTTCCACTTCTGGAGCGAGCGTTGAGCTCATCCAATTGTGTATCAGAGTTAGAGTTACTTTGGGGCTCTTCGTGCCATCTAGACCCTCACTAGTCTACAGAAATTCAAGCAAAGGAAAACGAGTATGGCCTAGATAATGTTCCCATTGACAATTTTGTGATGATTGTAAAATACAGGTCCCTTGCTATCCAGCCGAGCATCACCAAGCCATATTTTCTCCAAGTGGGGAATTTAAACCAAAAGCTGTGCAGCCATATTCATGAGAAAAAGTGACCCAAAACCATCCCAATCGTGTAAATCTCCCATGCCATCGTTTACTCGATCATGTCAATGTCGTCATCTGCGGCAGCAGGCGCAGCAGGAGCAGCCGCTGAGGCCGTAGCAGCCTGAGGCTGTGCGGCAGCAGTCTCGGGTTGCTTCTCAGCAGTCTCGGTCGCGGCGTTGTTTCCACCCCAGTAGTCATCCATCTCCTGATCCAATTCCTCCTGCGTCTTGCGGGGACGGTCATCTGCCCCACGACGACCTCCTCTCTCATTGCGGCCCCGGTTATCCCGACCATCACGGCCACCACGACGACCTCCACCACCACCCCGACGAGGGGAGCGCTGGCGGGATCCGGGGATATAGTGGTCGATTCCATCGGGAGCGGGTTTGGAGACGTCACTGCGACGGCTACGGCGGGAGCCATCTGCGCCCTCCTCACCACCAGGGCTTTGGCTGCGCGAGTCACGGCCAGGGCGCTCTACGCGGTCGAAAAGGGTGTTGCGATCAGGGTTTCGTTCCCGGCGGCCGGGAACGAGGCTGAGGCGAATGGGTTGGCCCTTGGCGTTGGCGCCATCGAATTCGCGGATAGACTCGTGGGCATCGCCCAGGCGTTGGTATGTGACGTAGGCGACGCCCTCGGAGCGTCCAGCGCGGTCATAGACGAGGGAAAGGGCGGTAACGGGGCCGATGCGTCCGAAGAGGTCCTGTCACACCGGTCAGTTTCATTGGAACCGAGATTGATAGGGTTGGATAGACATTGGTAGTCTGAAACTCACCTCCAAGTCGCTTTCGGTAATGTCGTAGTGAAGGTTCTCAACGCGGACCTTGGTCAAGGCGCGACCGCTGCTGTGCCATTAGCATCGTCTCAATTCTATTTCCAGACAACCGGTTCATACCGATCAGGCGAGTTTGTACGGCGGGGGCGAGAGCCACGAGCTCCACGTGCTTGAACACAGTCAGATCAAGGAACCTCCGTCATAGCACCACAGATAGACCTACCATCACGCCCACCGTCGAACTTATCATGCACCCAGTCACTAGCAACACAAGTTCGTCAGCATTCCAATTCGGCCCAGGTCAAACGCAGGAGACGAGGGAATAATCACAGGTTCAGATCAACGCGGTCCACGGGTGAATAGGGCTGTTGCAATCAGAAGAACAGGTCAAAGGTTAGCTCCAAGTCAGGGTAGGTAGCGTGGACATTGCATTGCGTTTCCAAGTCTCCGCCGCCGGTCTCGCGTCGCTGGCGAGTTCTCCGACCACCTGAGAGGGGACTGGCTAAACGATTGTGTGTCACGGCGCAAGAGAATTCGATGTAGGAATAGGAGGGCGGACCTGAAGAAAGTGGGAAACCAGTCAGCGACACTGTACTTTGTGAGGTGTGACAGTAAGATCGATCTCGGGGTTTGCGGCTTTGCGAAGGAGGGAAGCTACCTTTCTAACGCCACCGTGATCGCCCTGCCGGCGATTTTGAGGTGGATTGCGTCGACCGCCAGAGGGACGGGTCTGTTTGCGCTGTCGGGAGGAGAGAACGGGGTTAGTTCAACTGGTCGGGGCCCAATTGGGGCGCATTGGGGTAGTTTGGATGCTCACCGATGAATCCTCTGCGATAATCTCGTCAAGGCTGCGGTCCATGGTGAAGGATGTGAGTGGAGGTAGGAGAAGGGAAAGAGGGGGAGGGAGGAAAGAAGGATGATGTTTGTGGTGAGAGGTCAACCCCCGGGAGAAGTAGAACTAAGGATTGAGGAAAGAGGAAGAGGTGGTTGGATGATCTGCAAGAGGCCTGGCGGATTGACGACTTGTCTCCATCCAGCTGAGGATCCAGTCACGTGGGCAGGACAGGAATAGAACCGGAGTCAGCCGCAAAACATGGCGAGTACAATGGATGATTCGAAGACAGCAGTCACCTTGGAGTGGATAGAATGATTTAGAGGCGTATGGCAGTAGCTAGCCGCATGAACTGAGACATACATCACACTAAGAAGAATAGGTCTTACAATGGAATTGTCCTTTCAATAGTACTACAACTACAAGAATATACTCACCACAACGACTACACAGGAGATATTCCTGTCTTTATAATATCACATCTCTCTATCCTTAATTGTTTCAATGTCATTCCATGGTATCCTGATACATTACAAACCAGACTCACAAGCAGAATACACACAAGAAGCAAAAGAGGGACAACCGCCGAACCCCACGATGCATGCTGTTATGGAAAAAGGACAAAGAGAAAGGAAAAAGAAGGCCCCAAGGCCCAAAAATCAAGGAGGGAAACACCACACCACACCAGGAAAAAGGCCCACGCACCTAATCAAAAGCAGTACAACCCCAGTATGACCGACGACGCTGTGCATAGAATCCACTGAAACCAATTGTCTTCCTATCAAGATGCTCACTGCTTTCCGCTACTCTTCCCCTTGTGCTCCTCGATCATCCTTTCCATAAAGCTGATGTAGTCGAATTTGGGCAGGTCTCGGTCTTCGAGAAGGTCGGGACCTTCATGTGGGGGCATCGTTTTGACCAGGTGTTCGATGACTTCGTCGGGGATGAGCGAGTGTCGGAGGTCCAGCTCAGTGACGTATGGCTGTCAATTGCATTAGCCCGGGCACCAAAAAGAGAAAGCATACGTATATGTAAGATGAGAACGAACCTTGCCATCAGCGACCTCCTTGAAGCTTTGGAACACCTGTTCAGCTGTATTCTGGTCCTCCGTCACACTGACCATGAACCGAATGAACTGCTCGAAGCTGACGCCAGCATTCTGAGCCAACCGGTTCGCCCCACAGACCTCCACGTAGACCTGGTGCATCTCCTCCTCGTCATAGACCAATCCCAGACTAGCCAACGCGGCGGAAAACTCAAGCTCGTGCAATGTATTAGACGAGTCGCGATCGAAATGGCGGAAGACCGACTCGAACTCTTCCAGCTGGATTGGAGTGAGGTTGGTCATGTTGCGAGCGACCATCTGGTTCTCCAAGAATGCCAGCTTCTTCGAGATGCTGGACTTTACAAGACTGAATTCATATGAAAGCTCGTCAAGGGTATATGTGGTGAAGTCGTTTTCTTCGATATTAGCCTCGGCGCACTGCTCATCCAGCTCGGCGATGGTATCCAGGAAGGCGTCGAGGGGTGGGAGGTTGTCATTCAACTTCTTGACATGCTCCAGCTGGTCTTCGACATCACCATCCAGTCCCGAGATGGCCAACGACAGGGTCTTTAATGTTAGTGCAAAATCGTTTGCTTTGTCCGCAAATGACCTGCGAAGGGCGTTCTTGATATCTCGAATGGTCTCGTTGATCAGTTGACTGCGTTGGTGCTCGTCCCTAGTCAGAAGCTCCCATTCTTGGTCGCAAGTTTCCGTGCTCAATTCCTTTGGCGGGTCGTAGGAGCGCAACCGATACGTGCCCAGCTTCGTTTTGATGTTCCCCAGCAAGGCTGCAAGATCCGACTTCTCGGCCACCCATTGCCGCTTCTCATTCCGCTTGTACAGCGCAAATTGGTGGGCTTGTTCCTTCACGTCCTTGTAAGTTCCCTCAAACGAAGAGTTCTGCCATGACTCTCGCTGAGATCGAATCAGTCGCAACAGTTCTCGCATCCGGCGTTCATAGCCAGACTGCATATCCCATGCACCATGCATATTGTTGACGAACTTCTCCACTCGGCGTCCTGCGTTTTCAACTCGCTCCAGCTGGGAGAAAGCATGGAACCAGTACGCAATGTAAGTCATCAGGGACCGCTCGTCGGGTCGGGGCACATCGCAAACATCGTCCACATCGAGCAGATCTGGGATACCGATCTCGTTGGAGGCAATCTCGAACGCGAGCTTCATGTTCCCACGGTGGTCACTCTTATCCAGAGAATCGTAGTCAATCAGGTCGGGTCGATGGATATCTAGCAGCGCACAAAACGCCAATCCGTCATTCCAGCTGGATGAGAAGTCCCTAACCTCCACATCGTCGTAGCAAGCCGTCTTCCGTTGACACCACAGCAGCAGACCTTCCTTGGCGGTCATACCCTCCTCGTTGATGTCGCTGATTGTGAACCGCAGAATTAGAGTCCAGATGAGACCCAGGATGATCTTGCGGTTGCCATCGACGATATCCTCGGCGCCGATGTTGGTCATTTGAATCCTCCGCCCTCGAATAAAGTCCAGACTCTTGTTGACATTCTCGAATCTCTGCACCCGCAGCTTGGGCTTCGACGCATATCGACCGAGGGACTCGTTGCCGAGGATTTCGAGCAGGTGAATGAGGATCACCTATTGCGGGGGCGAAGACGGGGTCAGTGACCTGGTTCCCGCAATGTTTTCCGCGTGTAATGGCGCGGTCTCGCAAACTTGGGGGGAAGGAAAAAGAAACTCACGCCGTCAGAGAGATCGGTCACCAAGTCTTCGATGGCCAGGGCGCGAGCCTTTAACTTATCGTTCAGCCTAGGGCATTGGTTAGATATGATCATGCACGATACCGAGCAGGCAAGGAGGGGGAGGGGACAGTCCCGCACGCAGGCCTGGAGCAAGGACTGACCATTTGGTGAAGGTCTTCTGCTGCACATTCACCCATTGCTTCTCGACCGTCAACATCTTCAATCAGGGCGAAGACATTCCAGGGCCGATTGGCGGGGATTTGCAAAGTCTGGGATTCGAGGAGGTCGAGGGGTGGATGGGGGGGCTGATAGTGCGGGCGATCACTTAATTGCAAACGCGCCGAGGGAATTAGGGAACTTGGGAGATCGAAGCTAGCAAGAGTTGAGAAGTTGATTCGGCAAGCCGGTGATCAGAAAAAGGTTGAGGATGATAAGGTGGCCAGGGCTCTTTTTTTTTTCCAGCTAAAGGGTGACTAGTTGACCAGTTCAGCGTAGTGGCTTTTGGCAGGGCTGGCCAGGGGCGGGGTCAGTGTGTCTTTTGCTGGAGGTGCCTGTCGCGGTCCGCAAGTCTCCCTGGCAACGCGTCCTGGGGCGCTCTCTTTATCCTTTGATCTTGTTCGCGACTTGCGGGGAGGGGGGGTATCTTGGAAATATACCCCTTCATTGTTCGAAGAAGTCGATCGGGATTACAATCTTGCTCGCTCTTTGCTGTTCTCGAAAGTCGTCACCACCTAGCAACCAATCGACTGGCGGCTGGTATGTACAACCCATGGACGCTTCATCTCTGGCGATCGCTCCCCACGGATCGGGAGATCTGGGCCAAGAGAGCCAATGGCAAAAGGAGTGAGACGGGGGGTCTGCTATCGACATAAACAGATTAGATTGGGTTGCTTTGATGGGGTCCATCGGTATACTGGGAGATAAGCTATAAGTCTATAAACTATACACTCGACCTTGGTAGCCCAGCCTCGAACCCGGCGAGAGGCAACCGGACATGGTCATTATCCTGTTCCCATCATCTGGCTTCCATAATGATCAGGCAACATGATAGATCCTGACCTGAGTCAGTACGCTAAGATAAATCCTTAAAACACCCCCCTCGTCATAAATCTTACCAGTACACCGTCTCGTCCAGCCACCATGGCGTGAGTAATCGCCGGATGATATCATTCCATCGGGTTCGGTTCGCCCCGCTTCGAGCCGCCAAATTCGTTAAGACCTTGACAGCTTCAGCTTCAACTTCTTCAGCTTCACCAACTGCCGTCTTCCTCCCTCCCTCCCTCTACTTCTACCCTCCACCTGCCTCTCATACCCAACCCAACCAACCCCTCCACAATGTCCTACAAACCCACCGACCGCCTACCCCTCCCCAACTCCCCCGTGCGCATCCCGCGCCTCGGCTTTGGCGTCTACCGTTCGCCAACCTCCCAATGCGTCAAGTCCGTCCTCCAGGCCCTGGAAGTGGGATACCGACACATCGACACCGCGCAATTCTACGGCAATGAGAGCGAAGTCGGCGAGGCCCTGCGCACCTCTGGCCTCCCACGCGACGAGGTCTTCGTGACGACTAAGATTCTGAGCCCCGCCGGTTCGGCCGAGCAAACCTACAGCAAGTTGGTGGCCAGCGTGGAGAAGATTGGTGGACCGGGCGGATACGTCGATTTGTTTTTGATTCACAGCTCGAGCTCCGGGTCTGCGGGGAGAAAGCAGCTGTGGCAAGCGCTGGAGAAGTTGCATGCCGCGGGCAAGGCCAAGGCTATTGGGGTGAGCAATTACGGTGTGCGACATATCGAGGAGATGAAGGCGTATGCCCAGGTGTGGCCGCCACATGTCAACCAGATTGAGGTATGTCTCTCTCTCCCCCCATCCCTTCCTTGTCTATGCGATAATGTTCGGGTTTGGTATCTATCGAAGCTATGAACTAATTCGTGCCCGGCTTGCGATACAGCTCCACCCATGGTGTCAGCAGCGCACCATCGACGCATACTGCAAGCAGCACGGCATCATCGTCGAAGCCTACTCGCCCATCGTACGCAACTACAAAGCCAATGACCCGACCCTCGTCGAGGTTGCACAGAAGTACAACCATTCCACGCAGCAGGTCTTGATCCGCTATGCGCTGCAGAAGGGCTGGGTACCCCTGCCCAAGACCGATAACCCAGATCGCATTGCTTCCAATGCAGATGTGTTCGGCTTCAATATCAGCGCGGAGGATATGGATATTTTGGATTCGCTCGATCAAGGCGATGCGGGCGCTATCGTGGAGGCTGTTGCCAACGAGTAAAAAGGTAATGATTCCCTCGGGTTGCCGATCTGCCAGGACCGAATCGCCGACTCTGCGGGAAAGGCATGCTCAAGTGGCCACCTGATGCAGCTTCGCCGGCTGAATTCAATAATCCGGCGGCTGCATCAGAAAAGCGTTGACTGATTGAAGCGTCGAGCGGGACGGATTCACGTCATGTTTAGAGGAGACGATCCACGCCAGACGCTGTCGGATAAACTGCTTGCTGATTGAGCGCTTGTTCTGCGAAGCATCGAAGGTTCCTGGTGGGTGATGTCGTTAGTTATTTTGATTCCCTCTTGCCGTTCCATCTAGCGTGTAAATTCATTGAAAGATATCTTTTCTCTCTCTCTCTCTCTCTCTCTCTCTCTCTCTCTCTCTCTCTCTCTCTCTCTCTCTTCACGGGGGCGGGTGTTTCGCATTACCATCTTCAGTGTAAAACAGGCAGATGATCGCCAGCAATGCACCAGCTGAGAGATCCTTGCCCGTATCGCAGGTTACCAGCAACGACCGCGACGCATCCGAGCCCAGTTGTGCGCCGACAAAGTCTCGCACTTTGTCCAGCGACTTCCGCAGGTCCCGACTACCTAACTTCGCCGATGCACAACCCAGATTGAGACGCTTTGGATTATCTTCCACCGCGGCAGGATCACCATTACAGTCGATGACGAGGTCATACTGCGCGCCGACATCCACACGCGCATCAGTCTGGCTGATGAACAAATTGCGAGTCGGTGCGATGACAGATGCCTTGTGGTCAATATTCTCGCGCGTATACTCACCCACCAAATCCGCAATCACACCGGGCAAGTCCTCCTCAGGCGTCCGCTTGAGAACAAGCCGGTTCGTCCAGAAAACAGGCGGCGTCAGCCCGTGCGCCCATGCCTCACTGTCATCACCAGCACCCTGGATGTATCCGCCCTCCGACATCTCTGCGCCATGGACGCGCTTTGATGCTGAGCACAGCACCAGCAGGTGATACTCCGGGCTCTTGTGGAGGTCCGTTGGATGGAAGTATGAGCGATTAGCCCAGGCTACGCGCATAGGTTTCCCCAGCTGTTGCCGCAAATGCTCGAGATCGAGCTTGAGACTCTGGAGTTTGCGAACCGTCAGCCCGGTATTGCACGAGCTATCCCGCGTGCGATTCACCCGGGTGGGAAAGAAACCGAAGAGGAGAGAGAGAGGGGGGGGGGGGGGGGGGGGAATGGGTTAAGATGCCGGTCCCTGACATATAGGTGCAGGGATTAGATCCAGTCGTACTGTGCTGTACGTACCTGGAGCGAATGGACGAACCCATCAATCCGGCTGGCGATCTGCGACTCTTCCGATTCCCCGAGGTAATTTGGTGGGAGCTCGACAGCGTGGTATGCTGTTTGTGTCGGGAATAAGGCCCGGTTGAGGACTGCGCACCAGATGGGGATGGTTTTGGATAAGGCATCTGGCATGACTGGAGGGGGTGTGTTAGCCTTAACCAGAATGGGGATGGCACGGCAGGCTAGAAGTAGGCAAATGGAACTGGCGCCGACTAGGACGCCACGGTGGCCCTGGTGATCGGGATTGGAGGGAGTGTATCACATACGTTTACCTCGGCGGGTTGAGTCGACGATTACACATCTGGACGAGGGTTAGAATTGGGAGATATTGGTTATAGTCCGAGTGAGAAAGAATTGCATGAGCCATTAGAAAGTTGGAAGAGTAAAGGAATAGACATCCCATTATAGACGGGGAAATATGATAAAACATCAAACAAGGAAACGAGCTGTACTTACCCTCCATACTCATTCGCCAAAGGAAGAAGCTGTAGATTGAGTCTACGAAAGCTAAAATCCCATTGTCCAGTATGACCATCCGTACTCTTAAAATAGGCACTGCCCACCTTAACTTCCGGATCGATATACCAACTACCACAGCGTTCATTCGCAACGAGGGGCAGATCATAATGCTCTGCGACCTCCCGCACAAACACGGCATCCGTCTCAATAGATTGCAGCCGGTTCGAGACGGACAAGGCCGATCGTCGGAGCGAAGAGAGCGTCTGCGATATGGACGTCTGGGCCGATGGGAAATGCAGAGACTCTAGGGTCGGAAAAGAGCCCGCAGAAGCCATTGTGACTAGGCCTGCCAAGCAGATATTTCGTATGGGTTTTCTCTCGCGCTGGCTGGCCCGGAGCAGGTGTGTCTGTAAGTGTACACCCGGGTAGTACGGAGAGCTTTTGCTTGTCCCGAAGGTCCGCTAAATGCCAGCCTGTTTCGGCGGTGCTGGGACCTATGACTGGAGGAGGATTTTGAATATTGAATGTCGCGAATTTGGCAGATGCAATTCCAATGGCCCGCTGGTTGGGTTGGTGGGGCCAGGGATTGATGCGACGGGTAGATGATAAGTGGGGGCATCTTGGACTGTTGAAACCCACCCCGGGTTAATATCGGGTCATTAAATGCAAGATTTACTAGAGACGAGGATAGTGAAGATAGGATAGATTGACAAGGCATGGGATTGATCGCCAGTGAAGTTTGCGAAAGTAACCCATCAGATATGTCGCTATCATGTCCTGCAATGCGAGTATAGTCTCTAGCCAGTGCAGTCATTCTTCAACTAAGATCGGGAGAGAATTTCCCAATCATATATCAGGAAAGTAGGTGGAAATATATGAGAGATTTCAAGGCTCATTTGAACAGTCTAGTGTCTGCAGTTGTACCTTGGTATATTGCCAGAAGTAGCAACACGCAGCAACCAAGTATACGCACTCACGATGAAGCCTATCTATGCCCCACCACTGTTCGTGTAAGCACTTCCTAGCTAATATATCCCTCATTTATGAGCTGCATCATTGACCGTGTCTAATTATACTCACAATATACATCTACTCCGACTCGAAAGAGCTACATACATACCATCTATACACTAGCACCTAGGTGCTGGTGCGGCTTGTCGGTTCAGACCGGGACATGATATTGCAAAATCAGCATGAACAGACCAGGATTCTCAGACTAATCCCCGTATGCCCGTGCGGTAAGAGGTTAGGCCCTCTGTATCTCACGAGTTGGCCCAATAGAAAGTTGAATGCGCGATCCGTGATTATGTGCTTCTGAGGTGTTATCGACACCGGCATCTATTCCAGGAGACCATGGAAGGCTCAGTCGCCGAGTCCTCATCGACAATATGCTATATTGCATTGAAAACATTGTACGATCGACCTGGATGATTCTATCACTGACGCCCTAAGCTCCAGGCCGTGTAACCAGAATGCAGCGAGCTCCGACTTTCTGCGACTTTCCACGATTCCTAGACATGCGCTAGTCCCAAAATGGATCGAGATGTGCTGACTGTCCATTCCAGGTCATGTGATTGGTGGAGTGGTGGCCGCCGAGCTGCTCGAGGGTCCCTCCGTCGTGCCTGGGGTGCAGAGTTCTGAGTACTTGAGATTGTATGTAGATTTCCATACTAGAAGAAGTATCTAATACCTCCGGGAATGACCTCAGGCCCCGCTCTGGCCCAGTTCCCAGCGATTCGCATTTTGGTTGGCGTCATGGGCTTCCCCTTCCTGGCCTGTAGGACCAAGGGCCCTTGCTTTTAAAAGCAACCGCGCCCTGAGTTCGACTTCCTGCCCCTGCCCCTCCTTTTGATGCCCGCCTTCTCCCTCAATTGACTCGAATTTCCTTTCTTCTTTCACTTCACATCACCCTCCACGTCCTCGAAACCCCACCTGCTCTATACTTCCTCGTCTTCTACATCCAAGCCGTTTATATCTGCCCTCCTGTCCTGTTTCGGCGCATTCCTCTCACAACTATACCCCTCTACCCCGCCATTTCAAACAATCTCTCACGGACCTTCTCCCCACGTCTGCATCATGCCTAAGGTACCAAGCTCCTCCCTCCCTCCCCCCAATTGTTCCCCATTTCGCCTTTCTCAGACCCACCGACGCTAACCGATCATCCTGCAGATCACGGAAATCTTCTTCGACTGCGACAACACTCTGGTGTTGTCGGAGGAGCTGGCCTTCGAGGCCTGTGCCGACCTGGCCAACGAGATCCTGGCGACCCGCGGGATTTCTGATCGCTACACCGGCGAGCAGCTGATCAAGGACTTTGTCGGCCAAAATTTCCGAGGCATGATGATCTCCCTCCAAGCCAAGTATAAGTTTGAGCTGGAGAAGGACGAGCTGGAGATGTACGTCAAGAAAGAGGAGGACAAGGTCATTGCCAAGCTGGAAGCCAAGGCCGTCCCCTGTGTGGGTGCCAACGAGCAATTGGACAAGCTCTTCGCCGAGAAGAAGTACCACCTCGCCGTGGTCTCCTCCTCAGCTCTCCGCCGAGTCGTTGCGTCGATCAAGAAGGTCGACCAGGACAAGTACTTTGATGACGACATGATCTTCAGCGCGGCTACTTCCCTTGAGAAGCCCACTTCCAAACCCGACCCGGCCATCTACCTCCACGCACTGAAGAAGTGCGGCAAGACTGCTTCGGAGACGGTCGCTTTGGAGGACAGCAAGTCCGGTGCCCTCTCGGCCATCCGTGCCGGTATTCCAGTCATTGGTTACGTTGGTAGCTATGCGCCGGACATGCAGGCAGAGATGAGCACACGTTTGATGGATCTCGGTGCCAAGATCATCATGACCCACTGGTCCGAGTTCCCCAAATGCCTGGAGTTTATCGAGAACAGCCCTGCCGAGGCTCCTCAGTCCAGCCTGTGATCTCTTTCTGACGTTTCTCTATTCTCGTTAACGGATCTTCTCATGTCCGCACGATGTCATGAAAGCAAGCGAATGGTCGTTCTGGAGCTTTGCTGTTTTATTACTTGTCTCTCTTACCGCGTTCGATCTGCGATGGAACGCCCAGATTCCATTATATTATATTTCTGGACGCGAAAGGGGCCGGGAAGCATTCATACCAGGCCAATGCTGCGTGCTAGTCGCCTCCGTCCTCTGTCCTTGCATTAGTACGCCGTATCATTTAGTTGTCGCGTATAGACAGGTCTTCATGAGCAACAGGATGTCAAATCTGTGTTGTTAACCAGCAAAGATAATACAATGAAGATTTTATCAATCTGAAGCTACATGGATGTGAATATCGTCCATCGGTAATTAGCATGTTGGAAAGGAAAACAGTACCACCTTCAGTGGAAACTACCAGGAAAGTTAACAAAAGATACCTACGCTACTTCTGCAAGACCCCAGCATGCGCGTTTCTGCCTCGGACAACTCAGCAAGGCAGACTCCATGGTCACTCGGGTTGAGATCTCCTCCCCTCGACCGATTCTCAATCCGGCAGCGTGGCTTGCAAACCGCGGCCCAGAACCGCGCAACGTTTTGAGGTGTTGATCTACGCACGATACGCTTGTATATTTTGTTTTGTTCACAAAAGGATCCTTTCCGATCCTTGTAGCATATGCTTTTCTCTGGTCTTGCTATTGGATGATTTGCGAGAGTTTGGACTAGTTTGTGTAGCTCCGGGACTGCCCGATAAATAGTCTAGCCTGGTCTAGATGTATATTTGTTTAGTGAGGGGTAAATTGGCTAGTGTTTTGGATTGCATGTCATAGACCAAGGGGATGGATGAGACTTTCACTGCGTGACATACGCTTTGAACTTGAAATAGTCTGTACTTGTACGTTAATTCGGATGTTTGATGCATACGACTTGTCGTGCTTGGGTTAGACGACGGTAGCTTCGAGGATAGTTTGAGACTAATTGTCCTATTTTCCCTCTTAATACGAATTCATTCAATCAGTTAGTTAGATAATAAGAATTTGAAATTGTCTACTTTCGAAGTATAGAGGGGTTTCACCCTAGGTAATGATTCCTGTACTACACAATTTACCTTCTGATCTTGTTCATTAATCGGTTTCAACACGAGGCAAATTCTGTGACGAAGATAGAAAGAATTGCCCACTAGTCACTGATCAGGCACAAAGATAGCCTATCTGATGTTTTGACACCTCAATGTCATTTCCCTCGACATCGTATCCCGCTTGGTGGACGAGGATAACTAAGCGCACTGCCCCACAATCCCTCACACAAGCCCCTCTCTTTCCTCTCTCTCCACTGCGCCTCACTCATCATCGTCAACATTAGGGATAGCTCCGAAACAAGCTCCAAAATTAACGATTGCTGCCCGAAGCTCACCCGTGTCCAGCCCGCATAACCCACGAGGGCCGGTTCGATCTGTAGTTTCCTCTCAGACATCCCGTGCAACCTGCAAGCATGTCGGAACGTTCGCAGGCCAAATCCAAACACGTTTCCCAGGGTCCGTTGGTATGTCAATTCTTGATGATTGCTAGTTTCCATCCTGTCCTGCAGTGGGGACAAGTAGTGATCAAACACTAGTCTACATGCATCCCATCTAGCCATTCATATCTGACCGAGTATCGACCCCAGGAAAATGCCGATGCCCGCTGGACTAGATTGGTCAAGACCACATACACAGACCCCTTGGGTGTCGAGCGGACCTGGGAGTCTGCGGAACGACAAGTAAGATCTCACCCCCCTGCCTCACTCTTCGGGCCCTCTTCGGGTCCTTCTGCACTCTTCTGCACTTTGTGTATGGGGCTTGTTCTTGGCCTCTGCCCCAGGCTCCCTGCACCCGCATCTGGAGTGCCTCTATCCCGCACCCGGGTGTCAGAGCTATGACGGCTGTGATCTATCACCTGTCATGTCTACGGAGCTCCTCAGCTGCACATCATGACGTCCACCTCAGCTATGGCAAGTCTATTTTAGACCGCAGAACTCGGCATAAGCTTACAGCTCTATACCATTGGCGGATATGCCGCACAGCCTTGTGGATTGGTTGCCTCGGCCAAAACCAGCAACACTCGACCCGTTTCTAGAGCTCTGAATCCTCATATGATCTCAGTGGGGGCCGTCACTTGCTTGCTTTGGCCCTTGGCTAACTCAGCACATCTAGACTCGTCCCGCCAATTGCGAGATCGATGGTGTTGGCATCGTCACCATCCTCAACAAGCCCACGGGCCCGGAATTACTTTTGCAAAAGCAATATCGTCCTCCCATCGATAAGGTCGTCATCGAGGTACCCGCCGGCCTGATCGATGCTGGCGAGACTCCCGAGCAATGCGCTGTTCGCGAGCTCAAGGAGGAGACGGGGTACGTGGGCGTGGCGGAGCTGACGAGTCCGATCATGTACAACGGTGCGTTCGCATGAAATCCCCTTTTGAGTTTGCAATTTCCCTCGGCGTATTTTCCTCGGTGCATATTTGTTTTCCGTGCTGCAGCTGATCAATGTTGCCTTGTTTCTTTGTCTCTTTAGATCCCGGCTTCTGTAACACGAACTTGAATATGGTCCATGTCCGTGTGGACATGAGTCTGCCGGAGAACCTGAATCCTAAGCCGGAGCTTGAGGATAATGAGTTTATCGAGTGCTTCTCTGTGCCCTTGGCTTCTCTATATGAGGAGATGAAGAGGCTCGAGCGGGAGGGGTATGCTATTGATGCTCGGGTTGGCACTCTTGCGGAGGGGATGGAGTTGATGAAAAAATGGAGGCTGTAAGTTAGGGATTTGTTGGCAAGTTCAACTTCCAGTGGACTTGTTTTCGAGTCTCTAGCAACTACATAGACTGTTTAGATGGGCTATAGTGTACATCTCAATCAGCGTGATGCCCCGAGGCTGCTATTTTCTGCCCTTGTCTCCAGAGGAGAAAGGCGCTTAAATCTTTCCAGCTTCCTTCAACCCTTTGTAGAGCGCCCACGCAGCTAACGTCTTCCCATCTCTCAATCCTTCCTTCCACAGATCCTCCAGCGGAACAACTTTCAACGTAATCTTCTCTCCATGATCTCGCAGCCCAGTCAATTTGCCCTGCAGCTCCTCGATATCCTTTCGAGGCATGCGCTTCTGACATAAAAACAATGGAATGAATTCATCGCTGCCCCCAGCAGAAGGATACATCGCTTTCTGAAGGGTTTCACCATTTCCCCAAAGCTTCGGCTAGTTCCGAAGCTAAAGATGTCATATCAATCAATTCGCTTTGTTGGACTTGCAGACCGGTCTCTTCTTCAATCTCCTTGGCTGCCCCGCCAGCAAAGGTCCCACTATCATCAAGCATGCCAGCTGGGATTTCGGCAAATGCTAGAGACCCAGCAGGGATACGAGGCTGGATGGTTAGAATAGCGCGTGTCCCTTCTTCCTGCGACGAGGGAATGTCATCTGGTTGTAAAATAAGCTTGGAACACAGTTGTCAGTCGACATGTCCAAAATAAGAAAACCAAAGCATAGTAAACAAACAAAAACATACAAGCATGCCTACACTCCCCCCGCGAAGGAATACGCTCCCTGGTAACTTTTCCCCTTGTCCATTCGAGACGTCGGCCTTTAATTTGACAAAGCCTAGGCGTCCACCGCCAAAGCGGTCCACGGCCTGGACGTCAATTTGTCGCAGGACGTATGGATCGCCATGAAACTCATGTGATGGATTCGACTGGCGAGCAAGCGAACTCTGCAAAGTCGAAAGCCACGTTTTGAATGCGGGGAAGGCTAGCAATTCATCCTGGGCTAGATCTGGCGTGCTGTTAATGCGCAGGTCGGACCAGGGCAGAGTGAAGGTCGATATCGACATGTTGATTCTGATGCCGATGTCGGTGCCTATGAGCTTAGGCTTGATGGTTGGGAGTCTTCCTGTTGGTGGTCGTCCTAGATACCCGCGCTTGAGTCTTAGCTGTCGGGCTGTGTGATGCAGGTGTAGTCGATGGTACATAAAGAGATAGCCCCGATTTAGGAGTAATTCGGAACGGTGGCTTGGATAGATGGACTGAGGCGGTGAAGCCGTTGCTCGATCGAGGTTTCAATGAGGGTGGGCGCGTGCATGGATTGAGGTCTGTGGTTGTCCGCCTATCGATCGTTTATTGCGGGTAGCTAGAGACTGTTTGTAGAGTGTTTGGGGTAACAGGACGAGTTGAAAGTTTGAGAGTGCAATTGGCCGTTTGTTGTCGCTGTTTGGTGATGACGTCTTACAGCGGCGGATCTCCTGCTTTTTGCGATCTATAGGACAGCGACCGCAGACGCAGTCTGTGCGAACGGGCCTTGTCTAGGCGACGCAAGCCACGTCGCTGTTTACGATCGGTTTCTTCATCGGAGTTTTTTATCTTTGATAGATCAGTTGGTTCCCCTAGTGATGATTTTGATCTCTCGATCTGATCTGGAGCTGAAAAGTGTGTTAGACTTGTGCAAGTATGGGGAAATATACATTGCAAATGTTTCGTGTTATTTGTCTCTTTCCGAACAGCTATATGCTGATCCGCTCTGTAACGCAGAGCGAAGCCCTAGAGTGTTTAGTGTTCATTTTAAACAGACACAGAAATCCTCGGGCTTCAATAATTAAATTCCCCGCCTTTTGATTTACTCGCATAGGAGTTCAACCTATCGTTTCCTGGAATCCGATCTAATCTTGCAAGTTGTAACCCCTCACTACTAGCGTTGAAATTATCGCCTGATGCCCAAGGCTCCAAGCACCCTATGAGTGGTATTCAGTGATGACAAGCCCAGTTGTTTAGTGCAGTTATTGTTTTGCTCTGGAACCCCAGATAAGAGCTTAGAATTGGCCCCCAACCAGACGGACCTTAACTCCTTAGGACAAGCATGCTGTTAGACCAATGAAGGACCCTAGTCGTATGCACTTGATGCATGATGGATTCTATAAAGTCTATGCACGTCGTTATGTTCTCCGAATTAGATAGCTTCTCGTAAAATCTAGAACAGTTTCGAATAATGTGACCCAGGCAAGCTAAATAAGCTAGTGAGTGTTGGCCCTCAACCCGGGTTAAACCACCCTAGAGGTCTAGACAATAAGCTACAACTACCATCTCCACATCGGCTTCCTGATGGTAACCCACCAACACAATAATTACCGCATCAATAGTTATGGTGCTATCTTGCTAGATCTCTTGGTTTCCGCTCTTTCCGCGAATCCTGGCCTGGGGCGGGACCTTGCGGAGTTGCGGAGTTGTGGACGGTGATTCGATGGTCGGGTCTAACCTTTCATCCTCGCCCTTCAACCCGGGTGAAATGCAACCCAGCGGACGTTTCGCACGTTCCCTCTCATACTTACAGGCTCATTTTATCCCTACCTACTATCCCTGGCACCCTTACTTACATTACTTCAAAGCACTGCTAATTCTGCTTTCACGTTTAGACTTTGCAATTTAGTCAGGGGCACTTCTCATCCCCTTTTTGTGTTCCATCGTGCGAAGATGAGATTCAAGCGTCTTCGAGGGGGTAGACAGGGTGGTTGCCTTGAACTTTGTTATTCTCTATGCGGACCAGCAAGGCCAACAGACTGTTCATGGGCAAGGTTTCCTTTTTCTACAATTGTCCATTTCCTGTAGTTCTTTTTTTTTTTTTTTTCCTACCTCGGTGTACAAAAGTGATACAGCTTTGGTTCGAATGCATTATGACTACCGAGAAAATATGATATCCTCCAAGTAAACCATCCATGCATCGATTTGCTGCATAACTCCTGGATAGGCTAATAGTCTTCAGAATCTCAAATCATACTGTCTTCCAAGTCTGTTTGAGTCGAGTTTGACTGTACCACCTTATTTTTGGAGGCAATATGTGTCTACATTTGCGAACATGACGCGCTTTATTGATAGGTTGCGAAATAGTAGAGGATATACCTAGCCAGTAGCAGGCCTTGTATGGTGCAATGTTAGCTTCACTTCGCCGGATGTATGCGGCTAATCGAGGAATTTTAGAATCACACCAATAGCTAATCCAGTTGACTAACCTACTCCGGAATGGAATTTCCCTTCCCCGGCCAATAATTACCCTTGTCATCACTGTTATCTGAAGTCTCCTGACCATGAAGGTGTGGGAAGATGTATGGAAACATGGTACTGGAACCGCATCCTATAGTTTGTTTATTCATCACCATCACTCAAAATCGGTATTGGGAACATTTTTTGTTTGAGGGAATCACCGCCCTGCAAACACGAGATGAATCGATGCTAATACGTAATTGAGCCTCGTATAGTTATCAGCGACTCTATTGCCTCGGAAGACAGAGCTTATTACGGAAACTAGATACGACAAAGAATGTACCATCTAGCCCACACGATGAAGAATCAATACAAGTAGCAAACCTCAGCATGGTCCCACGAGCAGGGCATTAATTTTTTGCTAGAAATATCATGCAATATAAATCAAGAACCCTAAATGGCTAGAATTGATAATCTGCACACCTTTCGAAGCACTAGAAAACGGCACTGACAAGCGCCAGCGTGGCCTTGCTTTGCAACCTTGCTAGAGAGCCATGTGTTGGGCTTGAATTGGCATAGAGAGTCATCAACTGACCACAACACATACAATCCCGACGAAATGGATTCATCGGGTATCGCAAAGCATGGACCAGCAACTGACCATGGACTTGGGTTGCTGTTTCTCCCTCAGGCCGCATTTCCGTCCTACTCCGGCCTTGGGTCTTAGGGTGGTCCGAACGCTGTCGGGCTGGAGAAGATATTCATTATGGCGGCCCTCTTGTCGATCAGCGACGGATTTAGATGCGGGAATTGGAAATAAACACCCCAGAGGAGCGAAATATTGATGTATGCGAGACGGGGAGCAGTAACGGCTGGCAGCCTGATGATGACCCCAAATTTGGGGCGTTTTAGCAGTTGGAGATGCGTTTCAAGATTCGTCTCCAGAATTGGCCTTTCACAGCCAAGCAGAGTTGGGCGTCGTCCTTTTCCTTTTTGGGATTCATCGAAATATCGGTGAGCGAGTGCTAAGAGCTATGGCGTCCTCGAAGCGGTCTGATCTGAGTTGGGCTCAAAGAAACTTGTCCGCACACGCAAGGGCTTTGGTTCAGGACTGGTAATAACTCAGGACGAGTTTTGCCTCGCTGAAGCTTAGGTCATGGACCTCCAAGATCAAGGTCGAAGAGGGCGTCTCGGGCATTAGGCATATTATCGTTTCTCCGTCAGACCTTGCAGGGTGGTGCCGAACCCCGGGAGCCGGGTGATGCGCCGGGAGGACAATGGCTTGTTTCGCCTAGGCGCTTCGGTGAAGCGAGCCATGTTCAGTGGTGCTCAAGTCGCTGCGTTGTCTCATAAATCACATATTGAGACATAACTGAGTATCCAGGTGAGGGATATGATCTGCCGCAATCGTCATTTATTCCCGAACAGGACCTCAGCCTGGGCGGGGCTGGGAAATGTTCTGGGTCTGGGTTAAGGCGCAGGTGGGTAAGGAAGCCTGAAAGGCCTCGTGGTCAAGTCGTTCAAGCTGATATGTTGAAATGAAGCTTCATTTATTTGTTTTATTTCTTTTCTTTTCGCAGTCTGAAGCAGTGGAATAGCTTGACACAGATGGCGCGCGGCACAGGTGAACAGCTGGGGTGTTTTGGAGATTAAAGGTACATAGTTTCAGTACCTTTGCCGAGCGTATCGATCTAAATGGATTTTCGACGACTAGGATAGGCGGTCGGATGAATTTAATATCACAATCTTGCTAGATCAGATGTATGGCGCACGAATATCCGAATGCTCACTATGTCATGCGGAGTTTTGTCCCATGTTAATCATTTTTGGGGTTTAACCCTGCGGCTTGGAGGGTTGCCAAACAACAATGCGAAAACGGAGTAGGCAACCGACGCTAAGATCACATCCTTGCGGCTGGGGAAGAATTATTATTATAGCTCGTTCAGGGTGACCTCAGCAACCAATCTTACTCCACTCGCTCCTGACCCTCTCTGCCTTTGCCCTCTCCATATCTCCATATATAGGCACGCTGGCTGCCCAGGTGGCCTTCTACACCCGGGTGTCTGCCTAGTTCTGGGCAAGTGGACGGCTTCAATGAGTATTCGAGGCTCCCGATCATATATCATTCATAAACTCTGGACCCGGGTCACTGCCTCCATATCGATGGTGCTCCTTGTACAACGGAGCCCAACCATCGCAGTCACAACAACCTCGTCAGTCCTGCCCCCTGCAATATCCGTTGAACCCCGTCTTGCTCGTTCTCTCCCTCTCCCCGCCACCGCCACTCTTAGCCTATTTTTTTTTTTTTGACTTTCTCGATCCTTCTACACACACCTGCAGGCCTAATTGCCAGCGATGCACATCATGCAAGCGAAAATCGGATTAGCTAATACATCGCTTAGGTCAGATGTCAGATGATTCAAGTGGACAAGTTCTGAAACAATCAATCCAATCATAAGCCACATAAAAGGCATACGATGGACAGGTCATCCTTTCGTAGAGAGCGTCGCTCTTATGGAGCTAAACACGGTACCTCCCGATTGGATGCTAAAGGCTGGCGAGGTACAGGCAGGTCCTTACCATACGATCTGTCTCCTAGGCAAGTCACATCCGTGGCATTGCTAGGCCTCCCAACTAACAGCCATCCTAGGCGCTCCATAAGCCGTCTGCACTTGGAGGAGCTGTCGCCTGAAGTGCCGACGGCCAATCGCATGTGCTCCTCAGCTAGTCTGCCACTCTCTGCTGGCATTCTACCAGATGACTGTACTGTGGATACCTCCAGTAGTCAAGGAGCCCGAGTGTCGAAAGCATCCTCGCGCACAAAATTAGCTCGCGCAGAGAGAGTCCATCGCAGAGACAGCTCAAGAACTATTAGAGAGCGGGATCGAAGGCGGTCCACGTCCGCTTCGAATCAACCTACCAGCTATGATGATACCAGTGCTGGGGTACTGTCAAAGGACTTGCTCACGGACGAATCGGAGCTGACCAGAGATTCTGATTATCACCCAATACATGATGAGAATTTGCGATTGGGATTGCGAAGATTTCATTCAACGCCCGCGACGCCTCCTAAGAAAGGAGTTGGCGGCGGCGGTAATGATGGGCATCAAGATGGGACTGGAGCTGGGGTTAGAGATGATGATTTAATGCAAATGGAACTTGATGATGAGCCACCTCCTCAACAAAATCCAGGGAATGAATCCAATGATGGGCGCAGTGACCAGTATTCGTCTGGTTCCTCGAAGGAGCCGTCATCCGAGTCACAGTATTCGGACACACCACCGATGTTTAGACAGCCACAGACCAACCCAATTACAGAAGAGCAGCTCATCAACGAGGTTCGAATGATCTATTCCGGGCTGGTCATGGTGGAAAGGAAATGCATTGAGGTCGACAAGGAACAAACTGAATCCAAAGCCCAATTATCAGACACCCAGTGGCAAGCAATGATATCTTTGCATCGAACACTGCTCTATGAACATCACGACTTTTTTCTCGCATCCCAGCACCCATCCGCCAGTTTGGTGTTACAGTCTCTTGCTGGAAAATATGCAATGCCTGCGCGAATGTGGAGATACGGCATTCATTCGTTCTTGGAGCTGCTTCGACAAAAGCTTCCGGACTCCTTGGAATACATGCTAAACTTCATCTACCTCGCGTACTCGATGATGACGCTATTGCTTGAAAGCGTTATCGTGTTCCGTGAGACTTGGATCGAGTGTCTTGGAGATCTAGCACGATATCGTATGGCTGTGGAAGAGTCAGATATGAGAGACCGGGAGGTTTGGGCCGGAGTCTCGCGATATTGGTACAATCAAGATGCTGATAGCAGCCCTGACGTGGGCCGTATCCAACACCATCTTGCAGTATTAGCTCGTCCAGATGTGCTTCAACAGCTTTTCCACTACACGAAAGCGCTAGTGAGTGTACGTCCTTTTCCTAATGCGCGAGAGAGTGTGGTGCTTCTTTTCAGTCCGTATAGTGGACAGCAGAAAGCTTTGAGTCAACATACTTTGAATCAACATACCATGGTTACTGCGTTCATTGCCACTCATAGTGCCTTGTTCAATGAATGGCCGGCTGATCAATTTATTACTTTGGCAAACCACTTTTTGTCACTCTTGCGAGATGAAGCTCGGTACCTGGGCCGCCAGGGTCAAACAGGAGTTTATATTATGTCGTGTAATATCGCGTCTATCCTTCAATACGGCGACACTGACCCTGGTATGGCTATGGAAATTTGTCAAAAAGACCACCAGTCAGCCACAGAAAACTATAAACTCGCAATTAACTGGACGTCGGGCTTGGACTTGGACTTGGAAACCAAGATCAAGGAGGCTGGCGAACCAACAGATCCAAGCGTCCTTCTCCCTCGAATGGCCCTGCAAGGCAGTGCCCTCACTTTCCACTCAATCTCCGTCCTACTCGACTATATCGATGATCCTAGCATATATCCAAGTGCGCACATCTCATTGTCATTCATCTGGGGCCCTAGCCCTACATCCGAACGTTATGCAGCAAGTCGAGAAATTCATCCCTTGGACCAGTATCGCAAGGTTCCTCAACGCCCTCATTGGGCCCGACATCAACTTCGACAAGACTGAAGACAAGGCTTTCCTACAGTACGATGGCGCTGCTCGTTACCTCCCAGAGGACTTTCTCATTCGTGGTCAATCATGGAGCCAACTCTATTTTCCCGATGATTTTTTCAAAGATGCCCCCTCGGAGGATGAGAGACCTGTTATTGAACAACCTTTCATTGCCATCCCCCGCAAGCACAGGTGCCTCTGGTTAGGCGTGCGAATAGCAACGGTTTGTAGCAATTTTCCTTGGTTCTCATATCAGATTTATCTTGTTTTTTCTCGATAAAGTGGAGTCGGACTAATTGGTTTGACATGCAGTTCGATCGCTGGATAACATATATCAACCGCAGATTCAGCATCACTCAGCGTGCGCTCGGGAATGCGTCGATTGCGGAGTCTTGTGGAGGCCTCAATAGCAGACCATCTAGACCATTTTTTGGACACCACGACACGTGAACTTTATTACAGCTTTGACTTTCAACAGTCACGAAGGAACAAGCTGATACCTGGGAAGCATGCAGCCTATTCTTCCCCGTTTGATCGCGGATCGGAGCAGTCAGGATCTGGCCAGGACCGGGACACTGACATTTTGGAGCAACGGATTCTTCTCTTTTACCTTTCCTTATAGACAAGACGCAATCCCTGGAATCAAATTTTGACGACAGTTGAGACAAACAGTGTCAATTCATGCCCAAATGGACGGAAGGAAACCCATGGAAGCCTCCATCCCGGGGGTTGGAACAGATTCAACCGGATCATCTTGCGGATTATTTGCGTTGGAGCCACCCCAGGACATGATGATTTGCATTGCTTTCGAGTTCGCGGACCTTCTACCAGGATTTTCCCGGGGGATATCAGCCAGGGTGGATGGATGCCGCTTGGAATTCTCGTTCCCGGAATACCGTTCCTGGCTGAATGCTAAAGCTGGCTGATTGGTTGAGTTTCGCTTTGATTTCGCTTCTCTTTCAAGGAGACCCAGCCGGAACTTTTTCTCCATTATCTCCGGATCTATGCCACGATTGGGAGCCGCTTTGCATCGATCGATCAGCCAGATACTATCGAACCCGGGAGCTGACAGGTTGGAGCAGCCGCTGCTACGCTATTTTGAGTAGATGGATCTGAGGAGGAGGGGATATTCATAGATTTTTTTGGGAAATTAAGAGGTATATACTGGTCACGATGGACTGAATGGAGAGAAGATACACACCTGTGAAAGGTTCCTTTTCCTTCTTCGTCTCTTGGTTATGCTCGCTCTCCTTGGAAGAATTACAGTTCTCCTCGCCTAACCATCGCCGAACCTACTTCACTAGGATATCCTCGTATGCATGGTATCACCACTTGAAGCATTCATGAGATATTTATTGCCCCGAATGCGCCCTTCGTTTGGTAGGCCCCCTAAGTTTGGATCCCCAATGTGCTTGCTTCTTGCTGCCAGAAGACCTCTTTTGAATCGCGAAATTGAGGTTAAGAAAATGTTTATTTTGGACTATCGACACTTAATGAGTAAAATGAGCTTGACCTCAATCTCTTGATATCTCAAATAGTGATTATCGAGATGGTCAAGGTCGATTAGGACCCGTCAACATGCGTAACGGTGCACAGTAAAATAAACGCAACTAACGACAACGTAGCCTCAACGAATTAAGGTACCCGGAGTTTGACTTTTTCTTTTCAAGCCGGATAAATATTCCATTCGAGCGAATAAGAAATTCCAGGAAAGCCATGAGTGCTCGCCGAATGACCGGGTCAACCTTCCCCCCACTATAGTAGTTTAGTTTATTTTGGGCTTAAGACGCTCGGTGCCGATAAAAAGGCCAAGCTGGCGATTAGCCGATTACAGTATCAACATGGGTACCTCCACTCCTCACCTCCTCACTCCAACTGTCTTCCCTTCCCCTCTCTCGCTTTCTCGCCCTTCTTTCGATGGGGTTTCAAGATTCTTTCGTGTGATTGTTTCCATGTGTCCATCTTAATTGCTTTTTGCATGGCTGGCCGAGTGATTGCCTTCTATAATCCCCGGGCCTCCCTCGAGTCTCCCTCGCATCACTTCCCGTCGCTCGTCACTGCGCTCAGCTATTAAGTTGCCAAACACCCAACACCATGGCGGAATCTTGGGGCAGTGTCTGCCGCCAGTGCATTGCCACTGTGTCTGATGTCCCGCCTTCCATTCTCTTTGCTGCTGTTCTAGCTACGGCGCTGGGATTGTTTGTCCTGGTGAGTTCGGCCGCGCTGCCTCCTACGCCAGGGTGATGCGCGACAGCCTCCGAGTTGCCCGAGTACGCGTTCCACATTACCAATTGACAATGGCTTACCTCTCTTCCTATCTACAGTTCATTACCTTCCTATTCGTTGTCGCTCCGACCCCGCGGTATCCTCTACAGGAAGAAAAGAAGTATAAGACCCTTGCCAAAGATGGCGCTATCACAAACCCCGAACCACTTCCGTGTTGGCTCGACAACCTCGATGCCCAAAAGCGCTCCTCAAAGAAGCCTGAAATAGACCCCGCAGAACTCTTCATGTCCGTGGTCGTCCCGGCCTACAATGAAGAAGACCGACTTGCGGGCATGTTGGAAGAAGCTGTCAACTACCTGGAGCATATGTACGGCACTGTGGGCCATGAAGAAGAGAGGGAGGCTAGTACTGTCTCAACTCGGTCAACGCGCAAGCGCAAGACAGCGTCGAATGGTCAGGCAACGAACGGCCATGCCGCCAGCTCGGGATCAGAACGTGGGTGGGAAATACTTATTGTATCGGATGGATCAACGGATCGTACAGAGGAGGTCGCCTTCGCCTTTGCGAGGGACCACCAGTTATCGCTGCACCCTAAAGGGTATGCAGGGCCCTGGACACCCAAGGTGCGGGAGGGCGTCCACATCCCGCCTGGGACGATTCGAGTGGTCAGTTTGACTCACAACCGTGGCAAGGGCGGCGCCGTTACGCATGGTATGCGGCACGCGCGCGGCCGATATGTCGTGTTCGCGGACGCGGACGGAGCGAGTAAATTTGAGGACCTTGGGAAACTTGTCAAGGCGTGCCAGGAAATTGAGGATGCCCGGGGTCGTGGCGTGGCTGTTGGATCGCGCGCGCATATGGTGGGCAGCGAGGCCGTTGTCAAGGTGAGTGATTACTACCTCCTGCGTAGAGTTTCACCAAAGGGCGATAATCTGGATTAAATCAATTGCTAACGATGACCGAACAGCGTTCGAAGCTGCGCAACTTCCTCATGCACTCTTTCCACCTGATCCTATGGTTAATGACACCGCCCAAGACTGCAACCGTCAAGGATACTCAGTGCGGCTTCAAGCTCTTCTCCCGCAACTCACTGCCCTTCATTGTCCCTTACATGCACTCCGAAGGCTGGATCTTCGACGTGGAGATGCTAATGTTGGCCGAGTTCGCCCACATCCCGGTGGCGGAAGTGCCCGTGGGATGGCATGAGGTCGGAGGCAGTAAGCTGAATGTCATTCGCGACAGTATCGGCATGGCCTGGGGCCTGGCGGTCCTGCGCGCAGCATGGTCGCTTGGCATTTATCGGCAGAAGTGAAATATTTACATGAAGCCATGCTGCGCTATTGGTGGCGCCTTATCTATAGACCGCGGCTCCTGCGGTGATTTCTCTTATTTTCTTGGGCGTTCTTGGTGTCTTTTTCGGATCAGTTGAAGTAGTGTCCCGTGCTTGCGAGCCTATACCCTTGAGATATCCGTGTGTATCCACTTGAAAAGAGCACACGAAGACTGGGAAATTAGTGTATATATAAAGGCAAAGGAAGGAATCCCGAGAAAGGACTGTAGATCGCTAACTCTATCGAAAATATCGGGTCAACTATAATCCCTCGTTCATGCCATCTTGCCGATACTCGGGAGCTCATCTGTTCGGGTGGAACCACCGGGCTGAATCTGTCTGGGCACCCAGTCGAATATGATTTGGTTTGAGCTTATGTCTAAGAATGAAATGTCGCCTCTCTGCTGGCAAGCAGTCTGCTCAGAATAGCCCTAGTGGAGACCCTTGTGTTGGATCTATAGGCTGGCTAAAGGAGTTTCCAGTTACCGAGTCTTACGACGCAACGGTCTAGATTAGTCCTTCCGAGCTGTTCCTCGCCACCTATTTGGACTGATTTTGATCGCAATGACCGCCACACGGTGGAGAGCTGATATCGATCGGATTCTCTCAGCTGCATACAAGAAGCGTGGCATGACTGCCGAGTCAACAGACCGTGCGATTGTCAAAGAAGCAGTCTTTTCTCCTATTGACTTACTCAAACTTCTACCATTTTAATCTCGTATCATTCAACACTTTCACACTTTGTGCAGCCCAGAAGCAAATTCTTAATCTACATCACAATTGACATTCGTCTCCATCGAAGGTCTTCACTGATCAATACGACTACTAAATCTTGCTATACAACGAAGCAGACGAAAGAAAACACTGCAGATTTCATTGAACGACACGTCCACCAGAAACATGGGACCAATGAGGAAATCCAATCACGACCTCAATGCAGCCTACTTCCTCCAACTACCAGCAGAGCTCCGCCTGAAGATCTACGAATACGCCCTCACCGTACCCAACGAATACATCAACAAACCCCTAATCGTCATAAGCGACCGCGGCAACGTCTTCACAATCCGCAATCGCTACAGAGCCCTCTCAATGTGTCCAAGCTGGGTCGGCGAAGATGGCACAGCGCGCAAACTCCTCGCAGTAAACCACCAAATCCACGACGAAGCCGAGGACTATCTCTACTCGCAGAACATGCTATTCTTCCGGAACTCGTTCGATCTAGATCGGCTAGGTGGTTTTCTCGATACGCTTAGTCCCACGGCATGTCGACGTATTCGCAGTGTCGGATTTGAGGTATACTTCTTCGTGCATACGCAGATGGGTGTGCCGAAACGGACGCTTAAGCAGTATGAGCGTGCTGCGAAATTGCTTTCTGTGAAATTACCCGAATGGAGCAATGTCCTATTCTATCTTGATCCGCGCTTCTATTATCCTGCTGCCACGGTGGGAGGACGGGAGCGTGCAGCGCGAGGCGTGTTGGATCTTGCGGCAAAGTTTGGCCCACTGTGTAGGGATATTACCTTCTATCCACTTCCAGCTAGTGATTCTCGTTTCCTCTGGGAGGCACAGCAGCTTATTTGGCGGGGTAGTTCGCCGGGGTGGTGCGCTTCGGTGGAGGATGGGCGCCTTGTGAAATTCTTTGCGCTTGAGATGCCGAAGAGTGAGGGGACTCCTTTGATCAGCGGGATTTAATTCAATTCACCGTGGGGGAAATTGGCTAGGAGTTGATAGCTTCACCATCTCCTCTTTCAGATTCATTCTTGCATCAGTCGTGGCCTTCCCTTGCCGAAAGATCAAACCCTCAAGAATCCCACATCGAGCTATTAACTGCGTCACCTTCTCAAGGCCTTCAACAATGGCGGGCAAAAGTTTCAAATCCATTCAATGTCAACTGGAGCAAGAATCGTACGCCTGCCCATGGTAACGCCGCATGTACAGGATCGAATTGAACTGCAATATCAACTACCTCCAGGAACTTTCTGACGTGCGCAGCGATCTTAGCATCGCGAATGACGAGTTCTTTCCCAGCGATACTGATGGTCGTCCAGTTGTCCCGTTTGCATCGGTCGCGCTGTGTTTCGAGCGCTAAGAGGATTTCATTGAGAATTTGGGTTGCGTGGGGTTTTTGGGTCCTTGAAGACTCGCTGGTCTTTCTCGGGAAGTGATGATAAAGCGAGAGACCAGAGAGACGGGGCTGGGCTTGTGGAGGCTGTCATTTGCGGGACTAGTCCCCTTGGTCATGTTGTAATATGGCGCTCATTTCAAGACAATTGCCTGAAAGGGAGTAGGGATATTCTCGTTTTATGACAGTGGACGAGCAAAAGCCCCCGTGCTAGTCGTGAGGCAGTGCGAGGCTGAAATTGGCAGATCATATCCGCAAACTGAAGGTTGACTGCGCCAATAAAATGATAGGACTTTCAGCCTTCGGTGCCTCCTGGGAGGTATATGCAGATGCCGAGATCCAGCGTGTTGTACACGTCGCGATCCATGTTTGTCTGTCTGCCGCAGTTTAAACTAGAACAGTCAGTGCGACACTTACTCGATAGAGGCAAGGGGTAATTCTTACCCAATCTCTCAAGTCATTGATTGTTCTCTGATGAATAAATCACAGAGATCAAGTATGTCCACTATTATTGATTGAGCCATCGAGTCAATATAGAGGATAGATATCACTGTCGCCAGGGCTGGCTGGGTATGGTTATTTTGAACGACACGCATCCGCTTGACCGCCTGACATGCCGCATGACAGGAGGCTCTGTCCAGCATGACTTGCCACGTACCCAAACCCTCCCTACTAACCTGACGAGTATCATCAAGTCTACTTGGGGTAACTGTCGTGAGTAACTGACTAATAGGGGGTCTGTCCATACGCAAATTGACAATCAACAGCCGACCGACCACAGTCAAGCAAACTGCTTATCGCAAAGTCACGAGAAGCCCATCAGAGGCCCAAATACAGGAAGTCTTCTGGCATATCTACGATCTCATCTTAGCAACCAACCAATACACCCAAACCTGACATTTTCTACTCCATCATCGTTCATTACGGAACTGGTGACCTTTTGACAAGTCGATACGTTCGCTCAGCGACTGTCAAAAACGTTGAGGCTACAGGATCGTGCAAATGGGGGCCTCAGCCTCAAGCATTCACTACCCACGGGACGCGGAGGATGCATACGAGGCCCTCCAAATCCTAAAAAGAAGCTACCGGCTGAACTCGTCCTTCAAATCCTTGATTATGCCCAGTACTGGGTTCTTTCTGAAGCCTCCAAGGACCGAGTACTGAGTTACCTGGAAAGGGATTGCCGCGACAGGACGCCATACCTGATCTCAGAACCCATCCAAGGCGGCGGAAGATCTCCCGTTCGCGAGATTCACTTTGAGATTTGGAGCCATGACCAGGGATGGAGCAATTTTACCGAAGACCATGGTACCTATCGAAATTCTTGGACGTGGTTTGATCTGGGAATCGAAAGAGCTCCCGGAAGAGAAGAGGTGTCGGGGTGTTCGGACGTTCGCCTGGTGACCAATATGCATGCAAGCCGAGTGACTCAGGAGCACCAGGTGGTATTTCATGCAGAGGATGACTTACCCTGGATGCGTAGTCTTCAGGCTGGGGATCGGATTTCGATCATTCCGAGGGCGCTTTATCCTGGTTGGCAGAATTTTGTGGAAAAGGCTAGGATTAGTATATATACCGACCCTTTGAGTTAATTGGATGATTCCACGTCAATCCAAACAAGATGGCTATTGGATTTTTCGGAACTCTAAAGACAGACTCGATGAGGTTCTAAGATATCACCGGCTATCGGATGAGTATTTAGAAACAAAACATTCATTCACTTCTACAGGCTCTCGGAAACTCAGTATCAGATTGCGAGAGTTGTGGAAAACTAGCAACCTCGTCGAATTTCCCTCACGCGTTGAGACTAGAAGTTTCGGTACTTTCATGTTGCCATCTCTCAAGGAGTGCTGCTCAGGTCTCCTGTCCAAACGGTGGGTACTTAGGGGCCGTGACACCATCACACGAGTATTGAATAATAGACGGGTTGGCAGTCGTGGTGGCTCCAAGGATGACCTCTCCACTGGATCAGTGATCGTGATGTTCTCGATAGCCGCACCTACGGTATTAGCGAACATGAGGCGCAGAGGGTAGTATTGCCCCTGGACCAAATTCGCTGTATAGGTCACCGTTGGTAGCGTAGGGCAAGCGCTTTCAAGTTTGGCATTACTCCTATTCCAGCTACTGTATGCCAAGGGGCCCAGCCAGACGATCATAATGTCGTCGTCCGCTGTAGTGGAGACTGTATAAGTACCAGTTTGCTCGGCGTGGAGATATCCGCGGTGATTGAGGATGAATTCGACAGCCGGGAAGGTTTGCTGAGAGCCATAGATGGTGATCTGCGCATTTGGATCCGGTGCGTATAACCCAACGTAGGTTATCGTGTTGTTATAATCGCTGGTCAAACTCTTTACTCCTGTGGGATCGAAGTTTGGCGAATATGACTGCGTTTGAGTGTAAATATTCTGATATTGGGCCCATTCGAGGCCAGCATTGCTCGAGCAGCTCCCGCCACAGCATGATCCGGAGGTACACTTATTGTATGTATTAGCGGAATAGCTTACAGAAAGGGATATGGAAGGCCTACAGTGTTGCCACATGCACCACAATTCCTGGCATCAGTCGCTGTGTTCACAAATGCAGGCCGAGGCCACAACAGCGCTAACGCAGAGAAAGATGTCAGGTGCTAAAGCGCATAGCAATAATGTACGCGTCGCACGGCGGCAAATCCATCTATTCAGACCAAAGTTCGTCGTTTTGAAGGCAAACAAAAGCCTAGGGTGCTTGGGTTGATTGCACATGGTGGTTTCCAGTTTGAGTGGTCATTTCATAATCGATTCATTGAGTGTTAGTCTTCTCAGTATACTGTCCTGTCCGCCTGTGCAAGGTCTCTGGAACGCGCCGCCTATCTCCAGGATTCCCTATGATTATCAATCGCGTACTCACCCTCGTCCTTTGATTATTTCAATATACGTTGTGGCTTGACTCCGCTTCTCTTGCTGCATACATCCATACATCGAGATCATTGCTTGTTGGACCGAGGTTGACGGGCCAGAAAGTCTCCTCATACAATGGGCGCAGCTAGGGTTTAAAATTCTCTCTCCATGCAATACATACAGACTGGAAACCCTCGCTATAGTTGCAAGGAACTACTCAAGTGGTAGAACTGGTAGAACTACATACAGATCTACCACCTCAAAGATGGGAAACCACTGCCATTGAGTCCTCATACTAAGAAGTTATATTGCAGAACTACCCCTCGGGAATAAGACTCACGTTCGGAATTCGGATGCTTGATAATTACAATTAGAATTATAATTTCAGGTCAAAACGGCGATTTCCTCCAAACAGGCCAATCCGACGCGGTTCCACGGGCACCTGCGAGGAAAGTGACCAGCGATGACATCACGCGGTAATCTTATCGACAAGCTCCAAAACCGAGCTTCATGCTGACTCCTTCTTTCATCCCAACTTCCCACATCATCTCGACATCTAATCACAGAATACTCTATACAAATCCCTTCATTAACCTTCTCATACTTGTCCACCGGTCTCCTTCCACCACAATGGCCTTCCCACTCTTCTCCCCTCCATCAACAATCCTCCGCCTAGGCTTGGGCCTCGGCATCGGTCTCTCCGCAGCAACCCTCCACCCACTCTCCCCCTTCCGCGCCGCCCCCATCCAATGCGAATACAGCGCGCCCTACTATCGAACAGAGAGCCAGGCTAGCGCTGAAACAGGATGGGCCGTCAACCCCAATGATCCTATTTTGCAGAAGCAGGGTCGAACGGGGCTTGCGACCCAGGCGAAGAACGCCCTTTTGACGCCAGATAATATGCGCCAGATTAGTTTGGGAAGCGTGTTGGGTTTGGTTGCGGGTGTGGGATTGAGGGCGTTTTCGAAGGTGCTCGTTGTGGTTTTGGGAATGGGTATTGTTCTTGTTGAGGTTTGAGAGATCTCCGTTCCTGGACTTGGTTCCTTTGCTACCGGGTTGAAGGTGTACTAATGTGATTGTACAGTGGGCTGCGTCAAAAGGGTATAACATCCTTCCTCTCAACCGATTGCAAAAATATGTCAAGAATGCTGATCTGGGCCGGATGGTGTCTGAGCATCGGCCGTTTAAGATTAGCTTTGGCATGATGATGGCTATGGCTGCATTTGCGCAATTCTAAAAGTGAAGAACTTGCCTTCACAGTTATAGATTCGAGAGAAATAGATGGAGCAATGCATTTTGTACATAAAACGTTCCTGGATGCTCTTGGGGCTACTTCTATGCAGTTTTCAGCTTAAGGATATGTTTCATAGCAGAGTGCCTGCATAGCATGCACTAACTGCCAGGGGAAACCGATAAACGTTGAACATTGTGTTTCATAAAGGGGTATCATGATGTTATGCGATATCGCTATTCCACTCTTACTCATACATGGCACAAGCCCAACTTGGCGTTTAACCTAACACTAGGTCTTCCAGAACACCTTCCATCTCGTCACGAGACAGTGGAACACCCAGGATCTCCATACCGCTGGGATCCATGCGCGAGGTGATCATCTGGTGATCGTGGAATTCCTTCAACAAAGTACGGAACATCATCTCAGACGATGCGATGAACTCCTCCGTCGCCTTCTGATAGAGCAGACGGAACTCGATGCCATGTTCCTCGACGCTTCGACCCCCGCTATCCGCGGCCCTTTCGTCGTCAGACTGGTGGCCGTCGTCTATCACAGTGATGACCTCTGTCAGCAAAAGGCGGTACAGGTTCCGTGCATTCTCTGGCAAACTCTTTAGCACGAAGCCCACGCCGTCCTTTCCACCCACACGCTGGCCTTTGCGACCAAGCAGGGTGTGGACTTCCTCCACGACATTGGTCTCCACAGCGAAAGGGGTGAAGGTTGTGCTGTCATGGAAGACAAGGTTGAATTGATCACGTAGGCTGATGTCCCACATTGTTGCAAAGTTAGGAGTATCTGCGGTGAGAAGCAGGCGGATCCGAGGCGTGGCAGCTAGGCGGGCGAGGAGAGCTTGATTAGCGGCACGACGCAAGGGCGGTGCATCGACCGAGTTGATCAGAACCGTGATGGGCTCTTCATTGGCTGGTCGAGACTTGAGTGCTGATTGTAGAAGCTCGAGTACCTCGGTTGGTTGTGCACCCAGTTTAGATGGCAGGTCCTCGCCCAGAATGGCTGTCGCAATCATGGCAAAAATGGAACGGATCGAGATGCCTGGTGTATAACCGTTGACGATGACGATGGATGGAGCGGTTCCAGATACAGACCGTTTATGGTAGAGCCAATCTGCAAACTGCTGCACGAGTCTGCGTTTAGAGCCGTATCCAAATAGGCAGATATTGAACCCTTCTTCGAACTCGAAATACCACTGTGGGAAAGATCGGTGGTGCAAGGAAAGCAAATACTCTTTCTCGTCCTTGCACGGGTCCACGTATTGGCCAAGCTTCTCGAAGTATTCCTCGTGCGTCAAGAGTGACACCTTATTCAAAGTAGTGTTGGACGTCTTCCCAGTACCAGCGCGATTCTGGAAGAAGTAGCGCTCATGCGGAGGCAGTTCACCATCTGGGGTTGGTGATCGCTTGTTCCTCGCGCCCTTGGGTCGGCCTGCCCGTCGCTTTGGAGCCTTGGCCTCTTTCTCTTTTGATTTCTCTGCGTCTTCTCCCTCGACGCTCTCCACTACTGGCTCAGCAGCCTCGTCTGCTTCGGGCTCGTCATCTTGGAGGATCTCCTCCGCAAGCTGCTCAGACCCATCCCAAGCAGCATCCTCATCCTGCTCAAAAAGCACTCGAGCACTCTTTTTCTTTGCAGATCGATCTGCATTCTTGATTCGAGACGGCGTAGCGGCAGTCGGAGCCTTGGGCTTCGTGGGTGTCGCGAATAGCGATCGAGCCTTGGATTTGTGTGTCGGCGTCTTCAACCCAGATTCTTTAAGTGGTGTCGCGGCCACTCCGTTGGTCTTCTTCGGCGTCGCATGGACTCGTGGTACCTCGGGAAGCACGTAGGTGGCATCGCCGTAAGGAGGAGGGAGATTCGGCGCGTGGCCGTTTAACGCGCCATTCGTTTGGGATAGCGCCGTGCGTGGTCTCTTGGGGGTCGAGACCTCGGGGTGGTCATTTTCCAGACCGGAATTCGACAGCTTGCGCTTCATGATGGACGAGTCAACGGACGGTCCATGATGGAGAGGCAGAGGGAAGGTCATCAACAATACCATTAGATCCGGAGAATGTGCACAGGGACGCGATGCAAGGGGGGGGGGATTGGCTGGGGATGTGCCTGCCAAAGGGCTGCAGGAGTGTCTGATAGACTGACTACTGGACAGGACACTGGTAATTTGAGTCGTCGATCCGCCCTGGGAATGTGGTGTTTCGTTGTTCCAGCTGCCTTGTCGATTTCGTGTCTAGCCAGGGCCGCTGAGGTTCAAAAGATGAGCAGCAGCGGGTCCCTGGAGTTTCTCCGAGTCCGCCCCAACTATCGAGTATAGTGTATAGACTATGGGGTTTGGAAGAGACACAACTGGTGGATGAAACTGGCGTGAGGCATTTAATCTTAACCTGTCACGATGTAGTTTTGTAAATTGTAAGAGGGAATTCTAGTTCCAAAAGATTGCGGTGTAAATAAATCCAATAATTGACTCAAGCAGATCCATGGATGCACCGAAAAGAACTCAAGCTCATATGAGCATCGACCGAGATATTCCAATCCCGCGCTGTCAAGCTATTCTGGGTTCTCCCAATTCCCTACTCCAGCTTATATCCTCAACCGTGCAAAATTGCTTTGTTGTCTGTCCTCTCTCTTATCGGTCGTGAAGAGTAGTGGACTGGCCACCGCGACGCCCTTCCGTGCCCGAGTCGGCAACTCCGAGACCGGGTATCTTTTTCTGCCCGCAGTACATTGACTCATCAGTTGGAGCTTCCCCAATTCCTCCTCCATAAGTCGCCGTGACTGACCAAGCCATTGTGATTCAGTCTTGACAGCGTTCAAGTCCGGACACATGGTTTCCAACGCTCAGCCCGCCACAATGGCGGTTAGCTCCTTTGCCCGCATGCTCAAGGGCCAGGTCCGATGCTACTCCGCACCGTTGGATATGGCCATTCCGGCCTCCAAGCAGCGCTATATCCCCACATCTGGCACGTATCCGAAGGGATTCAAGGTGTCTGGCACCCATGTCGGTGTCAAGGCATCCAACACCCGCTTCCCCGACCTCGCCCTCATCGCTTCCGACTCGCCTTGCTCGGCCGCTGCCGTTTTCACTACCAACAAGTTCCAGGCTGCGCCAGTGCAGGTTAGCCGGCAAACATTGAAGTCTCGCAAGGGCGAGGGTATTCGCGCTGTTGTTATCAACTCTGGCTGCGCCAATGCCGTGACTGGCAAGGGTGGCTATGAAGATGCAGTTCAGATGGGCCAGACGGTGGATGAATGCAGCGGAGCAGAGAAGAACAGCTCATTGGTGATGAGCACGGGAGTCATTGGACAGCGGTGAGTATCTCTCCAGAATACAGAAGATATCTGCGAATTTGGCCATATACTAATTTTCTCTTGCAATAGCCTGCCTATCAAGAAGATCCTTGACCGTATCCCCACTGCGCACGCCAACCTCGACTCGACACACGACGCCTGGTTGAGCACCGCTCGAGCAATCTGCACAACTGATACTTTCCCTAAGCTCCTCTCCCGCACTTTCACCTTGCCCTCTTCTCCAGGCCGCACCTACAGCCTGGCCGGTATGACCAAGGGTGCAGGCATGATCCACCCCAACATGGCCACCCTGCTCGGTGTTCTCTGCACCGATGCCGCTGTTGAGCCCGCAGCTCTGCAGTCCATCCTCAAGCACTCTGTTTCCCGCTCCTTCAACTCAATCTCTATCGATGGTGATACTAGCACCAACGACACCATTGCCGTACTCGCCAACGGTGCCGCCGGTGGAGAAACCGTCCAAGATCCAGCCTCTGGCTCCAAAGCTAGCGCCGACTATCAGGCTCTGCAGACCATCTTCACCGATTTTGCGCAGGAGCTTTCGCAGCTTGTTGTCCGCGATGGCGAGGGTGCTACCAAGTTCGTGACCGTGCGCGTCCGTAACTCGCCCGACTACGAGTCTGCCCGCTTGATCGCCTCCACCATTGCCCGCTCTCCCCTCGTCAAGACTGCCCTGTACGGCCGTGATGCTAACTGGGGCCGTATTCTGTGCGCCGTTGGTTACACTCAGGGCGTTCGGGACGGCGTTGTCGTGCCTGAGCGTACCTCTGTGAGCTTCCGCCCTGTGGACGGCAGTCCTATCCTCAAGCTGCTGGTGAACGGCGAGCCTGAGGCTGTTGATGAGGAGCGTGCTAGCGTCATTCTGCAGAATGAAGACTTGGAGATTGAAGTTGACCTTGGTGGTGGTGAGAAGGGTGCTGCTGGATGTGGTGGTGAGGATGCCGTCTACTGGTTCTGTGATTTCAGCCACGAGTATGTCACCATCAACGGTGACTACCGTACTTAAAATTGTCAAGAATATACGTAGAAAGATTATCTGTTGCATGTCATAAATTCATTCCCAAGCCTCGAAGATGCTCTACCTGGTTGTGCAGTTTCTAAGAGACATTCTACCTCTCTCGGACATCCGCCCGCTTGTAAGATGATTGATAGCTGGGCTTGTATAGCACATGGACCAGGAGAACCGCAATAATAGAAGCCTAATCCACATTAGCCCTGGAGCCTATTGCACACACTCAATCTCATCTCCGAAGAAGCAGGGACAAGACTTACCAGCGACAGATCAAAACCTTGTGCAACATTCACCTCCCACTCAGGCCGTTTACCCATCCCAACATAAACAAGATAATACCGCTTGACCTTCACAGTCATCACAAGCGACCCCCCATAAAACACACTAGTCCTATACTTCCAAATATCATTCCCTCTCACCTCAAGCTTAACCTCCGCACCCTGATCCGCCACATTCTGAATATAAACATCCAACTTATCCTTCAACAGATGTCCCTGCGGCGCAATCGTAGCTATACTCTTATCGTTTGTGTTTGGCAAACTAACAAACCACGTCACCCCGGCCTTTTTGCGATGGAGTTCGAAGGCTGGACCGGAGGCGTCGAGGAAGCTCATCTTATGGCTCCAGGAGAAGGTTTTTCCGTCGACGAAGAATATTTTGGTTGGTTCGGTGGTTGCTGCGGATGAGGGTGTTTCAGCTTCGGAATTGGGTAGGACTGAGATGGTGAAGTCGCTTCCGGAGAAGCTTATGCTGTGTGGGTGGACGATGAGGGTGGTTGGAGAGATTGCGATTAGGTCTGGGCGGATGGCGATGGGTGTTTTGAGGGATTCTAGGGTTGTCATTTTGATAGAAGGGTTGCGGCTGTAGAGTGATAGTTGTTGAGAAAAGTTCATGGAAAGGAAGATTCAGATACTTATATCTATTTGAATCCTGGCTAGCCCATTTCTATTATTGGACCGTGGTCTTCAACAGCCATCCTTGCCTTTCATGGTGAAAGGGTAGGGCGCACGGCATGGATCCGGATGACGATGGCCTAGCAACGAAGGGTACAAGAAGTTCCTTCGAGTGGAGAACTGGGCGTTATCTACGCTTCGTCATTGATCAATCAAACATAACTATGATGCGGGAACGGGGCTGGTTAGACTGGAAGGGGCTGAAAAAGTCTTGGGGAGCTTGGGGGCCACACGCTGATGATCACGAATAACATATTCAAGATCGAGTTCGGGTATATTTCGGGTATATCCCATATCAATCAGTGTAAGGTTTTCTTCGAATATGTACTAGGATGGGAAAGCTCCAGAATACTGTACAGACTGGACGTTTGTATAAGATGGCCCCTACCCGCTCGAGATGCGCCTCATCCTAGGGACCTTCTAGATAAAGCCAACAGAGTGACGCCTCTACCTTGTCTATTAATATTACCTATATCCGTGTTTTATTTCGACTAAGAAACCGGAGCGTAATTTGAAAGTATCCTGAAGAGTGTGATTCTATTTAAGTACTTGAAAGGATTGATGAATACTTTGTGGTAGATGCCCTTCGAGTACCCAAGTAATATGTTGTCGTTCGATCACAACAGTTATTGTTATTGGCTTGGCTCATCTATCCATCCATCTTATCAATCAATTTTTGCTTAGGATCGGATGATTAAGGAACATTCCATGTTCAAACTTCTAGCCTATATCCATTTTGAGCATAGGTCTCGCACCAATCTCGAAACTGCATAGCACGGGGACTCATGCTGAAGGAAACAGGATGCGTTAATCGCATACGGGACAAGGAAAGAGTCGAGTACAATAGCATAGATTGAATACCAAAGCCTGCTTTTGGATGGTCGGTGGGAAAAGAGGTATTATATGGACGGTAATGATCCGGGACATGTTTGAGTTACGACTCATCACATTGCGCATTGACATGTGATAGTTAGTTAGCTTTCTAAATACAGTCTTCAGGCAGCATGTGATTCTGTATCCTGACCGTGTCAGAAATATCTCAGTCCTTGAGGGGAGAGTGGAGATATTGTACCCAACGCTACATCTATACCTGGATAGACGACGATATATAACGAGTATATAGGCCCAACACGGGTGGTTGCTTTCGTGCAAGGTTCCAAAATCCCTATTTCTCGCACGACCCTCCGCGGTAAATGCGGGGAGTAATCCGGGTCTGGAATAGATTCCCATTCTCTGGAGACTGGAAACTGGAGAAATCGGGGTCACATCCGCATCCCCATTTGACGTCATTGGGCCCTGGTCATCTGGAAGTCTCCTCCTTTCCGCCGCTGGAAGTCTGGCTTGATCTTTAAACGAAGATCACTCCCAGCTTTCAATCTTACATACCTGGTTCTCTTTATTATCATCAGTCTCTTACGTCTTCGCGGATGCTCCCCCCCCTGGAGTTGTGATATGGTCAACCTCGGCTCTGCGGGGCGATTTGACGGAATCAGACTCATTCAACTTCACCTCCACAGGAACAACCTGTCTCTCCAAGTAGACGGGGTGACTTGCCACTGGTGGAACGAATCTCAAATCAACCGGTCTGGCGCACATTTTGAAAGCTGCCCAATTCCCTCTTCTTGCTTCGTTCCCCACGATATCTGAGCAACCAGTGGTCGATGGACGCGTGGTCGGCGTTCTGAGCAGCAAATCCCCTCCACGAACCACTCGTGATTCTTTGTTTGTCGGTGTCGCATCCAGACTCGCACATGCAATCGCCTATATCAGGAACACTGTCCATAGACCCTGTATTTCAACTATATCGCTTCTAGCGATAGGCTTTTTGCTCTGAGAACCTTCATTCCCAATTGTACTGACCGTTCCTGACCGCCTCCCCGTATGTCTCCACTGCAGCTCTGCTCGTCCCATTGACAGCTAACAACGAGCTGGAATCTACCCACAGAATACACCGGCGACTCCCTCGGCAATTGGACAGCAACATTGTACCTGGCTGCCCTAGACGAGGTGCTTGCGACGTTGCGTGGTGACCTGGATCCACCCCCCCTCCCCCGAATCCCCAGACCCGCCATCCATTGATATTTGAAAGCCCAAAGATTTCGCTCTACACCGCATCACACGAGCGGACAGTACGATCCTGGTCCTCCTGCACCATGAAGACCGCTGTGTCCAAATTACCGGACGGCCATGGCTATGTCTATAAGGAAGTGCGCTTCTCGCCAACGGCAACCCCTGTTCGTCGTGCGCAATCGGTTTCTACAAGCACCCCTTCTATGAGCTCTAAATACCGACCAGCGCGGATACCTCAGGTTCCCGAAGACCTAGTACTCGGCTTGGACACATCATATATCGATCAGTCACGAGAACTCCTGGAGAACCAGCGGGCGCATCTTGAAACCGAGCGGGCACTGTTCGCCCAGGAACGACAACTATGGGCGAAAGAACGGACGCTTTTGCGGACAAAGATTTCAGAACTAGAGTCATTGCTGAAGACGAAACGGAGCCAATCCATTGCCCACCCCCTCCAAACCTGCGTTTGGGACCCCGCAGTACCTGGACTCCCATGATCATCTCTCCTCGGCGCAGGTGTGGGAAGGGTCAAGTCCAGGAAGTCGACCGACGAGGGTATTCCGTGATGAGGAGATCCTAGACAATGCTCACCTATCCCCGATCAGCGAAGGGGGCGGCAGTAACCCTCCGTCCCTCGATGCAGCACTTTCGCCACGGGCACGGGCAGTAGACGCCTCTGGCGTGACCGTCAGCATCCCCGTGCCCATCGAAAAGCTTGACAGCAGACTGGATGGGATCACGCTCAAGTCTACTGCATTGCCACCCGGGGTCGTTGCTCGAGTGATCACCCCACCCTCACCGTCGCCCCTAGAGACCTCCTCCCCAGCTCCAGCCTCTGCCCCTTCAGAGCCCGCAAGGCCGGGGATGGAACATCGACACAGTCTCAGGTTGAAGCTGTCAGAACTCGGCCGACCCAATGAGAACCTCGTCAGGGATGCAGGCCACACCCCAATGGCGATCATCGAGGCGGATGGCAGCCAGCGGACCACCCAGGACGCTTCGCCCGTTGAGATACCCCCGTGCGAGGACCAGGAGGAGGAGGCCCCTTTGGCGCCTATGACCACCCATGTCCACCAACCCTCCGAACATGCAGAGTCCTATTTCCCCGATGTACCTGACGATCCTGCCCTCCAGGGGCCCCTTGGTCTGACTAATGATGAAGAACACGACAGCAGCTTCCTGAACGAACTTGATTCGCGACTCCTGGACCAGGCCAAGCGCATCTTGTATACCTCGACGGTATCTGATGATGTCGAAGAGGATGATGCAGAAGCGCCTAATCAAGGCGAACCGGAGCCGGAAATCAAATTTAAGAAATCTACCAATTTTGGCACAGCATTTGGAATGTCTAATCTTGGGAAAATCTAAGAAGAACCGATTTGGACCATCATTTACCATTGACTTTTTGTGATCTACCTGCATTGGGCATGCCTGGCAAATATTATCTTTTCATTCTAACGTCCTCATTTCCGGTTCATGTCATCTTCATTTACTTTATTTTTGGTGATGTACACCGTTGCGATTACTCATTTTCAATGTTTCTAACAACCGCGATGCTTGATGACTTGACGAAGATACATTGAATATCCTGCAATATATGATTGTTCTCTACTTTGTTCCACGTTTCTTATCCGTGTCTCCAGGGTGATGCCTTTCTTGGTGCATTGATCTTGCCTCGAGGGCCCAAGCTCTTGGCAAGGTTCATATGATACTTCCTGCGGTCTTGGATATTGAAAATTCCTTGCGTGTGATGTGTCCACTCTTGCCAAGTAGCCCTATTGCTTGCACTCGCAATTTGCCGTGCAGGAGTCTCCTGCGATGGGGATTGGGGTTGTTCCGCTCCTGCTTTTTATCCGCCCCTTGCATTGTCTTTGTAACCTTCATCTCCTCCCAATCCCCACGTGTCGTCCGACTTCTCATGATACTCACAAACAGCGAGGATCCGGACAATCTTACCACGGAGGAGACTATCAACAGCTCGGATGCTCGGCCTTCTTTGGGCGCGTGCATAAGCTTCACCTTGGTCACGTTAGGGCTTGCATGCTCTAGTCCCAGAATCGATAACGCCGTCCATGCGCACGAATCACGGCCATCATGGCTTTGGTAAAAAGACCAACAAGACATGATACCTCCCATCCAGTTCGCGATTTTGAAGCAGATAGTTCATTTACCCCTGGTACCTTGCCGATCGGCGTCCTTGTGGGGGTCCCGAAGGTAAAAAGCCACCAAAGGGCTAGTCTGTAACCTTGCAGCATCCTGGTTCCTGGGCTGGCCCTTGGCTCTCCCCCTCCGCATCTCCTCCGAACTATCCTTCGAAGGACTCGAAGACATTGTCTCTCCCAAACTACATAAAGTCCATGGCTTGCGGTCCCAAACCTTCTCTTCTTCATCCATTCGACATCAGAGTCTCGGACAGTCATTCTTTCTCTTGACATTCGCTTCAGCATTCGCTTCCACTCTTTATCCAAACACTCTTTTTTAATATCTTCCCTCCAGACTCATTCCGTCAGGCTTCATATTTAAAAATATCAAAAATGTCTCCCAAGTCTTTCACCTTCTCGGCCGCTCTGTGCTTTGCCCTCGCCATTGGCCCCGCCTCCGTGCTGGCTGCTCCCCAGCTGGTAAGTTCCGAACCACATGGATATCGTTCCTGGAGCATCACGAATATCATATCAAAGATCAACAACACTAACTCCTGCACAACAGGGTGATCTCCCTCATCTCGGCGGTGGCCAAACCCACGACGCTCCTCCTACCACTGGTGACAGTGAGCACGATGCCGGTGCCGGTTTCGACGTCGGCCTCCCCGACGGCCCTGCTGTCAAGTTCGGCGCTGGCACTCACAGCGAGACCCACGGCCCTTGTGGCCCTGGCGTGAGCAGCGAGCACGATGCCGGCGCTGGCTATGTCGTGGGCTTCCCCGGCGGTCCTGCTGTTAAGTTCGGTGCTGGTACCCACGATGCTCATCACGCTATTCCCTGCCCTGAGATCATTACTGAGGTGATCGTGATGCCTTCCACCACGGAGGTTCTGGTGCTCCCTCCTACCAGCACCTCCACCTACGTCCCGGTCATCCTCCCTCCCACCTATATCACTCCCATCTCCATCCCCACTGTGACTCCTGTCCCTGTATACACGCCTCCTGCCCCGATCCGCTCGACCCCTCTGATCCAGCACCCTGCTCCCACGGCCGTGCCCTCTATGCCGGTCTTCAACGCTGGCTCCGCACTGGCACCCGGCTCTGCCTTCCTGGCTGTAGCTCTTCCCGTCATTCTGGGATTGTTCTACTAAGCCACGAACCCCGTCTATGATGATGATGCAGTGATGTGATCGAATCATGTCTTCGGCAGTCGCACTGTATCTGCTCTTTGGTGTCATTTTTCCCCTGGTCTCTGATATATCTTTGGTCCCACTGGGCTATCCCGTCACTTGTCACATGTCTTTCCTTTCGTGTTCACTTTTGCTTATTTACTGAATGGTCGCCATGCAAGATTGGCAGACCCAGATACTTGTATCTTGACTGATATACGAGAGTCATATTTGGTACTATACGGTTGGATTGAGTTGTTGGTTGGTTGTTATGGCTGGGAGTCCGGGCGTGCTAGGCACATTGCAAATCCGGGTTTACTTTTTGTGATTTTGAATTTTGAATACATTGCATTTATGATTTTAGAACATGCATTTGTCTTAGAAGCGGCCTTTTCCTTACTCCTTACAACGTAAATTCTCTTTATCCCTCGAGTATCGTATCCTCTCGTACGTTGGCACTAAAATCTTATCTTACTCCCTCTCTCGAGGCCCTATCTACTAGCTACTAAGGATCCTTAAGCCCCTAAGCTTACTCTTCTACTAATCTCTCTCGGTCATAAGCATTTGTAGGTAGCAAGCCATGAATAATGCAAATAGATCAAATCCCGGACCGGGAAGACTTCTCTTCGGATTTCTTTCATAACCCTGTCCAGCCCTTGAAGGAGTCTCTATGTTTGCAATAACTCGACATTCATCGTCATCTATATTACTAAAATGAACCGTTCATGCGCCCAATAGTCGATGTATGTATACTCGTAATCTGCTGAATACCATCTACTGACATCCCACGCCAAGCCACAAAGTCGCGAGCCTGATGGACCATTTCCACTGGATGGAAAGGATCTTAATTCAGCCACAGATGAGGCTCTGGCAACCCTTCTCACAACTGCTCCGATTCTCCATCAACTAGGTGGAACGACGGTCGTGCGGCTTTCAAAGACTTTGGTCATGAACGGTGGCGGGAGTGTCATTACCAGTGAAGCGGAAATGCTTCGTCTTATTGCTTCCAGAGCCACCATTCGAGCGCCACGAGTCTATCACGCATTCCAGGTAATAGATGACACACAATATTTTGGTACATCTGGGAATATTGTCATGGATTTCATCCCAGGCTAACCGGTGGATGAGTGCTGGAACAACCTATCCCGCGACTCCCAGGGAAAAATCGCGGCGCAAGTTGCTGAAATGATCCAAGAGATGCAGTCCATTGAGCTTTCAAAGCCCGGCCCCATTGGTGGAGGACCATGTCGGGGTCTGTTCTTCACAGATTACAGTGCTGGGCCTTTTATGGACACTGCTGAAATGGAAGCTTGGTTTAATCACAAGCTGGAAATCTGCAAGAGCGCCCATAAAGCCCCAGAAGACGTTCCACCATTCTGTTTTATCAAGTTTGTCCTTATACACCACGGCATTAGTCCTCGAAACCTGATCTTAGATCAGCATGAGCAGGTGTGGTTGATTGACTGGGCTTATTCGGGTGCATATCCTCCTGTCTTTGAAAGTGCAGCGTTGTCAATACTCGTCTTTCACTGATTTCAACGAGGCGGTGTTATGCCTTATTCCACGGTACCCCGAGGAAGAAATGCAACTTGATTCTATTGGATATGGGTTGACCACCGCGGCAGTGGCAGGAGGGAGGCTGAGATGGAAGCGGACTGCATTCGTCACGAGGAGATAGCTGGTTGATAGATATTGACTTGGACAACGATAACATTCGATCCAATTTCCATACTAGATTCGAGCTATTCGCTCGCTTCTACTTACTCATGCTCTTCGCACCCGATGCTCTATAGGCTTTGCTTCGATCCGAAGGGACAGAGAAAGCAGTGCCCCTCACAGACTCCAAGAAAGTGTGTATTCCATCCGTCGATGACAGGCGCCTATTCAATTTTTCCATGTGCCACTCACGACGTGAGTGACCATGGTATATAGCGCACTATATCGTACGGTCCTAAAGATGTGAAGCATCACCCTCGAACCCAGGGACAGGAAACTCGATAAGCTACTGCCGAATAACAAAGTCATCCCAAAAGGTTTGAACAAAGTATTTTTCTAGAGCGTAAATGCGCAATACTAATTATCTGATACGTAGCAAAGCTTTAAACCACAAAACAGAAATGTAAATTTGTGCGGTTAGCAACAAATATTGAACGCCAAGTCATGTCATGTCATGCATATCACGTATCTCCCGATGGTGCTTGATCGACTCACAAGCCCCAGGCATCAACAGGCAAGAACTAGCTGGCTCGTCCAATCTGCGAAAAGCAGCCCCTGCTAGATTGTACCCCGAGGCTGGGGGATGACGACGAAAAGGGGCTATATCAGCACCAAACACTCCTCCACTTAGACTCCCATCGTGTGGTCGTGTTCAATACCAGGCGTAACACTGGCGATGAACTTGAGGAATACAACGAGGTACTGATCCACACGGATAGCAACCTGCTCCTCCTCGTCAGCTTGTAGGACTTCCCACTCATCGCCTCCAGACTGCTGCTGCTGGGCATGTTCACTCAGTGACAAGCCCTTGGTATCATCGACCAGCCCCTCGAGACCGCTGCTTCCACCAGTCTGCAGGGTGCGATTTGCCTGCTCGGGCGACTGGGTCTGCTTCAGCTTTTCCAGGCGGCGCTTGAGAGCGGTATCGGCGCGGTCGAGCATGGTCTTCATGACGGAGGCGTGGCGGCAGGGATGGACGGTGGCCATCTTGACGCTGCCGTCGAACCACGGGAAGTCCTCCAGTGTCACGGTCTTGTCCTTGTAGTCGCCGACGATGTCCTCCATCATTAGGTGTGGAGGGAGGGGCTCGGACGGGGACAGATAGCCTGAGAGGTAAAGCCGTGGTGTGCGGTAGAAGTTTGAGTATGTGATATAGAGGGTATAAGTGCGGAGGGGCCTGGTAAAGGCAGAACATTAGCATCGAGTATACACCACGTTCGACCAGCTGGGATCAAGAGCCAAAGCTGGCTATCGAATAGTGACTTACTGTGTCGTCCCAGACTGTCCAGCAGGCTCACGAATAATCGCCTCCTCGTCGTCATCGTCATCTTCCATATCCGGGATCTCCTCCTCCTCCTCTTGTTCTCCAAGGTTGCCAGATTCATCTACCGTCCGTACATCGCGAATCTTGGCCTCTTGCATCTCACGATCTGCAACAGTCTCCCGGCCCCCTCCAGTCCGGAGCCACCCATCATCTCCATCCCCGCCCGATGCGCCCTCGCCACCATCCCCAGCTAGCATATCCCTCACGATCTCATCCTCATGTCCCGCATCCCCGGCAAAGTTATCATTCAACCGCCGATGACACGGCACGCCGCGAGTAACGAGGAACTGCTTCCCAGGTGGTAGATAAGACACCCGCTTGGCGGGGCTTGATGCATCGGCCCAGGACCATGTGGGAAACTTGTAGACGAGATAGTCGCCAGCGAGGACGAACTCCTCCGGGGTGATTTGGCCGGTTGCGCGGAAAGTTGAAGTGCGAGAGACCGGAGCCAGACGGTCCCGCCAGGTCGATAGCGTTGAGTGTAAAATGTTCATTTTGGTGTGTAAGTTGGGATATCTATGCGCTATGAAAGGAGAGAAAGAAGGGTAGGTACTAGGTAGCAGCGGGCTCGAGATGACGAGGGCGGGGGGACCTTGATAAGCGGTGGAGCACATGATCGGCCCCGCGTGAGCTCTTCGCATTTCCCATTTCCCATTTCCCATTTCACCTGCGGTCGCGCCAAACTTTCTACTCGTTCTTGCCTTCGTTTCGCTTCACCTGATTTGAGTCTTCTGCGCCTGGCTGAGCCTCATGGACCAGCTGCTCTGGGATGAATCGATCGGTGGTCAGGTGCTCCATGCCGTATCCGCTGTCTGGGTGGTGTATGACAGTTATCATATCTCCGAGCTTCCACAGGGCATATGAACAGCCCATTATGCCCAGCAGATTCAGCCAGGCGCGACGGTAAAGGTATTTTCTGGTGTCCAGTCTATAAGAGATTGATCCCTCAAGACCCGCTCATTCACCTTCGTCCATCATCCGCCGTCGCTCAAGCTCCGCATCCACCTCATCTATCACCATAGGAATCGCCTTATTCTTCCACGTCTCGGTCTCTTTCCGCATAAAGCCCTCGGTGCTTCTCATTCCCACCACTAAAAACCCAAGCTCCTCACGGTCGACATCAAACACTTCCCACCATTCTCCATCTACCAGCTTGACTCCTTCTTCCCTTGTAGCAAGATAGATAGCCGCCACGGCGAGCGCGTTTGGCTGGTGTGTTACGTAGAGTAGTTGAGGCGAGAGTAGCGTGGAGTTGAGATGCTCGAGAACCCGGCGCGACACCGCGGGTTTACTCACGCCTAGTGTTTGGAGGTACGTGAGAGCGATAGTGTGAGGGAGGGCAACGTGCGTATCAAAGCCAAGGGTGCGAAGGATAACAGATTCGATGCGCAAGAGGACCAATCGGCCAGCCTGGTATCCTCCCTCGGAGAGGACGTAGGTATCTGCCGCAGGTTGCTGTTTCGGGGCTCCGTGAGGGTTCACGAACCATAATGGGGAGGCATCGCGGGAGAGGAGGAGATGATAGACATTGAGGATGGAGCGAGGTGAAGTTGGCTGGAACGATAGCTTCGCAGTCAGGTAGAGAGAAGCAGCAGAGACATCCTAATGAGATCTTACTGAGCGGAGAATATCACAACACATGTTGGATGGAAGCATACCTTGACAGAGTAGATTCGCAAGCTACCCCCATCCGCGCCTAGCCAAAATCGTGTAAAGATTACAATCGCCTGGGCGATAATATCTTGCGATAGGTGGAGCAACACACCAGCTGCTTGAGTGAGTTGCGCACCGGCACAGCGAATGGAGGTTTCGAGGTCAGAGGGCAGTCCGTCGATGGACGAGGACGAATTGGAAAGCTGATCGGGGGTCGCAAGTGCATTACAGAGGTGTTTCAAGCCGGCATTTGTTTGAGCCATGGTGGGCAGGCTCAGTCAGGACCGTGGAGGTGGTGGATGCTCTAATGAATTGAGCTGGAAGCTTCAGGTCGAGAGACGTGAGGAAAAGCGGCCCCGCCGTTGTTCCATTCCGAATCGAGTATCAAGCTCGGCGATGATCTCAAGCACGCATTCGAGTATGGGCTGGACCTTTTTTTTGCACCAAGAGAGCTAGTAATGAATGGTCTATTCACAGATGCTGAACAACCTGGAAGGATCCAGTATAACTCTCCAAAAATAAAGCTTATTCTTGTATACTCTTGAAGATCACGTGTTGTCGTGAGACCCTCAACTCGAATGCCAAAACGGTAAAAAAGATGACTCTGTAAATCGCTTCACGGCATTGGAATAGATTGTTTGATATCCTTATTTTACAGCTGAGTCGAGCCCCCAAATTGATTTCGATCTGGTGTTAGTTTAGCAGAGAGTTTGGGATCATATTAGAAATACTTACCTGACGATAGCACGCCACACGTTACTGAAATTGACTGGATCCCCAGCGGTTCTACTACGCTTGGCAGATATCAGGCGACACCAACGGGCACTACGGAGTGCTCTCTTTCCATCTTTACTTTATTCATCATTCCCCATGGTAACATAGGCAGAACATTCCATAGTGGATCTTCGGGTTGGATTGGCGCAGCGGAGCAGTTGCCGGGGTTCAGCCACCGCTATTTTGATACTCCCCCAGCCTCTCGTTTATTTACTCGGAAGATCACGTTTCAAAGAAAGGGACCAAACTTTTTACTCGAATCCAATCTCATGCAGTGAAACACACGCTATTGAATTTACCATCCTCCCCTCTGTTCCTGATCATCTCCCGATCTCAGGGGCCGTTTCGTCTCCTCATCCTAGTTGATCGCCCCCTCGTGGACACTTCATTAGTCTGCATCCCTCCACCTTTGGGCTCTCGACCTCCTCTCCAGGTCACACAACTGCAGCGCCACTACATCCCTCCGCTCCTCGATTCGACGTGGCATTCAAATCCAGACTGGCTCCTGCTGTCCAGTCTCCGTCGCCGTCATGTCCTCCGATCTCTCCCTCTCCTCGAACTCCCTACATTCCGATGCGTCACCAAGACCTCACGAGACCGTTGCCTCGTCGCCCCTAAATCCGAAGATCCCTAGGACCGCGCCCGAGAGCCAGTTTCACAGTCTTCCTTCCCATCGTCGATCGAATACTGAGTACATTTCACGACCTCCTATCTTTGAAAACGACGTCTACGATCCGACCCCAAGCAATTATACCCCAAGAAACCGAGCTGCTCTAGCCTGGACGGATACATTCCCAAAAAGAAGTTCGAAGCCAGAGCCAGGATCTTGTCAGATTGGTTCCAGGGAAAGTCCGACTCGGGCGAATCGGGAATCAACATGCGTCCTGACAGTCATCCCAACGTGGTTGGCATGGATGTGTCCAGTCCCGGGGCAGCATCCCCGTCCCATATGCGCAAGAACTCGGCTCCAGGGACTGGGCGGTTCTCATTCTTTGGTCTGCGGCGACCCGCCGAGCAGAAGTTTGATCCGCCAGAACCTGCGGACGACGAGTTCTTGAACCTAGACATTTCAGCGGCTCTGTCACCTATCGACTCTGACTTGAGCAGCGATGAAGCTCTGGATAGCCTTCGTGATCAGGCCGCCACCGTTTTGCAACGCATGCAAGAAGCTTATAAGCAAAGAACCTTTGCTATGCACCAGGCTCTAGCCGATCGGAATGAGAAACAAGAAGAACTCGAGGAAACTCGGGCACGGGTGGATCATCTAAAGATGCAGCTGGACGGCATGGCCGCCAAAGTCCTGGACCAAGAGAAAGCCATGAAGGCCATGGCTGAAGAGTTGGAACAGGAGCGGCGCATGCGCCAGCGTGAGGAGTCTCGCAGCCGCAGCCGCACTATGCGTGCAATTCCCCCTGATGATGAGATCCCATCGCTTGTGCTTCAGACTCCTCACCGTGGGGGCAAGCGTACCAGCCACGGTACCTTTACAAGCGATTCGGGCTTTGAGTCTGGTGACGAGAGCGTTACTGATAGTGTCTTCTCACATAAGGAGAGTGTCGAGTCACCGACGTCTACTCTGACCGCTCCATCGCCAAATCTCTCACATGTTGCCTTGTCGGCACCTTCCTCCCTCCCAAACATCCAGAAGAATCTCGTTGCCGCCACCACCAACTCCACGCAGGCGCGCTCATCTACATACGAGCGGGTCATTAAGGGAATTGCCTCGACCCGCCTGGGCAGCTCGATCGTTGGAAATGCGAATAACTGTAACATTTGCCATGGCATTCCAGCCTCAGAAGCTTGGAGCGTCATGGGAGTGCTCAAGGACGAAAACAGAGGCCTCAAGACGCGCCTAGGAGAATTGGAATTGGTTATTGATGACTGCTTAGGTCTTGTCGGTCCTTGAGTATGTCACTAGTGACTGCGTTATGATGGATAGCTTTTTGAGAAAGCTCCTGACGATCATGGTTGGTCATTTTGGGATTAAGAATCAGGACTCGGTGTTTGTAGCAATAGAATTGCCTTTCTTTACTTGATTATGAGCATATTGACCATGCTATGAAAAGAGATCGGCAAGGTAAATCTGGAAATGTCGAAGGAATCTTAGTTTTTCTCATCACTCGCGGCGGTTATTTGAAGCTCCGTAGACCCTTTTTAGTGTGGGGATAAGCTCGGGGCCCTCTACACCGGGGTACACGCCCCTTGAACACTCAGTAGCATCTTAAGATTCATGATAAAATGGCAAATTAATTGCAAATGAGATATCAGTAGGACAGGCTGTCCAAGTCTTGAATTTTTCTCTTGTGCGCGTGCTTGTTGAGTCAACGGGGTCGCTGGTTTAGGCGTGTTTTGCGGCGAAGACCAAGTGGCCTTAAATTAGCGCGAAGCGAAAAGTGGCCAGCGAGACTCTTCCCTCCTCTTCCTCCTCTCCCCCCATCCCCCATCCGACCACCTCTTCCTCTTCTCCCCCCCTTTCCTTTCCTTTTTCCTTCCTCATATCTTCGTAATCTTTTCGCTCCTTCGGCTGGTTTACATTTCCAGCTTCCTCTATTTCTTTTCCGACGGATTGGGAGGAAGACAGTCACCATGAGCGGCCGTGAGTTTCCCCCTCAGCCCTTCCAGCACGCGATCGTCGCAATCAACCTCTCATCGATCCCAATGGATCAACAAAACTAATAATCCATTCCAGTACGCTTCCTTGACCTGATCAAGCCCTTCACGCCCCTCCTCCCGGAGGTGGCGGCGCCTGAGACCAAGGTGCCTTTCAACCAGAAGCTGATGTGGACGGGTGTACGTTGCTCCTCGAAATGATCGTGTGGACTCGAGGAATTGGCCAGAAATCTAACCCAATCCCCCTTATAGTTGACTCTCCTAATCTTCCTGGTCATGAGCCAGATGCCCCTGTACGGTATCGTGTCCTCTGACACCTCCGACCCCCTGTACTGGCTACGCATGATGCTTGCCAGTAACCGTGGTACCCTGATGGAGTTGGGTATCACTCCCATCATCTCCTCCGGCATGGTCTTCCAGGTATGCATGCGAATCTACTCAAAATCCGTGACCGACGACATGCGAGCTGACATCCGCCCGTTTCCTAGCTCCTTGCCGGTACCCACCTCATCGACGTCAACCTGGACCTTAAGACCGACCGCGAGCTCTACCAGACCGCCCAGAAGCTGTTCGCCATCATCCTTTCCTTCGGCCAGGCCTGTGTCTACGTCCTGACCGGTCTCTACGGCCAGCCCAGCGACCTGGGTGCTGGTATCTGTGTTCTCCTGATTGTTCAGCTGGTTGTCGCTGGTCTCGTCGTCATTCTGCTGGATGAGCTCCTCCAGAAGGGCTACGGTCTTGGCAGCGGTATCTCCCTGTTCATTGCCACCAACATCTGCGAGTCCATTGTCTGGAAGGCGTTCTCCCCCACGACCATCAACACTGGCCGTGGCCCCGAGTTCGAGGGTGCCATCATCGCCCTGTTCCACTTGCTCCTGACCTGGCCTGACAAGCAGCGCGCCCTGTACGAGGCCTTCTACCGCCAGAACCTGCCCAACGTGATGAACCTGCTGGCCACTCTCCTGGTCTTCGCTGCCGTCATCTACCTGCAGGGCTTCCGCGTTGAGATCCCCGTCAAGTCCGCCCGCCAGCGTGGCATGCGCGGCTCTTACCCCGTCCGCCTGTTCTACACCTCCAACATGCCCATCATGCTCCAGTCCGCTCTGAGCTCCAACGTCTTCCTGATCTCTCAGATGCTGTACTCTCGCTTCTCTGACAACCTGCTGGTCCGTCTCCTCGGAGTCTGGGAGCCCCGCGAGGGATCCGCCCAGCTGTACGCCGCCTCGGGTATTGCCTACTACATGTCTCCCCCTCTGAACTTCAAGGAGGCTCTCCTCGACCCCATCCACACTGCTGTGTACATTGCTTTCATGCTGGTCGCCTGCGCCCTCTTCTCCAAGACCTGGATTGAGGTCTCTGGCTCTGCCCCCCGCGACGTTGCCAAGCAGCTCAAGGACCAGGGTCTCGTGATGTCTGGCCACCGTGAGCAGAGCATGTACAAGGAGCTCAAGCGTGTCATCCCCACTGCCGCCGCCTTCGGTGGTGCTTGCATCGGTGCTCTTTCCGTTGCCTCTGACCTTCTCGGTGCCCTCGGCAGCGGTACCGGTATCCTGCTTGCCGTGACGTGAGTTTTCATCCCCATGCTATACCACTGCCAATAAGAAACTAACCCAATTTTTAGCATCATCTACGGCTACTTCGAAATTGCCGCCCGTGAGGGTGACATCGGTGCTGGCCTGAAGGGCCTCGTTCCCGGCAGCTAAATGCAGAAACTGCCCGTTTCTTCTTTCACGAGCAGTTTGACGAGAGATTACATTTCTGTGGTCTTTTGCAATTCTGTTTGCTTTTTTTCGTCTCTTTACTTTGCCCGCACTTTTTTATACTATCCTTGGGGAGAATGAATTGGTGGGCGGCTCGATGTGACAAGACTAGGCCAGGCCACTCTCTCGGCCGGTACTTCACCTTGGCGAGACTGCAGACAGTACGCTGGGGGATACTATTGGATGTCCATCTCTCGCGGCATTGCATGTACGAGGCTGGGGTGGATCTCGGTATAGTCTCGTCGCATGGTGCATGCAGGTGGTGGAGGTGGGCTGGCCAGTCTTGTCGATGACGGGCACCTGCCATAGTCGGAAGCACCCTTTCCAGAGGGTCTGTAACCATATTTCATGTCAAAAATCCGTATCAATATATTTGTCTGATTAATCCTGATGGTGATGATAGTGCATATAATTAGCTTTTGCTCGGTCAAGTAACCAGGGCCTGGTATGAAGCATAGTAAAACTTTCTCCAAAGAACCACTCCGGTAGCCTTCCCGATATGATGAGGCACGTGAGTCATCTACAGATTGTACCCAAGATCTCACCAACCTATACAAGATCGTCGATCTAAATCTTGGAATGACGCAGCGAACCTTATAGTTAATTAACCACTTCAAGTTGTTCCTTCCACGCAGTCAGTCATCCAATCCCTGGATCGAACTCCAAGCCGTGTATTGTAATACCGTCTCATACCCGTTATCCTTCCAGCCTGGTATCCTCGGGTAACTCAGCGTCCCGACTTCGCGGCGGCGAGCTTAAATGCGGACGAGGGGCAGCCCCGGCTTGATTGGCCTGAGGCGAAATCTTTGGCGGGGGAAACTGCTTGAAGATTAAACTAATTGCTGACCTGTTGACTCACCTACGTTAACCTCGCCATCCTCTTAAACTCTCCTTCTCGCCTCTTTTCTCATCCTTTGGACACTCCTTCTTTCTTGCCCATCTTCCCCGTCTTTCGGTCAATTAGTCCCCCTCTACTACTCTCACAATGGCCCAGCAAAACGGTACCTCCAGCAATGACTTCACCGTCAAGGCTGGTCTCGCGCAGATGCTGAAGGGTGGCGTGATTATGGACGTCGTCAATGCGGAGCAGGTATATTCGCCACGATCAAGATGATCAATTGGTATCATGGCTTGATTTGCTAATGTTGTTCTTACTCTGTTAGGCTCGCATTGCTGAGGAGGCTGGTGCCGCTGCCGTCATGGCCCTCGAGCGTGTCCCCGCCGATATCCGTGTCGAGGGTGGCGTCGCACGTATGTCCGACCCCGGCATGATCAAGGAGATCATGGAGGCCGTCACTATTCCCGTCATGGCCAAGGCCCGTATCGGTCACTTTGTTGAGTGCCAGGTACGTCCAATTCCATCTTTCTTCTGACCGGCGACCGGCCGGAGAAGAGCATTGATCCTAGATCGCCGGGCCGCCGGAACGCTAACCCCTCCTTCCCCTCCACCACCAGATCCTTGAGGCCATTGGTGTCGACTACATCGACGAGTCCGAAGTCCTGACCCCCGCCGACGATGTCTACCACGTTACCAAGTCTACCTTCAGGGTGCCTTTCGTCTGCGGCTGCCGCAACCTCGGCGAGGCCCTGCGCCGCATCTCCGAGGGTGCTGCCATGATCCGCACCAAGGGTGAGGCCGGTACCGGCGACGTCGTCGAGGCTGTCAAGCACATGCGCACCGTCAACGCCCAGATTGCCCGCGCCCGCGCTATCTTCCAGAGCAGCGCCGACTTTGAGCCTGAGCTCCGCGCTTTCGCCCGCGAGCTGGAGGTCCCCTACGAGCTGCTCCGCCAGACCGCCGAGCTCGGCCGTCTGCCCGTCGTCAACTTCGCTGCTGGCGGTGTTGCTACCCCCGCCGATGCGGCGCTGATGATGCAGCTGGGCTGCGACGGTGTCTTCGTCGGCTCTGGTATCTTCAAGTCTGGTGATGCCAAGAAGCGCGCGAAGGCCATTGTCCAGGCCGTTACCCACTACAAGGACGCCAAGGTCCTTGCTGAGGTTAGCGAGGGTCTGGGTGAGGCCATGGTTGGCATCAACGTGCAGAAGATGCCCGAGGCCGACAAGATGGCCGGCCGTGGCTGGTAATTTTTTTTTTCTTGGTTGTTCTTCTCCCTCCTTCGCCCGTTTTGAGTTTATTTTACTTTTTACCTCGTGCCCCGCTTTGATTCGGGCTTTCTCTTGGCCTGCAGGGCCGGTCTAAAATTTTCTTGTACATGAACCATGAACCGTTAGCTACTGCATGACAGAACAAAAATTTAGAGGAGTTTCTGCTTGATCTATGAATTGTTCGCGAGATTCATCGTAATCACAAAAAAAGCAATACGCACATGATCCCTCTCAACTGAGAAGGTACAGTCTGATCGCCACTTCTCCGAATCCTGCCAGGACCCGGTATCTCAATTAGGTCAGGTCAGTTCATCCACAAATCCACAAACCAAAACGCTCGGACAAATCAAGCGGGGGCAGTTCCAAGTCAATTCACTCACGCAGGTCCAGGACCAACGACCATGATCGAGATTCGACAGTATTTCCATGACAGTTGCCAACCCCCGATAGTCCCCATCCACGCCCGTCATCCAAGGTTCCTAAAACTGCCCACTAACGCCCCCCCCTTCACACTCGGGAACCGGGTCGATCAAGTGGCGGCCATCTGATAGGTCCTCCGCTCCGAGCCACCGATCGCCGACCGTTCTGGGGAAAGCAGCAAAGCAGTACTCCGTACGGGGTACTGTAACTACAATCGATAAGTTAGGCTAGTATTTAGCAGGCTAACAGTAAGTACCACTGTCCTGTATTGTGGGTAGTGAGTAAGGAGGAGTTTTCGGAATCGGAAAGTCATTCCAGCTCCCCGGGCGCGATTAACGTCCGTAGGCTGTGGGTGTCCACTGTCTGGCGGATCCAATCGCCGATTATTTGGGTCTGCGGGCAAGCTGTTCGATCGTTTTCTAGAGCAATGTCAATGTCACCGAGTGTACCCGTTCGGGATATTGTTGTTCCCGAATGGAGGGTGTATTGGTATTTCGTGTTACATACTGTATTCTATGCACTCCTCGGTGACGGATCTGGAGAAGGGCGTAGGGCGGATGGGACGTGCTATCGCTCTATTGTCCGAATGATGCTATGCTAGGAGTTTATGTATCAGGTTTTGCACAAGAATGTATACTCTCATGCTTTGTAGATAAGTATTATGTTGGAGATTTTTGTGCGAAGCTAGGAAGTATATACCTATTTTCAGGCTTCCACAGATGGATGTGCTGGTCGAATGACGATCCATAACATAACCATTTTTCCTAAATCGGTTTCGAGGAACCTAACAAAGGTAACACATTCCCTTGATTCTGAACAAAATGTTATGTCAAATGCGTAAGTGTCCTGCGAAAAGTGCATCAGAATGATTGGCCAGGGATACTCCCTAGCTGCATGTACATGGGTACTGTATAGTTCGTTTCCTGTGAATGTATCTCACTACGTAGATCAAAATTGCCGAAGTATGATGATTCACATGTCTCTTCTTATCGTCTCTTGGATTGAAAGGAAGCTTCAACTACCTCATCGGGACTATTGACATCGCTTTCTCTCATGCAGCCTGACAAGCCACTTGGAGGCGGGGTCGCTTCAGCCTCCGCCTCATTCATACCTGCTCACGAATACCGTCTTCAAAGTCCCGGTCTTGAACTGAAACTCTCTGATTGATCGAGGGTCAAGATGAGCTTTGGATTCAGCATTGGCGACTTTCTAGCAGTAATACAACTCACCAACAAAATCAGAAAGGAATTCGTCGGGGCGCCGGATCAATTCAAGGCCATTTGTGACGCGTTGGTGTCTTGCCCTCTGTGTTCTTGACACACAATACTGACTGGGATTATGATTGCATAGAGTTAGAAACCTGTCATTTGTGGTACAGGATGTCGAGATAGAAGTGTCCAACAAAGATCTCGATCAGAAGCAACAGGCTGAGCTAGAAGACATAGCCAAAAGCTGCCGCAATGCTCTAAGAGAACTGGAGAGCATGATCGATAAGTATGGAGATTTGGGGCCCACCAGAGACACAAGAGGGAGCATAGTGAGACGCACGTGGAAACGATTGAAATGGGAACCAAGTGAGATTCACGAGCTTCGACAGCGAATCATCAGCAACATTGCTCTTCTTGATGCGTTCAACGGGCGAATCACTAGAAGCAGCATCCGAAACCTTGTGCAACACCAAGATGACCAGAAGCGCCAAGAGATACTTAACTGGCTTTTTCCTTTAGATTACAGCGCCCAGCAGAGCGACAACATTGCACGACGCCAGCCAGGGACCGGCGAGTGGCTTCTGGACTCACCGGAATTCAAATCTTGAAGCTCAGGTTCAAAGCAGACGTTGTTTTGTCCGGGAATACCTGGAGCCGGGAAGACAATTCTGAGCCCTATCGTCATTGAAGAGCTTTTTGATCAATGTGAATCTGATAGCGGGTTCGGCATCATATTTCTGTACTGCAACTATCAGCGCCATCATGAGCAAGGTCTAGCCCATCTACTGGCGAGCGTTCTGAGACAATTGGCTCAATCTCAGCCGGCTGTGCCCAGTGTCTTATTGAGAATGTAAGACGAAAATAGCTCCAAAAGTACCAGACCTTCCGTAGAAGAGCTTTCCGAGGCGCTGGACTCTCTCGCCAAAACAGGGGGCATCTCAAAAGTCTTCGTTGTGATAGACGCTCTGGACGAGTGCGATATATCAAGCAGAACATGTTCCAAATTGCTGGACGATATTTAAACTCCAAGCTGCCTCTAACGTGAATGTTTTTGCAACTTCACGGTTCATACCAGAAATTACAGAAAGGCTCAGCGGAATGCCAACACTTGAGATTCGGGCGAGCAAGGAAGATGTCTCGAGATATCTTCTCGATAATTTGACCATCCTACCGTCCTTCGTGTCAAGAAACAAGGATCTACAGGAAGAGATATCGGAGGTGCTTCCCCTTCGTCTACGCGGCTTCCTAACGGGCTACATTAATCTGTCCTATATAATGGGCCAGTTCATCCAGACCGGCGTGACGCGGGGGTTCATCTCGTGGACGAGTGAGTAGGCCTATCGTATCCCTTTCGCTATCTAGTAGGTATAGCCTGTCGTGTTGCTGGCCGGCCTAGTATATGTTCCTGAGTCCCCTTAGTGGTTGATCCGATAGAATCGTATAGAAGACGCGCTCAAGTCCCTGCGTTAGCTCTCCAAGCCCTATCCCAACATTAATCTCTAAGAAACCCTAGTAATAATAGTTAAGACTAATATCCTTAAGGCTTAGTTAGATATCGGTATAATATATACTAACTACTAGAAGGGTATAAATCGTCGCCGTATAGAAATATGCGTTATGCTTTTTGTGATCTAGAACTTCTCGGGAAATCCTGTCGGGTTCGTAACGTACCTATTCGAATAAACCGGTCTTAATAGTAAATAGGCCTTCGATATAGGCGTTGGCCTAAATAGCGTAGGATTTGTTAGTACTTTGATATCCTCTATTCCTCTTATCTACTTTAGCCGGCGCTCCTGCTACCTATTTAGTATTACCTCTATTATTTCGATCCTCTTTATTATTATACTCCTTTACTTCGCATATAACTACGTAACAAATAACGTTTATCGTTAGATATAGTTAATACTGCTGATTGTCCTTAGCTTCGTCTAGTAGATAACGCTTAGCCTATTAACGTATATAGTTGTCTGCGAAACCCCCTCCACAAAATTGCGGTCGAAGACTATCGCTATAGCGACTACAATCGACGCACTTACCGGACTAGTCACGACTGTCATCGGGCCTTATCTGCTTAATCCCGGGGCTGCTAGTGCAGGAGTCAAGATAGAGTTCCTTTACGGGGGGATTTCTGTCTTCTCGCTAACTTGGTGTTACTTCAGGCTGCCTGAAACAAAATCAAGGACATACGAGGAGCTGGACCTGATGTTTGAGAAAAGGGCGCCAGCGCGGAAATTCAAGAATTATGTCATTGAGGGTATAGACGACTAGTTTGTCAAAGAAAATGGTACACTACTCCTACATTGGGATTAGGCCTGTATATCAGAACAGCGTTCATGCGGAATATGGTACCGCCCCCAAGGCACACTCAGGGTTAGCTGCATAGGCTGGGCTAGATCAATGAAGAGAAGTTAAAAATGCCGAGACTCATATTCTTCAATATTTCGGCACAGATTTGGAATGTAGGAAGCGGTCGACTTGCGCAGGGAACCCAGCTCCTAGGAATATCTTTTTTGGAAGCGACGGGAGAACGCATTGGCGGGGTATTAAGGAGAGCGGAGCCTAGGATAGAGGTCAGCGTTAGGTTTGAGGCACGTTATAACTGGTGCTTTGCAATGAGAGCAATTTCGCACAGAAGCGGCGAAGTGACTTGATGTAGTTAGAGATCGTACTTTGTCCACCAAACCCCTGTCCCTTCATGGCTACTCAGGTTGGGGCCGTTTTCTCAGTCAGGGGTTGCACCTTCTGAGCAAACTAATCCCGTCGATAATCTAAATACTACCGCGCAGAGGATTTCCCCCGATTGTGTTCCTCACTCCTGTCACAACATGGTCTTCAGCGCTTTCTGGCAAATAGCAATACTTCTCATCGAGAGCAAAGGCGTCGCCGCGCAAACAACCGAAGTCGGAGTCCTACAGCCGGTTAAGGACTTCTGGAACCCATTTGTGGGCAGTGTTGTGGCAACAAATGGTTCATTGACCACTATTGAAGTGAATTGTCTGGCTAGCAGCGCAACCTCCTGCCCTACTTACGTCGCACTCCCCTATTACCTGACCATTGGTCCCAGTACACAGGGGTTATATGGATGGACCACCGCACTGCCGTACACTGAATCCAGTGTTGTCTACTACGCCAAGAGTATGACACAACAATGTGAGATCACCTCCATCACACAAGGCGCCTCATGCAAAACAACAGAGAGCGAATTTTGGTCTGGTGGGGACACAACCACAAGGTCATCCTGGGCGATAACCTCTTCGACTCCAGCTGATAGATTAACCATGGCCACTCTCACGGTGAACGGCGGACTACAGCTTCTCCAGAGCCCTATTTCGAGTCCTATTCCAACTATGATCACGACTACCACACACGGAGGACAGACGAACAGTCTCCCTACAGCAGCCACCATGATGTCTCAAGAAGAGTCGTCATCAAAGGCTTGGATTGCAGGCCCTATCCTGGGAGCTTTTGCCGGTGTTTCCTTCATCATTGGAATGGTCATTTGGCATATTAAACGGAAAACCTCGACCCGGACGGTTGAGAATGTTCAAGCAGGACCACTCGATATGACGCAGGAGAAACCTCCAAGCCTACCGGAATACAAGGCAGAGCTACCAGCCCATGATCTGAAACGTCTGGATCCTGTGGAGCTTCCTGGTGATGGCATTTATGAGGCCCCTGGAGTCAGATCTGAAACAGTCTGAGCTGTGACATGCTTAGGCAACTCGCTATGGAAATGGAGCAGATGTCTGTTTTGTTTATTTAAAACCCTGAATCCCTTCAATGAGCCAAGATATCGTTTTATTTGGTTGAAATTCCATTATTGGAACAAGTCTATGATGTCCTCCACACCGACGGTTGATAACCAACATATACCCCAGTACATGAACAAGCCGACCCTCGCTCAAATCACTCGTCGTCTGATTGGCCGACCTGCTTGTGCACACTCTGGTCCTCCAAAGGTGCTATATTATGGTGCTTTTCAACTGATGATCGGAATTGCTTTGGCACAGACAGTGCCTTCCGCGCACCCAAAGCGGTTCCCGCTTTGGGTGCGTCCGCATTCCTGATCTTTTAGTATAGAAATCGTCAAATTTACCACCCAACTAGCTAATTATCAATTAAAAAAAAAGCTCTCCTACCTGCCTAGCCGCTTCCACATTTGCAATTGCCCGCTGAATAGATTCCTCCGACCGCTGTGTGGGTTCGTAGCCATACACCTTCTTGAACTGCCTAGCTAGCTTCCTTTCCTCCTTGGCCAAATCCTCCTTCTTCCTGGTCTTAATCGATCGATTCACATCGCGTGTAGTCAATATACCAGTTTGGCTAAGCGGCTTAACCTGTCGCTTGGTGTATTTTCGACGTACTGGGGTTTGCGCGGCCTTCATACGCTAAATTGTAGAGTTTATTTCATCTCGGATATCCCCACCCCTCTTAAGGAGATACTGTGCAATGATCGGTCTCAATCGAGTCTCAATGTTCTTCTGTATATGCCACACACATAACAGAGAGATTGTAGTAGGAAGGATAGTAGCAAGAGCGGCTAGTAAGCTCTTTGCATCGTCAGAAAAGATAGTGATAGGAAGAGGAATCGAACGCGTATACAGGAGATCTCGTAGGGTCTCTAGGACCCATTGGTAAGCAGATTCTCTCTCATAAGAGACGAAAGCGCATGCAACATAGAAGGTTTTGCCATTGGCTGACCTACCAACGATATTAACCATAGGAATTTTATGGCAATTCGTCTTATATGTAGCATCCCGCATCATCGAAAGCTCCTCCGCCATTTCCCGCTAGTGCGCCTCGGATGTTATCATCTCGAGAGTTATGTGTGTATGAGTATCCTTCGCTGAGTCGAACTCGGATGCGAATTGTTGCTCGCCCCAACAGCGACATATTGCGCTGTATGCCCAAGAAGACGTCACATATGCTCTCGAATATTCTCTTTTTGCGTGAATGGCTGTCCAGTATCGCGGCTATATTTGGGAAACGGGCACAGCAATGACTTATCGGGTTGAATGCCTGCCCATCGCTTGGAAGGCTTTAAGCTGTTGCCTACACTATGTGTCATCTCATCTACTAAAGAACTAATCGCCCAGCCAGTCAGAGCGCTTCTGTTCCTCTCAAAAATCTAGCGACGAGAGAAGTCTGCCTCGGCTCTTCTCAGAGGTTGTTACCCGTTGAGGATAGACTCGGACTAGCCGTCGCCTGCTTTGTGAAAGCATATGTTTCGTACATCGGATTTGTACGGAACCGTCCGGCCGGTCAACTCATTTTCCTTGTAAGTTACTCCAGCTGCTAGCTATGTAACAAAAATACAGGTCATTATATTTCCAAAGAAATAGGAAATAATTATGCGAGGGAAGTTACGTTCGTCATGCAGGATGGCTGTACTCCGTCCAACCTCCCTTTTCACCATGGTATCATTTTCGATTGTGAATAGTTAGTCGTGTCTATCTCTGTAAAGCCAAAACCTGATCTTTAAACAGCGAGAAGAAACCAGCAAGGACCTCTCGAAGATAATTCGTCTTCTCTCACTAAGCCCGATCAGGAAACAGTAGAGAAACGCGTATTGGTATCGCACCAGGAGCAATCGTGGCCCAGTCTTTTAGTAGTTCGAGTGACGAAATCATGCATAGGGCCAAATATGGCTGGGCCCACACCAGAATCCAACCGATGCCACTTAAGGTGCTATGAAGTTATTTCTCCCTTTCCGCGCTCAAGTCTACCCATCCACTCCTATCCACTTTCTGGTGACCTTTTGCTTTCGAACCTTCAATAACTGCTTGAGACTACATTTAGATACAAATTTCTCCAAGTCCACGACTTTACTAGCCAAAAGAGAGTCGCGAAAATGGTTCTTCTTAAGATCGAACTAACCACTAGTGGCTTCACAATAGAGCGAAATAGCATCTTCAGTAAATTTCTTTCTTATTCTGTAAAGATGATTCTGCGTGGACTTCGTGCTAACCCTACATAAACGACAGCTCATCTACGCTCGAGTACAGTAAACACCTACTTGCAACTCTTCCAATAGACGCTCGAACATCACAAAGGTATTATCAAGATATTAAGGGATTATGTCTAATAAGTTCCTTGTAGGTAGTATAAAACGCTCCGAAAACAGCGCTAAGACCATCGACCGCAATATTAGATGAGAAGAGTTCCTAGAACACGTGCAGGTTCCTACCCATTTCCGAGAACTGGATTGACCATCAAGTGTACGGAAGAACTACAAAGGGGTTTGGCCTGTATGAAGACGGAAACGGGCACGAAGGATGAAATTTCTTGAGGGGGCTTGCGCTATTTTCTACGCACTATAATGGCATTTTGACGCATCTCTTGGCAGCTTCCAAACCGTAAAGAAGTGTAATATTTCAGGTGGTGACCAAAAATGATCTATTCTTGGACGTTAGCCCCAAGCAACCCGCCGTGGTTTATTTAGGTCATGTGCAATGCGCTATCCAGGGTGCAGCCTATTAGCCTGCTATCTACTCCAGTCCAAGGCCTTTCATTACAAGTTGCTACGTAGAATCCGCATTATGAAGTATCATGGCAGATTGACTCGGCCATTTAAGGGGTTCTTCCCCCGCTCACTCGCAATTTCTACAATTCCTCCCACCCATTGAATGTTTTCTGTTTTGCCATTGAAATTGAGTCGAACTTCATTCTATTCGGTCGACCCTTCAACATGACCAGAAGAAATCAGCAAGATAATACGACCCCATCTACCCCTTCCCATGAGGCATTAGGCGGGGCAAAAGTATCGCAGCCAGAACCTAGGGTATGTCGTCGTTGCCGGTAATAATTCATCATAATGCTATCTCTTAATCGCGTCTTGAGGCTAATTCTTTGAATGTGATAACAACTTCGGTGGATGGCATGTGAGTAAATATCAAACTGCCGCGTCGATCCTCAGTTTCCGAACCGTGATTCTAACATTTTATCTACGTAGGTTTCTGCTCGCCCAGATCTATCTAAATTCCTTGGCCGGCAAACGCTCACCCAAGGCAATTCGATCTGCTTTGAACGACCTTTCCTCTGACATTGAGAAATACGAGTCTGCATACGATGATGCCATGAAACGCATCCAAAAATGGACAGCTCCCTGACCAAATTGAAATGGCCATACAAGTTCTTTCATGGATCACTTGTGCCGAAAGAACACTCACCACGACTGAGCTGCGGACCGCTCTTGCTGTGGAGGTTGGTGAACCGGAATTTGACCCTGACAACTTGCCTGACCTGACCGATATGATTTCGGTCTGCACAGGCTTGGTGACAGCAGACGAGCAGAGCGACATCATTCGGCTGGCTCATTACACCACGCAAGAATATTTCAAACGAACTCACGCCACCTGGTTTCCAAGAGCGCATCATGATATTGGAAGGATATGTGTTGCATACCTATCGTTGGCTGTCTTCAAAGCAGAGCCTTGGTTGATAGAGAAAGAACTCAAAATTTCTCTGGATTGTGCGCGTGATCCTCGTTCACAGATCCATATAAGTCGACTCCTGCCTGAGTATCCTCTTTTTCTGTTTGCTGGTGATTTGTGGTGTGACCACGTCAACGCCAGATTGCATGATGATGACTTAGAAGTCGGCCACAACCACACAATTGAGTTTCTAAGCGACATCTCGCAGATTTATTGCCGTACGCGAGTCCTCCTGTGGCTTGATTCGCCTTCGTTTGCTCGAGACTCTCACAATCCCGAGACCTACTATTTCTTCGGTAACGATCGATACCCAATATCCAGCTCGCGGCTCGCCACCGGTCTACACCTCGCTGTCTGGTTTGTAATGCCACATATCGTTCAAAAGATGATCTCACTGGGCTGGCCAGTAGACGCCAAAGATGTCCGGGGGAGAACACCATTATTTTGGGCAGTCTACTTTGACCTCTCAGATATAGTGTCTTTACTACTGGAGCATGGTGCTGATCCTTGCATGAGGGATCAAGATGGTAACACGCCCCTACTTCAGTCAGCTTCTACCGTGTCAGTAAACTCGATCACGATAGCCCGCTTGCTGTTAGAGAAAGTCACCAAGCGACAGCTCAAAGGTACGCGAGAATGCACGCTCTTGTGCCGTGCAGCTTACCGCGATTAGACAGCATTGGTCGAGTCATTTCTCACTTATGAGTCGTGCGAGAGCTACGAGCAGCAAGAGTTGAATGAGGCGTTACTCAAAGCGGCAGCACGTGGATATGATGGGGTCGTTCAGGTTCTTCGGGATGGTGGCGCTGACCCAGGCGCTCTGATCAGACGCAGGCATTCCGACGAGAACAAGCGCATGTCCATACAAACTCCACTTCTTGCCGCAACCACGTGTGAGAACGAATCCGTCGTTAATCTTTTGTTGGATTGGAATGTTGATCTTGACGTCAAGAACGGATATGGTCGCAGCGCCCTTTCGGTTGCTGTATTGGATGGTCATGAAGAGATTGTTCAACTCCTATTGGCAAAGGGTGCTGATACTAATTCGCAGGATGAGTTGGGCCGCACAGCATTTCACTGGGCTGCTAATCGATACGATAAAACCTTGTACTTACTTTCTGATTACGACCCTAATGGGCCAAACCAGAGGGATTTCTACGGCCCAACGGCATTGCATCTTGCTTCAACCCAGGGCAATCTCCGTGTAGTGCGTGCCCTGATTGCCATGAGGAGCACTGATTGTGACATCCGAGACAACTTTGGTCGCACTGCGCTTTGTGATGCTAAACGAAGGGGTCATCATGACATTATCAAGGCTCTCCAGAATCCGGCAGAGAGATTGACCGATGAGATCTCTGCTGTTCAAATTACATGTCCACAGGCCTGGACTGGTGTGGTATGTGATGTCTGCATGGGTTTCATCCTATCCGATGAGACTTGGTATCATTGTTCCTTGTGCAGAGATGGGGACCACGGCACATGTGATTGGTGTTATCAAGTCGGGGCCACGCTGTTCGAATCGCGAGCATGAACTGGAACAGCGCAGCGAATTACCAACCAACTGATTGTGAGAGCAAAAATCAAAGCTGCAAGCATATACATACTGATTATGAGCAAAGTATCTAAAGGGAAGTATACAAAGGCCAAGGGTAGGAGATCCCTTGCACACAAAGAATTGTCCTGTTGAGTGCGGGGGGAGATCGGCTCCATCGGAACCTGGCCGTAGCCGCCATTCCACACTTTCCGTCAACATCGTCTGATGTGAGACTAGCCTATATATACATAACTGCCCGAACGGTTGACTTTTTGCAATCATTGATTGAGTCTTTGAGAGTCACATTGTGATTGCGGTGCAGACGATCATCTCCACCTTCCCATCATGTTCAACGATATCACGAAGCCTCCGCTCCCGCTGCCGACCACGCAGCTAACCGAGCTCGAGCCGGGCCTTTCAATTGTGCTACCCCTCTCACGCCGAGGTAATGGACCAGGTCTCATTATTCTTGTTCCGGATACAGACCAGTCTCTAGCGATTGTCGATGGTGTTCCATCCCAATTGATCAAATGGGCTGAAGAAGGATATACCGTGGTCGAGATCCAGAGGCGGACCCTGTTATCTGGCGCGCGAGAAGCGCTCACAAAGGCAGCTCAAGCGCTGGAAGACTGCGAGAAATGTGATCCGAAAGATAAAGTTGGCTTGATAGGTAACATGCTTCCACTCTAACATTCTTTGCCATGCTTGCTGCTCCCAGCGCTGAAACACTTTTAAGCTTACGATCCTGAGCTATGGAACTACGTGGCCCCCGCCTTATCGTCGGTTCCGACGGTTCTTGGAGGAGTCGTCTATAGCCATGTATCTGACAGCTCGAGCTTGGAACCTACGGCCATTCCAGTCCTTCGGCACCTGGCTGGACAGAAGCCAGCAGCGGCAGAACAGCAGGATCTCGTGAAAAGCTTCTATTATCCCAACTCCAAGTCGCATCTCTTTGCAAGCCCTTTCCAGGAGTCTTTTGATTATTGGGCAGAGTCCATCTCCCATACTCGCACTTTACAGTTTCTCAAGCCTATTATGAATGGGCCATACTTTGATCTTGAGACGATCTGGGAAGAGCATACTTACTACGAATTTGCCGATCGTTCGGTCGAGCACACAGTGAGCACGATGGTAGACCAGCCATACGTGAACCACGTTCCAACGGTTGGTGACTCAACCCACGCAGCCGTAACTTTCGGAAAGCTAACGGTAATAGCTAACCGGTGGTATTGGACGTGAACCCCTGGCAAACTTCTATCGGCACAGTTTCATCTTTAGCAACTCGGATGACACCGATCTGGAGCTTATTAGCCGCACTCTGGGGATCGACAGGGTAGTCGACGAGTTTATTTTCAAATTCACCCACGACAAGCAACTCGACTGGCTGTAAGTTAACAAGCAGACCATTCTCACGTTCTAGTCTTCCATGTGTCTAATTGTTACAAATTTCAGGCTCCCCGGAGTTCCTCCAACACACAAACACGTGGAAGTCCCATTCACAGCCGTTGTGAACATTCGAGGGGACAGATTATATCATGAGCATATCTCCTGGGATCAAGGGTCGGTGCTGAGACAAGTTGGATTGATGCCAGAGTATTTACCATACCCATATGCTTTACCAGATGGCAGCACACCAGCCCCAGGCAAGCAATTTGAGTATCGCGTCCCGGTGGCTGGGATTGAGTCGGCCGAGAAAATGAGGGATAGGAACTCGGTTGCATCCAACCAAATGTTTCAATACCGTCTTCGTGAAGTTTCAGAGTGATAGTTCATGTGTTCAATTACATTCGGCTTCGTCTATGAACCCGATAATTCTATCGTCCATAAGGGATCATATCGACCACTTACGAAGTAGGAAATCGGCGGGAAATTGACCTATCAAGGTTAGCGTAACGTATGCGACTGTCTCTGTTTGGCAATGATGACATCCATGTACAATTCTGATGAGGTTCTATTGTTATTGTTGACTGCGGTGGCATTCCGATGCCATTCCGCCACGGCGCAGCAGTTTCCCCGCACGGATTTAACTTTGGACCCAGTCCGACGCAAGGGACACCAGTTTTTAATCCAAAGTGATGATTGCCTGAATGAGAAACACCCTCAAAGCTCGAACAGCTCAAGCCTAAATGAGCACAAAGCAGCAATGACCAGGAAATTATCTACGCATGAGATCTCCCAACATGCTGGCTCCGAAGATGCCTGGATCGTGGTCAATGGCAAAGTTTACGATGTGACCAAATTCGCACCAGAACACCCTGGAGGGGCAGAGAGTAAGTCAATCTTCATCTCAAGATATGGTCCTGGTCTGATCGAGTCAGTTATCTACCGATTTGCCGGTCGGGATGCATCAAACCCGTACAATAGTACCCACTCGCCATCTTTGATCAAGGAGCTTGACGACCGTGTTATTGGTGAGCTGGACACCAGCACCATCACAGAGGAATGGAGCAAAGAGGGGCAGGAGCCAACAAAATCAGTCAACTCGGCAAGTGTGGCATACCAAAGGCCCGATCTTGAAGATATCATAAATCTAGACGACTTCGAACATGTCGCCATGAACACGCTCAGTCCTAAATCGTGGGCTTACAACAGCGGAGCGGCAAATGACAACTTTACACGAGATGCGAACCGCTCCTTTTTCAGACACATCTGGTTCCGCCCAGCTATTATGCGCAACGTATCAACTGTCAATCTCAAATCTACCTTGTTTGGATGTGATCTCGACATCCCCATCTACATCTCACCCGTCGGCGCTGCAAAGACGGTATTCGAAGAGGGCGAATTAGCACTTACCCGGGGTGCCGCCAACTCTGGTATCCCATATTGTCTCTCTACCATGAGCTCGTATTCTTTGTCGGAGATTCTCGATGTAACCTCGAAACCAGTGTTCTACCAGCTCTACATCAACAAGGACCGACCCAAAACGGAAGCGCTCGTTCGCATAGCCCAGGAGTCAGGCAAGGTTAAGGCACTCTTTGTGACTGCTGATTTACCAGTCATGTCGAAGCGAGAGGCAGACGAGCGAATCAAGCCAGAGGGAAATGCTGTTCTCATCAAAGTGACCCAAGGCAGCAAGCATATCGGAAAGAAGAGCGCAGGACTGGCAAAGTCTAACAGTTCTATGATCGACTCTAGCTTGAACTGGAATGATCTCAAATGGCTGCGAAGTATTACTAATCTTCCGATTCTCGTCAAGGGTGTGCAGCGTGCCGAGGATGCACTTATGGCGGCGCAAGTTGGATTTGATGGAATCGTGATAAGCAACCATGGAGGTCGGGCGGCCGATACTGCGCCCCCGGCTATACTTATTCTTCTGGAGATCCACCGTTACTGCCCAGAAGTATTCGGTAAGATGAAGGTCTTGGTGGATGGAGGGTTCCGCCGTGGTTCGGATGTCGTGAAGGCTATTTGTCTTGGTGCCTCGGCCGTGGGTCTTGGAAGGCCATTCCAATATGCTCTGGGCTATGGACAGGAGGGGGTGGAGCATGCGGTTGAATGTAAGTTTGGCTATCGACTTTCGATGAATACGACTGATTCCTCGATAGTACTCAAAGAGGAAATACAGACATCCACGCAGCTGCTGGGTATGACGGATTTGATGCGGGATGCTTGTCCAAAGTACCTGAACACGGCAGGAGTGGAACACTTGTTGCCACCGAACTACCCATCTCAACAGAAGGGTTTCCTTCGGCGTCTCATCAAGTTGTAAATACCTAATCTCGGTTCTACAACGTGGTCCCTTTTCATACGGCATTTACTGAGCGGTAATATCCCTTCAAGTGCTGTCAGGTCTGTTCAAGATAAATCAACGCACGCAATATGCAATATAGTCATATCTCATAAAATGCAAATCCTTCATGCCATAGACTCTCCCCACGAGACCCATCGTCGCACACACTCATCAACTCTCCGTAGTGCTTCCTTCGCCGCCTCAACCTCAAACCATTCCCGATGCTCCTTCCCACACTCACCACATTGACCAAGATCGCGCACTCGCAAATCCGTTAGCTCAAGGTGAATCAGCCGTTCCACACGATGGACATGCGGGACCTTTCTGCCTGGTAGGAGAGATGCTGCTGGACCAGCATTACTACCAGCCCGTTGTCGAGAGGCGGGAGTCCTCGCTGGAGATGAGGATGCAGACGAAGGTGTGTAGGGATAGTAGCGGATCAGGGTCAAGTCATGAGAGCACTGTCGAGTCCACTCGGCCAGTCGACGGTGCACGTTGCTCGTGCGGCCGATTTTCAATCGGATAGATCCGGGCGTAGTTGATGTTGGATTGGTTGTTAGGGCGTTGAGATCCCTGGCTGCGCGCAGAGCATCGCTAACGCTACGAGGCCGAGGTGGTGGGCGGAGATTGTCGTGGGTTTGTGGGGTGGATGGTAGGATTGCCGCTGCGATATCCCTTGGAAGTGGCGGGTGTGCATTTGTTGTAGTAGTTTGAGGTGTCACCCAGAACATATAGATATAGCCCTCATCATCGGCACTAGAGATGGGTTTGGCTAGTTCTGCGAGAAGTGACGATGTCGTTTGGGGTGAAAGTGATTTGGGAATCCATGATAGTAGCGATGGGGTGTGCGAGGACGACGAGGACTGTCTGTTGTTGGGTAGAGATGGCCGAGTCGGTGTCTGTGGAGCAGATAATCGCTGTCCATTTGAAGACACTCTTATCTGCTGTGGGCGTGGATTTGGACTTGGCCACTGTCCATATCGGTACTGTTTTTGAGGCATGGATGACTTGCCCGGTGCCGGACGAGTTTGCACAGGTCTTGGAACAGGTGCTGGCGGCCTATGATCTTCACCATCGTCCACGATCTCAAAACAGCAGAACGTTCTCCTTGGACGACGCTTCTCACTTAAGCCATACTGGCTTGGCCTCTGATTTTGAGGCCTTTTGCTATGAGGTGGTTTATCACTAATCTCGAGGACACCGAGTCTGTCCAATAGTGTGTCGATGCTAGTCCTAGGCTTAACCGGACTGATAGAGTCACTGCAAGCGGTAGCAGAGGACACTGCTTGGTCCTTATGCTGCCAGCAGTACAAGGATGCCATGTCGGGCACTCCATGTGGAGCACCTCTCTTTCGAGGCGTCGAAGCTGGCGATGGCGTCGTAGATGAGGCTAAAGCGCGGCGACAAGGCCGGCCTTGTGTCGTGATACCTCTACATGTGGTAGCAGGATTTCGTGAATCTGAGCGAGGAAGCACAGATTCTGGTGTATGTGAAATCCGAGGCATGCGCAGCTTTGAGTGGGAGAAAAGTGAGATCTAACTTGGCAGAAGATGGAAGTAGATCTAGTTTGAAGAAAGCACGAAGAACCTGTAGTGATGAAGCTGGCTCAGGGCTGCAGGGACTTGAAGCCGCCCGGTATGCGGTGAGATGCCCAGGAATGCCCTCGGAGCCTCGCAACTCCACTTGGAGCAGGTCCAGTCCACCACTGCCAGGTTCAGGCGCCAAAAGGGATGTTATTTTTATTTTCGTGACATACACCGCCTCGTGTGGCGGTGCGGCTACGCCTTCCAGGGAAACTTGTCAACAGACAGCTAGCTTGAGAGGATTGAGTGGCCATCCACTGTTGAATATATCTGTGAGAGATAGCCCTGTATACCAACAAAGATATTTGATTGATGTACTTGAGTACTCATATGGAGTTCAGCCACAGTCTCGAAACGCGGATGAAGCCCAAGCCCCAGCTGTAGATGAGTCACGTGCTACATTCACCGATCCTAGTATAGTCGGTTTCTAGCTGGATTATTATTTCGGCACTTGATAGTAGTTGCGGAGTATGGGTCAATGTGCTTGCTGTTATGCAACTACCTAATAGATTTGGAAGTGAGTTTCTATACAACCTCTCGGTCATGCCCCCGATGGCTATCTTGACCAACCCTGGGATTTGAAGTCGTGGAACGAAGAATATCTAGCCTGGCATTAAATAGAAGCATCAAGTATCTTGTCTGGTAGAAGGCCTCATTAGCTGTCAGCTTTGGGCACATTTGCCCAGCATACGTCCGAAGTATAGGCCCAATTCGCCCGAAGTAGCGGGTTACAAAGAAAGGCAGTAAAGGCATTGGCAGTATGGCGTTCAAGCTAACGGTCACGAGACTCAAAACACTGTATCGATGCTAGTACCAAACACAAGTCTTGGGCTTAGATTTCCTTGGTTTCCTTGGATCCCAACAACTTCTCCTGTAACCTGAGTGCAATTATTTGCGCTAGCTGAGATATTATTATTGACGCCTCCACAGTTGCAAACATGACAACGCAGCAAAGTGGGCCGGTGGATGAGACCTCCGGCTATTGTCGCCCTATGAGCAACCTCGCCGCTTGCAACAGAGACCAAAGGCCACTCACACGACCGGCCCGACTGTAGCCACCACCGAGCTCGTTATCAAACCCGCCTTTATCTTCGGCCTCCCCTCCTTTTGATTCCTCCTTTCCCCGCGAGGACCGTCGTCTTTTTTGCGAGAGCTCCGTTTCTCCTTCCTCCGGCGCGCACATTTCCCCCCGCGACTGTGTGTTCGGCGTCCATGCTCTTCTCTCGCTCGATTCGCCTGCCTCGGATACCCCTGCGATCGTTTAGTCCCCTCCAGCCCTCAAGGTTCTTTTCCAATTCTCGTCCTCGGTTCATTATCGACATGGGGACTGTGGATACCACCGAGCGCCTGTCGCAACTGCGACAGCTCATGAAGGAGCACAAGGTGGATGTTTACAGTATGCTGCTTTCTTGTCATCTCCACTATGGAGAGCATAGTTACATACTTCAAGACCTTGGCTAATTGATTTTTCATAGTCGTTCCCTCTGAAGATAGCCACCAGTCCGAGTACATTGCGCCCTGCGACGGCCGCCGAGGTTAGCGATCGCCCAATCCTTCCGATCTTTTCCTCTTGTCTAGCGACTCACAATTTATTCAATTGCAGAATTCATTTCCGGTTTCTCTGGTTCCGCTGGTACTGCAATTATCTCCTTGAGCAAAGCTGCCCTCTCCACCGATGGACGGTACTTCAACCAAGCCGCGAAGCAACTGGATAGCAATTGGCACCTTTTGAAGCGGGGCATTGAGGGCGTCCCCACTTGGCAGGAATGGTATGGGCGATACTTGTCGGGATCTTGAATATGTACTGAATGATGCGACAGGACTACGGAGCAGGCTCAGAGTGGCAAGACCGTGGGTGTTGACCCCTCTTTGATCACGGCCTGTAAGTGGAATCTCTTCTTCCAGCAAGTGTCGTAGCTGACAAATTTTGATACTTAGCTGGCGCACGCAAGCTTGCAGAGACTCTTGAGAAGAATGGGTCGTCCCTTGTGGGAATTCAGCAGAATCTGGTCGATCTGGTCTGGGGTAAGGACCGTCCCTCCCGGCCTCGTGAGAAGATTCGCGCGCATCCGGTCAAGTATGCTGGCAAGCCGTTCCAGGAGAAGGTGGCGGAGCTGCGCAAGGAACTGGAGACGAAGAAGAAGGCCGGATTCGTTATCTGTATGGTGACTCTGCTCTCAACCTTGACGTTCGCCCGCTGACTGCCAATGACAGCTATGCTTGATGAGATTGCGTGGTTGTTCAACCTTAGAGGAAGCGAGTAAGGAATTCGCCTCAAACAGAGTGGATATGGATATCTACTGACGCTAAATAGTATCCCCTATAACCCCGTGTTCTTCTCATATGCTATCATCACACCAACCACGGCCGAGCTTTATGTCGAGGCGGACAAGCTCACTCCCGAGGTGACTGCTCAGTTGGGACAAGATGTGATTGTTAAGCCATACGATTCCATCTTTGCCGATGCCAAGGCCCTCAGCACGGCGCGCAGCCAGTCAACTGAGGAAGCACCTAAGAAGTTCTTGCTCTCTAACAAGGCCTCTTGGGCCTTGAGCCTCAACCTTGGTGGAGAGGAGCAGGTTGAGGAGACCCGCAGCCCTATTGCTGATGCCAAAGCTGTCAAGAACGAGGCTGAGCTGGAGGGTATGCGCGCGTGCCACATTCGCGATGGCGCCGCCTTGACCAAGTACTTTGCCTGGCTTGAAAATGAGCTGGTTAACAAGAAGACTGTCCTGGATGAGGTCGATGCTGCTGACAAGCTGGAGCAGATTCGTACCAATAACGAGCTCTTTGCTGGCCTGTCATTTGATACCATCTCTTCTACCGGTCCCAATGGCGCGGTGATTCACTACAAGCCCGAGAAGGGAAGCTGCTCGATCATTGACCCCACTGCGATTTATCTTTGTGACTCTGGCTGCCAGTACCTGGATGGAACCACCGATACCACTCGGACTTTCCACTTTGGCCAGCCTACCGAGTTTGAGAAGCAAGCATTCACTCTGGTTCTGAAGGGTCTTATTGGTATCGACACCGCCGTGTTCCCCAAGGGCACCAGTGGCTTTGCTATTGATGTTCTGGCCCGTCAGTTCCTCTGGAAGGAGGGCTTGGACTACCTTCACGGCACTGGTCATGGAGTTGGCTCCTACCTGGTGATTACCTGAACAGCTGTATATTTGGTATTGATTGCATGCTGATCTTGAATAGAACGTCCACGAGGGCCCCATGGGCATCGGTACCCGCGTTCAGTACACCGAGGTTCCCATTGCTGCCGGAAACGTGATTTCGGATGGTATGAATACACATTACTTTGCAATTCGATCCTAATACTAACCAATGCTACTAGAACCTGGTTACTACGAGGATGGCAAGTTTGGTATCCGCATTGAGAGTAAGACTTGTTTAACTGCCCTCACCCTACGCATACTAACAGAATCGTTTATAGACATTGTCATGGCCCGTGAGGTCAACACCCCCCACAAGTTCGGTGACAAGCAGTGGCTCGGCTTCGAGCACGTTACTATGACTCCCATTGGTCGTAACCTCATCGAGCCATCTCTATTGACTGATTTCGAGCTCAAGTGGGTGAACGACTACCACGCCGAGGTCTGGGATAAGACCCACCACTACTTCACTGAGGATGAGTTGAGTCGGAAGTGGCTTGAGCGCGAGACCCAGCCCATCTCTAAGTAAAGTATTGTCTATAGCCCGGTTGTTACTTAAATTGAGGGACGGTATGAGGGGTTTCGCTGGTGCGAGACGGAGTATCACTTTGTTCATTAAACTTGGATACCTCGATATACAAAATTCCAAATCTGTCGAAAAGACCCCGTCTATGCGTGCATGTCCATTCCAGTTTTGACAGTAGATGTTGGCGGGTGCCTGGCCTCTAACATTGTCAGTATGCGTTTAATTCTTCTTGTAAAAGCCTTTTATAATCCGGCAAGGTAGTATACATTGAGTTTTAGCTAAGTGCAAGTCCCTTCTCGCACAGATAAGCTAGCCTCGTTGTTATAGTTATCCTTTCGTTGATTCTGGCCACGAAATGCGGCCCACGGCGAGCTTATGTGGGCCCTCCGAACACCTGGAACTTCCCCATCCCGCCCAACGCTGTTTGGCCATTTCTCCCCCGCGAACATTCTCTCATTGCTGTCCCAAGTCGGTCCTCAATCGCGCGCATAAGGATGGTCACTATCACTTCCACACAATCGCAGCGCACAAGCCACAGTACCTGAAGACTAGAACACACGCCAACGCACAACCTATCCGTCCCACGCCCCTTGTCGCAGCTGACGAACAACTCCCAACTTGGTACCCGCACGCTTCCATACCGGTCTTGAATAATTGGGAATGAGTGGAGGAAGCGGCCACGGTTACGGCTACGGGGTCTCCGGTGCCAGCCGGTATGACACCGGCAATGGTGGCTACGGCAATGGCAACCTTGGAGCGAATGGTTACAACGACCGAGCCCCCGGGGGTACAGGAGGCGGGGCAGGAGGAGACAGAGGAGGGAATCGTGATCGCCGCCCCGGTGGCTATGGCGGATTCTATCCAGAGTCTACACAGCAATCATCTCTCGCACCCCCAGTTCAACCATCCCCGGAGCGCCGACGCGATCGGGCAGATCGGGATCGACAGCAACAGCCACCACAGTCTACTTCGCGGTCACGGACGAGAAATGGAGAGGTGGATAGGAGATATCAGGGTGCAAGGGATGATCGCACCCGCGAGGCTCCGCGGTACCAACAAGAGAGTCAGAGTCGAGATATGAATGTTCCTGATGCCAGGGTGGTGCGGAGCGATACGACTGAAATGCGATCTGTGGAAGGTTCGTTTAGACATCGAGCGCATTTATGCCTGCTGCTACATGCTATAAATGGGGTGATGATTGCTGATTGTGTGGGTTCTAGATGTCCTCCAGTCGATTCAGCGTGATTGGGATTTCATGACCGACGCCGAATGCATTCCCGTGCATGTCGCCCTCAGCCTGATGGATACAAGCACATTAGGCAAGGCAGACCGAGAGCCGGACTTCCAAAACATGTATAACCAGATTCAGCAGACGCTCAAGGCAATCGTGAACGAGCACCATCAGGGCTTTAACAGTTCTATCGGAACGTACCACATGATTCAGTCCAATATCTCGAGCTCGCAAGGACGAGTGCGCAACCTGAGGAACTCCCTGGAGGAGGCAAAATCAGGGTTGTTGTCCACGAAGCCAGAGCTGAAGGGGCTGGCTACTTCGTCGCAGAACTATGACGACATCTTGCAGCTGTTTGCTCAGATCGAGGAGATTCAGTCTCTGCCGGAGAAGCTCGAGTCCCGCATCTCCGATAAACGGTTCCTTGCAGCTATCGAAGCTTTGCATACTGGTCTTCGGTTACTGCGGCGCTCTGAGCTCGAAGAGATCGGTGCTCTCTCCGACATTCGTGCTTACTTCAATAATCAGGAGACCTCTTTGACGGATATCTTGATTGAGGAGCTGCATGATCATTTGTACTTGAAATCTCCATACTGCTCCGACCGTTGGAAGGCTCCTGCCGGGGAGGGAGACATCAACTCCAGCACTTGGACAGGGAATCGCTCATGGGAACGCCCCGTGTACAGTTTCTTGGCCAAGTTTGACGCGACAACTCCAATGGTTGAAGACGCGTCTCGCAACCCTGAGGCAGACACCTTCTCATACATTCAGCTGCTGATTGAGGCATTGAACCGGATGGGCCATCTCGATACTGCTGTGGATCAAATCGCGCAACGTCTTCCAGTGGAGCTTTTCGCTGTGGTCGACAAGACCAATGCCGAAGTTGACGCTCGCTATCCCACTCCGAACCGAACATTTTCGTCCCATGATAACCAGCTCAAGTCCAATTTGCCAACTGAAACTATCGAAGAGCGTGGTCATGTACTGACCGAGTTCCTGTGGGCTCTATATGCGAAGTTCGAATCTATTGCAGAGGGCCACCGAGTTGTCAATGATGTGATTGCAGCAATTGTCGGACGCGAGGGTGCTACTAAAAGGGACACCCTCTCTGGTGGATTCAAGGAATTGTGGAAGCTCCTGCAAAGTGAAATTCGATCACTACTCCATGATTATCTTGCCACTGATGGACAGACATCTTTCAGATCGAGGGCTGATGAGGCAGATGCTCGGCGGCACCTCGCTGGGGGGAACAGGGATAAGAACAAAAGAATGTTCAAGCTATCCGACATTGAACAGAGCTCAGAAATGAAGGTAGAGCAAGATGAGTTGGATGAGATTCTCCAATTATCTGTTCCAGGTCTGGTATCCAAGACCCGACAAAAGACGTCTGCAAACGATGCTTCCCCCTCGAGGCAAGGCAATTCAGGAACCGGCCATAAAATTTTGCTTGAACCTAGTGTCTTTAATATGAGACTGCTTCTCCCGCCGTCATTATCCTTCATTCAGCGTCTCAAGGATATCGTGCCTGTCGACTCGGACATCTCCATGAGCACACTGACATCTTTCCTTGATGACTTCCTGGTCAACGTCTTCCTCCCCCAGTTGGATGAGACTGTGACCGATTTGTGTACGCTGAGCTTTATTGCTGCTGACGCGTTTACGGAAGACCCGCAATGGACCAAGGTCTCGCCGCGGCCTATTTTCAAGGTAAGTCAAACGATCTAACAGAATATCACCAGAATTCTAACCAGTGTTTCAACCTAGGGCACGGTCAAGTTTATGTCTATCGTACGAGAGTTTAGCAAGATGTTGTCGAGTATTCCGCATGATCAAGCATTTACGCAGCTCCTGATCGACCAGATCGTGACTTACTACGATAAGTGCTGCGGGTGGTATAAGGGTGAGTAGCTATCCCACCCTCCACTACTGTTGAACCAAATTTTAACAAGATATCAGCGATGGTTACCAAGGTTTCTGCAAGAAATCATGGTGGCGAAGTCCGATTGAAAGCTGCTGCTTCATTTGCAGAATCTGGTGACATCCGTGACGTCGTTGAAGAGCTTTGGAAAGGAGCCGGTGCCAAGAAACAAACGCTTCTAGATACTGTAAGATGCCCGGAATCACATGGATCCATGAATCAATCCGTACTGACGACGACAGGAAATCGATCTTCTTCTCAAGCGAACTGACCAGGTCCCCTTGGAGCGGTATGATATCATATCAGATCCGAAGACGGTCGTTGCACTTTCGCTATTGTACAACAGCATGGTGAGTACAAATCGTTCATTTTCATCCCTAGCAGCCCCACTTCAGTCGCTAATCAATCCAACTACAGCAATGGCTTGGAAGCCACCTTTCGAAGATCAGACTGATTGTCGACTCATCAACGGAGGCAGATAGATCAGTTTTGACAGCGAATGGTCGTCCATCTCGTCGATGGACTCTATTTGGAGCTATGAAACCCAAGCGCGACAGCATCAACATGCCTGTATACTTGCCGCTGAACCATGAAACGGCCACAGCGTTCGATCAAACTCTCGAATCACTGCATGGACTTGGATCCAATGCTCTTCTGACAATGCATGTTGACATCCGCTGTGGCATCATCCACATGCTGACGAAAACCATGTCGGGACCCAACCCGCCGACTGTGCGGAACTCTGTACCCCTGACGCCATCTCCCGGCACAACCGAGAACTGGTGGCATATTCTCCTGAATCAACCGACTGCTGCATCACCTACGATTCTGCAGTTGAATAGTGATCTGATCGGGTTTGATACTAATATTTCCACCTACTTGGGCCCCGCTGAGCACTGGTTCATTGCATCTGGATTGGCGCGTTTCATCGATAGAGTGTTTGTGGCATGCACCCGCTACATTGGTGCCATGAACGAGAATGGTGCTCTTCGCCTACAGCTGGATGTACTTGTTCTGCAGCAGAACTTGAAGAACATCATCATTGACCCCGTCGCGACGGAAGGAAACGAGTCGACCTCTCAGGAGGTGGTGGCGCTGCCGAGAAGTGCCAAGTTCTTGGACTGGTTCCTAGATGGGGCGGAGAAAGCCCTAGACTACGCTAAAGAAGAGAAAGAGGCTTTCGCAGCACAGGGCGATAAAGCTCTGGCCGCTGGCAACGGTGAACCGTTCACCTATGACGAGCTCCGAGTTCTTGTAGACCTGTGTTTCTCGGAGATCTCTCGCGGGCCTCGGGGTGCCGAGAGTCGGGAGGACTTTATGGCAGCGAAGAAGGCCAGCGCCGATGCGTTGTTGCGCCTGAATGAGATCATGTGGGATGCGCGATAGTTGATTATTATTTTGCTTGCCGGACCAAGCGTTGGACCCCTTTGTTATTTCTGCCATCATTCTGTTTACAATTTAGAAAGTGGTACTGTACTCCGTACCTTTGGACCCTACGAATCATTTTGGCCCCAGCTTACCATGCGCGACGTCGAACCAGGATGCTAGTACTGTGTCCTATCTTAGCCTCATTTCCACTTCATCAATTTCTCCGAGCTGCGTCTCCACTCCAATCAACTAACGCGGACTAAACCCGGTCTGGCACGGATCGCACCTTTTTCGGCATCTTCCGAGCATCAGACAAGGCGCGGTGGATCCACGCGTGTTTCAAGTATCTCGACTTCATTTCTCTTAGTCGCTCTAGTCGTAAATTATGTGACCCCTCCAAACGGTTCTAGATTGGTGGGCTTATTATTGCACCGAATTGCAAGATGATTTATGATGACCAGATGAGCCCTTTCCGACCCTTTCCTCTTGTTGTTTCTCCTTCTTTTTTCAAGCTCACCTGTCTGCGACAGCTGCCATTCTTTGTAAAGCCTGGGATTTGATATCCAGACGTCCATTCTTTCTAGCCGGTTCTTTGCCAGTAAACCGTGCTTTCAATCCTTGACTCAATCGCTCAGGATCTGCGACGCAGAATTGCACTTTTCGTTTTAACGTTTGATATACTTCGTTCAGCCGGACTTCTGAAATTCGATTCTATACAATGAAGTACCAACGTCTCGCTTCTCTTGGCGCCGTCCTCTTCGGCGCTGCCGCTACCGTCTCTGCTAAGCACTTGGGCGGACGTCATGAGCATAACCAGTGCCCCAAGGGCTACACCGTGTCCGTCTATACTAGCTATAGCACTGTGTACCTGACTTCCACCTCTTCGGCTGCCCCGGAGGTCTCCTCTACTTCCTCGCCCGTTGCTATCGTGGAGACCCCTGCTCCTGTTGAGACTACCGCCCCTGTTGGCGACGATGCCACCTCGTCTTCAACTACGTCGTCTACGCCCGTGCAGACTAGCGAGGCTACAGTTGCTGCAACCACGCAGGCCACGGTCGCTGTTGTCGCGGAACTATCAACCGATAATGCCGTTGCTGCCGCCACTACTTCTGCCGTTTCCTCTACCTCTATTGCTCAGGCTGCTGCCAGCACCTCTTCTTCTTCGTCTTCTACTTCTTCATCCTCGGGCTCAATCTCCGGAGAAGCTACTTTCTATGGTGGCAACGTCGCTGGTGGAACTTGCTCTTACTCTGGCTACACCCTGCCCAGCGGTCTCTTGGGCACCGCCTTCTCTGGTGCCGCCTGGGACAATGCTGCCAAGTGTGGTGCTTGTGTCGCTGTGACTGGACCGAAGGGTAACACCATTAAGGCTATGGTAAGTCAAGATATAAAGTTCCCTGAATGCGGCCGTCCGCTCCAATCATACTAACAACTCTTAATTAGATCGTTGATCAATGCCCTGAGTGCGCCGCCAGCCACCTCGACCTCTTCCAAGATGCCTTCGCCGAGCTCTCCGATATCTCCGCCGGCGTAATCGACATTACCTGGGAGTACACTGCCTGCGACCTCTCCGGCCCCCTGCAGCTGAAGAACAAGGATGGTACTTCCCAGTACTGGTTCTCGATGCAGGTTGTCAACGCCAATGAGCCCGTCACCAAGCTGGAGGTTAGCACCGATGGTGGCAGCACCTGGCAGAGCACTACTCGCACTTCCTACAACTACTTCGAGCAGTCCTCCGGATTTGGTGTGGATACTGTCGATGTTCGTGTTACTGGCGAGTCTGGAAACACCGTTGTTGTGAACAGTGTCGGGTGCGCTTCCGGCTCCGAGGTTACTGCTTCTTCTAACCTGTGAATCTGATGTATAGTAAATACGGAAATTCTTGGAGTATTATAGAGAATTCGAATTCTATGTAACAGGGTCTGACAATAGTAGGGCTGTAATCTCAAATATAAGAGGTGCAAATCGCGCCTTGTAGTCAATACAGTCTTCTTGAGGAATCGGCATGTTCTGATAGCTGCCGAAGGATATTTTGCTGCTTCTCGAGGGTAACATCTGGGAGAAGAGACCCTCGTGTCAAGAGTTGTCTGCATTCTGCCCAGTCGAGAAAGGTAGGATTGCACGCGGGTATCTCCAGAGTCGTGAGGTCTGCCTGTAGACGAAGCAAATTGGGTTAGTGGAAGAGATACCTGTGCGGTACCTGTAGTGTGCTCGCGAATCTGTCAGATCCAAAGGACGAGGCGTAGGAGGACCAGGACACTGTCAAACGTGAGCACCATATAAGGCATCAAACCAGAAAGAGCCCTCAGGGCTCACTGCAATGATGTGAATCTCCCAGAAGCTCGCAAAAGCTTCTCATACAGCCTGCAAGAAGAGATTCTCGCCACTTGGTGCCACTTCCACCCAGATCATGATATGGGCGTGGCTTGTACCTCGCCCTCGCCCCTGCAACTCGCATCGACGCCAGAGATCCTTGATTTTGAACATCCGTTTGGGGATATTGACAATCTGTTGGGATTCGGTAGTGGAACCAATAGGTCGCGATATGAGGGTTGTCACGGAGTTCTCTGTTGCAGTGCGGATTCACTGTGAACTATTTCCCTCACGCCATTCCTGATACTGGGGGAAGTGACGCAGAGATCAACCCGTTGTAGATCAGCGGCGGAGTGAGTGACGAAGATATATGCATGCGCAGCATCAAGGTGCTCTAGTATAGCCTCCAATTCACGGCGACATCTGTACCAATAGCCTGTCTGTCAACCCAGACAAAATTCAATCCCGAGTTGAGTGTGTCATTCACCCTTGAGGACCCCGAGAACTTGTATATAGTTGCTTCCTTATGGTTGAAGAATAAATGTCCAAGGGCTGGCCTGTTTGTGACGCTTCTTGACCGCTATACATCCGGGATTATATGCACGCCCCCAGAGACTGTTGTGGAGTTTTGCTTCGGTGTTAATCACAGAAGATCTTCATAGGAAAAGAAACGGCGGGCCCTTTCGATGTTGATGCGAAACTTTCTGCTGCCGGTACTTATTCCCTGCCTGTCAGATAAGCGCATAGATAGAGCACGTAGTCTTTTCGACACCATGAATATACGTACTGGCAAGGTTCCAATTTCGAACCCTCTGTGTTTGAATTCGCACTTTGAAACTTGCTTCAAGGCTCTTGTAGGACTGCGCGTGAAATGACTGACAGAGCCACGTATGGGTGAGATCTCTCTCGGTGAAGGCATTCAGCATGAAGGGGCTAAAGCCCTGGCATGGACCGTTGTTTTGCATGCAGAAACGCAAGCACGACCGACTACCCACGAAGAAAGGCATTGTGGGAACCAGTGCCAGAGAGGGAATTTGACTAATGGTCGCTGCGTATTTCCAATTCTATATCGATCAACAGTTATATATAGACACTTGCCCGATGACGCTTGATGATACTCACGGTAGCTCTGGCTTGCTGCACCTCGCTGTAGGACCACTGCCAAGCCTCACAGTATGCCATGTCCCTCAACTGATATTAAGCCTGTGTCGAAGGGGCACTAGCCCTGTGATTTCCACAAAGAAATCACCAAAATCGAGCTGGTCAGAGAGAAATATGGTGGATCCAGAAGCACCAGTCGCGGTGTGTAGCTTGCGACAGCTCGTACTCCCTATTGCTAAAAATAAAGAAAAAGCTGCAAAAAAGGTACTCAGAAGATCTCGCAGAGCCTTACAGTGAAATCAAGGCATCGACGTCTCAGATTGAAGCTCTCAGTACCAGGCAGTGAGAATCATTGAAGGAACGAACGTGTTGAAATACATGAATTGATATGCAAGGAACATGACAATTGGATTCGAAATCTTTTCACAAGGCCTCGCCCTTTTATCTAATTCATCGAAGGGAGGAGCCGTTCAAGGACGGTAGTCGCTTCCAATGGCCGAGTTTTCTCGATGGAGAAGCCCAGTTGCGAGGGAGTTATCTCGTCAGAATGGAACAGGATGGAGCCGAATGTTGCGAACTATTCACCACTCTAGAATCCAGTGTGTCCCTGGAAGGAGAATTGGCCATACTCCCAGGGCAGAGGATGGCCATGCTCCGAAGAAGAGCGTCTTGTTCGCCCATCTTACCCCTTTTGTTATATTTATGTACTTGCTACATGAAGTGGGAGAATCAAATGACCTTGATACCAATATCTTACGAGGCACGAACGCGTTACGGAGCAAGAATGCCGCGAAAGTCTGTATCACCCACCGAAGGTGAATTGATGTGGCGGCGTAAAATACAAACCTCAAACACTTTACCCTCAATCGACTTACGAGAACCATGATCGATATAGACTTTGCGGTATCAGAAGGCTTTCCGTGCCACGACGACAGATCGTTCGACGGATATTCTCTCCTCTACATGCGAAAACACAATCGGCAAGCCTTATGGTCTCTGCGGCCTGAGTTATAGTGGACCCTTCTTGACCAAATCCATTAGACGCTTGTTGCTGAGTCGGCATTCATATAATTCCAGCACATCTCCTAGCCCGAACTAACGTTCATTCGGTTTCCTGCAACCCCGGCGGTGCCCCGCCTGCCGAACCCAAAACATAACGGCGGCTGGGCTACAGGCCAAATAGTGTTTCGGAACCCAAACCCGCAATGATCGGCGAGTGGTAGTCCGCATGGGATACGGGCCAAATTCGCCAGAAAGGGTATCGCAATGTTGTTATGATGCCGCCTTGGGCGATGTACAATGTGTAAGGCAAAATGAACCAAAATATATACCCCGCAGATGCCGTATAATATCCTTGATTTCATTCAAAATTTATTTAATTGCTACAGAGATCAAAGAAAATGCGCTTCTCTATCTCTATGTTTCTTGCTAGCGTCTATATACGCACCTCCTTTAGTGGCACTCTCGAGGTTATCGACTATAATAGCCAATGCCTTATATAGTCTAAGGATAACCATGGCTGCACTAGATATTCTGCATCTTTTGCCAAGCTCGACGGAGATGACTGTTCAAGTAGGCAATTGCCTGATCGAAAATTAAAATATAGTATTAACGAACTTCTAGAGTTGAGCGAAGTCATAAATAGTGTCCGCAAAGACTACTCTGTGCTTAACGTAGACGCTTGCGGCACGGCAAATAGTCTACCAGCTGCATCGATCGAGGTGAAACAGACTAGGCTGGTCACCTTCTTCAATCAGAATAGAGACGAGTCGTCGTGTACGCTGAGTAACGGATTGAAGGTTAGCAGCTTATGCATTGCGTCCGACTATATATCCGAGCCTTCCACGAAGTCATCCTCCGCTCTAGTTTCACCTACAGCTCTAGTTTCACCTACAGCTTCGTCGGCTCTGAATCCGTCCTCTATTTCCCTGCTAACTGTATCTACTTGTGGTTGCTCGGCGGTCTGATTAAGTATAGAGGAAATTGTGAAGATAGGCGACATTCTCAGGAACCGAGCATCTCGTCCACGCTCTTAGAAGACTTCCTGGCTTACCGTTATCTTTTAACGTTGTTTCCGTTTCTGTACCTTCTGATCTTGACAAATCAAGTATAGTCTAAGAGATATTGAGGTTTTCATTTTGTATATGAAGTTCCCTGGAATCGATTACTGATTTAAGCCGTTATAAGTACTGCTATATTCGAAAACAGATTCCCCCACGTTCACTCACAGAATGTTTCCCGAACCCTAGCTTGAAACACGCTAGTCTGCATTTAGCTTAGCCCTAGATCTCCCTTTTCCAAGACTGGTGACGCGCGCTTCGCAAGCTCCGCACGCCGATGCCCTGAAACGACAAGTAAAAAGGAAGGAAAGTTGGTACCCGAAAAGTGACTTTATTGGATATAGCCGTAAGGTGCATAAGAATAGAAGGTTTATTTCGTCCGAAATGTGTAAGGCCAGATTTTGTCGATGCGGCGCGCACCAGCACGATACCAATAACAAGGCGAGGCGAGAATAACTTCATGGTGAAAGGCAGTCATGAAGCTACCGACGTTATGCTAACGACTTAAAGATGGCAATATGTCACAAGGACATGAAGAGTCCAACAAGTACTCTCGCAGAAATTAGGTAAACTTGTCACTGTAAGTGAAGATTGCTACGTGAAGATAGCAGACTAAGAGTCCTTAATGGATGAAATATTAGAGCAAGGGGCCGCATGTACCGGATAAAAGTAGTACAGGAATAAAAATAACAAGACAGTGAGGTAATAGTCGAGTATATCGGGCCTGGTTAAATCTTAGCTCAAATAAAGTTCCGGAAGAAAACAGCCGAACCCGATAGGATATATTTGACAATAGAGGTGCGGATTGGACAAAGAACGGGAAACTAAAGTCGTTTCCGGTGGAAGCCTTTGTCCAATAACACTGAAAGCAATCTCCCAATAACACTGAAGCACGGCGTGCCAATCATCTCAATTTTGGTCCAATTTCGCCACAAATTTTGTATGGCATTTGGCAGCCTCTCGAATGTTTCCCGAAAATAAGGTTTCAAAAGTTGTCACGTGCGGGACGCTTCCCTTTCCTCTCACTTCGTTCGTTTCAGGGCACTGCAGGTAGAGAAGAAGAAGGGAAGAGAAGCAGGTTAATGCTCATCTAGTCTTACGCAAAGACATGTTAACAATTACAACATGGGCAAGGGTGGGAAGTTGATAGTTTCTTGTGACGATAACCATCAACGTGATTTTATTTTTGTTTATGGCACATATTTTAGGACACAGCACAGCTCGAAAAGGTAACCAACCATGAATAATTTTAGTCTCAAATTACTACTAGTACCCTCCATGCCTCGAATCTGCATCCGTATTCCTTGTCAAATTATACCCATTTTTGTGGCCCAGTCGTCGCGGCCCGTCTCCTCAATCAACTCGTTGACAAGATGCAAACGTCTGGCATATTCCCTGCGTGGGCCGTGGACTTTTATTCTGTGTCCGTGCAGTTCAGCCTCAGTTGCATAAATGTTCGCAATGGCTAACAAGCCAACCGAGCCCATCAAAAGAGCCAACAGCAGGATCTTGCCAAACTGTGTAGCATTACTTGCCAATGCCGCATCGAGGTACACCATGAGTGTGGCAAAAGCTGTCACACAACTTTCGCAGAAAGTTGAATCGCGAAGCCATTGCCCGGAGGTTACGGCTTTCAGGTCATCAACAGTGCCTCGTATCCTAACCCACCTGTCCTGGCTAAGCAGAACAAGTAGATCCCCTTTCTCGCCTGGTTCATTTGCCCCAGTCCAACCGATCTGCGCTCTGCGACGGATGATGATGATGTTGCACAGTCGTGCAAACATGAGGACAAAGACAACTGACAAGCCCCACCAGTCATGAGATAGACCTAGCAGGATTATGACTACCATAGCCCAGGACACAGCCATTAGGTAAGCAAGACTGGATAATAAGGATGTGGTGCGAAGTGAGGCGAATGTTCCTGGAAGCTTATTGTACCAGTGGGCGTTCGCATGAAGCCTAGTAACAGACACAGGTGTTAACTGGCCTGTACGGCCAATTCGTTGCAAGTAGTAAACCATAGCAGGATTCTCAATACGAAAGATGTAGCCACTGGTTAGAGCAGCAGTGGATGGGTATTCACCATGATTCAGTCCCACGGCTTTCTGCTGCGTGTGGATTCCAGGGCAGATGACAAGGGTATCGAGGAGGACTGATGTTCCTGTGAGAGCAGTGCGCTGCTGTATAGTTTCAAGATCTGCTATTGCAACAATGCCAGCGGTGTCCAAGGAGATTTTTGGTGTCGCGGGTAGTATGGGAAGCTCCAAGCCCTTCTTGGAGAAAGTTAGCCGGGATGATGTGATAAGTATTGTGTCGTTACACACATCCGCATTGATATACATGACGAAGTTTTTCCTGGCTTCCCACCGAGGAAGCAATACTGATGCCCTAATCAATGTTGAGGATCCGAAGTAAGAAGTCGCCGTGGGAGAGCATGAGAAAGTAGCCAGAGAACAATAGACATAAAATATACTAGCAGGACCACAAATGAGCACTCGAGCAGACAAGGCATTGATTGCATCAGCACTCTTAAGGGGAGAGGATACGGAAGAAATACAGAAAGCATGTCGGCAGCATTTACCCAACAACCGGTCAGCGGATCAACTGCAACGCTATGGAATCATATCACGTTAACACGACAGTCTAGGAGGGGTCTAGCCCTTTGGTATATCACAAGGCTATATTAAGTTGGTTTTTGACAAGCTAATAAGAATGCTCCTTGTGCTTTTTCTGGCCGTGTGGGTCTCCGAGCCACGGAAATCCGTCATCACTCAAACTTTGTTTTGAGTTGGACCACATTCTCGTCGTTCCGATGAATCTGGTCATCTATTTTACGGTATGATTCCTTTCAATACACATAACATTTCCCGATGTGTCAGACAATATTATTTCCCAATCACTGTTCTGACAGCTTGGAACCTCGGAAGGTCCCGAGTTCTAGACCACAGTGGCTTCCATACAGCTGTCAAGCCACCACCCAACATTGGAGAAGTCCAATCAAATGATAGCTTTGAACTGTTATGATTGATGAAAACAGGTATGGATAGATCGCTTGGAGATGAGACGGATATTTGGCTCAGAGATTCTTGACCCGTGAGAAGCACTTATCTAGAGAATGACGCCCAAGCAAGTGTTTCAGTTTCTCAGGCAATTCATTTTTCTTTCAACTACAACTATTTATCCTTCCAGCTCGCCAACAACATCGTTGACCGAAAAAAATATCTTCTTGGTTGTCTCTTGTCCAGTCATTTCGCCCGTCATTTAGAGGCGTCTACCGGGAAAATGTACATTCGGTTGTACAAGCAAATTTCCGGAGTATACCTTTTTTAGTTAGTTTAATTTATTTTTATTTGGGTATACACCCATTGACATCATCCATAGTAATGACGCAGACCCCACATAGTATGACTGTGGGGCGTTTCGACTGCCATTGGAAACCTCGTTAAATTTAAGGTCCGTTGATTTTATCCTGAACGTTGGGTATATGTCTTGAGCCTTAGACAAACGTAACGGAGAGTTGTCCTCTTCCCCACACCTGGCTTTATCCCGAACAACAAGATCTCCTATCTAGTCACGACTGGTCTAGCAACATGGGAGCAAATAATAGCTCCGAAGTGATACCTTGCGATACCCAGGATCGGAAAGCAGACAAATGTGAGGCCTATCTATACTGCCCACTATCTACTACAACATGCATTCGCACCTTGGAGATCTTACCAGAACGTCTCAGCACTCCTAATGAGGTTTACTGCAACATTACGGAAGTAAACCTGGAGGATGAACCCATATTCGACGCGCTATCGTACACCTGGGGCCCTGCTCGCACTGTGTATCGATCAAATGAGTCTTTGCCGCAGGAAGACGCGTACCATCGAACGAAGAATGTAATCTGTGATGGAAAGATTTTGAAGGTGACCGAGAATTGTTTCGCCGCACTCAAGCAGATTAGATCCATGAAGGACATGAATGATGAACGCTTAGATGGTCTAATTGAGAATCGTCGGAATGGACGACTCTGGGTAGACGCTATTTGCGTCAATCAATCTGGTGACCAACAAGCGTTGGCCGAGAAGGCATCGCAAATTCGAATTATGGATAGAATCTACCGACAGGCGCAAACGGTCCTGATTTGGCTTGGACCGGAAGATGAATTTTCAAGAGACGCGATTTTGTGTTTGAGATTGATTGCTGATCGTCGACTTTTGGAAAAAGCGCCCGAAGTCCGCCATTATGCGATTCAGGCTGAGGAACCGTATGAACAGCTGGACATTCCCTATATCGATACCACTAAATGGCTCGCAATCTATGCCTTCTTACATCGAGCATACTTTTATAGGTCCTGGATTTCGCAGGAGGTCGCCTTCGCCCGGAAACCTGTTGTCATTTGTGGCACACTTGTCTTTCCTTGGGAGGTTCTATCACATGCAGCGTTGTTCCTGTGTATTGCTCGTTGGTACCCTCAGGTAAATGATATAGCTAGGTTATACTTGGAAGGTGAAACGGATTCAGAGGTTGAGGAAGAAAGGATGAATCGCACATATGCTGCGCTCGAGGGTTATCAAACGCTGAAAGAAAACCCTTTTATGCGACTGCTTATACAGTCGATGGAGAGAAGCCTAAACCAATACCCGCGCCGCAATATTTCAGCAGGCTTTTTCAAGGAAAGTCAACGAATAGAATACAACCCAGCGGTTCATATCCTCGAACTTTCCGATCTAAGGTTCAAACATACCTACTCCGAGGTTCAGGGCTATGAACTTGTTGAGCCGCTTCCGGTTATCTTAATGAAGTGCAGGTTTGCAAAGACCAGTGAACCACAAGATAGCATTTATGCCCTCCTTAGCTTGGCATCAGCGCCAAGCTGGAGCGGCTTGTCAATTGACTACACACGGCCTGTTTGGCAGTCCTTTTTGGACGCAGCATGGGCCATGATCAGGTCTTCTGGTAACGTGAGGCTGTTCTCCCTAGTGGAAGACAGATCACTTCGAAAGGTTAAGGGGCTACCGACCTGGGTCCCCGACTTTACCACAGAGCGGAAGCCAGACCCATGGGATGCTGGAGACCCCTGTCCATACCGCGCTGGCGGTGAGACAGTCTGGAGGGAAGATATAGCATGGCACATCCCAATGCATATCGTCGTCCAGGGCCTTCACTATGATACTGTGCAGAAAGTTCAACGGTTCGAATGCTTTAATCTGAGCAGCATAGCTGAGCTGAGTGAATGCCTGTCAAACATGCCGTTCGACCATATTTGGAGGACACTCGTCGGGGACAAATTTCTCAGGCAATATCCTGCCCCAGATTATTGTAATATTCTCTTCTCCAATCTGCTGCAATCATACCTACGGGACAAGAATATGTTGATGTATCTGAGAGTCCGAGGGCTTCCGACACTTGCAGACAAATTCCTTGAGGCGGACAGAGACTTCCGGTCCGCATTTGCTTCATGGAATAACCTCCAAGGTTCAGACATATTGGATCACGGTCTTCTGGAAACCCATGACATAATAAAAAATGGCCTATATGATCTAATTCATCTCCCGCCAGGCAGGAACCCATATCAAATAATTGGGGCAATAACCGGCGCTTTGGGAGAGGTTGTGCGTGAAGGTACGTATAAACCTGAAACTGCCGAGCTCAATTCGAGGATCAGAACAGCCCATCAGAATCGGTCACTCTTTCAATCACAGGATTGCCGGCTAGGTCATGGTCCGATATCAAGCCAGCCAGGGGATGAAGTGTGGGTTTTGAGGGGCTCCAGAGTTCCATACATTCTGCGACCAATCAAGAACGATGTGTATGAACTAATCGGGGAGGCATATATGCATGGAATAATGCAGGGTGAAGCCATGAGTGAGAATCAATTGCAGTTGAAGTCGATTTGTTTACAGTAATTCATCAGCTTTTGGTACCAGCCTACGTGCTATATGTGTTTTAATGCAGCTCCTGTCTTGTGCTAGTCCTGCCTTCGCTAGCGGCGCCGCCTCTGTACGAAAGTCATCAAATCCAATGCTGGCGTGGCGGTCGCTCTTCTGGCAGCGCTCTGAGCTCTCACAGATCAGTGAAGTAAGGGGTGGGAATAAGCTACAGCGAGTTATGGTTAAAAAAAGAGAGCTATAAAATAGGAAACAGACAAGCACTGAATGTAAACGTGCGAACGAGACAAGACAAAGCCGTAGAGCCGTAAATGCTAAGACATAAAAAGCGCGGAGAAGCGAGCGAAGGTAAGCCTAGTGAGGACTCCACAAGTCAGCGGATGACCGAGGCGAAGCGTGAAAGTATGTTAAGCCAATAAGAGAATTACACACCGAGGACGAGCCAGTCATGGATGGGAACGGTATAGAGTGCAGAATGAAGCCCTAGAACCCTAAGAGCTAGGATAGATGGAGAAGTCGACAACAAGGACGACTATCGAAGAGAGGTCGAGGAGATGGCCGGCTTCGACAACGGCCGCAGTGAAGATCGTGCGAATTTGCAGGAATCGGAACGCGGCAGCCTAAGCAGGGACGGTCTCGACTAGAGGCGGCAAAGATGCTAATCGACAGGCAGGGCACCGCGGTGGTTCGATGGTTGTAGATAAACGAACGTGGCGACCACAGTCATAACAAGATCGACGAGCTAACATGCTGTGTGCATTTAGATAAACTGATTACTGTAAGTAAACCTGGTTAAGTACGGGTAGCAGACCGAGGATCGCTAATAGACGACATACCACGCGAAGGGGGCGCTTTGTACAGAACAAAAGTAGTACTTAGCAGAAGGAAATATAGGAATGAAACCCTACTAAAATCATAATTTAGGTAATTTCTCCTCTATGAGGTAATAGTCGAAGATATCGGGCCTAGCGGGAGGGCGAGGAGCTGTGCGTGATTAAAGTTACGGAAGACAGCAGCTAAAGCCGATTGGAAGTGTTTGAATCATGGTAGCCCAAACAATAGAATAAAACCATAAAGCTTAGTAACAGCAACCATTGTTCTGACAGTGGTCTGAGTGTGCTCTCACATGTCAGTAAACCAAGGCTTAGGAACAAGCAAAGCTCTAGAGCCATAAAAGCTAAGACATTAAAAGCGCGGAGAAGCGAAGGCTAAGTCCATGGAGGACTCCACAAGTCAGTAGATCTCCGACGCAAAGCGTGAAGTAAGTAGCAGTGTACTAAGCCGAAAAAAGAGCCACACAACCGAACCGAGCCAGTCAACGATAGGAAACGTACACAGAAGCCAAGAATGAAGCCCTAAAGCCCTAGAACCATAACAGCTAAGACGGATAGAGAAAGCAGACAACCAACGAGAACACGTCTTGGCGGCCAAAATCGACGAATCAAGCGGCGAGAATCGGGGAGGGTTTTGCAGTACGAACGCAGCCAAAGTTTGCGGGCAGCTCGCGGAGGGTAGTAACCCCTTCACTCGTTCCTCGTTTCAGGGCAATAGATGTCCGTTTTTCTATAACATAAAATACTGTATCTTACGAGAAACACGTGAAACGCCTGCAACCTCATACCCCTTCCCGGTGTCTGCCTACCTGGTCGTAGGCATTCATTCACTCAGTGTGTGGAGTGTAGCCCGGGGTGGTTCGCGCAACATGGCACCGAGACTAGCCCCTTCAAAGCTACAGTTTAATCGTGATATGGATACAGAGCCAGTCTCTAACCACGTCTCAAATGGCTGAAGAAGCTGAATGCAGCGAGCGTACAATCAAAAATGTTCGCAGAAACTTGCGGCAGTTTGGAAACGTCCACGCGCCCCCAAATGGAATCGGCCGGCGACGAACCATAACGCCATCGATGCTAGAAGCACTGTGCGAACACTTAGTCGGATGAGATCGCCGACTTCCTTTGGGATGAATTGAAAGCTATTCCTCTGGCCATTCACTAGGTGTTGTCACAATTGGCTGGGCAATCAGGGTCCAGAACTCCGCCGCGAAAGTATCAGATGCCTCCGACAGCCATATGTACCAGTCATCAGGGGATGTGCCATAGCTCATTCCAGTCACACGCAATACATCGCCAACAAAATCCCTTTGAACATCCCCACTGCTCTAAGTGCACCACTCGTTCGTACCAAATATATCCAATTTCACCCTAGCAGCTTTAAGATCATTTAGCCAGGCTCTAATAACTGAATTCAAGACTCCCGTATCAACGCACGGACATTGAATAGACTTGGAAAATGATACTTGCCACGCAAGAATTCCCTCTATAAATGCGAGAAATAGAGTTTTGTGGTCAACAACTAGGTGGATATCTATACCAGCGCGCAAGATATCGAAGAAAAGGTTGCTCTATGAGTCGCGAAAGGTTTGTTGGGTTGTTTGGTGACTATCTGACAAGTATCTCACGAATGTCTGGTACTTATATGGAAGGACAAGATGCTGCCTTCGATGACACCTACTCAAGGCAGTTAGATCTCTGCCTAGTTGTTTTGCGATACAATGAACGAGCGTCGTTTCTCTCGAAGTCATAGGCAAATAACATTTCGTTTGAAGTTCGTTGGCTTTCAAAGGGTCTGTACCAAGAATAGCACGGATTAAAGTAGGAATATGGCAAGCATTTGAAGCGTCGAATGAAATTCGAGCAGCCACCTCCACACAGGTCGCCTGCGGCATTTTGTAGAACCAGGGACAGCAGTGTTATTGTAAAAATCTGAATTCCTCATCCGATCCGTAAAACTCGGATAGTACCCCGTTGACCACATCTTGGGGACTCCCATAGACGAGGTCTTTTGAATTTTTGAGTAAAACACGTAGATATGGTAAAAGCGGATAGTCCTCATTCGATGGTGCGAGCTTTCTAATCCATAGAGCAAGACGAAGGGGTGTCAATCGGCGTGGATAATCTTCGATAAATGGATCTGCCCCTTCATTAAGAAGAAATTCCACAACCTTTTCATTCCTATCTCGGCAGACTGCATCCTAGTGCTCGTTAAGCATATGGGTGACGGAATTTTGAGTGATTGGAAACTTACATAGAGCAGAGTATGGTTTCCATTTCGGTGAAGAGCTGAAAGTTGCCCTAAGGCAAAAAGATTCCGAAGAATTTCTATCTTCCCTTCCCTGACTAATCTGTCAACCCCAGCATTCCAAGGAATTTCAGTGTAAGTTCGGAACGTAAAGTCCTATCCGCCAGAAGCTTGTATGCCACATATCTCCAAAACCTAAGACGATATCCAGTATGGTAAACTCAGACGCTAAACAGAACTGCTTTTTCGAGCATCGCTCTTTGTTATTCTTTTCGACGTTCCGGCTGGCATTCCCGTTATGTCTAAACAACAATCTGCAAAAATATTAGCTCAATCTAATATAAGCAAGTAATAAAGAAGACCAACTATGCGATTTGGAATGAGCCTTTATAGTTTCTGTCGTTGAGGAAATAACATCACGCTCTCTTATTCTCTCCGCAATTAAATCTGGTTGGACTTGAATGAGTGCTCTGCATATATTAGCCCCGGTCCTTGGTTCTACATCTTGAGTGTAGAGATACCTTGTATAACATTGCTGAGATAGCATTAATAAGCGGATAACGTTCTGCAATCTTGATCTATGTTTTTCTATTCTCCCTCGGCGGAACACTACCTTCGCAGCTTTATAGGACTTGCGTAGCCGGTTCGACGAATTAACGTCTTGCATGAGATCCTTGCACAATGCATCCATATCTTCAGCAGCCCTCTTGTAGAAGTAAAAGCTTTGCAAAGCGTGTTGACTGCCCTGAAGAGATGATGCGATAGGCTCTCGTGATATGTCCACCTCAATATCAGCCATTATAGTTTCAAAGACCTCAGCTTCTCCCAGAAACCATTGGAGATCATTGGATGTATCACGAAATTGGTCCTAGTAGTCTTTGAGTGTCCGAATTGACTTCCCAACCTGGACCACAAGGGTCGCGAATGTGACGGCACCTGACACTACCCCGATTACTTCCGCCATCGTGACAGTGATTGAAAAAATTGATTAGTCCGCCAAAATGGGAGTTTAATAAAAACAAATATTGCTTGTCTATGAAACTTTCCAACAATATTCGAGGGCAGGCGCTTTTTATTTATGGGGCAATGATTGAGATTAGGTTGTATGATTCGTTTCGCCCCACTGTTTACCTACGTTGCTATATTTAGCCCCGGGCGCCAAAGGAGGAGGGACGGGCTGACAACCAGTCGATTGGGTTCATTTAGCGCCCTCCATAAGGCCTTCATTTGTTTCTGCTTCTTCCGCTGAAGGAGAACGGGAGCGTAGCTCTCTCGTGCCATAGTGCCGCACAAGACCAGAAAAGCCCCGGATGCGATGGATGTTGAGTAGAATGCCCAGCGCCACGTCGAAAATACAGCTTGACAGGGGGTTTATAAAGAAGTAACTTGCTTTAGACTAGCGTGTTTCAGGATAGGGTTCGGAAAACGATCTGCGAGTATATGCGGGGGAATCTGTTTTCGAATATGGCAGTAAACAAATTATACAACAAATGATTTACAGTATATCAAGATGAGGAATTGATGTACTGGCTTGTACTGAGGATTTCCAATAGAATCAGTCCATTGATTAAGGTAAGTGTGGCTAAATACTCTTTTGAGTCTGTATCATCCAGTTGCGGTGTATTACGGCGCCATTTTTCCGATCTAACCCGAATACTATACGAATGCTTAGGGAATTGGATAGACGATGAACAGCCTATCCCACAAGGATTTAGCGGTATTTGACTACTCCTTCCGTTCGACAATTTACTTTATGTATAGTAACCGTTTTTTCAAGTCTGCCGTACTAACCCAAATTGCGTGCAACATCTGATTTATTCCTAGGGATATCCCTCTTTTACATAGACCTGCGACTATGTCTCAGATTCCTAGGCTGAGCGATTAGAAACTGAATAGCACTAGTACATAAAAAGACAGAATATCTCAAGATGACTAGTTACAGGGATTCTCGAATTTGCCTTGACCAGTTCCAACTGAGACTGTCTTTCTTGGCCGGGAGCCCCACTGCTAAGGTCTTAGCGCAGATCATTCATTGGGCCCGTAACAGAAAGTTGCCGTCCGCTGTAATGTGCCCCTTAGCTAGTACAACGACCATCAACGTGTAACCAACACTGAAAGTGTACGACGTATTCTTTCGGAAGGAGAGATACAATACTGTACAAGGCTTCATTACCTAATTGATGATCCACGTTAAGGTCTTGGTAGTGGGGCCAAAGGAGTCTCAGCGTGAACTAGGCAACATACTGTAATTTCGAGAATCCCTATACTGCAGTCTTCCCATTTTCCTTTCTATTGTTAATCTGAACTTTGCAAGATACCTGATTACCTATTTTGTGGACTAAATACAGCAACAAAACAGCTCAATCATACATGCCAGCAAAGCTCCAAAAGAAAAACCCACCCTAAACTATGCCGCTGTAAATATGTGCTGCCCCAAGTTTGCAAAAATTCCAAATCTTTGCAATATTGCCTTGATTGCGCCGGTCATAAGCCCGTAAATAACGGTAGTACTTATTGTTACAGCTATAATAAAAAATTATAGCCAGCTACACTACGGTCAAAAATTATAATTAGCTTCGTTAGGAGGGTGAATATACTAGATAGGAGATAATAAGAAATATCCTCCCCTATAAAAATATTAAAGTAGTGATTCTAAAGATAACGGTTGCAGACGAGAATATAAGTCTAAGAATATTAGCTAAAATAGACTATCGAGCGATAGACTGATATCTACCTAAAGCTTTGCTTCCGATACCAGGGATCAGGGTAGATACTTCGGGGGAAGCCTTGCTAAATAAATCGGTAATGTTGAAGGAAAATAAGGTACTTAGATTAGAATAATAGGTAGCCTTATTATTATATCCTTCACAATACCCTAACAGTCCGACGGAGTAGTAGCTAGAGAGATTAGATTTAAGACTACTAGAGATCTCTTATATAGAATTGTTAATATCACTCGCTGCCGTTTAGGCGGCTATAGAAGCCTATATAACACTAGTCTCTGTAGAGCTTATAATATTACCTCCTGTACTCGTGATTTCCGATATAACCGTAGCCGAGTCTAGGCCGCCGACCGAGATCTCTCGGCGAAGAGTAAAGTCAATAGTAGAGAACGAAGACAGGTTCACCTATAAATACTCAGTTTAATTCTCAAAAAGCTATCGCGTGGTATAAACCTTCATAAAATATAAGTTACTAGGAGAAGAAGTAGACGTGCACCTAGAGAACACAATCGCTAAGCAGATCAAAGAACCGGTAGACAAGGCCAAGGGAAGGTATTTTAAGACTTGCCCTAATATAGCTAAATCTTATAACGTTAATCCGTTAGTGTGCAGTCTCTATAAGGAAAGCAATCCGTGTTTCTAGCCGACTAAATCGGCTAACGATAGGAGGCAGCCATTTTAAATATCTTTAATAGATCCCACTCTCTAATATATACTATTGCAGTATTTAGGGAGGGGAAAAGACCCTATACCCCTTGTCGTAGAGTTGCGAGTCTACTAGGAAATCCTTGTCCTCTAAATAATTATTAGAGTAAGAGACGACAACCAAACTCGCCCCAATTTTCAAGTCTACAAAGTAGCAGGCGACAAAATCATATCGGCGGGAAAGGGTTTAGTTTATTAGAGGCCTTATTAGCGCGGGGTCGGTCTCCACTTGTCGCTATTTACTACGTACACGTTTTAGTATTCTACTACCTTCACAATTAGGGGCGGTAATTCCTTCTTCCGTCTAGGGCTAACCACACAAAGCAATAAAAGGCCTAAAAAGGACTTTGAACATATATCCTCCCCCTGCATAAAAGTTTGCACGGTTAGTTAGTGGTACAAAAAGCTACCTATAGAAAAGCAGGTCGCTTAGCCAAGTTTTCTTGATTTTAAGGCGGATTAACTTTACTACTGTTCCTATAAGTCAATAATAGTGTCGTAGTTTCTTATATAGAGGAACTATGAACTACGTCTAAGTCGTTGGAAATATTACAATCTATAGGGCCTGCGACACTATTTTAGTGTCGTATAGTTATATTGTAGCTTTTAGTCATTCTCGAAATCGCCCTGACTAATACACGTAGTGAAACGATTTTCTGACCTTACTGCTAAGGCCTTAGCATAGGTTAATAACTAAGCGAATCTCCTTTGATTAAGAGTATATACAGTGGTACAGTACATCCCTTATTTTATGACAGTCCTTAGATTTATAACAAGAAAAGAGTTGCTCTAAGTGTGACGATCGAGGACGAGCTGGAGTGAAGGGTCGAGTGGTGAACTGGTCAAATTGGTGTTTGACGGAAGGTTCCTTTAGCCTACAACAAAAAAGGCTTCCACGCGGTAGATAGAACCTCTTCTTCTTTTCTCCCCTAGATTTAGTTGCTTCGTTGAATGCACCGATTTAGACCCTCTCCTCTCGCTTGGCTGTAACACTAAGTGTATTAGTCAAGGCGATTTTGAGAATGGCTGTAAGAGCCACAATAACACTATTCTCGGTCTGATATGCCTCTACAATCCTTACTATAATTTCTTTTCCTCTAGAATTGCTTACTATACGATAAGGGAGGACTGTAGATACCGTAAGGCTAATATCGAGGAAGACTGTATTAAATCATAGACCGGTGGTTAGCTTATGTACCGGCGCTTATTAGAATCTTCTACGCTATCAGCGTAGTACTCAAGATCGCCTATTAGCGGCCAATGTTGGATAGTATACCAAAAACTACGACTATTCTATATAATAGTAGGTCTGCACTACAGACAACTCAGAACCCAAGGAACAGGTCCGAGAGACTGTCTTATATCCTTTAATACTATATATCCGAGTATCACTTCTGCAGAGGCAAGGGGAACTTTCGGATCCAGTCTTGCAAATAGGTCGTATCGCTATAAACATAATCGGACTCGTTATACTTATCAATTAGCTTCTTGATATTGTGATTAAAGTCCTTCATAGCTACCTTCCAGATATACTAGCTATAGTCACCCCGCTATAGGCGCGGCATCGTGGTAACTTTCGTATATAATGCACCAGGTAGTCCTTTCTCTGAGATAGGCGTTTAAGGGTTAATAGATACTCTGTGGCAGGTATAGAAGGACTCAAGCCTAGCCTAGTCGTTCAAGTACCGGCGCAAGTACAATCCGACTGCCTTAGCAAATTCAGTATTGAGGTTGTAGATCGCCTGAATTGCTTTCAAGCGAAATCAATACATGCAGATAAAAACGTACCATTCTCTTCCAGGTATGGCGATGAATGCATGCTCATCGGTGATTAACTGGATGACCCGGCGATGTCATCTCCAGGGGATGAAATAAAGAAGGAGTTCTCCTCAACAACGAGAGGGAAGACACCCCTAAGTAATTCCGGTGGCAGTTGCAACTCTCACTTCTCCCAGTAATATGGAGATATACTCCTGTCGGCGTCATAAAGAAAGCAGGCGGAAAGTTGATATACGGTGGTACCTGTGATCGAGCGTCTAGCAGCCTACCGGTCATAAATGGCCGTATGGCCAGTCTCGAGCAATGTACCTTCTTATTGGTATATACCTATTGTCAAGACTTGGTTAGAGCAGGCTAGTACGAGATATAGCGGAGCGAGGCAGGACGACGAGGAAGACATACCTTATTAAGCCATATTTCAAAAGGTGGCCGCTGGTCTTCTTCGCTCTACTGCCGTTCCTGTTTGCCGCGGTCTATGACAGACTAGCGGAGACTTGTTTGAGGGAGCGCATTTTGAGAACTCGAGTTCTGAGTGGCACACCGCGTGAGGAAAGGAGAGGAAGAGGATGGATCATATATTTGATACAGAGTAGAAGTAGAAGAGGCCTGAAGGATGACGGCAAACTGCGGGACTTTATAGCAAAGTCTGCCAGGGTAGCTCCAGGACTGATTCAGGTTAGACAAAGCCACCAAACGGCAATCGCCAGCATGTCTGGAGATAGAAGGGAATTTCCTTCACTTCGCTGACAGCCAAAACGGCCTACGCCTTCTCTATAAGTATACATTGCTTGACTAGGAAATAAGAGATAAAGGAATCTTGCATTAGTAGCACCGTGGCATCCAGAAAAACCCAACCCAATCAATAAATTTCGCCGATCCATCCATTAACGATGAAAGAATAACGTGATACAAAAGCGCGGTAACATACACGGGCCACAGAAGAGGAGGGAGGCAAGAGTTCAATCAAAAGCAGGAAAAAATACGCCACTCCAAAGCCAACACAGACGGCCCTTGTGAGACTAGCACAGCAGCCTACCAGTAACGATAGACTGTTGTCAAATGGGCTGTCAACAAGTCAGAATAAGGGATATAACCACGGAGAAAGCCACCGTGCCAAAGTCTGCTCCACAGGCAGAAACATAGAAAGTTGAAGAAAATTGGAAATCTGACTCCAGAATCATCAGATCGAAGAACAGAAATGAGGGTATGTTCAAAATCTTAACCACCGAAAAGGAAATTTCGCGACGCGACAGTCATAGCACATCACATGCGAACGAGAAGCGTAAACCAGTGGGCATAGTCGGCCACCTTACTCCAGCCCATCGAGGGTCTCAAGTTCTTTGGCCTCCTCGTAATCGTCGAACTCCAGGCCGGCATCGCGGCAGCGCTGAAGCCACTTGGCGGCGATGGCATTGCGCCGGCTGATCTCTTGCTTCAACTTCTGGTTGGAAGCGCTGATCTCATTGATGGCATGGTTAGCCGTGAGACTGTGTTGCTCAAACCGCTCATCGATGTTCTTCTTCTCTTCTTGGAGCTGGCAAATATATTCGATGGCGCGCTGCAGAATGGCACCCTTGTTCTTGTCGCAGTTTGGTACGAGACGGGCAATCTGGTTGATTCCCTCGTTGATAGCTTCACGTCGTCGCCGCTCAACTAAAGACTGGATTAGTCAAAGGAAGATTTTGGAGTCCGCAGGTACGAGGGGATATGACTTACCCTCTTTGTGGTTGTTCTTCCGAATCTGGTGCCACTCGGGAGACCCGACAGTGGGCTTCTGGTTCATACTTTGCGCTTCACGGGCAGCGTACACCGCGGCAGCAGTAGAGTTGTGGTTGTGGGGGCCAGGAATAGGCCCCTGACCCATATCATCCCCAAAGTTCAACCCCTGTGTAAGGTTGTTCGCATCGAAGGCGGCAGCATCCGGAGGTGGGGGATACTTGTGCTGGGGAGCATGTGCCGCGAGCGCGGCTTTCGCATTAGCAGTAAGCGCATTGTCATCAGAAAGTCCATTCTGTGGGCCAACGTGCTGAAGAATTTGTTGGTCGATGTTCAACTCGGACCCTGCGTTACCGAGGCCGTGGTCGTAGCCAATCGAGTGGCCGAAGTTGTGTTGGTTGTCCGGCATGCTACCGTTGCTGCCGTGTGACGAGCGATTCAGACGCTGTGGATCGTGGCCAAGATCATCGGAGCCCTCGCGCTTGCGCTTGCCGCCTGCGCCGTCCGGGCTGTTCATTGTGGGATCGGACATGGTCTACACTCAAGAGTCCTGAAGCGCGGCGAGAAGGTTAGTCATCGAAGGCGAACCAGCAGAAAAGCCTCGGAGGGCAAAGCAATGACTTGTAAAAAGGGAAGAATGAGCAAGATGCATGGTTAGTACACGAATGCTAGGTCGCGCCCTCCCTCGGTATGATCGATGATCTGCCTCGGGGTAAACAGACCAAACACGCGAAGCCGACGCGCCCCGAAAGCAGGTTTCCTCCTCCTCACGGGCGGGCGGAACAGATGCAGCTGGGTGCATCACGGTCGGAGACCTCCCAGGGAACGACAGTGACGCGATCAAACTTCTTCACAGCTTGAGACTGTCATGGACTGCCCCGCCAACGACGTCGCAAGGACCTCAGAGGCGCGTCATGGCTGGGGGCGTTGACAAGTCGAGAGGGTGATCGCCTGTTCAGCAGGGAGGAGGGGAAATGGCATCAGGGAGGGCGGCCAAGGGGCCAGCGCTCGCGTTGAGAAAAGCGCACATCGTGAAGCCATGCAGCGGGGAGGAGATAGCAGGGACCGATGGGAGTTGTTACCTTGGATGATCCTATCTATCACCTGACAGGAAGTCACCTGCCACGGACAATAACAGACCGGAAGTCACGTTGTTCGCGATGTCGAAACTCGGAAAAACGAAATGGAACCCCCAAATGATAGGGGAAAGAAAGTTGAGCGAGGAGACTGTAGGAGATCAGATCCGTTCGACCATGAAACAAAACCAGGCGATTTTACATGGAAACAGGGATGTTCTTTAGGGATGTTGAGCGACCAAGTCGAGAGGGACTGCTCACGTGGAAGAGGGAGGAGGTGCGCGAGTAGTGGGGGAGGCGACAGCGACCAACAGTGCAGAACCACGGGAAGGATCACCTGACCGCCGACGTCGTCCTTATGTCAGCAGGAGAACTGCTTCAATGGCGTTCCAACCAAAAAACAATCGGAACTGAATATTGCATCTACTAATGATATTCCAGGAAAAAGGCATCTCTCTGTCATTATCCAACATTCAAGACCATTTCTCAAGTTCATCCTCATCGCCCTTCAAGTCCTGCGTACTTTTCTCCCCTTTTCGTCAGGTGCTGGGATCCCGTGCCCCTCGCACACACTGCGACTCTGCCCGCTGATTGGGCGAGGAAGTGCAAATCACGTGCGAGTCGCCCAGCCCAGCCCCGCACGGGCCACCGATCGGCCTGACTTGGAAACGGCTGTGGACTGGTGAATCTCAAAGACATGCTCATCTCATTTCATACCGGACGAGTGCTTCTATCTCGATAGACACTCGAATAACGGGCTAGTCATGCGAGCCGACTAACTAAATGGGATCTGATATCCCGTCATCATGCAACGCAGGGATGCATACCATCGTCTACCCTGCACCCCGGCCAGACTTAATCTCTGATCCAATGCACGACGGGCATTTACTACTACCGCAGTACATACATACATACCGTAGTAGCGCATCACATGTAGACGAGATATCACACTCGAATTCTTGCACACGTTCCCCTCCCTCCACCCTCCATAATCCATAATCCTCCTACTGCGCGAGGGTTACACCCGTCCGTCCTTTTCTCTGCGACCCTTAACTCCTATTTACTCCGTACTGCGTCAAACTACGTCACCTTGGTCATCCCGTCGAGTCTGGCCCAGGTAGTAAGATCGCCCGGTCATGCGACCGCCGATGGAAATAAGGTGTGCCAGGCGGTTGCTGCAGAAGTCGATCTCCCAGAGGATCATCCTGGTCTCTGGCGAGTAGGCGATCGACGGGTGAATCCGGAGATATTGCATTCTGGATGGAGGGGTGTACGATATAGCAGTATTCTGGATTTAAAATCGACATCATTAGGATACGCTGGACTAAAGATCCATACAATTTACGTAGTATATATGGACATAGCTGTCTCTACTCCGTACTGTCGGGGGTATCAATACGCTTCCCTAATCAGAGACTCAACCCACGATAGGCGCGCTTCCCAGGCAAAGAAGGCAACCCTAGACCTTGACCTTGACGCAATCTGATATTTACTTGGTATCCGTGTCAAGATGTCTCACATCTCACCCCGATCCCTCAGAGTCTTCACCCGAACTCTCCTCCTCCTCCTTCCCACCACCCCCTCTCCTCCTCAACCCAAACACCATTTTCGGCTCTGCCGTAGTATCCGCAAAACAAATCCCTTCCTCCCCCGCCCCCAGCAGATCCCAGCAGGCGATCTTCGCCTCCACAGGAGCCTCGCCCTCCTCCCCGCCGTCAATCCCATCCCGGACACCCCCAACCCGTGACCCAGATCCCGATCGAGACCTCAGACGAGCCCGCTGCGTCACCGCAATGACGGCGCTCGTCCCCGCATACCGCGCCGGTGGCTTGGTATCATCTGCCGCCGGCTCCTCCCCGGCGCGATTGGCAAAGATAATCACGGTCCTCTTGGTCCCGGCCTCCGTCGAGGCGCCGTGGCTGTCGGTGTGGCGGTCGATATCCCCCGCGTGCCGCACTTTCTTCTCTAGTAGAGGCATAAACCGGTTTAGCCAGTAGCTGAATGTGTCCATATCGGGCTTGCCGTTCAGTGCAATGATATCCTCTTTGCTCATTAGTGTCAACCAGGCCATCGATACGATAACCAGCTGTGAGCCTGAGTCGAGGACGCGGGTGGCGAATTCGTAGGCTGTATAGGGTGCTTCGAACTTGTAGGGATTGATGTCCATACAGATACCGAAGGAGGTAGGTACTTCATGCTGGTCTGGGGTCGCTGTGGTCATAGACTCGGTCTTGGGGTCGTTGCGCGTAAATGCCAGCTTGCGGAATCCTTGCTCCACGCTGCCTTCAGCGGCCCAGGTCTCATCCGTAAAGTACAGAAAACTCTTGCGGTAGTTGTGGATTACTGCGCCCGTTTCATCGACCACCAGGAGCGAGTTGTAGTACTTGGGAGACTCTGCCTCATTAGTACCGTTCTCAATCTCCGGGTAGCCGATGCAGACTTTGCAATGCAGGCGTTTGGCAGTATCGCGCGCCCATGTTGCGCTGGGGCCTGCGCCAGCAGGCTCAAGATATGGTTTGATGGCCTCCTTGGAGGGGAAGTTGTATCCTGGAAGCTAGCGTCAGCGAGTTGTGCATTTGCGAGCCGACCGGATCAGATAGAAACGAAAGGTATGAGAGGGCGCAAAAAATACTTGCTCTACTCATCCCCGTTAAGACATACCCGTCAAAGCCAGTTCCGGCAATACCAGGATATCAGGACGCAGAAGGTCTATCCCAATCCCAATCCCTTGAGTTTGTCCGTCGAGGGAGATATGCTTGCCCGTTTTAAGCAACTCATTGGCCTTATTGATGTTCCCCTCAACATCGCCCAGCTTCGGGGCAAATTGCAGCGTCGCGATTCTCATCCCCAGCAGACGGGATCTTGAAAACCCTCTCGACAGACCTGGACTTTGCTGCTTATTTAGAAAACAGCTTCGACGATACAGATTGATGAAAACAGCGCCAGCTGATGATTTGAACCCTGGACTCGCCCGAAAGGCAAGTGTCCCGAGCGGCCGAACGGATGCCAGCGCTGTGGTTGAAGGATGATGTCTGAAAATGTCAAGTTGTATCTCTTACATGTACTGGATGGCTCTTCAACTGTTAATTTGAGGACGGAACACAATTGAGAGGTTTCAAGAGGGACGGCGGAAGTAGCATCAAACAAGAGAAATGTAAAGTGAGTACGGGTACGGGATGCAGGCCTGAGATCGGATTGGTGCCTGAGGATGCAAATTTCCCGCGTTAACCACAGACCATCTCGAAGGTCAGCCCGTCATTAAGATGCCCCAGTTGCTGGGTATTGAGACTTGAAAGCGAAGAATTGAAGTAAGAATAGAGGTAAATTATATTCATGAAGAGGGTCACAAATATCGGGCTAGTCAAATAAGATAGAAGAAATCGGATATGTACTATCGAACCGCCCGAACACCATGCAATGTGTTGTATCTCGAACAAAATCCATCCCTAGCCACGATCGTAAAATAAAAAAAAAGGCTCATCTGAAAACGCCCGTCTTAAACCATGCAAATGACATAACGTATGCAAGTAACCTCCCCTACCCACTCATTGCGAATCAGCTTTTGCCCTTGTCCTTTCCTTTGTCCTGAAGTTTGTCCTTCTCTCGACTCTTCGACCGCGAGAAATCCAGCGGCTTGTACGCCAACCCATGTCCACCAGTCATCCGAATGCGGTACTCAGTGCGAGACATCGTTCTTCCTAGCCCTAACGGCGTGTCGGGTGCGTGCGCGACCTCGTAAGGATGGCGGGGGAATTGCGGCGGTGATGCACTCTGCGCATAGGGCGTGATGGAAGGGCTGAGGCTATTGCTGTATGAGCGGTGGTGCTTGCCCCGGTCCTCCCAGTACGCGTGGTATGCGTTGTATTCAGCCAGGCTTTGTGGCGACATATCATCAAAGATTTTGGGCCCAGTGCGCAACTGCTCTGCGACAATGCGAGCAGAATTAAGAAGCATTTCGTCCTCATCAATCTCGAGCTGGTGTTTCTTCACGACCTCAGTATCTGGTTCAGCAGAAGCCGGCCTTTTCGCTAGGAGAGCATTGGCTCTTTCTAAGCACGGCAGGGTTGGCAGTGCTTTGATGGAAGACTCGGCGAGCGAGAATTTCTTGGCGGGTGGAGGTGACTCTTCAGGGGCTGACACCTTCGATTCCTTGAGACGTTCTTCGCGCTTTGAATCTGCCAACTCGCGTTCTTCAACAACCCGCTTTCGTTTGCGTTTCTCTTCCTTGCGTTGTGCTTTTTCTTCGGCACGCTTCATGATTCGCTTGAATAGGGCAATTTCCTCCTCTTCTGTCTGAGGTGGCCGCCATTGGAGATTCTCCGAGTCAACGGAGGTCTGGGTTGAGCTAAGAGATGTGGTCGATTGCTCTAGCTGCGAAACAGATAGGGCGGGCTCTACTGGTTCTGGACTCTTCGCAGCAACCTCTGTCGGTGGGAATTGTTGCAAGACAACTTCGTCTTGCTTGGGTTTTGCAGGCTTCATGAACAGGTCTGGGGGGCTTGCGGGAGCGTCGGCGCCTGGCCTTTAATTGTTGCAGGCTCGGTGACGGTATCCGCACTGGCAACTGGGCTTGGAGAGGGGAAGAGCGGTTTCTGATTCTGGAGCGTAGAGAAGACAGAGGGCCCTGCCGATGGACCGAATAGCTTGGGAGTTGTGCTTGGCGCTGTGGGTGGAAGCTGGCCATGATTAGGCATAGAGTTCTCTTTGGCATCTTCGATCTGTTTCTCCTCGGACGCAGGTACCTTTGGAGGTTTGAACAGAGATGTCTGCGAGAATCCAATGAACCCTGATGGCTTAGCCGGCTCAAAGACAGTAGAGGTTTGCTGAGTCGAGCTAGTTTCTGTAATAGTTGGTGCTGGGAGTTGGCTTTGAGGTGCTGGTGGTGTGGTTGATGGGAATGTGAAGGGTGATGAAGTGGGTGGGGGGGTAATAGCGTTTGGAAACGGCGTAGGGAAGGCTGGCTTGAAAAGGGATGGTGCAACAGTCGAATTCTCTGATCCTTTTGCGGAAGCAGCATCGGAGGTCTCCGTTGAAGGGGAAAAGGGTTTCGCAATGGCAGAAGGGGTCGCAGCATTCTCGGCTACTGCTAATGGTTTTGGGGCCACAAAAGCATTCAAGGAGGCAGCAAATGGATTTGGTGATGCTGATGGCGTGATCTCCTTTGCAATTGTCTCGGCCGGCTTGGGGAAGGTAAAAGGGGGAGGTCATTGCCGGTTCAGCTGTCTCAACCATCTCAGTGGATTTGGGGAAAGCGAACGGAGAGGCCGTTGAAGGAGGCCCAACCTTTTCGACCGCCTCCGCTGGCTTGGGGAAAGAAAATGGAGAGGGCACTGGAGGCGTGTCATCTTTAGCGATTGCCGTACCTGCAGGCTTCGAGAAATCGATTGAAGGAGCCGGTGATACGCTCCCTGCCTGAGTAGCGTCGGCTGGCTTCGGGAAGCTGAATGGAGAAGGCGAGGATGAAGGCTTGGCAGCGAATGGGTTTACTGGCCCGGGTTCAACTGCCTTGACAGCCTCATTGCCACCAAACATGGAAGAGAAGGGATTTGGGGGATGTGTAGTCATAGCCGGTGCTGTAGGCTGGGGGACTTCTTGCGAATTTGCGAAGGGCGATGGTGTCGGTTGTTGGAAGGGGTTGAATACGCTCTTCGTCGGCGAGGCGGAACTTGGAACATCGCTATCCAGAGATGCAGGAGTAATCTCAACCGTAGGGGCTGGAGTCGTGTTGTCCTTGTCACTCACGAAAAGAGTGTTTTCAATGGGAGTAGGGGCTTGTGGGGGGGACTCTTCCATGCGCTCGGGTACTGCAGCCTCGTCGATCATACCCATCGCCGCGGCCTCTCGAACGGACATTCCGAGAACAACGGCTACCAAGTTTCGACCAGCACGCTTCGACTCCACGTATGTCTCCGAAAAAGCATGCTCGGAAGAAGGTGAGAAACCTAGAAGTGGAGGGATTAGATGAGGCTAAAGGGGTTGGGCATAAGACGAAAAGGCGCAAGTAACAGATCTCAGCGCGGATATCATGTAGCGAGAACTTACCAACAGAGTCAACTGAGCGATTGCCCCAGTTGAGATACATCTGGCCATTGGAATTCTCGGCGAACTGAAGGTCCTGCTCTTCGCAGAACTTGATGGTCTGCTCGTCGTCGTCAAGATACAGAACTTTGGTCAATTGTTCCACCGTCCATTCCTCGTTCTTGTGCTGCTGCGATGCTGGGGCTCGGCAGTATGCCCTCCAAATGGCACGGATCGTCGTCTGTCGAACATGGTTGAAGTAGATCTCGGCTACGCAGGCCATCAGATATGACACGCTGGGCGAGTCGATGATATGGAAGAATCGGGTGTAAAATCCTTGCGCAATGGCGTTTGGTCGTCGGGAGTCTAGCGTTCCCTGGTATTCCCATGTGTTGCAAGCTGCTGCATACAACTCCAATGCTACCTGAACACGAGGGGAGTTGAGCAGTGCTGTTGGCCACTTTTGAACGCGAGCTTCGAGGTCAGGTCGTTGGTCGTGAATGGAGAACAGGATGTAATAAGCACGAAACTCTTCCTCATTAGGGAAGTGCACGCGTCCACGGTTATCATCGTAGTAGTACATCAGTGACAGCATAGTGTTGTTGAGCTGTTCACGTTCCTGGTGGCGATCAAACTGCTCCTCATTCGCGGGACTAGAAAGTAGATGGAGCGAGAGGATATGAAAACGAGCGATCCTCTCCAAGCACAGCACGGCCACTTTGACATCGGCTTCGTGGGTCACTTGTTGAACCGAAAAGTCATTGCGGATCGAGCGAGTCCGATCCCAGACGAATTTGTGTACGATGCCAAGTGGCTCAGTCCCACCAACAATATATCGAATCAGGTAATTCGTCGCTTGCAACAGTGCCTTTGGAGTTCGAATATCAGAAGGGAGTTGCTCATCGTAGCCAGCCGCCGAACGTCGAAACCGCTTCAGCATCTTAGCTTCCATGTTCTGTATGGTGTTCGTCGACGGATCCAGATACTACGTGGGAGGTAATGGGTCAGCATATCAACTAGATGTGAGTAATGGTGAATCCAACATACCTTCTCGCTGCGATCCACCATCTTTTGGACGATACGTTCAACCCGCTCAAACTCGGGGCACATGCTCGCGCAAGTGCCCACAGGCCGAATAGCCTTCTTCAGCGACGTAGGCTGATTAGGATCAGCCATCTGTCCATCTCTGATAGCTCGTTGTCTTTGCTTCGCACGGTCGAGTTTCAGCTGCAAAGGGGAATTAGAGTCTGTTCGTTCTCAACTGTCGCGTCGCGCGGTTGAAAGGAGATGAGTGAGGATTAGCTGACCTGCTCGTAACGATCCTGGTAGGAGCCCGACATTGATGTATGATCTGCGGATGTAGACTTTCCAAGGTTTCCATGGCCATTGATTGTAGGCGACTGTCGAGAGATGTGTTGACCTGCGCCGGCGGTGAAGGTGTTGTTGCGAGCGGCGGCACCGCCCCTCATTCCCATGCTTGGTGCCATAGGTGATTTGCTCCGGCCTCGTTGTTGACCGAACGCGTTGGACGGAGGGTTCGTTTGGTTGGCTTGGCTCAGCTGTGCGAATGGGGAGCTGGCCACGTTTGCGCCCGTCGAAGAAGTTGTAGTCGAGCTTGCTGCATGAGACGCGCCTCTGGCAGCAGCGCCCGCGCCGCGCCCACGAGATGTTGAAGTTCCAGCAGCTCCACGGCCTCGACTTCCGCTGCCTCGCCCTCGTGCAGTCCATTTATTTCCTCGATCTGTGCCACCTCTCATTGACCCGCGTGTGGACCCGCGGCCTCGTCCAGAGGTGCTTGCCTCTGCGGCACTCTGGCCGCGGCCAGCAAACGGATTGAACGGGCTCGCCATCCTATCCTCGCTCGGCCTGCATCCAGGTCAGTTCGTGCTAGAGAGATCTAGCGAAACCGAAGAGCCAACAGTGGGAGACGTACAGCGCGGCGGAGTTAACAAAGAAGACTCGAGATAAAGCACTACGGGAGCTCAAGGCGAAGAGGGTCCACTTGTGGCAGCCGCGCGCATGGGTCACGTGATGATGGCTTACCCGCGGCAGCAATCATTTTCCTGTCAATGCCTATCCAAGTTCTGTCTCTCGTATCTAGATTTTGAACGGCCAGACCAGTCGGACTATCTTACTTAAATTGTATCTTAATCGGCGTTGATAGGAATCGACTGATTGGAATCTTTTCATAATATTTCTCCAATGGAATCGCTATCTACTAAACAAATGTGTGTATCAACGGCGCCAAAAACATCGAACCATGCCAGCGTAGAAGGTCAAAAAGGAGCCATATACAAAGCAAGCGGGGTATGGGAAGATGTAAGAGTATTAGCGAAAGACGAAGAAAGATAATAACAAAGCGAACGTGAGACCAGAGAAACCGGAAGATATATCACGACTAAAGCCAAGAAAATCCAAATTCACAACCATAATCCCAAGCCAATAGAAGTATTTTCAAAAAAATAAAAACACAAAACAAGCACCCAATTGTCAACCTACCAGATCACCGACCTTTTTTTTATTCACAGAAGGTAAAAAAAAAAAAAAAAAGGGAATCAACACAATAGAAAAAAAAATAAACATCGAATCGAAACTCCAGAGCAAGCCCTTCATTGTATCAAGTATCAAGTGCTTTCATATGGTATTGTAATCAGAGCCGTCCAGTCGTGAAATTCATTAAAAGCCCGTGCACTTCTTTTGGTCGTGGCATTGCTCGGACTCGCCTCCAACCGGGTCCCGCCCGTCCATTGGAGCAAGACCTTAGGCAGTGTGAGAGAGAGGCAATTCATGCGGGTGACCGAGGGAGCCAGTGCGGAAAGGCAGTGCTCGTTGGCTCATCGAGTCCAATGGCGACGTGTGGGACATTTCGTGGAGCTGGGCAGGCGATGCCATGGGCAGGTGGTAAGCCATTGACGGCTCAGGGAGGCCGTGTGTTACGGACGGAGCGTTGTAGTCCACTGGGCTGAACAGTGTCTGGCGGAAGGTAGGTGCCCAGGCATCGTATTTCTGGTCTGGGGTTGATGTCTGGAAGGGGTGGGAGGTTGGATAGTCGAAAACGGAGACATCATGCGGGCTGATCATCTCGGCGGTGACCGGGGTATTCAGCATCGGCTGTGAGAAGGAGTCTGTGTAGTTTGGAGGCGTGGCGTAATAAGGCCGGTCTTGCCGGTGCCCATCAAAGCTGAGAGGGTGAGGGACTGAAAAGCTGGTTGAAAGGGACCGGGTCGGCCCCATAGTCATCGCATCAATGGGCGTGGTCAAGGGTGCAGTTTGCTCGATCGAGGAGGTTGGAGTAAGAAGGCCTTCTTCAATGGGTTCGGCAGCTTCCACATTAGGAACAGGAACATGAGTGGGTTCGTTGGATTCCTCCTCGTCATCGCCCTTGGGACTAGGTCCTCGGTTCATCACGTAGACAACCATGCTAGCATCTGTAGAACCTATTAGGATGCTGTGCACACATAGGACCATTTCGTAGTATACGTACCAACCTCGCCCCGCTCAAGGCGCTCCTCCATCTTGCGCACGCGCAGGATCTCGTAGATGATGTCAACATGCGAGGGATGCTTTAGACTGCGCTTAGTGTCGCCAGCGACTTCTTTCAGCTTGTCGGCAGTAATGTTATGGCTGCCAAGTTTGCGAATGATATGAAGCAGAAGCTCAATACGGTCTGCGCTAGAAGTCAGTAAACCCATTTCAGAGCAACCATCAAAGATAAGCTACATACACTCTTTGCGCAGGTGGTCAGGCTCCTTGTGCATAACACCCGGGGGCCACCACTCAGGCTTGGTCTTCTCAGGATCGCCGGTGGTGCCGGGAGCAGAGCCTGCTGGGGGTTTGCCACCATTGTATGGGTGTCGAACCTGTTTGCGGGGCTCGATGAACTTAATAAAAGCCTTGGCGACCATGCGGCAGTTGAGTTGTTGGAAGTGCTTCAGGGCTCCTTCGTAGTACGCCAAAACCTTAGGGGTGTCCCCAATACGGAGGGGAACCATCTCGTTAGAGCCATTAGGAGCGCAATCGTCGCTGTCAGAGCCAGCATCGGCCAGACGGTCGTCAGAGACTGGCGCGTTACCGCGACGACGGCGAACACGGCGAGGAGAAGCATCCAATGTACCTGTATATCTTTCAGTTAATGGGATGTTTCATAAAAGACCATAGAACTCTAGTGCGACTTACGGCGGATAGGCTGGTGGAAACCAATACGTTCTCCGAGGATCTCAAGGAAATTCTGGCGAACCTCTGGAGTGAAAATGGTAGAATTTTGTTCTTGGATGGAGGCAGACTCGTCGACCTTGAGCTTGCCCTCATTATCGAGATAGATCAGAGCATAATGCGCGAAGGGCATACGGAAAGGTACGGAGGGCGCTGGTGTCATCATGGGCTATGAATATTTGTTAGGACAATGTACTAGAGGGGTTCCACTTTGACTATACTTACAGGAGCAATATCCCACCCAGGTGCGCCTTCGTGAAGGGCCGAAGCTGAGCGCTTCATGCCACCACTAGATGTGCTGGGCTTATTGTAAACCATTGTGTGGAGAGTCAAAGAATGCAAAGCCGTGGTCTGGTGTGATCGCACGGTAATGCGTGAATGGACGTTGTCCTATCGGTGATAGGAAATACCCAGGGTAGCAAATTGCACTTTGACAGTCGAAGCAAGTATATCGAGGACCCAAGGAACAGAGCTATGTCTGTTTCAGCACCGAAGCTGTCAAGATGGATTGCTTTCTTTTATAGATAGAAGCTAGCGATTGAGAAGTTCTAGAATCTTAAGCCATCGTTAGCTCAGAACCCTTAAGGATTCAATAATGTGATGAAAACGCAGCAGGCTTCTGGCCGGTTTGCGAAGCAACGCAGTCAAAGTCGACCGGCAACCGCCTCACCCGGCTGCCTCGACGGGTGGCTGTCTCATGGACGACTGCCAACCCGCGAACGGCTCAAATTCAAGCTTATTGCGAACTGGGCCAGGATTGGGGTGGCATGCAGGGGGATGTATTCACTCACCGGCTTCAAACGACAAGCACAGCAAGGATATCACAGTTATCAGGGTAAGCGGCTAGCTTAACAGCAAGATAACAAGAGTGCTTTTTGAGCTATATCTGCAAGGAGAATGAAAGCCACCGATTGAGGTCTCTGTTGGAGACTGGCGGAGATATGGCGATGCAGGAACAAGAGCGGGATATGTTGCACTCCTGATGTGTTCTTGGTGAGGTCTCAGATTAGAGTACCCTGAAGTATACTGCAAGTCCACTGATCCGAACTGGGGCACCTGCGGTTGGATTGGGGTAATGGCACGGGACGGGGATGGCCTGGTTGTATACACAATATCTTGTCCGGTGGGATAGTACTGTAGACCCGAACAAGTATGAACCACTAAGCCTAGTAGACAAGTAGATCGAGGGTGGGTCGAAGCGGGTAGAAAATAAAAGTGATCTGGACTTGAAAAAGTGGGAAGAGGGCGGGAGCTTTAAATTAATGTTTCTTCTTTCCTCAAGATAAGAAGAAAAGAAAAGAAGAAAAAAGCATGGAAGAGGAAAGGGAAGTATGCGGCTTCAGGGAGGAGGAGTGGGATATTTCAAGTTGCGGGCGGTCCAGAGCAATGGCGGGAGATCTTAGGGATCGATTTTGCGATATGATTAATTTTTTTTAAAAAAAAACACTTTTTCACGAAAGTACTAAGTGGTAGGTGACAAGGAAACATCTGGCAAACCGTGCCACAGCAAGCTAGGATCATCCTTGAGGGTCGAGGGTCATCAGAAAGCCGGGGGATCCCCGGCAGAAGCCAAAAGGGAATATTGAATAAGGAATTTTTGGGGATTGAGACTCGATTAGCGTTATGGAATTATGTTTATTCTATTTTATTTTTGATTTTTAATTTCTCGATTTAATTTATGATCGCACTACTATGCAGGACGCAGCGAGATTGGCGCAGTGGAGAAGGGACATGCAGGTCTGAAGGATGCCAACCAGCTTAACCAGTACTAACCCACTAGCCCGAACAGCCCAGCAACTCCAACTAAAAATTGTATTAATTCGCTATATAAGCTAATGCACAAAGTACAGTTCCCGATTTGGTTCATATCCCTGTCGGGTTCTACTTACTATTTGTCGATCGCTATGACATTCGGGATGCTCCAGAATCCTGCCTTTTTTTAGTTTAATATTTTTATGATTCTCTCAATCTGCCTTATAGAGAGACCGGTACTTCTGCTGTCACTTGTAAAATTCCCCTCTATTCCACTATTTGACAGTCCCGCTCAGCGTCGCGTCCACTCCTCGGTGGTCCTTCCCCACCATAGTGAGATACAGTACACTTGGTAGAAAGTACATAATATCTTCTAGTTCCTTTTAGTAGCATAACAGGAGGGGAACTGAGTGAGATCGGGATGCTGCTTTGTCATTGTCCCAATCGAGGGTCTTGCTAGATCCTACGGGCACCCATTGGAAGCCCTAGAAGGCCAGGCAACCACTATGATGTTTGTAACCGTTTTGCTCTCTCATGACTTTAATCTTAACAACCTATAGCCTAGTTATAGCAAATAGTCTATGGCCCTAGTGATTACACTCACAATCTTGACGGGATTTTTCCAGCTTCCTATCTGACACTCAGCCTGACAGGTTGTGACAGGGGCGGGATGAAGCGCGCGGGATCCACGTCGACCCAAGGAACGCTTTCTTTGTTTGGCGTTCTGTATTACGGTCATCGCTCTTGATTACTTCGTATAAACCCACCGGTCGCACTCTCGAGTCATATACGCCGTGCGAGTCTGCCAGGAACACACCGCGCCTCTCTTCCAACCAGAGAGTCTTCTCCCGATAAGTGCATAGCGTTCGTGTTCACAAGCACTCGCACAGGCCCTGCCTTGCGTCGGGGCCCGTACGCACACGCCGTGTGGGTGCTATTCTTAAAGATACGGCGCGCTGATCGACCTCAGATTCTCGGAGCTTCCGTAGCGTGGCAGGAAAATACTTGCAGATTCATCATCAGGAACGGATCATGGAGGTACGGAGTACTGCGGACAGCGTATCACTGCTATCCCCGTCGAGTACTGTAGACTCGCCCTTCTTTTGGTTTGCCAGATGAAAGAAAGAAAGAGTGGGGGATGGGAAAGAGGAGCTCTGGACGAATGATCCCAGCGTGACCTTCTCTGAAAGCCCAATCAAAGCCACCATTCAAAGTGCCAACACCCTAAAGTGCGGACAAGCTGGATAGGGCCGTGCTCTCGATCGCCGGATCTGGGCGTGATGTGCCCCGGGGCTAGCTTTGCAGGGGCCTTCTCCAATAAGCGAGGAAACCCAAGGGCCTCAATTGGCTCTTGCTGAGGCGGTGGTGGTTTTTACGAACCTATCAAGGATCCAAGGTGCCGGTTGGGCATAACCAACACCCCGGATCCTGGAATGTCCAAGATGACTCGCCGATAGGGCTTGACTTTTCGCCGTTCTTTGCTAATGGGAGCGTGTTTGATAGGGCATAAGAATATAGAGCTCATTCAACTGCTAGACAAACGTTGACGGTTCCAGTGTCGCCATTGGAGCATCACCAACTGGGCGACGGGCCGATGTCTGTCATGGCTTTGGAGAACCCTCCCCCGGCCCCCCCTTGTCGATCGGCTTGGGGACCCTCTACCCACCACAACCCTCCTACCGGGCCCATGCCCGGGTAATTGGTGCTTGAAACAGGAACGGTCTTCGCAGGGTCGTTCGCCACTCCTACCCGGGATATGCTGGGCTTGTTCGCACATCTAGGCCACACTTTCAGCTCCTACAGTAAAAGACAATCCTCCCCCTGAGATCAGACCCTCATGTTTAGCCAAATGAATGGTCGTATTAGGCGACTATCTTCTCTCAGGAGGGGAGAAGAGGCACGACAGGAGATTGGAATGAACAAAAGCACCCAAATGGACCTCGAGAAACTGGTCTGGCCGCAGGACACGGAGGGGATACGAAACGAATTTTGTCCAGGAACAAAAGGACGACTCTAGCACAAATCGAGGGCACGGTAATTAAGTACTTTTCCATTTGGCTATGGGAAATGATGGAATCATACTGAAGAAGTACAGACCGCTCCGTGGTTGAGGAACTTCCTCCATTAACCAATCGCTTTGCATGCCACATTGAGTGCCACTAGTACTCCATAACAGGAGTGAACTCGTCATCAATAGCGATCACCTTGTTCAAGCTCTCTCAGAGGCTGCCTCGTCAACAAGGGCTTCGATAATCTCTGCCTGCGCTGGTTAGCCGCCGTACTTTGTCACCCGCCCCCAAGCGGTCTCAGTCATGGTCTAGATGGAATACGGAGGAAGATGTAATTAATGTTGGGAGGGTCTGTTTTCCTCCTTAGCAAAAGTATAGTAGCCACGAGTGAGCGATTGCCAGGGTTTGAGTGGACGTAATACGGTCTCTTTGTTGCGCAAGCAACCACCACGCCCCTGTCTGGCAAGCTAAAAAAGAACCAAGCCAAACTAACAAAGTCCCAAAGGAGTCGTGGACAGAGGAGCCACCCGGGCGATGAGCGACCGCTAGTCGTCTCGTCGGGTCCCATCCTCGGTCTTGGGTTCCATCGGGTCACCTGGGCTAAATTAATCTAATTAATGATCTAATGATCTAATGATCCTAGGCGTTGAAGCGAGCCCAGGGGAAGGGTACCATCTACTCAAGCTACTGTCAACGCGTGCATCTCCCGGGCGGGTGGATAGGGGGCCATTTGACCCTGCTGGTCGGGTCAACCTGCTGTCGCTGAGTGCTGACACCAGGGATCGACATCCAGACAATCAGTTACTGTAGCGAATGGCTCTAATGTTATAGTACTGATGGTGATCCTAGATAGCAGGACGGGAAATATCAAAAGGCAACCCGTTATCTACTGAAGTCCGCGGAGTGGGATGTACTGTGCAGCCGAGTCATGCGCAAAAAAAACCCGAGGAAGTGGTGAGTGGACTGGTACCTGCGCCGTGTTTGATCGATGTCGATTGCCTTCCGTCTTAATTTCGTGATAGTGCACCTCCAACTTCTGTTTCTAATGCCCTGCTGTTCTAGCTAGCGCTAGTCTAATTCCACCCTTGGGTTCCGTCTTGTTTTTGATGCCTTGACTCGGATGACGGCCTATGTATATGTAGTAGTTGCCCACTATACCCCACCAAGCCTGGAAATCGCGGGCAATCACACAAAGCAAGAATTTCGCAACTAATTGCCTAGTCAACTCCGCAATTGGAGTACCTTTGCTCGATGCCATCTTTATCTAGATCATTTCTGGCAGAAATTAGCCTGTCGCATAGGCAATAGACTAAAACTGAGGTTTCAAACCCCGGCCAGAGAGTACTTTGGAAGTTTGGAGGTATTTGTCACTGCCAACAACTCGATGAGTGAGTAGATTAATTAGCCATCGTGACAGTCTTAAGTTTGAGGGACTACTCCGTAATCAGTCTCAATAAAGAGACAGAGATCTACTGCACCCCCACCAACACTAGCAGTCTGAACCGCCAGCCGTAACAACATAATGGCCAACGGCTTAACGCCCGCAGCCCACCCGCT